ACTACGATATCTATAATAAGGAACTATTAGTAATAGTTTCCGCGTTCAAAGTATAGAGATACTACCTAGAAGGAGTAAGATATTAAGTAATAGTGAAGTTAGACTACAAGAATCTAATATATTTCACTACGACTAAGGAACTTATAAGACGATAAGTTCGATAGGTAGAAGTCTTAGTAAGTTACGACTATAGGATCGAATATTATAAGGGAACAGCTAATAGCTAAGTAGATACTCTAAGTAGAAGACCGGACTACTAAGAAGGAGTCGAACTAGTAGAATATATAGTGTTCAAGACTAACGATAAAGGGTATTTAGTATATAACTACTAAACGCTCGCCGTAATAAGCGAAGTACAAGAATCCGAATAGGTATAATAGCTTATATAAGCAACTAAGAGTAACGAAATAATTAACAAGCTTATAAAACTAGAGAAGGAAAACCTTATCTAGATAGATAAGAGATTAGTCCTAATACACGGACTAATATATATCCTAATAACGCTACGTAGAGAAGTAATTAAATAATATCACGATAACCCTACGAGAGGATATACGGGAATAGAAAAAATAATAGAACAAATATCACGAAACTACTTTATACCTAACCTACGACGAAAGGTTATAGGATATATCTAAAGATACGAAACGTACTAACGAAATAAGCCTATAAGGCACGTACCCTACGGAATACTATAAAAGAGCGAAATACTAACCGAACTATAGGAATAGATAACGATAGATTTTATTACTAAACTACTAAAAAGCTAAGAATAGGATATAATCCTAGTAGTAGTAGATAGACTTACAAAATATACCTATATAATCCTAACTACGGAGACGATTAGCGTAGTATAACTAGCGTAGATCTTATTAAAAGAAGTATTTTCAAAGTATAGAATACCTAGAAGAATTATAAGTAATAGAGATAAGCTCTTTATATCGAAATTCTAGTAGTCGTTGATAGATCTAACCGGAGTAGAGTATAGACTCTCTACCGCTTATTATCTATAAATAAACGGATAGATAGAGAGAGTAAATTAGATACTCGAGTAATATCTACGAATAAATATAAACTATATTCAAGATAACTAGGTTATACTATTACTATTAGCCTAGTTCGTATATAATAACGCGGTTAATATAATAACCGGAGAAACTCTATTTTTCGTAAATTATAGAAGAAATCTAATAATAATCGGAGAATTAATTAGAAACTATCCTATTATAGAAGAGGCCTAGTTAATAGTAAAAGAATTAAAATAGCTACACCTATAGCTATACTAAGATATAGAGTTTATTAGTAATAGGATAGTACTCTACTACGATAAAGGCAGATTAGAGGGACCTAATCTAAAAAAGGGAGGGAAGGTTTACCTCCTAAAACGTAATATTAAAATAAAACGACTAAGTATAAAACTCGATTACCTACGAATTAGACTATATAAAATTAAAGAAAAAATTAGCGAAGTGAATTTTCGACTAAAACTACTAGAGAGAATAAAGAAGATATATCCGACGTTCTATATATCGTTACTAGAACTAGTACCGGAGAACGCTTAATACGATAAAGAAGGAGAAGAAATTAAACTTAACGAAGAATTCGAAGTAGAAGAAATACTAGACGAGAAACGAATTAATAGAAAGCACTACTACCTCGTTAAATAGAAAGGATACGATACTAATAATAATATATAGGAGCCTATCGAGAATCTAATAGCTTACTAACTATTAGTAGGACGGTTTTATCGGAAATAGAACCGTAACCGGGAGGCTATAAGAAAGCGTCTAGATTATCCTAAGAGAAATCGGAAGACCTAAGGACTTACGATAAACTAGGAAGGTCGGAAGTCGCTGTAAGAACCTAATAGTTCGTAGAAAGAGTAGTATTATTATATCTAGTAGCGGTACTAGACTCTACTCTACGATTATTAAGAGTAGAAGCCTTGATATATTCCTTTTCGAGACGCTCTAGCTCTTCCTTTTCGCGACACTCGAGCTCCTTAAGCTTAGCGATATCTTTATATTCACGAGTAATAAAATTACCCGCTCGCTTTTTTAATAAACGCTTTTATTTTCGGAGACGAAGGAGTTTAGCTAGGATAAGCTTCTCCTCCTTATCGATTTTACTTTACGAAGCTAGCAAGCGACGCTACTCGGCGTTACTAAACGACTCTAATAGTATTTTACACTTAATACTATAACTAGCGCGGATATAATAGGAATAGTTCTTCGAACGGTCGGAACGAATATAGACGTAGTGTAAGCGAGTATAACGAAGATAGGGAACGAGGGACTTAAAGCCCTCGTATTTAATAAGCTAATAGAGCTTATAGTTAGTAATACCTAACGAAGATATAGTTAGGGAATATTACTAAGGGGAATAAAGAGAAGGTCGCCGACGGAGGGGACTCACGACTACTTATATCTTTCGAGGACGAAAGACTAGAAAGAGGGGGAGGTGATATTATAGACCTACCCCTAGGATACTAATTATAGACTCGCCTAAACTAATTAGTTTAGTAATAAGGCGGTTAGATAGATTCTACTAGATAATCTATCGAGATGCTTAGGCTATAATACCTAAGTATAGGATCACGTAATAATCCGTTCCGTTAAACGGAACGGACCTAACCGTTAACAGGAAAGGTCCTATCGAAGGAACGGAAGGACTAGATATATAAGGACGCTTATTTACCTATATATATTTAGTTCTTCGCGTTAATTTATCTATTATTACTTATAGTTACTACGAGCTACACTTGTTACTTACAATTAGACTTAACATTCGACTATCTTTAAGAGACGTGATACCCTCACGGTATAATATAAGGATATACTCTAACTAGGAGGAACGCTTAGTAGTTATCATATAACTACTTAGTCGACTGACTAGGCGCCCTTCAACTATATACGTCTTCGGTCTACTCTACAGATCCGAGCCCGTGTAAGGCTAGAGCAGGCAACGGTACGATTACGAGATAGATCGTCGGAGATTACGAGAGAGGTACGTTACGATAACGCACATATTACGTTAACCAGTTAGCAGCGCGTAACACAAGTAAGCTTTATCTATCAAAGCTCTACTAGGCAAGCGCTCGCGGTCGCTAGGAAGCCCTACAGAGAGAGCGCTAGATCAATTAATAAAAGGGTACTAATTAGCGATATATAGCGGAGCGCTTCTAGTATAGGAAGTTAAAGATTTACGCTAATTCAACGAGAAGAAGCGTCAAAAACGCACACGGTCTAATCGCTAGATATCTAGGCAGCAAGATCCTACGGTCGGCGAATCTATATCTCTAGATTCAACGTTGCCAGCAAGCGTTGAAGCTATTCAAAACGATGATACAGAGCTTGCTTAGCAGCCTACTGAGGGCGCTAAGCCTACTACTAAGCGTGTATTTCAATGTTCTGGATGTGGGAATATAGGGCATAAGATTACTCGGTGCCCTAGTAAAAAGTTGAATTAAATATATAGCGTTTTGGTGGAAAAATAGTTTTTCAAAAAGTAGTAGGTGGTGGGGTGGCCAGCTTACTAGTGTGGCCAGCTTACTAGTGAAACACGTTATTCCTTCTAGTTATAAGGTATATCCTTATATTATACTATAGAAGTATCTAAGTTACTAAAGATAGTCTATTATTAAGCTCTGGGTGTAACTATAAGTAATAATATATAAATTAACGTGAAGAACTAAATATAAGTAGGTAAACGAGCGTCCTTATATATCTAGTTCTTCTTATCAGTTAATAAGTACGGAACTTATTACTAACCTCTTCCGGGCTTCTCGCCTCATAAGTCGAGTTACGTGACCTTAGGTATTATTACCTAAGTCTCTCTATAGATCCCTAGTAGAATCTATCCTGACCACCTTGTTACTGAACTGATTAGTTCAGGCGCGTCTATATTTAGCACCCTAGGGGTAGGGTCTGTAACAATAAGTAGTTATTCTCTAATATATATATATATATATATATAAATTAGGGACTCTAGAGCGATCCATAATAGTAAGAAATAGTCTTTTAGTCTTCTTTACTTAATATTTATCTTTCTATCCTGTATAAGTAGTTATTCCATAACAAGTATAGTGTTTTCCCGTGATATCATTAACAAACCTTGCGCTAAGAAATTTTCACGGGTTAGGAGGTCTGTCCCTACTCGACATAGGCAATTAAGCCAGATCGCTCTCGCTACCTAGTCGTAAGAACGCTAGGCAGACGCATAAAGCGCAAAATTGACCTTATCGAGATTCATGCATACAAGACAGGTATAGACAACCAAACTTCCTTGGCATGACTAGAATAGAGCTGGCGAGACTCATGGCTGCCCCTGAGATGATTAGTTTAAGAGCGGCTAGATACTTCAGGAACCTAGAATACGAATAGCAACGAATCAAAGTGTAAAAGAAAGAACCACCCATTCCACTGTCTGCCTTGACCGACAATCGCCAGGCCTAGCGATCGAATAGGAAAGCTGATCCATGATAATGACCATTAGTTAACGTATCACGCCACAAATTATTTAGGAATACCCAAATTCAAAAACTAGGTCTGTCATATATAGGTAAGAGCCCATATAACCCGATGGATTGGCGCTCGTACGGATGTTTGACTGAAAATCGGATTCGACAATCATACTCAACTATAAAGCCCGCATAGGTCCTTATGATCCACAGAAACAGGGCTAATTTCCAATAGAATACTTTCATGCGAAAGGAAAAGCTACTTCTCAAATTAATTGACTATTCACGACTCGACTGAAAATTTGAGCAGCTCAGCAATTCCAAGGTTAGGGGAGCTATTATATTGATACCTAGAGATAAAGGTATCAAAGTAAGGATAACCTCATCTATCATGTCTACATGATAGTTACTATTTCAATTTTTCAATTATAATAGGATACACTAGTCTGACACGATTTTTTGCGCTGCAGAAAATCTATATCTACCTATTTTAGGAGTAAAACTTGGTTGGCATCAATGTTCTATTCCTAAACTAACGGGCCTAGACACGAGTGAAGAAATACATATAGGCAGTCTTCTTCATATCCTCAACTTCCCCAAACTCCACAACCTTTTCGTCGTTAAACATTACCCATGACAATGCATCTTGTCCGGGCAGTTTCTTACGAATTAATGACACGTAATGTCTACTACAGATTAGCACGAGCAGGGGAATTCAAAAACAAGGACAACTTACCCTGCATGGACAGACGTGCCTTTATGACAGACAACAGATCGGAGTTGATAACGGGCTGGCAACTCATCGGAGCCCACAAAGCTCGGTTCGACGGCAAGGCCGCCCTCAAGGTGACCTTCCTCGGTCAATGTCTCCTCAGGGTGGGTGAATACCCAATCCAGTGCTCGGTTGACATCACCGGCAGTCTCAGCTAAAGCTCGTCGAGCACGAGGAGCCTCTATGCCCATTTCGCCCAGCTGGATAATTTTTGCTTCATCTTGCTCGCCTCTCAACTCCTTTGCTGGTGGGCCCAAAACCAATGGTTCATCGATACTGGGGTCATCCATATGAGCAAATAGCCAATTCATAGCAGCCTCAGCGTCGCAATTTCCAGTTGCATGAAGAGCCTTCTCGCATCGTGGAGCGGGGAAACCCATACTCAAAAGTTGATCCAAAGCCGCAGGATCGGCGACAAAAGAGGCAGTTTCATCGTCTTCCGGTAGAAGTTCCTCGTTTGGATCATGCTGCCCACAGAGATAGGATGAGAAGTCTAGCGGTTCATCGCCAACAGCCACAGGAATATCCAACTTGGTAGGAACCCAGTTGATCAACTCAAACCGACGAGCATTGACAGCTAATTCATTAGGTAGAGTCTTGAAGGCAGATCGTTTGGAAAAACCACTATGGCCGTCACATGCAGGGCAATTGAGCTCAACAACCTCTTCGGCTGTGAAAATGTCCAGACACTCGGTTAAAGTCACCGATTCAAACTGATTTGCCTCACCTGGAATACGACGAGCAGGTACAGCCACTGAGATGTTGTCTTGCTCATCCACTTTATAACGGACTCGCCTACATTTCAGGCACTGGAGGCGTTGCTCGACATGAAACCGGAAATGTTGAACGGGATTGACCTGATCATCTTTATGTTTCGAAAGGCTGACCGACTTGAACATGTGAAGCAGAAATTCAAAGGCATCCTGTTGTCTCATAGTAGCAAATTCTTTGTGCCCTTGTCCGATAAGGTATTTGAACATGCTTGGTGCCAATCCCTTCTGGTGAGAGGTTCCTGTTGTTTCTGAACGAGAGAGTGCGCGCAAATCGGGGCGGGAGTAACGCCCAGAGAGGAGACCGTCGGCCAGCTTTGTCAACTGCGTTTCGAGGTCCTGAGCCGGACTTTCGCACAACGGCGGTTCCTCGGTAGGACGATAATACCGATCCCGAAAGCACTGCGTAGAGAAGATGCATTGGACAATACTGGACAAGTAGCAGCTGTTTCCAAGATTGGAGAGCCCAGTAAGCCCAGGTCCAAAGACTGGGGATAATTCCTGGCCATCCTCTGTAGTCATAGAGAAATCCCATTGTAAATTGTGCTCAACCTGCATTTCCATCAAGCTTTTCTCGGTCTTTTCGCGCCCGGCCAGGTATATGCCCCAATGAGCAAGATGATTAGCAAGATCGGGATCTGTTCTCTCCTCATTACACCTATAGCAGTAAACATCTGCAGATCCCTCTGCCGTGATAGAGCCCAGCTTGACAGCAACGGCATGTGCAGTTGCATCAGCATGGGCTAGGGCATGGGAGTTGCCTCGGCTCCCTCCGAACTGACTTCGTCCACACGCAGTATTCCCACACTCCAAACAAAGCCACAAGTTCTCCCTCAAGTCGCATGCTGAGCACTGGCTTGAATCTGTACGAGAACAAAGGTGAGCTCTCCACTCCGTCTCAGACATTATTAGAGCAGAAATACCAGTTGACTCTGAATTTTGTTTATCATATTGCGAAAGATTCAGAGTGTGTTCACATGGGATGAACTCCTGCTCCCATGCTTTGATTTCTTCTCTTCTCGAAAAAGTGGTCGCAGCCATTACTCCTTCAATAACGGTAGGTAGGTTGCCACTCGATTTATTCACATTTGGTTGAGAGCAAGAATAGCACACCACAGATGTCACTAGGTCATATCGATCTTCCTCTGTTTCGGGAGCAATGGCAAGTTTGGAAATTTTGGGCGGCGGTTCGTCACGCTGGTAAGATAATCAGTAACACAAAGTCGAAGTGGCTCTAATCAGCATGGGTGGTGGGGGGGGGGAGCAGAGGGGATTTAACAGTTACCAGAACTTGTTTTGGAGATCTCCGAATATTCAATGCTAGTGAATGACCATAGCGTTTGAAATGAAGCAAGGCGTGATCTCGATCTCCAACGCAGCCGCCATTGAAGCAGTGGAGGCAGACATTCAACCCGAGGTCATCGTCCTGGAAAATCTAACATTAGGTAGAGCAAGTAAATCATTCATAGGCACATACAATGGAGTCAAAGCACTGGGTGCAATCTTCACGATAAACGGCCTGCGAGGGGCCTGGTGGGCGGAGATCTATTATGTATTGTCAATAAGTCACTTCCTGTTTAGCTCTACTCTCCTCTCACAAACCTGAAGCTCCTGAATGCACACAGGCCATGTTCAAAGGTCAGTGGCCGAGACACAAGGAATTGAGGATACGAGAAGAGTGAAAGCACCGGAGAGTACCAGACGAGGTCACCACAAGGAATGGGCAAGCAAGCAAGGTCAAGAGAAGCAAAGAAGCCCAGCGGCGTGGGGCATCCGATTATCTAATGTGGGGTAGCTGCTCACGATCACGTGAGTAGATACTTTACGCGTTAGTCTCTCCCGATTGACGCGTCGCAACTCTCATCCATCCACCTCGAACGGACTACCTCCATTCCTCTCTTTGTTTCTCTGCATTCTTGTATGATGTTCCGGTGACGGTCTACAACTATTCCAAGAGATCCTCAGAAACCAGTGCCATGGCTTCAGATGCAGCTTCCCAAGTTACAGTTGGCGCTCTCAGGTGAGTTCCTTGATATCCAGGATGGTGGCCTCAAGATGCGGGAACCGAGTTAATGAATTAATTTTGTCAGTGCTATCTTTGATGACACAAAGCCCCAAGTTCCCGAGCCGGTCGTCCAGTGTGTCCAGGTTAAGCCGTTGCCACCCCAGCCGAATCACCCGGAACGTTACCGAGCGGTCTTCAGTGATATTGCGAATTATGTTCAAACCATGCTCGCGACCCGTATGTCAATTTAAGCTTGCATATTTGTACTATTACTCTCTTTTTTTCCCTGCTAACAATGTCTAAAGAAGCCAACCATGTGGTGACGGACGGGTCCCTGCGAAAGGGATGCTTTGTTCGGCTTAAGTCCTTCCAAGCCAACTCGGTTAAGGGAAAAAAGTAAGCAAAGTCTGAAATTTCTCCAATAAGGTTTACTAACTGTCTACAGGATTCTCATCATCCTGGACCTCGAGGTTCTGAAGGAATTGGGCGAGGCGGAGAAAATTGGGGAACCAAAACCCTTGGAGATCAAAGCCGACGAGGAGGAAAAAGCCCAACCAACCGCCATTTCAAGCAATGGATTCTATGGCTCCAAGCCTGTGGCCCCCCCTCAGCAGTCAAGAAGCCATGCCCAGTCGGTGCGTGGCCCTTCGGCTTCGGCTCATGCCACCATCTATCCTATTGAGGGCATCTCACCATATTCCAACAAATGGACAATCAAAGCTCGCTGTACAAGCAAGTCAAACATTAAAACTTGGCATAATAAGAATGGTGAGGGAAAACTGTTTAGTGTGAACTTGCTTGATGACAGTGGTGAAATCCGCGCGACTGGGTTCAACGACCAATGTGACATGCTTTACGATCTTTTTCAGGAAGGGGGTGTCTATTACATTTCCAGTCCCTGTCGAGTGCAGATTGCCAAGAAGCAGTTCACAAACCTCAACAACGACTATGAACTCACTTTCGAACGAGATACTTTGGTTGAGAAGGTGAGTGCCGTCAATAAGCTGCGAATGTGCCACCAATCACCTAACCTTGGAAAAATCATGTTGTAGGCAGAAGATCAGAACGATGTCCCCCAGATCCGATTCAACTTCACTACTATTGGAGACCTGCAGTCGGTCGAGAAAGACACTACCACTGATGTCATCGGTATTCTGAAAGAAGTGGGGGAGACTTCCCAGATCGTGTCGAAAGGGACTGGCAAACCTTATGACAAGCGTGAACTCAACTTGGTGGATAATACCGGTTTCTCTGTTCGTTTAACTATATGGGGTGCATCGGCAGTCAACTTTGACGTTGCTCCAGAATCAGTGGTTGCTTTCAAAGGCGTGAAGGTCTCTGATTTTGGAGGCCGGAGTTTGAGCTTGCTCAGCTCGGGCTCGATGACTGTTGATCCTGACATCGGAGAAGCTCACCGGCTCAAGGGTTGGTATGATGCCCAAGGGCGGAGTGAGACATTCACCTCGCATGCTTCGCTATCTAGCGCCACCAATTCAAACATGAAACCAGACCGTTTCAAGACAGTCGCCCAAGTCCGAGAGGAACAACTGGGTATGTCTGAACAGGTAGACTACTTCTCCTTGAAGGCAACTGTCATCTACATCCGGCAGGATTCCACCTGGTGCTATCCCGCTTGCCTCTCTGAGGGATGTAACAAGAAGGTAACCGAGCTGGATGCCGGCCAGTGGCGATGTGAAATGTGCGACAAGACTCACCCCAGACCCGAGTATCGCTATATTATGCCGATTAGCGTGAGTGACCATACTGGTCAGCTTTGGCTCAGCTGCTTTGACGATACGGGCAGACTGATTATGGGTACATCGGCCGACAACCTCATGCAACTCCGGGAGGATGATCCGACTGCCTTCGGAGAAGTGTTTCAGGAAGCCAACTGCCGTACCTGGAGCTTCCGATGCCGAGCTAAGATTGACACTTTTGGGGAACAACAACGGTAAGTCCCTCAGAGTTGCTTGACTGATAGTAATTTACTAACGACCTTTTAGCGTTCGGTATCAAGTGTCATCTGCTAAGGCTATCAACTACTCTGAGGAGGCCTCTCGTCTGGCAGAGATCATCAATTCATATACTTTGGGGTAGCCGGTAGCCTCGTTGATTTTGTGATCATTTATAGTGTTAATCATCCTTTAGATGATAGTCGGTTTCGATGTCCATGATGTCTTGACTGGATTCTTGCAGATTTTCATCCAACGTTTCAATAATGAATATCTACAATATCTATTACCAAATGATCACATTATTCTTCCATCATTGGTTTTGATGACTACCTTCTCTAGCTTAATATATCTTCGACTTTTTATCTATCCACGATCACGGGAATCTCTATATTACATACAGTCGTACCCTTTCACTCAAAAAATTATATTTCCTATACGATTTAGAATCGGATTATATAATATATTCAATTCAGAATCAGGTTCCCATGGATGGAATCCTAGGGAGATTACTATGGTTTCCCAACTAATTTATCATTGATTGGATAGAAGTAGCCTATATATCCATATAGGCCTATTATATATAGCTACAGGCGCTATCTTCCGCGTCTAGTCCTATTATATCTAATACGAATATTCTAACTGCCTCCACTCCCACTAACTTGTACTTGCCAAACAATAGATTACACGGATATACAGATATACAGCAGTATATTGACACCAAGCTGCTTCTCATTCTTCTACTTTTTGGGGTCAAACCGACTGCCTACTTATAATAAACCCTACTACTGATCATAGGTACTATAGTTTACAGAGAGGCTCTTACTATAAATTAATCCTTCAAGTATCAGAGGAACCCCCCCCCCCGAACCACTATATAATCTAGAACACACGACAGCAAGCCTTATATAGACAGAATAAGATAGATCAGCGAACAAGGTAACGAACCATTATATACCACTATGGAGGGCCCCCCCCCCCTCCTTTCAGAATATGGACCCGCTCAGCCCATACAAAACATTCCAAGTCGATGAACATACTTCTCTTACGCTGAACAAGACGTCTTTGAAAATAAGCAGTATGTTCGCCTTTTAACCCCTAGTGTGATGGATTGAAATTGTCTCTGGTCACTTGCAACGCCTCGACTGACGCAATCCGCGGTCGGAGTTGACTCCTCGGCAAGGAGGAAGAACGCAAATCGATCTTGCTGCTGTGGGCTGCTTTCCAGAAAAGACAATGTCATCTTTCATTCGATTTTCTTTTGTTTCATCGTGGCCTGAGGCATATTTCCGTGATAGCACTTCGATAGCGCTTACTTTTCATCTTTCTTAGTGCCTGGGTCGACCGATATTGATTTTTATAATATACTGAACGCCAATATCTCGCCAAATGGGCTCACAATAACTTATTTCGACAGCTTTGGTGGCAAGAGCGCGCCTGTCAATGCTCTTCAATATCCAGTCTGTACAGATCAAAAAGAGCAAGCCGCCGCCTGGACCGAGCATCTGCTTGAATTTGCATATGATCCAGCGCAGCGGCACAAGAGACTCAAGGTTCTCATAAATTCATTTTGCGTCTCTGCGTTGACCAAATTCCACACACTCGCCGCACCTATATTGGCGGCGGCTCATTGTGAAGTTGATGTCGAGAACACGCGATACAGAGGGCATGCCGGCGAGATAGCTAAAACGATGGATCTGGATGCATACAATGGTATCGTGTGTTGCTCTAACGACGGATTGCCTTACGAGGTGTTCAACGGACTGGCCAGGCGAACAGATGCTCTCAAAGCGTTGTCTATTATAGCAGTGGCCATGTTTCCTTGCGGTTCGGGAAATGCAATGGCGTGGAACCTCCTCGGAACGAATGACCCCTTGCTTGCCGCTTTGGGGATCGGGAAGGGGCTGAAAATGCCATTGGATCTGGTATCAATCCCCCAAGGGGATCGTCATACTGTTTCGTTTCTCTCCCAGGCACTAGGTGTTCTTGCAGAATGCGATTTGAAAACCGAGCATTTGAGATGGATGGGGGATAGTCGGTTTATCTACGGTGTCCTGGCAACTATCGCTCATAATACCAGGTATTCCTGCCAACTTGCCTTCAAACCCACCGCGGGAGAAAAGGCATATACAAAGAAGACTCGCAAGAAGTCTGCTCAGCAGCCCACCACTCTACCTCTAAAGTATGGTACCGTTCTGGATGAGATTCCAGAGGATTGGGAGATTATGCCCCGAGAACGCTTGGCCAGTTTCTACACCAGTAACATGAAGATTGTCGCAAAGGATACGAACTTCTTCCCAGACGCATTACCAAATGATGGGCTCTTGGACGTCATGATAGTTGATGAAACTATTGGCTATGCAGGTGCTGTCGAAGCAATCATCAAGCTTCCGCGGGGCAAATGCCACGATCTTAAGCATGTTGAAATGAGAAAAGTGTCGGCATACCGGCTGACACCGTGGAAACAAGATGGGGATATCAGCGTGGATGGTGAGCGATATCCATTCGAAGCCTTTCAGATCGAAGTTCATCAAGGTCTGGGTCGAGTACTTTCGAAGGCGGCGAATTCGTATCAAGAAATGGGTGTATAAGTGGGCAGTGGTCAAGTTCCCTTAACCCAAGAACCTGTTTATATGGCCAGAATTAATCGCAGTCCATTATTCACAAGTCAAATAATAAGAATGCTGCTTCAAAGATATGGATTGATAGTTCATGTAGTTTCTGCATTCGCCGAGATTACGGCACTTTCCGCAGCCATGAGAAATCTCCGCATTGCTCCTCGCCTGGTTGATGTGATCTCATGAATGACCCCATTTGATCCAGTATCTGGCTGTTCTATGCCTGGCAGTAGGGTTGCGGGCTGTATTGCCTATCGCGGTTCACGGGAATTGATTGAGGTAATACTTCAGTGAGAATAGTTGAGGATATCTATACATTAAGATCAAATTGATTGGGAATCTTGGATCCCTCACTGGACTATTTCTTTGCAGGCATCCTCGAGGGTCTTGAACTTCTCATTATCAGCGAAACGCGCCTGAGATCGAGATCAGTATTAAACCGGACAGCCCATGGACCCTGGTCGTTATTAGCCTGTCGTAGATTGTCATCACACACCGCCTCAGAATTCAACCAACGAAATGCCCGTCCGATCCAAAATACAAGCGGTGCCAGCGGTGAGCAATGGCAGTATTATTTTTTTCATTTCCCATTTCCAATTTCCGCAGCCTGCATTGCTGGGCAAATCTTTCCATTCGCGACATTTCTCTCTTTTTTTTTCTTTTTGAGAATTTTCTACGTTCCTGTGCAATTGGGACCTTGAGAAGAGTCCAGACACCATGGCCAAACGAAGCCACGAATCCACAGAGCCGCGGCCGGGGAAAAAATCGAAATCTGACAAGTCCTCCGGATCCAAAGAAAAAAAGGACAAAAAGGCCGCATCAAACGGGGAGGGTGATAGCTCCTCTGAGATCCCGCGCTATGTGCAGACATCGGGCCTCACAGATCTTCCTCAGTCCCAGATCGATCAATTTCTCGCCGACAAGGTGATCAAGATCACCGATCCGTCCACGGATGCCCCCAAGTTCCGCCCGATCATTTCATTTGACTACCTGCCACCCTGCGACGATGATCTCTATGCCCCTTTGAAGACTTTCCCTACACCAACACCGATCCAAGCAGCAACCTGGCCTCTTCTATTTGCCGGTCGGGATGTGATTGGTATTGCAGAGACCGGTAGTGGTAAAACTCTGGGGTTCGGGTTGCCGTGTCTCAAGAGGTTGCTGGATTCCAAGCGGAGCAAGAAGCCCTATCATCCTACCGCAGTAATCATCTCACCCACGAGAGAGCTCGCGATGCAGATCTATGACCAGTTGGTCAAATTTGCCGCCGTCGTAAAGGCTGAGGTGACCTGTATCTATGGAGGTGTACGAAAGGATGAGCAGCGCGAGGCTCTCAAGACGGCCGCGATTGTGGTTGCGACACCTGGTCGCTTGAAGGATCTTCAGAATGAGGAAGCGGTTAATCTTGGAAAGGTCAAATACTTGGTTCTTGACGAGGCAGACCGCATGCTGGATAAAGGGTTTGAGCAGGATATCAAGGACATCATTCAGCCCATGCCTGTTTCCCGAAGACAAACAGTCATGTTCACCGCCACATGGCCTCGATCAGTTCGAGACCTGGCAGCAACTTTCATGAGTTCGCCAGTGACCGTGACCATCGGCGGAGATCCTTCTGCAGACCCTCGAGCGAACACTAGAATCAAGCAGGATGTTGAGGTGGTGGACCCCCGGGATAAGGAAGGGCGGCTCATTCAGATCCTCAACCGCTCCCAGAGAGGATCTCAAACCCCTGAGAAGGTTCTGGTATTTTGTCTATACAAAAAAGAGGCGATGCGCGTGGAAAGGCTCATTAAGACGAAAGGATTCAAAGTGGCAGGGATCCACGGTGATCTCAATCAGTCAGATCGATTCCGGAACCTTGATGCCTTCAAAACAGGAGCGGCGACCGTCCTTGTTGCGACAGACGTGGCTGCACGGGGGTTGGATATTCCGGCTGTGAAGTTGGTGATCAATGTCACTTTCCCGTTGACCGTGGAGGATTATGTGCATCGTATCGGCCGGACTGGACGAGCTGGCGCTGAGGGCCATGCTATTACTCTATTCACTGAACAAGACAAGGGACTTTCTGGCGGGTAAGTGTCCCTTAGGCAACATAATTCTGCCCTTTGATTGATAATTCTCCCATTTTGGAACCGATACTGACTCAAGCAGATTGATCAACGTTCTCAAAGCTGCCAAACAAGAAGTGCCGGAGGCCTTGCTCAAATTTGGCACCACAGTCAAGAAGAAGCAGCATGATGCATATGGTGCCTTCTTTAAAGATGTTGACTCGGACAAGAAGGCCACGAAGATCACGTTCGATGACTGAATATTGAATATTTAGATAGATGGCTATTCCGATTTAGTACCTTTCTTGGCAAAAGAAACAGCCTGACGCAACTGTGTGAATTGCCCTATTATATACTGTTTTTCTACATAAAGTCTGTGATAATCCATATGTTAGATTCAAGTAATAATTTGGCAGGGCATGCGTTCACTCACAGTAAAAGGCCATAGACACCACTGAAGGCAATTGCCGGGATAACGGCCTGGCCTGATACCGACAAGGCCTGGGTAGCTGAAATTATGGTTGCGATGCCACCAAGAACATAGGTAATTGGCCGAAGGCTGAGTTCATTAAGAGACAGGCTGCTACCATGTTGTATAAGGTATGTTTGGATAAAGGAGAAGCTCCACAGAGTTCGAACAGCCATGTTGACAATGTTCGCAAGAACGAGCCCGTAGGCGCCCATGGACCAAACTTCTAGAAAGAGGTAGGCTGCTAACGCATAACAGGCCGAGAAAAAACCCATCCAGATAGCCTGAGTTCGAATCTCCCTTGCATTAGCTGTAGAGGAAACAAATGCCTCAGTAATCCCGTTAAAGGCTAGGAATGGGATGTAATAGCAGTAGAGTGATAACAGGTCGCCGACTTTTGGAGAGGCCCACTGCCGGCCTCCTAATATGCGAAGTCCCACTGGAACCATCACAGGACCGAGCGGAAAGATGAGAACAGACAGAAACTGATAGGCACGGAGAATATCAACCAAATAATCTTTCGCCGCGTAGATTTGTGTGTGTTTTCGGTTTCTGTTGTCGTCGGAACTGAGTAAGGTAGAGAGTAGATTCCGGCTGCTTTCCTCTAGAGGCTGAAATATGATACGGGCAACAAGACCGCCGTAGTTCGCCGCCAAAGAATAGATTCCTTGATCTTCAAGAGTTGACAGGGCGGCGAGCATCATTGAATCGCCTTGCGTGAGGAGGTGTTTTACCGTAGATTGGAAAAAAACGCTCGCGGCGATTGATACCAATCGACGGGAAAACCGACCAAGAAGGTAATTGGGAGAGTTTCTGAATGTGGTCAATGAGGCAAACTTTTGGTTATAGCATGGGATCCTCTCATTACCTAGATCGTATCCTGGTCGGAAGAAAGGAGAATTGATAATCACTCGCAGTTTTAAGCATGAACCAGCAATAGCCACCGACGAGAGAAATGGAGTAGCTCAGATGGCCCAGTGCAAAGGGCAAGGCACCGATGGGCCGATCAACGCGAGACGCATATAAAAATAGCAAGCACGTTACGAGGCTCCGAAGGAACGCAGCCGGCATTTCAGCGGCCGCTCGTTTCTCGTACCACATGTTTTGTTGAACCACAGCGAAGAAGGGTTCGACACATAGCTCCGTCAGTGCGGCCAGTCCCGTCAGGATCACAGTTGCTTGGAAGAAAGGAATTTCGATAGCTTGCACAGGGGCCAGGCGCTCATAGAGCACAGTGAACGCGAATGTGGACAGAATTCCGAGAGCTAGGCTCAGGTAAGACACATTGATCACAGATTGTAATGGGACTGACTGCTGGTCTTGACTGACGGTGTCACTCTGTTCAGAGGGTTTGTTGCTATCTTTGCCATCCTGGCTACTGGCGGGGGATTCAAGGGTCGTCAAGGGTTGTCTTTGGGTGGCCAGGCGGATACTTTCTCGGGAAAAGTACAAGATTGATACTTGATAAAGCTCCAGCTGGGCGGCAATCCCCAGAATAACTGGCGAGAGACTTCGTAAGATCAACTGATTCGAGGCAAAGGTAAATATCCTTGACGCCAATTGGATCATAATCAGGAAGGTTGTTCCCGTGGCAGAAGATGCTCTGTTGCCCACGCGGGCCTCACCAGATTGCGGCATCGTGGCTTTCAAGAAGTGAAGTGAGATCAACCCTCACCTGTCCACAATCCTGCTGCTTCTCTGCTTCTCTGCTTCTCTTGCCAGATGGCCTTAGTTGAAAGGGGGAAGCGGAGGGGAAGCCTCGGGGGTTGGGCGGGCGGTCAAACAACAGGAGACTGAATCGCCCCTCTTCCCCCAAACCAGCGTGACTTTCGAAGTCGACAGGACAGACAGATCATGTAAGGGACAAAGTGGAAGTGCGCGAGTCCGACGCTCATTCCGCTACTAGACTGCCGGGCCACACCCATAGACTGTCCAAGCTGGAAAAGTCCTGACCGTTTGCATTGCTGACGTAGCTACGTACATTACAGGTATCGACGCATAAGTTGCCGAGAAACACGAAATTCACGAAGAAAATGCACTCGTTTGATCTACCAGTGTCCAAGTAAAATACAAAAGTGTCGCCAGCGATAATGCGCTTGAGAACCAGTGGTGATCGGATTCTGGCATCTTATACTTAGGAGCCCAGTGGTCGAAAGTCAAAGAACTAAAATGAAATCCCATGGAACTGGTATGGAAGTCAAGATGAAGAGGCCGGGGCCTCGATTAACCACGACCGCCTTGAACGAGCTTAGAACGGCGGAAGGTAGAACGGATAGCCACCATTTTTGGCCTTGAAAACGCTCAGAAGAAGACTGTAGGTTCCAAAAAGAACACCTGCCCAAATCAGCACAGCCAGCTGCTGTCCCTTGACGTCTTCCATTCGGGGCACCTTCAGCGCAAGGGCAATAGTGGCAAATGAGAGAACAGCATCTGTATCATGAGTCAGCCTTTAAACCGGATTCCTACGAAAATGCCATGATAACGACAAAATAATTAAAGGGGGAGGTTGAACTGACAGATTGCAGCCACGATTTGAGTTTCCAATCCAAATTGATTCTGGAAGCCGCCAGCAAAGTAGCTAATACCGCCATGCCCATCACCCGCAACATATGGAACTTTGCGGATATGGTTGAACATTTGGCCACTAGTGAATAGAAGAATGGCAATTAAGCTAACCGCAGCCCAGAGATTGCGATTCTGGATGATTGGCAGTACGTAGGGGGACAGAACCGTAAAGAGTGTAACAGTCCCCATAAGGATAGTAATGACGGACACGATGCGCATGTAATTGACAGGTCGAACCAAGGGCGGCCTGGGCCCGTCGGGCAGGTGACGGCCGATCCATGCATAGAGCTGGTCCGCGGAGAGTGGTCTAGAGGTGATGATATTCGGTGAGCCGAGGTTGGTCTTCAAAGCGTAAGCCGCGGCGACTCGGCGGATTGACTTACCCTGTAAAGTCAAACCTCATCGGTTCTGAATCTAGCTTGGCGAAAGGTCCAACAGTGGGAGGGAACAACAGAATGACGGGGGCAGTCTGAAGCATCAACTATTTGGCCCCGGGAGAGGTTTGTCAGTCATCAATTCTGGAAAAATTTGACAATAGAAGCTCTTTCGAAGCTCAGAAGAAAGCAATACCTTTTGGAACACGGTCTTCCCATGATCGAAATCCAGCGTCCCAAAAACCACTTTCAACCCGTCAGGCTTGTTGCCCTTGTTCCAGCTCCGAGCAATGAGATCCCATTCAGAGTCGAATTCACGGCACATAAGACAGCCATAGCGGGCATCCATTGCAGTCAAGATAATTGCGGCATAGTAATCTCGAGGAGCGGTGGTCAGCTCGTCGAAAGCGGCATCGTTGAGAGGAGCCGGTCCGGAACGTGAGAGAGATTGATATTTCTCAAATATGCCTGATGACGGCTTCGCGGCAATCACACCGGAAAGAATTGAAAAGACCAAAAAAAGTGTGGACCAGGGCTTCATTTTGACATCCCACAAGCTAAAGCTGTTGACGAGACGGAGCTGGAGCAGCAAGTAACTACTTTCACTACACTTCCGAGACGGAGTGCAAGGTGTCCCCATTACGTAAGGACCGGCCCGCCGGGCACAACACCGAGGCTCCGACGCGTTGCGCCGTCGATCTTATTTATCTCTCATTGTCCGAATTGTCCGCCAGTTCGATGATTCGTCGGTTTCATCATGGCCATCGTCCCTGAAGCTTCAGTATTGGCTGTATGTGCCTTCAATAATTCTCCGCATATACCACTCCATACTGACAAACAATGCAGTCCGAGATGTCTATCAGGACTAGTGTTCTCGAAATGGAATACGAAAGAGCGATTGCGGCCTCTGCACGTCTCTTGGACACCGAAAAGGACCGCGCGCGACGGATGGAAACTTTGCTGCTGCAATTCGAATATGACGCTTTGCGATTGCAGTTGGGTCAGGCAAACGAACAGCTACTTGGAATGACCCAGACCGAGGCCGAAGTGCGTCGTCAGCTGGTTGAAGCGCACCACGAACTCGATCGCATGGATAATTCTTTACAGTCCTCATCGAATGAAAATCAAAGGCTTACGGTAAGTGTTGCGAGCTCCCCACCTTATGTATTGGACAATGCTCATGTCTCTTCTAAAACTTCCCTAGACTGAGCTCCAGACGCTCAATACTATATCGATGAATCACGATACCCTTCTCGCGGAAAAGGTCCAGCTTGCTCGCGAACTCTCCAACCTCAAATCTGAACTTGAACGGTCAAACGAAGGCCAAATTTCCCACTTGTCTTTAGTAGCGGAGAGGCATGCAATGGAGCGACAGCTGAATTCTTTGGAAGTTCAGCTCAAAAATGAGAAGCTTTCTCACGAGCACACACGAGCCCGAGTCGTGGAACAAGCGACCGAGATAGACAATCTTTCATCTCGAGTGGAAAAACTACAGAATGAGCTATCAAGAGAGATACGAACAAGGCAACACCAGGAACGAGAGGATCAGCAGCAAAATGGGGGTTGGGAAAGCCAGCGAGCAGTACTGGAGGGGAAGATTGAAACATTAAGAAAGCAACTACGGTCAACCAAGGACAAACTTCAGGAAGCTCAGCACAGCCTGCAGCAACAGCGGAGCACCACCCGGAGCACTCTTGGCGATGAAGATGAGATACGACCTCGGATGGTCCCTCTTCAGGGTCCTGGCCCTAGTGCGGATTACCATGGAGGTTTAATGATTGCAACACCAGGAGCTGTCCGTGTAGAGGAGAAGGCAAAAAGGAAATCCGCCTTGCCAGGTGACAAGTCGGCGTTTTCTATCACCCCGTTCCTGAACCGTACTGGTGCAGCTCGTGACTCTGCCATGAGCTCAGACATGGATGAGGACGAAATAGAACAGGCCATGGATGAAAACCCTCCCTCGTTCCGCAAACCCAACACCGATGGCGAAATGCGTGACCGGAACTTGCCCCCTGCGAAACGCGCTGGCCCGGACCGAGTCCCTTCAAATGCGGTCAAGACAAAGCCGAAAGAACATGGCCTGACAAGCCAACCTAAGCAGTCCGTTCACCGGCCTAGCAGCAAAACTCCTCATGAGGAATCTGACGAGTCAGAACATTTCATGTCAAACAAAGCACAGGCAAAACCTAAGAGGCGGAAACTTGGTATGCAGCGTGAGCGAAACTTATTTGACGAGGAAAATCATGAAGAAATGATCGAAAACAGCAAGCCCGGCCGCAAGCTTGTCCTGGGAGCCGCGGGGCGCAATTCAACAAAACCGGTTGCATCATTGTCCTCCGCATTGACAAATGGTTGTGTGTTTGGCGGCGGATTTTCACCTTTGAAAAAGGATCGAAAGCGCCTGTAAGTTCATGAATAATGTCGCCAAATTACCAGAAGTCCAGTGTCTCAACAGAAATCCACTCTACTGTTCTTACTTTCCATACCAAATACCCAACATTCTTTCTCTCGGTCGGTGATAGGGTTTGTAGGAGACCGATTGATTAATTACATAAATACTAGCAATAATAGACCGATTCCAACCATGACTGTCCTCAAGGGTAGTTATCTAAACCAAGCGACGGAAATGGGTACTAGAGCTACTCCAATGGCGGTGGGCGGCGCGGACACGGACTACGGGTTGAGGCTGCCGGCAGAAAGACAGCTTCTCCTCTCCGCCTCTCAGTTTCTCTATCTCCGTCCTCCACGCGGAGCTGGCCTGGAGCTGACTATTCGACGTCATGTTTGCGCTCTGCATCCCACCCCGGGCTTCTGCAGATTTTATGAGGCTGCTTGCTCAGATTCGATGGTCTTCGTCCAAGCGCTGGCAGGCACGTCAACACAAGGACCAGTTTACCAGAGAAGCTGCCGTGCAAGGCCTGAAAAGTCGAGCCGCCTTCAAATTACTTCAGGTATCATTGAAAACACACAACACCACGCCATGAACTGCGAATGAAGAACTGACGACCATAGATTGATGAGAAATATCGGCTGTTTAAGCGTGGCCAGACAGTAGTGGACTTGGTATGTTGTGAAACCGTCGTGCATATCCGTTTTGCATCTATCAGCTGTTCTTATAGGCTGATCAATTGAATTAGGGCTATGCACCGGGGTCCTGGTCCCAGGTAATGGTAGCATCTAGCGCCTTCCTCTCGCATTTTAAACTGAATATTCGTTTCTAGGTAGCAGCGAACCGGACTCAACCAAGTGGACGTGTCCTTGGCGTCGACATCATCCCGGCACAACCCCCCAAAGGAGTTTCTACCATCCAGGGGAATTTCCTCGCCCCCGAAATCCAGGCCTACATTCAAGACTTTCTGCGCAACCCAAGAAGAGGCCGTCCACGCCAGTCGGATAGCCTCGATGATGCCCGCTTTAGTTCTCTTGATCCAGGAGTGGCGGTAAATCGAGCACACGGGGTCAACAATAACCTCGATGCCACACATTCGGGTCAACGAGGTCAAGAATTGGAAAGAACAGTAGATGTGGTTCTCAGTGATATGTCTGCCCCCTGGTATCAGACGTCTGGTTTCTGGAAACGAAGTCTAAGTGATCCCTATAACAGGATGATGAACACCAGCGGTAACAGTTTCAGAGACCACGCAGGGAGTATGGTAAGCGCTCTTCCTATTATGCATTTAAAGTACACATCAGATCCCCGGTCTCTAACCCCAGGGCAGGACCTTTGTCATGCTGCGCTACGTTTTAGTTCAATTGTCCTCAAGCCAGGCGGCCATTTCGTCTGCAAATTCTACCAAGGGGCAGAGGACAAGAATTTGGAGAAACAGCTGAAAGAGTTGTTTCACAAAGTTCATCGACTGAAGCCGGAATCTTCACGGAGTGTAGGAATTTCAATTCTTTCCCCCTTAGCTTTCCGTAATGGTCACTGGTTAACGGCACATGGCAGGAATCGAAAGAAGCCTTTTTCATAGGTCTCGAACGCAGGCCTTGATAAAAAGATCCTCTACTTAAAGGATCTCAACATCTTCATTCTCCGAAGCCTCATCCCACTCAATGTCGGCTAGCGCAGCTTCAGCTTTCTCGTGGACCTGAAATCCGGTTAGGAGACCCGAAGTATAGCCGCACGGGCGGAATCAACTGACCTCTTTGAGCCCACTTAGCTCCTCCACATACCCAGGCTCATTGAGTGCTTTTCGCACAAAGTCCCACCCTTGTTCCTGGTACGCCCTGGTAACTTTTTCGGAACAGGCGCTGCAGCAAGCGTAGCTTTTTCCGGTGACAGTAATGTTCTCAAACGTTGCAAGGAACCCTCGAATTTGATGAGGCACAAGTCCTAATGGATGGTCATCCTCACGATCATTGCGCTGGGTCAGAGGCGCTGGCGCTGCAACGCCCTCCGGGTGTTGCAGTATTGAGACTAATAATTCAACCAAGAGCGCGGAGGCTATAGCAGCCACTCCGGGCCGAGTCACAGTGCATTGCTGATCTAGAGTTTGATCTTTGATGGACTATCTTCAAGTCAGCTGTGTATTCAACCATGTATGAACTAAGAGTGGCCCTCACGTTGGCTGGCGCAACAACATCATTGCAGAAGTAACAACCGAGCTCTTTCAATGGGTCTTTGGGCTCTGCAACTCCGTGGCGCATAACCACAAAAGAATCGAATCCCAGAGCTGCATTCATCACAATCTTGCCTGAGGCCTTTCCGATAAGTGTGGGTAACCATCGTGATTCTCGAGTGTCCATGAGTAAAAATATCGCGTCATGTTGATCAATAAGCTCCTGGAGCGCTACAAATTCTCTTCGTGTGACTTCCTCATCTATGATAGGATGGCCCGCCATGGGTACCGATAGAAGATGCCCCTTAGAGTCGACTCCGGGGTATATTTCTTTCAGAGCTTGCGATGCTCTGTGTGCTTTTGATACCCCGCCATTGAGGCAGTCAGCGAATGTGAATAGTGGCTGTCGGACAGGATTTGAGAATGAAACGGTGCCTTTGTCCACGAATGTAATTTTCTTGACACCCCAACCCTGAAGTTTTGGTCAGCACAAATTGTACGCGTATCAGACACCAGAATTGTATTTACAAGTAAGTTCCGGGCAACATAGCTCCCCAGTGTACCCGCTCCAAGTAACAGGCATTTTGTATTCTTGATCTTGTCGAGGTCTAGAGTTGGACTAATCCGCCATTTCATGAGTTTGAGATTAAGGTCGACCGATTGGTCTGCCAATCTGTGACTCAGATAGTCATTAGTGGTTGATGACCGTAATCTTCCGCTCAAGGAATGTTATTTTACCTTGAAGGATCCATATACTCTGTCAGATTGACGGTTCTTCCGGACAGTTTTCCGACCGGGTTGCGCTCCCACCCTGTGATTCTCGGCATTTGGGTTTGGCGATCGCCAGATTCATTGTCTGCGGTCTGTTTTGACTCCAACCGAATCACGATACTGCGGCTCTGGTCACGCCTTGATGGGACATCGCGATATCGTAGAATCTGCACCTGGTCAAGGCCCCATCGTTGCTTCACGACAACTAACAAATTCCGTAACATCCAGCCCGGGGCGCTATCATAATTCGAAGGATCTGCAAAGCAGACATAACGATTTTCAGGCGCTGTACCAGTAAAAAAGCCGTTCTCATATTCAGATAACGAGGCTATCGTCCACTTGGTCCGCGTTGCATTGCTAGATGTCTTTGGCTCCCTGCGAGCTAAAAAAAATCCGTGCTGTCGACCATCCACTCCATAGCTCCATGTCTGAACTGCATCCACAAGCATGGCGCTTTCCTGAGAAGATAAGGACTCCCCCTTTTCTGCTTTGGTCATATCATCGTTGGACGATCCTATTGATTTCACGGGAATCCAGGACGGGTCCGAGTGAAGTGCGGGAAAAGCAAACCAGTAGGAAAATTTATACTTCTTCAGGTCTGCAAATGATAGAATAACGAATGAAGATAATAGAGAAGGGCAGGAGTAGATCGTCCCATCGTTAATGGCATCCCAGATCTGGATCTCGTCAGCCGTGGTTCAGTTTTGCAAGGCAACTTAGTCCAAATAGGCGACAGTATTCTCACATACCGTCTGGCCTGCCTGATGAATCATCCGTGACTTATCCATATTGCGATACTCTTCGATCGTGTTTACATTTTTGATCATGCCTTCCGCGCGGTAATAACCCGCCGGCGCCCTGTCAGATTCATTAGCCCTAGGAAAAGTATTCAGACCCGAAAAGTTTGAGCTTACTCGCAACTTGACAGAGCATTTGCATGGATTTGCATGCGACACGAAACATTCTCTGAGTCGGTGGAGCGAATTTCATACAGCCCAAGAACGAAGCGAGCGGAATCGTCCAGCTTATCATGGTTGATTTTGTGTGAGGCCAGTGCCGTATAGAAGGGCAGCTCAATATCAGAAGCAAACGGTGTATACTGCATTGTGATATTTTCCTTTGTTAACATCCAAGGCAATGTAGATGGGTTGAAGATCGGTGATGGGCAGGTGGGTTGTATACAAGCGTAGCTGGCGGTTCCACTGGAGGGGAAGTGGGGTGATGTAATCATCGGGGCGCGAACCGCAGGACGCCCGACGCGTGACTCGCGGTGCTGTCCTCGTGAAGGCGTCTAATCTCTTCTCTTTGCCCTTGCGCGGAGTGAAAAGGATGTTAATCGGCTTATGCGGAGGTCAGCAGTATGATCATTTTGTCTTGCCATGTGAACTAACATTGAGGAAGGTATTTGCGCCGGCAAGCATGCTATTGCCGAGTACCTGATCCAGCACCAAGGCTTCCAACTACTGGAGCTGACCAACAAATCTCATCACCTCATCGCGGATGAACCCGATGATGAGCTACGCCTCCAAACCTCACAGATCCAAAAACATGGAGAAACCCCGTCCGAGTTTGTGTTTGACTCCGCCGATTCGCTCCTTGACTTCACGACCAAGCGATGGCAAGAACGCTGGGTGACGACAGACATCGCCGACGGGTCGACCCTTGATCGATTTTTGCTTCGCCCTTTCTTTTTACTTGTCAGTGTGGATGCCCCGGTAAGCCTTCGCTGGAAACGTTTTTCAGACCGGTGCGTGGCCCAAGAAATCTCAGTGTGCGACTGTCCAGCTCACGCTTATCTACCACCATTATACAGCTGCTGGAGACGGCATCTAGATCCACCTGCTTTGGAAAAGTTTGTGCTTTGGAACGACCGGCACCTCTATGAGAGGGATCTTGGGCGGGTCTACCTAACGGATAGAGCCCAGGTCCGTCTATTCAATTCCTCCTCCTCGTTGGATGAACTGCACCAGTCGCTCCAGGTCCTAAACCTAGCAGACGAACAACGGTTACGGCCAAACTGGGATCAGTATTTCATGCAGCTCGCATCTCTTGCGGCACAGAGAAGTAACTGCATGAAGCGACGGGTGGGCTGTGTGCTTGTTCGAGAACGCCGGGTGATCAGTACAGGATATAATGGAACCCCACGGCATCTCACCAATTGTAATGAAGGTGGATGTAAGAAAAATAGCTCTTCTCGCATCATGTGCACTTGGTGATGACGATGAGCTTGTTTACTAACCTGCTTCTAGGTCCTCGTTGTAACCGTGGAGATGGTGGTGGAGTTGGCCTTTCCACCTGCCTTTGCCTTCATGCCGAAGAAAATGCCTTGCTTGAGGCAGGGAGAGAACGCATTCGGGAGGGCGCCATTCTCTACTGTGATACGTAAGTTCTGGAGTCTGATGACAAGGTTTTGTAGCAAGCTGCTTACGATGCAGGTGTCCCTGCTTGACATGCACCGTCAAGATTACACAGGTCGGCATTTCTGAAGTTGTCTATTCACAAGGCTACAACATGGATAAAGATGTACATGAGCCCTTTTCCCATCCTTGCAATCCTTTCAAGTAACCGGCAGGCTCACATCTATTTGACGTCTAGAGTGCAGCTATCCTTCAAGCTGCAGGTGTACGACTACGGCAATTCAAACCAGTAAGTCTACTACTGCCGTTGCTGTCCTTGTGGATTCCCTCTTCATCCCCAGGCTAATCTTTACTGCTCTTAAATAGCCATCAAATGGCCTCATATATCTACAGAAATCAAGTGAAATCACTGGCAAATAGAACACAAATATTTTCTCCCAGTCTGTTTTCTATTCTTCCCTTCCAAATATGATCCGTACGTCCGATATTCCGAAATAAGTAAATAAGTAAATATGTATGCACTATATGCATTGCGGGTTCCAGAGGGTATCCAGCCCTCTCTCTCTCTCTCTCTTAGGCAGGTCAGGCTGCAGAGCTTCAAACAAATTCTCAGTGACACCAAAATATTTAGAATAATATGAAATATTTGTATACTTGCACCTACAGTCATAAGGCCTTGGGTATTCCAAGTATCATAGATGCGGATGTGTATTGCCAATCTGGTTTGCTTCCGCCTTGTGGGGCCGCCCACTGCCCCTCTAATTCTGCCTGGCAGAAAACCCGGCCATGACTCAGCGCGGAAGTTTGGAGGGGTTGATGACTCCGACTTTACCTTCCAAACTGGATACAATTCCTTTCTTGAATTCTCCCTGCCGAAGCTATTAATTCAGTTGGCTTCAGAAACCGTCCAGAAATGCCGACTGTTCACCTCCTGGACTATGTGGCAGGGAACATCCGTTCCTTAGTCAATGCGATCAATCAAGTTGGCTATGAGGTGGAATGGATTAAAACTCCTGAAGATGTGAAGAAGGCAGATGTCAGTGACCCCCAGAATAGGGGGCTGTTCTCCTGTGGACTACTGCTAATGGATTATTGCGATAGAAATTGATCCTACCTGGTGTCGGTCACTTTGGCCACTGTCTCTCGCAGCTCGAGCAAGGTGGCTTCCTTGAACCAATTCGAGAGCACATCGAAGCCGGGAAGCCCTTCATGGGCATCTGTGTTGGTCTGCAAGCTTTATTTCAGGGATCAGAGGAGGATGTCAATGTGTCAGGCCTGGGTTTGATCCCAATGCGCATCCAAAAATTCAGGGACACAAGCAAGAGCGTGCCACACATTGGCTGGAACTCGGCGATGAACACGGAGATCGCATCGAAAAAGCAGAGCTTCTACGGATTGAGGCCAACCAGCAAATACTATTACGTCCACTCCTATGCCGCACCTTATACCCCAGGAGTCCTCGAGGCGGACGGTTGGTCCGTCGCGACCGCTACGTATGGCGATGAAGAATTCATTGGAGCAGTCAGTCGGGGAAACATATTCGGAACCCAGTTTCACCCTGAGAAAAGCGGCGTCGCAGGTCTACGTGCCCTTCGCGCTTTTTTGACCGATGATCAATTTCAATTTCTCCCCCAGGATCAAATCGCCGGTAAGGAAGACGGGCTGACTCGCCGAGTGATTGCTTGCTTGGATGTGCGGGCTAATGACTCGGGCGATCTTGTCGTCACAAAGGGCGACCAGTATGATGTACGCGAGAAGAGTGGAGTGGACACAGGTGGCCAGGTTCGAAACCTCGGAAAGCCTGTTGACATGGCCAAGAAATACTATGAGCAAGGGGCCGATGAAGTCACCTTCCTCAACATTACCTCTTTCCGCAACTGCCCATTGGCAGACACTCCTATGCTTGAGATCCTGCGGCGAGCTTCGGAAACAGTTTTTGTGCCTTTAACGATTGGCGGAGGCATCAAAGACACGGTGGACACAGATGGCACTCATGTGCCAGCGCTTGATGTGGCCACAATGTATTTCAAGTCGGGTGCGGACAAAGTCAGCATTGGTTCTGATGCAGTGTTTGCTGCCGAGGATTATTATCAATCGGGCTTGAGTGGACGCACTGCCATTGAGACGATCTCAAATGCCTATGGAAAACAGGCTGTGGTAGTGAGTGTCGATCCCAAACGCGTCTATGTGGATAGCCCTGAAGACACACACCACCACACCATCCAGACCGCATACCCCAATGCAGCCGGGCAGAGCTTTTGCTGGTACCAGTGTACAGTCAAGGGGGGGCGGGAGACGCGCAATATGGATGTTCGGCAGTTGGTGCAGGCCGTCGAGGCCATGGGAGCTGGAGAAATTCTGCTGAATTGCATCGACAAGGATGGCAGCAATAGCGGGTTCGATTTGGAATTGATTAATGATGTGAAGGCTGCTATCAAGATTCCGGTGATTGCTTCTAGCGGAGCTGGTGTACCAAGCCACTTTGCAGAGGTCTTTAGCAGGACCTCAACTGATGCTGCCTTGGGAGCTGGAATGGTAAGTCATTATTTAAGGTCACAATATTTACTTAACTGACTGTCCCTTTTTCATCTAGTTCCACCGAGAGGAGTATACAGTGAGTCAGGTCAAGGATTACCTCCAAGCCGAGGGATTTTTGGTCCGCCAGTTTGAGGCCAGCCTCTGAAAATCATTGGAGTCGATTCTTATTTCTTCTAAATAGACGTTTTCATATATATCTTTATGTATATGATGTTCAATGCCAATCCAGTTCTGGAGCAACTTCAGAAATGTAGCCAAATAGCCAATTAAACCGAGAAAGTAGTGATTTGATGGTTGACTATTAATCTGTATGTAGCAGGGGCTGAAATAGAATTGCTCATTGACTGTTGAATAAGCCAAAAGAATCGAGCTAACTACAACGGCCTACTGTATACAGCAGCTCTTGAGTGCCCAGGCCCAGGCTCAGGCTATTTCCGGCGCTGACATAATCCCGAGCGGTCAACGGTTTCGTGGTCATCTGACTTTTCGCCACCACATCCAACGCATCTTCTCCGACCTCCTTCAACCTTCCCCTCTCACTCTCCTCCGACTGCAAGGCTTTGTCACCCCACCCCCCTATTCCCCCTCTTTCTCATCGCATTGCTGCCTTTTGGGAACCCCTAAATACCGTTTTCACTAACAGCAAGTTGATCTTGGACGGGTTCCCATCGCGGTGCGGCCAGACCACGACGACACCAGTCTGACCCGAGATAAAGAAGGAGAGGTGGCTTTACCAAGGACTGCAATAACTACAAGAAAAGAAGGACTGGACCTCTCTCTGTCTGATCACGGTGTTTCTTGCTCAGCGACAGTTTCTTTCCGTTTCATTGATTCGCTGTTTCTGTTTCTCTTTGTCTCTGTTGTATCAGCTCTTTGATCTTTGTATGCAGTGTGACCTCTACTCACCTCTCAGCATCCAAGAGAAAGATTCTTTGCCAATTCATCTTCACGAAAATCCCCCAAATCGATAGAGCCAAGGGACCTCATCGATCGCGTTTCTGCCCTAAAACTTCATTGATCCGGAACCAGGAGGGTCCTTTGACTTCGAGGCTTTTGGTGGTTTTCCCTTCTCTCTTGATCTTGACCTCTGGAACCGTTGATTTGCCCCTGTTCCTTCGTCTTGCGTGGCACATCTTCTCTTCCCATATCACCGTCTAATACCTCTATCCCCTTTATTCCCACTATCTTTCCGATCTCCCCGATCTCCCCGATCTGCCTGACCTCCCTGATTCCTCTTTCCCCTCTCTACTCTTGTATGCTGGTGCGGTGCCCCAATTTAAGTCTTCGGTCTTAAAAAATCTCTATCAGGGCAAATTTTACTGTCTACTGACTGCACACTCACACACAATTCAATACAATGTCATCGTCTGTTCATTTCAAATTCAAATCCCAGAAAGAACCCTCGCGGGTCACTTTTGATGGCACTGGTATTTCCGTTTTTGAACTCAAGCGCGAGATCATCAGCCAGAGTAGATTGGGTGACGGGTCTGACTTCGAATTGTCCATCTACAACGAGGATACTGGAGAAGGTAGGTTACACGACTCCGTTCAGGTTACAATTCCCTCTGACCATTACGTTAGAATATGACGATGACACCACCATCATCCCTCGGTCTACGTCCGTCATCGCTCGCCGATTACCGGCCGCACGTCCCGGAAAAGGCGGCGCCGCAAGATACGTCTCAGGAAAGATGCCTGTGAATGCGCGCAACGCTTCTCGAACCGAACCATCGACGACACGAGTCGTTTCCGGGACGGCTCAAACAGTGAATAACAACGTGCTAGAGCTTAACAATGCGCAAACGGAGGAAGAGAAAATCAATGCGCTCTTCAATCTTCAGGCCAGTCAATGGAAGGAGCAGCAGCAGGAAATGGCCAAGTACGTAAAGCCCGTTCGATTCGTAACTGAGCCGCATTTTAATGACTGGATTCAGCGCAACACCCGTACCGTTCGGCCGTGGCAGAGGCAAGCCCGTCAACGTTCCCGATCACCCCCCTCCTCCGGGGTACCTCTGCTACCGTTGCCGAGAGAAAGGTAATTGGCCCAGGTTGTCCCTTACTCTATCTCCTAAATAACCCTCAACTAATCATCATGGTATAGGTCACTGGATACAAGCCTGTCCGACGAATAATGACCCGAAATTTGACGGTAAATATCGGGTCAAACGATCAACCGGCATTCCTCGATCACTGCAAACGAAGGTCGAGAAACCAGAGTCCCTGGCGCCCGATGGCTCCAGTGATGATTCAAGGAATACAGGGGTCATGGTGAATGCTGATGGGGACTTCGTCATTGCCAAACCAGATAAAGCGGCATGGGAATTGTATCAAGAAAAGGCCAAAGCATCTGCGGCGGCGGCAGCCGAGGCGGCGGCTGTGGAGGAGAGCAAGGCACTGCAGGCTCGGGGTCTGGAATGCCCAATTGACAAAAGGATGTTCTTAGAGCCAACAAAGACACCATGTTGTCAAAGGACGTATTGCAATGACTGTATTTCCAATGCTCTGATTGAAAGTGACTTTGTCTGCCCTGGTTGTTCAACCGAGGGTGTGCTCCTTGATAACTTAACCCCGGATGACGAGGCCGCCTCGGGAATCAAACGATATGAAGCAGAGAAAGCCGAAGCTAAGAAAGAGAAAGAGAAACAGCTGGCATCAAGCTCCGAGGGGGCGGTCAATGGGACCGCTGAGGATGCTTCGACCAAGGACAACATTGCTGATGCCAATCCGATGCCGTCACATCCTAAAACAGAGAATGCGCCTCCTCAGGCCAAGAAAAGACCGGCCGAGGACGAGTCATCGCCGGACGGGGATGGCAGCAGCCCTGAAAATGCGGCCAAGAAGCCGAAAAGTGAGACTCAGCTAGAACCCCCCAATGACCAGGCACATCTCCAAGAGCCCTCGAACGGGGCTCTCCCCTTTAACCCTCAAATGCCCTTCAATGGATTTGCCATGATGCCTCCATATTCAGATTCCAGTTTCGGAAACGAGGGGTTCATGAACCCTATGGCGATGCCAAATGGTTTCCCCAACGCCATGGGTCCTGGGTGGAACCCCATGGGTATGCCCTTCAATTCAATGCCGAATGGCATGTATGGAGACCCATCCAATGGCTTTCCTAATATGTTTAATGGGGATCCGTCCATGTTGATGTTTCCGATGGGCCAGATGCCGGCATCGATGCAGAATCCCGGTTTTCCAGGCCCTGGCATGAATACCTTTTCGAATCAGCAACGAACGGCCTTCAGTGGTCCATATTCGCGTGAGGAGGATTCACCCTATTTTCGTCAGCCGGTGAACCCCCAACGTCATCAAGCTCGACACCGCCGAGTTCGCCCGAGCGATTATCGGGAACTGTGATGATGTGTCACTGGAATTCATGAGGAGATTTGGCGTCACGGTAGGAGGAGCGCTGTAGAAGTTTCTTTATTATCCCATCTTCTGTTTTTTTTTTCTACTTAGAGCGGAAATTTTTTTTTTTGAAATGGTCTCCCCCACTTTCCCGTGTTGGGGGCCTCTTGAGCCCTCTGCATGAGTTGCATCAGGACTTTTTATTTGTTGCGTATGCTTGACGGGCAGATGGCATACAGCAGAATCATGACATGTATTTTTACCTGGATCCTTTTCACACTCCAAAGATTTTCTGTTTCTTCATCTGGCTTTCTTTCGTAGTCACTTTCACTGTTGGCATGTTTCTAGCTGCTTTTTTGCGTCTTCCAGTAGGAATCAGTCAGAATAATTCCTAATACAGAACTATCCAAAGCTCTTCTTCATCTGAGGCTCTCTGATTCATTGATTATCGTTTATTAATTGCGTTTAACTCTCCATGGATCTCCTGTGATATCCCATACTAAACCCTAACGTCCCAATCAACTAGTGGAATATGCTGGCAAGTGGGTGTTGGTGTGTTGGGATGAAGAGAGGGAAAGCGCGGGATCAGGTGATCCACCGGAACCGCCCCAGATTTCCCAGTCGTTCACCTCCTCATCACCTTATTACCTCCTCACTCTTCTCTCCAGTCATCATATATGATCCATCGCACCCCAACCCGTTTGCTAGCATCCTCTTTCGTGCTCTCAAATCAAGAACCTCAGTGACAATATCGATTCAGTCATGGCGAAATACATGAGTAACCACAGTAGTAATTACAATCAAATGCCTCCACTTCTCGATCAGGAATCCACCATCATGGCTAGCTGCTACTCCGTTGAATCGTCCACCGCCGCGGTCCGCGGCTTCCACTACTGCACTACTCTGGGCGCCGGTGTGTTCTCCTGATCCGCCTTCCGTCTTATGACATCTCCGATTGACAATCTTCCGTAGGAGCACAGTGGTATCCCTGAGGTCCCCTCAGGGTCTAAAACATCCATTATAAGTCCTCCCCTCGAGTTCCCCGCGCCCGTGGATCGCAGCTGGTCTGGGAACAACTGGCCCGAGTATAGAGGGGAGGCGACGCACACCATCCCGGAAGAGTGTGAGAGGCTCTTCTGTGACAAACTGTCCACGACATTCCTTGGTGAGAGGACTGGCGCGTGGCAGGAGTCACTGGGGATGGGTACGTTTCAACATATCGAGCCAAATCGGGTCGGAGCTGGAAACGATCGGATCCAGTCCTGGGTCGAAGTGTGGGACTACACTAGTGATGCTATCTACCGTGGATTCGTAACGGGCCACGGCGACGAGCGGACGCTGTTTGTCTTCTTTGAAGATGGCGTCAAGGGCCATGGCCTCAAGTCTGGGTAAGCAAATGTCCCGTCCCTCCTCTATCTCTTGCAGGAGACTCCTGCGACATATTTCTCCTTTTTGGGGTTAAAATTTGTCATTAATTAACCTACTTTTTCTAGACTGATCGCTCTTTTTGAACTTGCTGGTATCGATTCTTTTGACTGTACCCAGATCGTTGCCTGTGTCAGGCGCTCACAGCACACCGACGAAATGGAGCTGGTCCGAAGCCTTGGATGGTGCGGATTCAACCTCACTACCCTGGAGCCCTGGATCGGGATCGGTGGCCGGGGGCCATCCCTGAGCACCAAATGGCTTCTGTTAGTCGCTGAAACATAGGCTGAAACATAAAAGGTCTTGGGAGAGCTTTCGACAGAGCTTCCACCCAAGCGGTTTTCCCGTTGGCCTGCATCCAAACACGAACTACGCCATCTATATCATGGTCGTACTAATATCGGATTGCCTCCTTGGATAGACCTCTTGTTACCTCTTTTTGTCTATCTCCTGTCTTTTACTGTCTATTCTTGCAAGGTGGCCTCAGGAGTTCCATATTCCAATCACTTATTTTCTCTTGATTCTTATGCAGTTAATTGATGGAACGGACTTATTCTGTTCACTGCAGATATCTTTGCTCGCCTAGTGAGAGTATCTATGGATACTTCATAGGATAATTGAATACTCCACTTATAAGTAATATTTAGGTGTCATAGTCATGTAGTTCCGTTAGAAGTAGTCATTCTCGTGAGTGACAAATCCCCGCCAAGCTTCCCCGACGCGATAAGATAAAGCCTAATGACCTCAACACCATGAGAGCAACTCGAGATCAACAAAGAACAAGTGATCATCAACCGCAATATCCCGGCTTCCTTGCTTTCCCCACGGCCTAGACCTGGGAAACTATGTCGAAAGAGCTAGCCAAAGCAACCTTTGATTTCCCCAGATATCTTCTCCCCTCCGAGAATTGCGGGCGGACTTCCTCCAACCCCGCCGAGAAGTACTTGGATGGGCATGTCTCCTATCTTCGCTGCACCGGATGCGCAGCCCATCTCTGTCTGACATCTCAGATCATCAGTAAAGGCTTCACCGGCAGACATGGCAGGGCCTATCTTGTATCCGCCGAACCGGTGGCCAGCGCGGTTTCGATGAGCGCATCATCGTCACCAACTGCCTCCCTTCCCAACACCACCTTGCAACACCCTGTCCCCCGCCAGCTCGTGACGGGAGCTCACACGGTCAGTGATATCAGCTGTGCATTCTGTGGCAGTATACTAGGCTGGAAATATGTCGCTGCTGAGGAAGAATCGCAGCGCTATAAGGTGGGCAAGTTTATACTGGAAACCAAAAAGATCACGGCCACTTCGTGTTGGGAGTCCCCGCCGGGGATGGACCTGCCTACCGGCGAGAACAACTACTCAGGCGGGCGTCAACAGGATTCAGCGGACCAGGAGTTTGATAGTCAGGATGAGGATGAATGTGAAGACCTGTTCGCGGGGATCTGGAGTCCAGAACTCGCCAGCCGGCGCCGAAAGATCGTCCGACGACCGGTGATGTTCGGAATCTCCTAACATGCTATCGCGCTCCCCTCACACGACTTTTGCCTTTCGCCCATGATACCCATTAATGATCTCATTATGTACTTTCCTTGCAGTTGCAAGATTACTTTCGATAATCCAATGTGATGAATCATAGTTCCAAGTCATCAGGACTAGTGTAGATACTTCATTTGAAATTTAGAAGAAAAGCCAAAGGATAGTAGACAATACAGTGGGAAATCATAATGTGCAAAGACGTTACAAATCAAATGCTCTACAAACGCCAGGAACCGAGAAGACGAAGAAGGAAAATAAATCAAGGCCGGGAGAGACTCATGCATCATTCACCCGGGAGCGTTTCGACTCGCTTTCTGCGGATGAATCCTCAGCAGGCCGCTTCGAGGCCGTTTGTTGGGCCGGCTGACTGGCAGGCTTTCGTCGGACAAGCGATGAAAGATCTGTTGCATCCTTGCTGACAACATCCAGTCGGGCTTTTTGATCCGCTGGCGACTGGCCAACAATCTGCCCAAGGATACCTTTCAGCATGGCTTCGCTTTCCTGGTTGCTCTGCTCGATGGAAACTGGTGACCGACGAAGATCAATCAGCTGGATCGGGTGTTAGTAAATAGTTGGAAGGTTGAAATTAGTCGACCGTCAAAGCCAGGCGCGCTACTTACCCGTTGTTCCATGTCGGCAATGATCTCTTTTACATTTGCAATCTTCCGCTTCGTAGCTGTCGCCTTATCCTCATCCATAGCATTGTCGAGTTCCAACTTATTTTCCTCCTGCGCCATACGGACCTTGCAGCTCTCAATAGCACGCTCCATCTGAGTTGCAGCTTCCTTTCGCATTTTCTCATCCACCGTCCTCGCATCCTCGTCCTCATTTTCTCCTTGTGGCTGGACCGACGCAAACTCAAGAGCCAGTGAAAGCTTATAATGGCACTCGGCGACAGATGGGTCTTCAAACGGGAATAAGGCGTATCGGAGATCGAGGGCAGTTCGTAGATCGGTTACGGCATCGTTGAATCGTTCTGCTTCAAGGGAAATTTCGGCTTGGAGGTCATAAGTGTCCGCCAGTCGCTCCTTGATATGCTTCACATCCGTCGGCAATTCGGCGAATTTCCCTTTCGCATTGGCGCTCTCTTCCACAGCACCCAGCTTCTTGAGGTACAGGATGCGGGCCAAATCTAGAACCTCGAATGCATTGGCGAAATCATCCTCTTCCTCCTCTTCGCCAGCCTCGTCATTTTCATCATCATCATCCTCCTCATTATCGGAGTCCACAAAATTCTCATCGCCTGTAAATTGGAAAAAAGGCTTCGAGGGCTCCGCTGGCGATTGGGCGCTCTCTGCCTTTGTGGAGATAATATCCTCAGTCATGGTGCTCGAAATGGCATCCTTGACCAAGCCTTTTCCCGTCGCGCTTGTTGTCTTCGAGGCGGTATTTGTTGAACCATTGCTAGACTGGCCCTGGGGGTCACCAGCCACCTTGGAACCTAGAACGTCACTCTTACTCACGGCCACGTTGTAGAGAGATTTTCCGTACGCATAGAGCAGATCAGCGTTCTCCGGCGATAGCTCTCCATTAATTTCGGCTTGTAGCTCGGTGGCTTGCGAGTACAATTCTGAAGCAGTACTGTGGTCTTTCGTCGCATCTTTGGCAGCGGCTCGTGCGATCAGATCGTCCAGTTGGGCGCGCTTTTGAGAATAAGAGCCAGTCTCGGGAATTTGTTCGATTTTCGGAGATGTGTTTATTTCCGCCATTGTGATTTTAGGAGAAGGAAAGAAAAATGAGGCGGAAAAGAAGAAGAAGAAGAAGAAGAAGAAGAAGAGCGCAACGGTAGGAAGAGGGCGTTGGGATTTCAGAGGCCGACTTATCGATAAGCACGTCGCGGTCGCGTTGCGTGTCACGCGTCTTCTCTTCCAACTCTTCACGGCCCTTGCAATCTCATTGAAGAATGCCTGCGCTTGTGACAGCTACTGGATCTTCAGAGTTCTACTGGCTTGCTGTTTTTTATATTGCCCTACTTCCTCACTCAATCTCTCTCTTTCTATCAATCCAAGAGATCACTCCCTCTCTACGGCCAAGTTGACGACTGACGACTGACGACTAATCATTATGGATCCGACATCCACCCCGCGACACCCAGATCGCTTCAGAATGGGAAATACAGACCCAATTCCTTCATCATCACCCGCATTTGGAACGCCGGCCCGTCCATTTCGGATGCAAAAGGCGCATGCTGCTCCGACTAAGACGTCTATCCTACCCATTCTTCTTCCACCTGCCACTCTTCGACCCGTCGCATTTCGCACATTTACTCGAAAGCACAATCTTACCATTTCTTCTCCGGCCCTTCAAACACTGGCAGTCTTTGTAGGCAAAAATTGTGGTTCTGGATGGCGGGAAGAAGGATTGGCAGAAAAGGTTCTGGATGAAGTTGCGAAGATCTGGAAACGGGCCGGGGGAGGTGTGATTGTGGAGGAAGGGAAAGGGGCCTCGTTAAAAGCCATTCTGCAATCCCTTGAGGGAAGTATGAGTGGTGGCCGAGTAATTCCTGGCAAATCGCCTTCACAGGATGGATCTGGAAGACCGTCAAGCATCGGCGTGGACCTAGCACGAACCGATTTGAACGACTATACAACAAGACCAGGGAATAAGGAGGAGGATGAGTCTCAATTATCACTTCATCCTAGACACTGGCTGAAAGTCATTGACGCCTTTGATCTTCCCCGCCTCACCTACAACGTCGATAAGAAATATTTTGAGAGCGTGAAGTCGAAACCTACATTTTTTCCGCCCCCGTCACACAAAACAACATTGTTCAGGGATCGATATAATCTAATATATCAACGCCTCCTTCGCAATGAGTCCTTTCAAGATTCTTTGGGTGCAGTTGGCATCCGTTCCTTGCAACGGTCATCTTCAAACCTTGCGACCCAGCAATCTTACAAATTGACACCAATTTCTAATCTTTTGGGACGAAGTGGCACATCACACCTCATTCTTGGACTGCTTACCATTTCTCCTACTGGAGATCTTGCTCTTGTCGACCTCACGGGAACCGTATCTCTGGACTTGAGCCATGCACGCATGATCCCAGAAGACGGGGCATGGTTTGCCCCGGGAATGATTGTGCTTGTGGATGGAATTTATGAAGAGGAAGAGATGGTCAAGGGCTCTGTTTTGGGAGGCAATACCGGAGTTGGAGGGGCCATTGGAGGTCACTTCGTCGGAGTATCAATCTGTGGTCCACCCTGCGAGCGGAGAGATATTTCGCTAGGGACAATTACCCGCCAAGGTAGTGGTGAATTGAGCTCCAGTGGTGGATTTGGATGGGTAGATTTCCTAGGAATTGGAAGTGAGCGTGCCCAGGGTGCGCGCATGCGGAGAATCCAAGACAAATGCCTCCGTCGCGAGTCAGATATGGAAACATCTGGCCGACTCAAAATCGCAGTAATGAGTGAGATCAATCTTGATAACGTGAAAACACTTGACGCTCTACGGAGAGCACTCAGCACCTACAACGACCTGGCCCTCTCCGAACGGCCTCAAACGTTCGTTTTGATTGGCAATTTCGTGCAAACTCCCATTATCAACGGGGGTGGCCGTGCTGGTAGCATCGAGTACAAAGAGCACTTTGATTCTCTTGCGGTTGTGCTATCGGAATTTCCCGCCCTGTTGCAACACTCTACCTTTGTCTTCGTCCCCGGTGATAATGACCCATGGGCCTCGTCGTTCTCCACTGGTGCGGCCTCAACTATCCCACGACAGGCGATTCCTGGATTGTTCACATCTAGGATACGCCGTGCGTTTGCAACAGCCAACTCCGAGATTGACCGTGCTCCAACCTCAGAGCCGGGAGGTGAAGCTCTCTGGACATCCAACCCGGCGCGACTTTCCTGGTTTGGTCCTGTCCATGACATCGCTATTTTCCGTGATGACATTTCAGGAAGGCTAAGACGCACCGCCATTAACGCAAAGGCGGACGAAGATGAACCAGATGCCACGATGCACGAGGCATTGGATGGTGCTGCCAACGATGCAGCCTCTATGGCACCGGAGATGCATACAGGGCCTGGCGCCCGAGTGGATACCGTGTCTCCTGCGGCATGCATGGCCCGGAAATTGGTGAAGACGGTTCTAGACCAAGGATCCATCTCACCTTTTCCCCTTTCGTTGCGCCCTGTTTTATGGGATCATGCTTCTGCGGCACAGCTTTACCCACTGCCTACAGCTCTTATCTTGGCCGATTCCGAGGCTGCACCTTTTTGCATGACGTACGAGGGCTGTCATGTTATGAACCCTGGCCGGCTCCTTCCAGAGGGCGATATACCAGCTGCACGGTGGGTGGAATACGATTTACTTCGTAATCGTGGGAAAGTCAAAGAAGAGCGTTTCTAATTTCGCTCCTGAAATGCATCACCAATCTCCATACAAAAGATTGGTTCAGACTTTGGGTTAATGGCTCTAGACCCGTTCCTACAAACACTGCATAGTTATACACCAGATAATGCCTGATGGTTTTTCAATTTACTCCGACTGTCTATGGCCAATAAATGAACCTCAGCATGTCTCTGGGCATCTGAGCTAGTGATTTATCCGTAATGATGCCAGTTTACCCTATGCGCCTCACTATTAGTTCGGGCTTGGGCAAAACGATTATTTTCCTCATACAGTTATTGAGCTAGCCATTAAACTATTTAAACATTTATATGGTAACTATTGAAGAAGGAAACATATGTAGTATGAAAAAGCTAGTGGCTGTCTAAGAGAGTTCATCGGACGGTGGCAGATCGTTTCGCCAAGTTCATAGAACGAAACAAGGAATATGTACTAAGCTGGGCCCATTCGGAATCGAATTCTAATCTGGAATCATCTCTATATGTATAAAAAAGAGTAAAAATCTACCGCTAGAGTTCTACTTCACGGCACAAATTTTGAAATACACGTGTCAGATTGGAAGTCTAGGAATACAATCATGAAGAAAGACGGAAGGCATCTCCCCCACGGATGAAAATAGAAGGGCTTTCCAAGTGAACATTTTCGGGACGGCGCACTAGTCAATTGTAATGATGTCTGCGCTGCTTAATGCACTGGTCTTTTGTGGAGAAACCATCGCAGGCTTCCCAGATGATCTTGCCAAGGTGTCTTGGAGATGCTGCCCAGTGGACCCAGGCTGCTCATGGTTATTTCCCACCTCCTGCGTCATGGGTTGCGGCGGGCAAGTACCTAAGCACTCGTGGAGCTTCAGGAAGAGGTCCCCCACCTTCTCAACCGTGGATATTGCACCATCCCCGAGGCCTTGCCATCCATCACCCTTAGAGTTATAGACCATTTCTCGTACCACGGCAGCAACCTGATCAAGGTCAACTACTCGAGATTGGTTATTGTCCTCCAATACCCACACGGTGCGGCCCTGCCGTGGACGAGCGGACAGACGAAACCGAGATTTTAGAGAAGGATAATGTAGATGGAAGACAGTAGGGCCACGGACAGTGATATGCACCACGGAGGATTCCATTGGCGAAGAATTGTTGTTATTGGTGATTTGATCCAAGCATTGCAGTAGTGAAAATGTATCGGACATGATGCCGAGTATGGAGTCAACCCCTGTTTCGGCAAACCGGTGGTTCAAAGCAACTGTGAGTGCCTCCTGGATGCGCCGATGAGGGCTAGTGTGATCAAATACCATGCCCAACCGCAAGCGAAAGAGCGGGCTGCCATGTGACAAGGCGGATGTGACATCAAGATGGGCCGAAAGTGAAGGTCCAGATACATCAATATTAAAGCGGGCAGATAGCAGCTTGCCAGGACCATACAAAAATGCGATTTGCGATAGTGAGAGAGACCGAGGCTCCATACCCTTCTGGATGAGAGTTTGAAGGATAAAGAGGACACAATCGAGTCGTTGCAATCGCTCAAGAAGGAAGATGATGACAGAATGCCCAGCCGGTACGAGCAGGCGAAGACCAAAGCCACTCCCCTTCTCTTGCATTATGAGTAAGGGGTCTGATTTGGAGATGAGGGTAAGAAGCGACTTGATCCGAAATCGAAGACTGCCGTAGGCCACTAGGACTATAGAATGGCTTTGGGGATCAATGCCCTGAAAGGATAAACGAATGGTATCCCGTAGATAGGATCCATTTTTCAGCCCTGAAGGTAGAGCTAGCTGAAAAGCAGCAGGTATAGATGATGCTTGGTAACGGAAAAAGAGATCCGGTACATGCAGGTCAGGTCCAAATCGCAATTGCTTCAGCGATGGGTAAGAATTCATACCCGGCAACTCTGCCAAACATCGAGCGTTGGCATAGATAGCCAGCATTCCCGTCAGGCTATGCACTAGCTCGGCACTTGCAGTGTAATTGGAAGGTCGCTGTTCCCCCATAAGAGCGTCACAAATAGGATGCGCTACTGGGGCACCGAAAACGTTATCTGTAATAGTATAAGGCGACACTATATGTGTTGCATTGGGCGGCGGAAGTTGAATGAGCCACCAGTTGTCGCCGTCCATGCTACTCGTGATGGCGGCGATCCAGCGGCGATCCCAGAGTCGATGAGTAAAAAAGGCCCTTTGGATCACGTTGGAAGGGAAAATTTTACGAACATCGAATCCTAGTCCTCTTTGGCTGACACTTTCCAAGCCAAGCGCCTTCGTGCCCGATTCTATTTCATCCACAGCAGTCATGCAGCGGATACGGGTGACACGAGATAGAAGCTCTTCGATCGCCGGTTTATTTGAAAAACGGTCAACTTCGAGGCGATCCAGGGAAATCGGGGTCCCAGAAAGAATGATTGCTCCCGACAAGGGTTCAATAGAGACTCGTAGGTGTCGGGATGCCGTCAATTGGATATCAAGGTAGCTGTCCCCGGGCTCTGTTGCAGATAATTGAGCCCTCAGTGAAAGTGCATGATGGGCAAACAGAAGGTTCTTTTTAAGAGCACCAAATGCTAAAGAGACCAGATATGAAGTATGTAATGCGATTACACTCCGCAAAACACGCTCTATGGAGAGCATATCGGAATCGAACTGGATACCATCGCTGCGTATTTGATGGCCATCTCGCATCCAGCGAAGACCGAGGTGTGAAACGCTGCTATCATGGTCATCAGCACCAATGCGATGCTGTCCTCTTCGGACGCCAATTTCTATCCAGCTTTTCAGCCCAGTCCGTGACACCCAGTATTGAATAACAAGTGTGCGGTGGAGTAGTTCAATTCGCAGTGCATCTGACCATAATCCACGTGCAAGGTCTGTGGCTTGTCTGAAGAGAGTATTGACTTTGTTTGTCAAGACTAACCCGTGGAGAAAATCAAAACAACCTGTCAAACCCTTGCTGAGAAGAATTTCATTAATTTTTGCATCAAGTTCATTGAAGATTCGCCCCTTTGGAATAGGCGAAGACGGTGAGAAGAGGAAGCAAATGTCCACGAAGAAAAATTGTGAGGTTTTTGCTTCTTCAGCCACTGAAAGGTCAAGCTTGAACTCCCCTGCAACTGTGAAGGTCACTCGACCGTCGTGGATGTGATAGCTTCGCAAAGGATACGGTACTTGTTCGTAAGCAGTCAATCGAACGCTGATTATACGGTTAATCTTGTGCAGTTTATTCAGAGTTGCTCGCGCAGTCAACGCTTTTGGCGGCTTGTAGCCAAACTGGAACAAAATGATGTATTAGCTCTCAAGCACAACATATGCGAAAACGAGAGCACTCACATCTGGCAGAGAAACCACCCGGCCCTTTGAAAGAACCTCTAAAGCCGTCTTCAGATCCGGGTTGGCGACTTGTGCTCGGACAAGGTCCCGTTTCATTTCGCCCATATGATGAATTGCATCGGAGTATGCTTGGTGTCTGGCACGAATGAAACCTTGGATATCAATGAGTCGACTGACCTCGGCAGCTTGGCGACTCCATTGTGAAAGGACCAGGAGCTTTATGAACTCGGCTCTTTTGGCGTGAGCAAAATCCAAGATCCGCAGTTTCTTGTGTACATTCTCTGAAGATTGATTGCCGGAAGATTTGCCATTCGCTGCTGACAGGGCTGAAGATTCAGTGGGAACATGTATTGCTGCCAATTCGGCAATCAATTCAGAGAGATCATTCCAGCACTGCTGCACTGCTCGATTGACCAGTGTTCCGAAGGGAAAAAATCCCTGAGTAATATGGGGTATTTCGAACGCCGCGGGGTTAATCTGTCCGATCTGCTGTACGGATGCTTTTGAGAAATGGACCAGCGAGTCAACGTGTCCCACACCATTCACATGGACCGGCCCGTTCATGGAAGCAGGTGGTTGACTGTGTTTTTCATTGATCCCCAGCGAGCCATGTCCCCCATTGGAAGCCTCATTGAGACCTGGCCGTCGTACAGATCCATCAATAGTAACATTGTCCATGACGACGCCGGGCATCTCTTTAATGATTTCCAAGTAATCTCCGCCAGGGTATGTCGATTCTTAGAATGCCTTCCTCCCCGGCACTATCTGGATGGCACGAAACAAGGGACTAGATTTCGCCGCCGCGCCGAACTCGTGGATGGAGGGGAGAAAAAGGCTAGTAGTGAAGACCAAGCGAGGAATGAGGTTCTCAACCCAGTGCCATGCGTATCACTGGCGGTCCCAAACAATGGCCGCGGTCATAATCAAGGGGAGCTGCGCGCCCGATCTGATTTCGAATTGGGCCGTAGAAAGGCTAGATTGAGAAGTCAAAGGTTGCAGGAAAACGAATCGAAGGGAACTAAAACGTTCCCTTGGGAGGGGGAGGGGCTGTTCAAATAGCGTCGCTGGTGGTTGCGCAATCCGAGATCCGAGTCCAGCAAGTGTCGAGAAGGGTGTGGAAGTCAGAGTATAGGTCGCAACGGTCGCAACGGTCCTAATAAAATACACAGGCTGAAGTACCGACGAGACCAAGACCGTGGAGGGGGAGGAGGAGGGGGATTCGCTCGAGAGGTGAAAGCAGTAGTGCCGCCCAAAGTGATGGATGGATTGTGAAAGCGCGCGATGCGCACGCACCGCCTTCCGCCTTTCACAGGCTTAGCGCCTGGGTGCCTTGGTGCCTGGTATTGTTAGGGACCCGTATCCCTGCATTGCAAGTTGGGCTTCCCCGTCGACTTTGTTACGTACCAAAACATGGTTATTACCAGGCATGCTTCCGAGCTTCCCCCATGACCTCACCATCCGGCGCGCCATCCTGAAGCTCCCCCGAGCTACATCTAACAATGAGCCGGCACGAAGACGATGAGGCTGAAAACCTGCTTCCAAGCTACTCCGGGGATGATCCTCGGCCTACAAGCAAGCGGGAGCTGGCTGGCTGGTATTGCTATGGATGGGCCGCGGAGGTCTTCACCGTGTGTGCTATGGGTATGGGCTGTATCCCCTCGCAATCACCCCCTCTCAATCGCTATCTCTCCCTCTCTTGCTGACTGTGATAGGCTCATTTCTTCCGATCACACTGGAACAGATGGCGCGAGACCGTGGGCTCCTTCTGTCGGACAAGATCACCCCCTGTAGCCCAACGTGGAAGCCCTCGAAGAATGCGCTCCATCAAGAAGCCCGGTATGCCGCTCAAGGGTCAGACGTTGGCCAGTGTATCATTTACTTCCTTGGGGCCGAGATCAACACGGCCAGCTTTGCTCTGTACACCTTTTCTTTGAGCGTCTTTGTGCAATCGATTCTAATCATATCCATGTCTGGCGCCGCTGATCACGGAAGTTACCGCAAGACGCTCCTGGTCAATTTCGCTTGCATTGGCTCCATTGCAACCATGTTGTTTCTCGCTGTAACTCCTAAAGTCTATCTGCTAGGTGCTCTGCTTGCAGTCATTGCTAATACTTGTTTTGGTGCGTCTTTTGTCCTTCTCAACTCCTTTTTACCGGTTATGGTTCGCCATCACCCGTGCGTTCTCGAAAAGACTTTGGTTACGGCCGCCACGCCCATTACTACCCGTCATGCCAATGGCTCTCCAGATGAGCATATGCCGGCGGAAAATGGTGGTCCTTGGGACAGGCCCGATGTCGAGACGCCCCTACTTCGGTCTCGCGCGGGCAACGGCGAGACAGCTTCGGACCGTGTGACCTCAGTAGAACTCCGCCTCTCCACCCAGATTTCATCCTTTGGCATCGGGATAGGATATATTGGAGCAGTGATCTTGCAAATGATCTCCATCCTTGTGGTGGTCGCCACTCATCAAACAACCTTCTCCCTCCGTTTGGTTTTGTTCTTGATCGGACTGTGGTGGTTTGTATTCACCATTCCAGCAACCCTATTGCTGCGTGCTCGTCCCGGTCCCCCTCTTTTGGGTACAGATGGTAAACCATTGGACTCATGGAGGGCGTATATCACCTACGCCTGGGCGTCCTTGGGCAAGACTGTCATGCGGGCACGGGGCCTGAAGGACCTGATGCTCTTTCTCGCCGCCTGGTTCCTGCTCAGCGATGGGATTGCTACTGTTAGCGGGACTGCTGTGTTGTTTGCCAAAACCGAACTTGACATGAAGCCTGCCGCCCTGGGGCTGATCAACGTTATCGTCATGATTGCAGGTGTATTAGGGGCTTTCTCTTGGAGTTATGTGTCGAGCTTCCTTCAGCTTCGTGCCTCGCACACCATTATTGCGTGCATTATTTTGTTTGAGCTGATCCCGCTGTATGGAATTCTCGGTTTTTTCCCAGCTGTCCAGCGTCTGGGCTTTGGGCTCCAACATCCTTGGGAGATGTACCCTCTGGGCGCTGTGTATGGGCTTGTTATGGGTGGCTTATCGTCTTACTGTCGAAGCTTTTTCGCCGAATTAATCCCCCCTGGGTACGAGGCGGCTTTCTACGCTCTGTATGCCATCACCGATAAGGGCTCGAGTGTGTTTGGCCCCGCTATTGTTGGAGCCATCACTGATCGATACGGCGGGATCCGACCGGCATTTGTCTTTCTGGCGCTTCTCATCTTGTTTCCGCTACCGCTCATGCTGCTTGTAGATGTGGAGCGAGGCAAGCGAGATGCGCTGGCGCTCGGGGCTGAGTTGGGGCACCTCTCTGAAGGGTCTGACAACGGGCCACTCACCAGTCCACCAGGAGATCAGTCTGAAGTATCTATGTAGGGTGTAGACTCTGTTCGGATTTCGTTCTCTCCCTCCCCATTCTTTTTCTGCCTTTCTTGATTTTCGGGACCATCATTGTTTGCAATCGTCCTGATAGAGTTAGTAAGACAGCGTTCTTTTCAGGGTTTTCACAGGGTTACAACATAGGTCTAGTACTGAGGGTCATTCCTTGTGTATGAAAACAATCTATCAGCCTCCACGTTTCGGGGCCTCTTCCCAGGGTTGTGCAATGTTTCCTCTGGTCCTTGGTGACCATCTTCAAAGGACACGGTGTTGACAATTCCTCCTATTAGCGTGTAACCACGAGCGTCGCGGAATTTCGGAAAGCGTGGGCAGAAGCAATTAGATCAATAACTTGCCTCGTATCCCGTCGTACTAAGCGGGGGTCCAAGTACCCCGTCGGTATCAGTACATCACGTCCTTCATGATTGGATGCTACAGAAGCGAAAAAGGGTCTTCGATAGATAGAACTTCATATGGCTATCATTGATGCATTAGAGAGGGTCTGGAGTTCGATGAAGGGGGGTTGGGTGTCGGCAGTCGATTCATACCTCTGACTCTAGGTCCTTCTGTACCTCAAGTGCCTGAAAATACCACTTAGAAACAGCCCTGCACTACGACCGACATCCTCTGTGTATGTAGAATATATAGGGGAAGATAGATAGACCGCTAGACCGATAGGCCGATAGAGATGTGTATTGAAATGGACGCTGACGAGTCTTTAGTCAAGTTCACCAACAATCCGCATGATGATGATAGATGATGTGATGAGCCGTGGGGCGCTTAGAGAGAGTCATGTAGTATGATAAGCCCGACTGTATTCGTAGAGGTAGAGGCATAGGTACGTACATCTGCCTACTTATCACACCTGGAGCGTGCCTTGGTCCAGAATGAGTCGAAGAGGGCCAGCAGAACCACCTGCTGAGGTTGCTGTTCTCTGCTCCGATCAGCCCCAAGGGATCATCTGTATATGTATAGACCTGCTCAGGTACCCGGTACCGCGCCAGTACACCCGAACCAAAAGAGGACCCCTTGCTTTTTGGCGCCCGCCCTGCATACTAGCACCTTTCGGGAGCTCCACCCCGTCCGCGCTGCAGCCCCAAAGAACAAACTGTCCTCAACTCACTCCCCGTTCCCGATAAATACATATCTCTCTGCCCTCGACCCTCTTTGGTTCTTGTATACAAGCCGCTTGGGTAAGTTCGTCGTTTGTTCCCTTCTCACACCTTTTATGTCCCCGTGATCACGATACAACATCTCCCCCCCTCCAAACTCACTCTCCCCTCCAACCCAAACATCCTCCCGATCTCCAAGCTCCAATCTCCACTTCGCTTGGGCGTGAGCTCGAGGGCTAACCCTCTTGGTCATACATAGGTGATTGCAGTACGACCCTTTCTTGTTATCTGCCAGAATCATCATGCGGTCCTTCGCCCCTCTTGTACTAGGCTTGCTGGGCGCCACTGCCGCGGTCTCTGCCACCGATGCCGCCGCCGACGCCGCCGACTCCAATGTCATCGCCTTGACCCAGGACACCTTCGACGAGTTCGTTAAAGACCACGACCTGGTCCTCGCTGAATTTTATGCGCCCTGGTGCGGCCATTGCAAGGCCCTGGCCCCAAAGTATGAAGAGGCCGCGACGGAACTAAAGGCCAAGAACATCCCCCTAGTCAAGGTTGATTGCACCGCGGAGGAGGATCTCTGTCGTACATATGAAGTCGATGGATACCCGACCCTGAAAGTTTTCCGTGGTCCTGATTCACACAAGCCCTACGGTGGTGCCCGTCAAACGGATTCGTGAGTGTGATCTTCCTCTAGTCCCTTGAAGCGCGCCTGGAAGCATCTTCTAATGGACGCCCTCTTTGTTTCACTTCAGGATTGTTTCCTACATGACTAAGCAGTCAATGCCTGCTGTTTCGAATGTGAATGAGGAGAACCTGGAGGAGTTCAAGACGATGGATAAAATTGTGATTATTGGCTATGTCGCTTCCGATGATAAGACCTCCAACAAGAGCTTCACCTCCTTTGCCGAGTCGCAGCGCGACAACTATCTCTTCGGCGCCTCCAATGATGCAGCCCTCGCCAAGGCTGAGGGTGCCAAGCAGCCCTCGATCGTTCTCTACAAGGATTTTGATGAGAAGAAGGCTGTGTACGATGGCAAGCTGGAGGACGATGCCATCCTGACGTGGGTCAAGACCGCCAGCACTCCTCTTGTTGGTGAGCTTGGTCCCGAGACCTATTCCAAGTATATGGCTGTATGTGACCACAGGTCTTTCCTATTTCCTTTCTTCTTGCTCTCCCCGACCATGCTAATTTGTCTCTGTAGGCCGGTGTTCCGTTGGCTTATATCTTCGCCGAGACCGCTGAAGAGCGTGAGAAATTCGCGGAGGAGTTCCGTCCTATCGCCGAGGCTCACCGCGGCGAGATCAACATCGTTACGCTTGACGCCAAGCTGTTCGGTGCTCACGCCGGCAACCTCAACCTTGAGCCGGAGAAATTCCCCGCTTTCGCGATCCAGGAGACCACCAAGAATGCCAAGTACCCCTATGACCAGACCAAGGAGATTGACGCCAAGGAGATCGGCAAGTTCATCAAGGATGTTCTTGATGGCAAGATTGATCCCAGCATCAAGTCTGAGCCCATCCCTGAAGCCCAGGAGGGCCCAGTTACCGTGGTTGTGGGCCGCAACTACCAAGAGCTCGTCATCGACAATGACAAGGATGTCTTGGTTGAATTTTATGCCCCGTGGTGCGGTCACTGCAAGGCGTAAGTCCATTCCATGTATTCACATGCTTCCTATTATGTCATGCTAACAAATTATCCCTTCTAGTCTGGCTCCAAAATACGAGGAGCTTGCTGCCCTGTACGCCGATGTCCCTGAGTTTAAGGAGAAGGTCGTCGTCGCCAAAATCGATGCTACTGCCAATGATGTCCCCGACTCCATTACTGGATTCCCGACCATCAAGATGTATGCTGCGGGCAAGAAGGATGCGCCCATCGAGTACGCCGGCTCCCGTACCGTGGAGGACCTCGTTGAGTTCATCAAGACCAACGGCAAGTATGAGATTGATGGCCTGGCCAATGGCGCCAAGAAGCCTGAGGAGGGCGGTGATGTTACTGCGCCCGCTTCGTCCAGCGAAGCCGCCGAGACTCCAGCTCCTTCTGACAAGGATATTCACGATGAGCTGTAATCTCAACATTGCTTGCATTGGAATTGCTTTGGCTTAATCATGTCCTGTAATATCATCACAATTTGAAATGGAACGATTGCGTGATGTGAATTGACTCATGTATCCCTGATCTGCGTAGCTTGACCTCAATCCTTTTAGAATCATGTCTTCGGCATCTGAAGTAGAATATGCTACGTTCCTTAGCATAGGAATATCGATTGATCGCAAACCTTCGGCAGGATTTTTGTGTACTCCGTACAGTAATATTTGGGGGTGACTGCACTAGAGATTCGTGCCTGTCGATCATCCGGCGTCATCCTCTGGTTACACCGGTCTTTTTAGTCAGCTTCAGCTTTATCTTATCCACGACGCGTTTTGCCGCGCGCAACGCGTCGATCGCTGCGGTACCGCGAACACTGACAAGCTGATCCTGGGAAATTGGTTACGTTCTCCTTTGTAGGCTTGTTTCAACCCTCCTCTGACTCTTCCTATAAATCGGTACAAGGTCTTGTATGCCTTTAGTGTCTGTTCTTCCTCGCCGACTCTATCCGATCCTCGCCATGGTCAGCCCTTCTCTGAAACGAAACTCCGACCACCTCTCCGCTCCAACAGCGGAGAGTAAGAAGCCCAAAGGTGGAAGCATTACGTCCTTTTTGGTGTCCCCAAGGCGAAGACCCTAAGCACCCAGGCCGTGGCAAGCCCACCTCGGTCAAGCACTTTCAACAAAGAAAAATGGGTCTCATCCCTCACCCCGGAGCAGAAGGAGTTATTGCAGTTGGAAATTGGTACTTTGGATGAAAGCTGGCTGGCCCACCTCAAGGATGAACTGATCACATCCGAGTTTTTGAATCTGAAGCGCTTTCTTAAGAAAGAGAAAGACTCGAAAGCCAAAATCTTTCCTCCGGAGGACGATGTCTATTCCTGGTAAGCTCGACTGTCCAAGATCATCAATCTACTCATCTGTTTCTAACTCAGAGCGCTTGTAGGTCTCGGCATACCCCTCTTCACACTGTCAAGGTTGTCATCATTGGTCAAGATCCTTACCATAACGATAACCAAGCACATGGCCTCGCGTTCTCGGTACGCCCGCCGACTCGAGCTCCACCATCATTGGTGAACATCTACAAGGGGATTCAGAAGAACTATCCTGAGTTCCAAGCACCACCTAACAATGGAGGCCTTCTTACCCCTTGGGCGGACCGGGGTGTTTTGATGCTCAACACATGCCTCACGGTTCGGGCGCATCAGGCCAATAGCCATTCCAATAAAGGGTGGGAGCGATTCACTCAAAAAGCAATCGATCTAGTTGCTCGTGTTCGAACCCACGGAGTTGTTTTCCTTGCTTGGGGAAAGCCTGCTGGGACACGGGTGGCGAAAATCAATAAACAGAAGCATTGCGTGTTACAGTCGGTTCACCCGAGTCCGCTAAGTGCACATGGGGGTTTCGTAAGTTAATCAGTCCCTCTCCGCTCATCTTTTTTACCAGGAAGTTGGTCGGCGGAGAAGGTCAATTTTACCCATGTGCAGATGACTGACTTGCAAAATACAGTTCGAGAACGGCCACTTCAAGAAGTGTAATGACTGGCTAGCATCGCGATATGGTGCCGATGAGATTATCGACTGGAGCTTGGTCCCAAGTAAGAAGAGTGTGGTATCCGTTTTGCCTTCCGCTTTGCCTTCCGATAAGGAGAATTCATCGGATCTTGCCAATGTTCCTTCATCGACACCAAAGGCCTCCACGGACAAGTGCCCGGAGAAGCAAAATGAGGATGTGGCCGTCAAGCCTTGCCCTGCTGCGGCAGATGAATTTGAGGATGACGATGCTCTAGAAGCTCTTATTGCAGCAGAGGCCGAGGATGAATCTACGAAGAACATGTGATGGAAGGAGGAACAGAAAGCTGTCAAATACCCCTCAATGTCATTTCATCATTTTATGCGCAGCAGCTGCTCTATGCTATATGCCTTGTCAAATGACCAGATTTGAGATGTGATATGGCGTTCTTGCGGTGTTTCAATCCTCGGGACCTGGAAACTTGTGAACTTAGTTGCTATTCTTGTCATGATGAAGCCATCTCTTTGCTGTAGCGCGTTTCCATTCTTCTCCATCTCTTTCAGTGTCGATGTAGCATCGATATAGGTTTCCTTCCATTCATTTGGTATGGGGGTTAATCAAGCTTTTTTAAAGACGGTCAAGTGTAGATCAGGCAGTTGTAATAGCTCTTTGGAGGGGTTCCTCGCGGTATTCTACAGCGTCTCTCTCTCGACAGAAAACATTGAAGCACGAATTGTGCAAATATAGGCTTATGCAACGGAATCACACAACCTCTGAATTACTGTACTAGCCCCTATCTGTCAATTTAGAGGAGCTTGAATCTGAATAATGTACATGTTCAGCAATTTCAATATTACTCTCCCCGAAAACTTCGGATTCCATCCTGCTTACTTCCCCTGCCTTGCTTTTGTCACCATTTTACGGGGAAACGACTCGCGTAGCAAGGTTCAGGTTCACCTCAGATGCCCCAGTCAATTCCGGCTCGGACATCCGAATCCTCCCCAAGTAGCCTCTCAACCTGTTTTGCAGTCAACGTGAGAAACTCTGCTATTTGCGTTTGGCCGAAGCCGTCATCGTGGAATTTTTTCACCAAGTGAGCTGCCTCCGGTCCGTCTGGCTGCGCGTCTGTCTTGTGAAGAACCTCATTTCGGAAAAATGAGTATATAACTGAGGACTTCCTTCATATACGCCTTTGGACCTCCCAAAGTCTGTTGTATCCAATAATATACGTTGCTGTACTCATCAGCGGGCACATCCTTTAATCCAATTTCGAGGCACCGAAGAGGGAAGTTGACCCCGTATCGTCCAAAGACCGCACAGCTCTCCATGTAGCCCCTCGGCCATTGATCCTCTGAGGCATCATCAATAGATGCATGGGATGCGGTAATGTACAGATATCGATTCCTATAGGATAATGTTAGGATGGATATGAAGTAGGGGGGCGACTTACGCGATCTGGTGGCATTGTCCGTCCCAGTTGATTTTTCCATCGGAGGGGAGATTGGCGTTTCCCACACCGTCCGTACGGTCAGTGCCGTATGTCGGCTGTAAAAGATTTTTCGAGCTGATCGATTTGCCTGTAGACATTAGAACGATGTCGTTGAGGACGCATTTCCTTTCCAGCACGTTGTCTTGAGCACCTTCTCCACCATGACCGCCGGCACAGTCAAAGTAGGTTACTATTGACGGGTCGACATCGCTAACCACGGAGATCCAGGTATGGTACCAACCCTTGGCCTGGCTACTTTCATCCCGACCAGGTGCTTTGCCGAGGCGCATCGTGGAATCGGTTGTGGAATAGAACTGGTCCATATAAAGCGTTTCGTACTGGCGCATCAAATGACCTATACTACCCGACCAGAGGTCACGGATGCTGCTGTATGCCCAGCCATCGGTAATATTGCTCTGGCGGACCACGATCCGGTCACAGCGCCAGTGGGTGCTAGAAAGCCAGTTGGCGCGGCCGCAAGCAATGTAAACAAAGCGCACCCGTCTCATGGGGCGATCCTGGAAGGTGAAAGGAAAGTATCTGTTCGGCCGATTTGGAATGGCTTCCCGGTGGGGGCGCGGTCCATTTGGTTGAGTACACGATATTCAAGGCTCGCTATGTTGAAGGCCTCTCCCTGGGCAGTATCAGCTAAAGCTACCTCGATCGTATCATTTGTGCCTGAGAACCACCGGCTACTGGTTGTGATGGATATGTTGTAGGTTACTAAATGGTTTGCACCGTCTGTCACAAAGTCAGGCTGTTCAAAATCATCATCTGTCCCATGGATGGGGGGCGCAAATGCCGACAATGACCACTGGGCCCCGAGCGGTTGATTATTCGACGTTTTTTCTGCGAGAACAACCGTTGCACCCTCGCCTATATTTCCCTGGGCTACGACAATCAAGTTGCTATGCTTATGGATAAGCAGGCCACCGCGCAATACAAATTCCTGGCTTGTATTCGTCCGCGACCATCTTGCTAAGCACAGTGAAACTCCCGGTGCTGAAATGCCGTTGATCGTCAATGCGAGGTTGTTCCCTTCACAGAAGAACGAGTTGCGGAATTTATACCAGGACTGCGTGGGATTTCCCTCACTCTTTCCAACAACAGAAAGGCTGGTCCCGTTTCCGTTCAGAACGGCCGATGAAGCGAGATCGTTCCAGAAAATCCTTGCATCAGACAAGGCGAGCCATTTCTGAGAGTCGTCAGTCATATCGAGCGGCACCGTAACCACGCTGTTTGCTCCATCAACGCCCAACGCTACAGTTTGTGAAGACTTGAGCGCAAAATTTCCAGAAGTGTTGAAATCAAAACTCTGCAGACTGTCTTGGCTGGGATCTGGCGCTGCAAATTGCACCGAATGTCCGGCACTTGCTGCATGAACCTGAATCGCCAACTGCGTCATCATGTCATACAACTTGTCCCCAGCGTACCGGCAGAGGTGACCAGGGGCAGTTGAGATCCCTGGGCTGACCACCGCCGTTCCATTTCTATTTGTGAGGACGAGTCCCGTCCCGACGTTTAGAACGACGCCGCATCCAATGCGCTGGGGCATGAGGGTGCCGCGGATGTTGGTGGATGCGGAGCCATTGGGCTGTATTATACCCTCACACAACTCGCCAACCTGTTTGGCTGGCCAATATGTAGGATCTGAGCTACGCATTCTGAACTTCAAGATCCCCGTGGAGGGATTGGTATTGCTGGAGCCGGAGCTTGACCATTTTAGACGCGCCGCGAAGTATTTGGCCCCGTCGAGGATGGTGGAACTTTTCAAGACCACGAAGCCCGTCGAGGTCACGGCAAGTTGTCCGGTAGGCGACCAATTGTTTGTGGAGGTCTCGGCTTCCAGCGCGTAGATGCCATAGTCTACGTAGAATAGGGTTTCCACGTTCGGGCCAAGCTGAGGCGGCTCTTCGCCAGAGCCCACCAGTTGGCCATGAACGGTACGTGTTTCTCGTGGGCGAAAAGTCGAGTGTGATCCCAAAAATTGCGGGCCAGTATCCAATCAAAGAGCTCTTGATCGAGTCCGCCTGCAGCCGGAACCTCACATCCATAGGAATTTGGTGAGGTGTGCGAGCCTCGCTCCAGAATCGCACTTCGGAAAGCAGCCCATCGTAGTGCTGGTTATCGATAGATGATGAATCAACAGCTCCGACCATCATTCGGTCACTGGAATTGATATTCAGTGGCGGGCTGCCGTTCGTTGATTGCTGTGTTGGAAGAGCTACAGCGTCCAGGTAGATCACGAACTCGGCCCCAGCCCGTACCGCTGCAATGTGATGCCACATCCCGTCGCAGATCGAGACACCAGAGACGATTCCACGTGCATAACTCGTCCCATCCTGTGTGCTGGCTTCGATAGACCCCGGACTTGCTAGGAGGTAAAATCCGGGGTTGCTCGCTGATGCCATGATGTCCAGAATAGGGCCGCCGCTGTATGTTTTGACCCATGCTTCAACCGTGGTCTGCCGTGCTCAACTGGTAGGGGCCTACGGAGGGCAGGGCTATATAGGCCTGTGTGGAGTCGGCTAGATGAAAGGAACCTTCATTCATATCGTCGATTATTGATACGAAGGTTGTGTTAATTAGCGGATTTAATAGAGTCCAGACATTCGTTCCCTCAACCTATTATATGGAAAAACGGACAGCGAGGCCATTCTGCCATTCTATTGACATCAAATGTCACCTGTACCATCCATTTCAGCGAGTGACAATGAACGGAAACAGGCGTCTTAATGCATTTGCATTCTATCGAGCCGTCTAGACCTCGAAACCAGGCGGTTCTGGTTCCAACATCGAGAGCCTCGAACCAGGTCTCACAGCTCTGCGGCTCTACGATACTAGGGCCGCATTTCATATCAAGCTACCAGGATTTTCCTATTCAGCGATAATAAATATCCAAGTCTTTAAATGTAATATACGTAATCCACGGGTCAAATGGGTCACACGGGTCAGTGGGTCAATTGCGTTGATTGACTATTACAGTGCCCGCCTATTCACTGATATTCTAGTTCTCCAGCCAGTTGACTCTCTTTCAGGCATACATAGCGCTGTGGGCAGAAATAGCGACTGCCTGTCTACCCTTCACACAGGGTCATCATTTGTTTGGCTTCTGTCACGGATCTCGGTGTACAGAGTAGAATGTCGGTCGATCAGATAAAGTACGATAGCACAGGGAGGGGAAGGGGGGATGAGATTGAATCAGATTGATATATGAACTGATATTTGAAGAGCGGAACTGAATACCCCCATATATGCGGTATTTTTTAATTATTCAATATCGGTGAGGATTCTTTGCCCTAACTGCAGGGATTCGGTATTTGATCCATCACAAACCCCAAGGAGCTTCGGTAATTTTGCTTGGGAATCTCAAACGCTCACTTCAGCTGCCACGTCTCAATACTCGATTTATCAGTAATGAGTTAACGATCAAGTCGAATCTGGATGGCGCTATCAGGCTCACTTACATGTTCCTCGTAGTCTTTTGCTCATTCCTTGAATTATCGATCATATCGCAGAGCGCCACACTCAGAATGCCAAACCTTGGCTAAACACTGGCTATAAACCTCCAAATGATTGAGATTCATGATTTCTAAACATGGGAGAAGTATTACATCCTGATGGCTGCATACATATCAGCCTTCCACCACAGGCAACGCGCTTAATCCGCCTTAAAGTTCGATTACGATTACCAAAGGGAACTCCGACCTCATTCTACTCGCGCCATAAGGCCCTCAATGTTAGCCAAAACTGTAACCGGTCCAAATTTCGGCACGGATATGTGCGGAAGTTTCCATTTCCGCTTGCGGCAGGATTGCCTATATCGGATAGCCCATATCGGACGGAACCCATACTTGGCCGAGTCGATTATTTCGACGCTTGGATACTGCGACGTTTCTTTGTTAGCAGATCTGGAGCCGGGTGGGCAACACCCACGAATTGGATCGAGGGGGGTGAAGGTTGTGGCTCATGACCCATTTGGTTATTATATGATGGCGATTTGACAATAAATGGGCTCGCGCATGGACAATTTAAAGTGAGAAAGCTGAAATAAACGTCTGATTTCAGTTGAAGGGACTAAAGTTGAAATGTTCGGCTGTCCAATATTTGTTTCAATAGGTGATGTTACCATATCAATCAACCTACTTTGACCGACCCTCTTGAACCATGATCTAATTGCTGCCATTGTTTCCCCATATCTCTTCCTGTCATGAGTGGTCATATATAGAGCCTGGCAAAGCTTGTCTCTGGGTTATCAATGGTAGTCACAAGTAACGAGATATTTGGGACTGTGGATATCACTTCGGTATCCGGAGAACGCGCAAAGAACGGATTTCTGTCAATGCTCGGTGGATATCTGATTACTACTCGCACTTGTACGAGTATGTTGGTTCAACTGAATTATTTGTTCAATATGCTATTTACCTGGCGGAAAAAAGGGCTTTGGCTCCACACAATTTCCTCCCATAGGTTATTTCATGGCGTTAATTTTTTGCGATGGTTATTCTGCGGTGTGGCCTACCTTGTAGGGCAAGCAAAAAGAATTGCGAGTGAGTATGTGGAATAAAATTAGAAGACATTGATTGACTGCCACGGATTCCGTGGTTTCTTCTAGTAATTTCTTTCAGAGTACGGGTTTTTGGGGGGATGATAAAAGTTACTGTACATAACTCCTGACATATATCTGCTCTGCCATGGGTAGTTAAAGACGAGTTTCGAATCCCGTTTCTATGGTACTCCCGTTTGTCAGCCGAGGCCCTAGAGGGTGCCTTATCTTGAGTGGCCGGATTCTACTAGCTGTTTTGATCCACGAAGCACAAAATACAATGTACAGGTTGCTTCGAATTGTCAAGTCGTTCTGTAACCCAATCACATCAATAATTTTTAGTGTCTATGTACAGCCGCCCATACCGTTTTCGCGTTGGTGGGTCCGCCACATACTGCATATACCACAACGTTTTTCCTATTTCTCTTATAAATCAACTTTTTTTAACACTATTTATAAAGAAAATATCACTCTTCTGATATATTTTTTCTGCTCTTTTCAATCCTATATCTGCTACCTGTGAAGGATCGGGTGGTTGTGACGTTCTAACCGCTTTCTTCCACTGCTTCCGAAGCTTCATCCTCCAATATAACAATCGCTCTGTTGCTCTTTAAGATTCCTCGCTCTTTCGAATAAAAGTCTTCGTCATCCGTAATCAGAGGCCGATCGAGTGTACTTGAAATGCCCCCGTGATAGGATGCCTCGTCATGATGCCCAACAATTCAACCACGGATGCATGCCTTGACTCGGTAAGTATTTCCATCGGAAGGCACAGACATTTTCTTTCAAGTGGCGCCTTCCACCTCCATATAAGCAGGATCAAATGCTTCTCCGGGCTTGAAGTGCAAAAGCTGGTATCGACAACCGCTTGGCGGAATAAATCGAGCGCGGGATTTGAAAGCACATATAAAAATGACTCCGAAGTCTGCTAACTTGATCCTTGATTCCTTCAAACACTTGATCGTCGATTAAGGGATCTAATAGCTCCAGAAACTGGTTTCGGGTCTCTTCCACCTCTTTAGTAATTCAACAATGTTTGAACTGATGGCTGTCGCTAAGCATCGACTCTAGAGAGACCCTGTGAAGTGTTTCCAAAGTACTAGGAAGGGCTCAATTTCGACAAGCTCACAATTAGTATATATCCTTGTCTAAAGCTTGACGAGCGCATATTGTTCTCTTGTATTAAATACTGTAGCTCTCGTAACATATAACCCTCGGAATGTAGAGCTGTCCAGCATTCGGAGAAAAGGATTCGATCTCACACGAACCCAAAAAAAGTAATGCGCGTATTACCCCCATTAGATTTTAAACTAGGAAACGCATTGTTCCAAGTATGCATTTGACAAAGCTATAAACTATTCTTTTTTGCGCGGCTTTTTCCATATCTTTGAAGTTTAGTGGTTCGATCAACACGGCGCAAGAAATCTAGCTATGCGTCACAGTTGTTGTTCGAGTTCAGCCAATCCCTCCGATAAGTCCGAAGAACAAGTCAAATCAAACTGCCAGTCCTCTTTGGTTTTTACAAGCATTTCTCGAGAATCAATTCGCTTATTAAGCATCATTATCTGGTCGATTTTCCTCTCTAAATGTTTATATTTCTGCTTGAGCTTGGTCCTAAGCTCTCGGATTTCATCCTCGAATTCCCGAATTCTTGGTCTCCAAGTTCTTTCATCTGCTCATAGTGACGGAGCATTGTATTGAGTTCATTGTTTGATCCTTGAAGACGATCCATCTTGTCTTGCAAAGCGACAATTTTCTGATCGCGGTACATGTTGAGGAGATCGATCTCTCGTTTTAGTAAGATATTCTGTCGTTGCAGGATACTTATGTCCGATTGAGTCTCTGTTTCTAAAGTCGGAGCCTCTCGTAAGTCAGTGGTTCTCGGTGGATTATGGCATTCTGTCCCTTTTTTTTGGTACTGGTGCGCTCACATTCCCGTCGCTGCCTCCAGTAGAGTCGACGCTGGCGCTATCCATTCTCCTAGAACACTGCAGTAACGCTGGTTAGCATTTCACAAATTGAGCTGTACCTCGTTCTTTTTCAAATACCTACTTGAGCCGAGCCATTGGACAATTTTTGACTCTTGACTCTCACTGAACTTGTACCGGAATCCTCTGATGGCTCTCTGACCAGGGCTGACCCCCCTCTGTGTCTTTTCGTCCACCCATCGCAGGCCGAAGCTCAGTGTCCAAGATGAGATATTTGAAATCCCCACTCTGGTCTGGCATTGGTGGGCTAGAGACGTAATGCCAACGATCAGCAAGTCGACGACCAGAGCTTGCGGATCTGGCGCGTGATGATTCCTCTGGTGACACCCGCACTTCCAGACTCATTTTTAACTCCCCTTGGAGTCTCTGATAGTCGGGGATTGACAGTTATTAGTCTGCCACAGAAGCTTGAAACGAAGACATGGAAATGGTTTCATAGAAGCGAGGCCGCGAGGGTGAATGGGGGCGGGGTTTCTACCTGGGACCTCTAACCGACCCTCGCTGGTAGCATTCGGCCTTTTCTATCTAGCGACTTTTTGAGCATTTTGGTGTGTGGTGGGTAGCGCGTGTTTGATTGGGTGGGCCACTCACTAGTAAAATATGTCGAGAAGGAGAAGCCATGAACAACGCGAGGACCTATATATTCCTCTGTGCGTTGCATTTGGTCATTACAGGAAATCTCGATTCTCTGCTTGTTTTGTATAGTATCCCAGGTAGACTCGGAACCCAGCGCCGTAACATGCTAGTCAGCGAGGCAGGAGATATTTATACTTCCTGCCAGCCAATTGAGCTCTTTAGACCTCATCGCATTGAGCATCGCATTCCATGAGATGCCATCTTTACTAGCCTATACAGCTTTCTTCCTGTATGACATACACCAATGATCCACCCTTGGAACATCTCCGGGTCCGCCTTGTAGTGTTCTACAACTGGGTGTCCATTTGGGCCATAAATTATCCAACCCCTTCTTTCTTGACATACGCGCAGTATTAGGAGATTTAGATTATTGTCATTCACTCGCAGTACAAATTGATTGATGGTCGCTGTTTGGCCTTTATCTTCGGCATGGGCTTGACTCTCTGTGTTGAGGGCGGTGGCACAAATGCTCCACTCGAGGTTTATCGATAAAGTTGCGCCGCGGGTTGAGCATCCGTCTCCATTAGAGACCGGCAACCGTACTGGCATCGTATCAAAAGAATGGAGCTGACCTGGCTTGCCGATACCCCGCAGTCCCGAAGCAGGACGCGAGCCTTGCGGGCTTGTCCAGCCTGTCAGCGACGAAAGGTAGGCACCTGGATGGGGGTGGCTGCTCTCTTACTACTAGTGCTGATATCTTATTAGAAACGCTGCCGACATCTACCGCCAAGTTCAGATATACTTCTTGGTCAGTTTGGGCCATCTCGAAGCCATAGAATCTTGGCGTCAACCAGATCTCCGAGCACTCCAGACCGGCAGCGATCCTTTGGCCAAGCACCTGCTAGGGCGAAGTCCATATCGACAGATCTGGCCTTGTCATCGTTTTCTAGTACAGAGCGATTTGTTGGAGACCTTAATCCAGAGGCCGTTATTCGAGAAAGGCTGAACGAGTCTTCTGACACTCCTCGACGAGATCGCGTTGGACTCTGGATCAGTTCTTCAGAAGCACAAAATGCCGACGAGAAGCGGGAGAGGTGTCAGGCGACTGTCACTGATCCCTTCTCTGCTCTGCCATGCGCGCCTCCGTTCCTCGATGGGCAGACTATTGAATCAATTTTGCATCAGCGGTATATGTCTGCAGTGCAAACATGCAGCCCACTTCCAGATGCGACGCGAGATCCACTTACGACGATATATTTCTCCAAGATCAACCGAATAACACCTTTGGTGGATCAAAACACGTTTATTATGGCTCAAAGAGCTGGCTCAACATCGACTTTTCTCGAAAGGGCCATTTGTCTAGTTGCAGCTAAAGATCAATCAGCAAGTCCTCATCTGCGGCTGGTGAATGACGGGCCGGTTCTCACATCACGACAATTCTGCACAACCCTCTACAAAGGACTTGTCGCTGCCATGGACGCCGAGTTAGAGCCCGATCGACTAACTCGGGTTCGCGTACTAGCACTGATGTCTCTGCATTGCGAGGGATATGAGGGGGCTGAGGCAGCATCCCTGCACTTATGCCAGGCCATCCATCAAGCACAAACGGTGGGTTTGCATCTTGACCGGCCGGGCCGAACATCTGAAGACCCACTTTTTAGGTTGTTCTGGTGCCTATGGACTTTAGACAAGATGCATGCAAGTATTGGCGGTCGCCCAGTTCTTCTCGCAGATCGTGATATTGGGATCGAGAAACCGAATATGCAGGCACAGGGCCCCCATGGCGCGTTCGGGGTGTGGCTAGCAGTGTCGGACCTGCTGGCAACAGTGATATCCTTCTATCGGCCCTCTGCAGGTGTCACCAATGGATGGGAAGAAGGGTTCCCGGCCTTTGAAGATATCGTGGGTGTAAATACTCACGCCGATCTAGATTTTTCTACTCTCGGTACGTTTAGTCAATTCTTTCATTCTGAGCAAAAATCGCTGCCCAATAAAAGCTCACGTTTCAGCAGGCGTTTTAGAGCTCTACTACCACTGTGTGGCGATTCTCTCTTGTCGATATAAATTGGCCGAGAGCTTTGATGGTTCCAAAGTATCATCCATTCGACAAGGGCTTGCGGCTGTACGTATCTGCTCGATCGTGGCATCTGAATGTGTGAACAATCTTCCACCTCTCCCAATTGTACCCTACGCCATTTCGCTTTCCATGGGAGTTTCATATCGGCAACTTCGCTCCAGTAAACTGATCACACACTTTGACCGAGCGAGAGGAAGCTTAGAAGCATGCTGTGCTATGCTAGAGGACCTGGGCCCCCGCTGGTATTCCGCGGAGGCAATGGCTCGTCTCGGCCGTAAAGCGTTACAACACATCAATCACGACCATCCTGCGCATCGAAGCGTAGCGACTTCAATTGAACACCCTCATATCCCCGCAGACCTGCCCCGCTTGGAAGGTTCTGATAGTACCGCAAATTCCCTTGATGACCTACCTTCGACTCTTCAGGGGCCCTCGCAGATCATGTCAACCGTACCATCCGTGGTCCCTGGTCCCGAGGTTCCAATGGGTTGTCCATCTCCATCGGAGAATGACGTTGACAGTGCCATGCACGGGTTTGCTGATATCGACACCTTATTTGGCGACTTCCTAGATCTGTCGTTGCCGACAAACTTCTGGGACCCTATCTTTGCAGAGGAGGAACCCCCGAGAGTCAACCTGGATGATCTTTCCCTCAAGTCTATGTTCGTTCGCTTGACTATGGGCTCATTTCTAGCCCCATCTTCGCCGTTCACCTGTCTGGGAGCGATTCTATATATCTATACCTCCAGTAGTCCTTTCGCGAACTAGCATCCACTCTTCAAGCACCTTGGCGCCGGCTGACTCGACAATTCAGGACCGGCTCGGAGATTGGTGGTTCGGCAGACCGCCGATCTTCATTGTGTCTTGCCGGAACTGGGCGCAGGCAGAGCCAACGGTTCTCGTTCACGCTGGCTAGAACCTAGTCGGATCGCAATCCAGCGCGGTCCACCAGCACGTCGTGGCGTCCTTCCTTTGTGGGGTTCAAATGGGGATCGGCCGTTGCAACGCCCAAATGAGGCGTTCCTTCAGCCTCGGACTCGTGGAACTGCTACACACTCATCCCACACGCTCTGCTGCCCCCTGGATCGTCGCTTTGGTCTACTTGTTTCATCTTGATGGCGTCTGCACGTCTGCAGGCCGGCAGGTCTGGACCGGCACCTGGATGGTTCGGGGTGTGTCATTGTCATCCCAAGCCCTGGAATCTGGCCGTCCTCGGGAGGCTCCACCACCGGTCGCCAGCCGCAACAAAGGGAAAAAAGTGGAAATCACCGGCAGATACAAAGATCTCGGCCTCCCAGCGATTCTCTCTCTTGAATAAAGATCCTTTCTTCTCCTGCCTTGCACTTAAGGGGCCCAAGTGTGCTGGTCTCACCGGTTGAAACCCGCGACTCATCTCCCCGCCACCAAAGCCCCGCCGCCGGCGGTCTCAGGAACCCGGTATGCCTTTCCGCTCTGGGCTGCTAGTCCTTCCACCCCCCTCTGACATTTCTAACAATTTTCATAGCAGACGGAAAAATCCATTCGTGGCCTCTCAAGGAACATATGGCTGGTGTTGCGGCCTGATTCGCCTCCCAGCCGCCTCACGCCATCCGACAAGCTCCCCCTCCAGTCCTGCACTATGAGCGAAGCCCCTTTCATTTAGGCCCGATTACGATTTAATATCCGACCACTCCCCTTGGGATGTGGACATTAGCCGGAACCGACCCGTTACGTTGGTGTTAAAGCAATTTACCGGTAATTGCATTTGAGAAAAACCTGGCAACGCGACCCAGATATACTCCGTACTCTATACTTGAAGACAAGCCATTCTACAAGCCCAATCGTTAGAGTAAGAAGAGCGGCGTCATTTTCGCGATTGCGTGCGCTGGATTGATGGCTGCGCCAGACGGCTTGAAGAACGCATCGCCAGCCGGTGCTAAATTCGAGCCAAAAGAACAGCCGACCCAGTTCCCCGCCGCCAAACATCCGACCCCCTCGCCGCTGCCGCCCTCGTTCTCCCTCCACCCTATATCTCAGTTGCAAGGTCCATTTGAAGAGTCGGTAGCGGAGGCGAGCGATATCTCTGCTAGCGAATGGGTGGTCGAACTGGACGCGCAGACCCGCCGCCGAGATCTGCTCGAGAACGATGACTACGAACGGCTGTGCGGAAGAAAATGGCGCCAGAGGGCATCGGAGAGGTGAGCAATCTTTGATCCAAGTCTCTCATGCACGGAGCGGCACTCATTGACCACGAAAACAGATACCATCCTTTTTGGAAACTGGTTTCCCAAATGTCGTTCGGGGTTCATCTCCTAGCTCACCGATTGGCCAAGTCCGAGCCTGAAGTCATGAAGATTCTCCAAGGCCATGTTGACGAGTTGGATGGCTTTTTACAGCGAACAACAGAGGATTTCCTTATCATCCAGCTCGATGTCCGAACTCGGATTCAATATCTGACACTACCATTGGGGAATCTAGATGTATTTGACCAAATGCTTGAGGACCGGAATTTTCGCCTGGCCTTAGTGTCCTATAATGACCAGATTGAACATGCGGTCGAGCGATTCACTATGGCTATCACGGATGCGCTCAAGGACCTCTCGAAAGGCAAGGAAGCGATGGGGGCTCTGTGGTACTACTTTCACCGACTGGCGGATGAAGGCCGCTTCGGGACTGAGAGCCTCCGAGCTTTCTATCAAGCCATGATGGAGAATTTGGAGGGTTGGATTCTGGCCTTGTCTAAACTGCGCCGACGTGGCGCGGCACTTCAAAAGGCGCTGGGCCAACTGGCGTTTGCAGTGACCGAAATGCAACAGCGAGTAGGAGTAGCGAGTCGAAAGGATACAGTGGGTTGGACTGCCTTGCATTATGCTTCAATTGCTGACGCGAACAGCGATCATTTATTAAAATGGCCAGCCGCAACCCCAGTCGATCTCGATCAGTTAAACAGAGAATTCTTGCGAAAGTTCCAGGTACTTCGCCCGCCCTTTCACCCTCAAACAAACCATTGCCGCGCGACCCTCTTGCAGTGCCCAAGGCCCGCCCCGTTTCCCGCAAACCTGAAACTACACCGATTGCAGAGGAGGGCAATGAAGATGCTGGTAGTCCGAAGATCTCTTCCAAGCGGGAGAGTATCATGCCAAAGGTTCTGAATCGGGCCAAGTCGTGTGGTGCCCTCGTGGCGGAAGTTCGTCCCAACGACGGGGCTTCTCCTCCTAGAACGCCCTCGCGGCTTACGCGAAAGCTTTCCAAGCCCTTTCTCCCCAAACGATCTGTTAGCGAGAAGGTTGATTTGAGAAACCGTCCCTCCACGGCACCTGGTCCAACCCTCAAATCCCGGAGCGCCTCAATCGAACAATTGAAGACCTTATGGGCCAGTGGGCGTCCGCGGACCCAGCAGTCAACAATGAAGCCGCCTTCCGGGCCGCGTCCACAGGCTCTACAGCAATCTTCTGATAACTCGGAGACTATGAAGGATCAGATCTCACAGTTTCTCAAAACCGACCGTGTGGTCGAGGCATGGGACAACATTGCCAGGACAACCGGCTGCTGCGGGCGGACGCTCGCAAAAACCAAGGAGTGGCCAAGCAGTATGTTCCGCGCTAAATCATCAGATCAATTGCAAGTTCATTCAAATGACCGATTTTCTGGCGTGGACCTGGAAAGACAAATGTCATGGGTTCAAGAGCCGGAAATCTTGACCACCTATTCGTTCAAGCGGCGGCCCGAGACTTCTCCACGTATTCACGTTTTGTCTGTTTCAATGAGCCTCGACGAGGAATTGGATGGCGAAAGTGGCGAAAGAATGGGTAGGCCGTCTTACGATCCGGGAGACTTTGGTTCCATTATTACTGCACTTCCAGCTGTTCCCCCACCGACACCCGCATTGGTTCCATCGGTTGGTGCACTCTCTTCATCTTAACGTAATCGGCCAACCTAATTGTCTTGCAGGTTGCCACTTAAAATAATCCCAAAACGGTTGATTGCTCCCAGACTTGAAACGTCTTGGACGATTACTCGTGCTTCATCAAGACCGCCACATATGTACCTATTGCAGAACTGGTTTCGCATCGATATATCGCGTCCCGGTCATCACCATGAAAGGATCTTGACTCTAGCGATTAAGAAAAACGCCGGCTCGTTGCATATATAGATATATTAGCACTTATACCCCATCTGTTTCATGCAATTGAATAATCTTCTTGTAATACCTGTGCTGTCTATATTGGCCCAAGTTCCTCTTTAGGTGTATTTATAATTTAGTTTTCAGTCAGTCAAGATTTTCTACGAGTTTCAATACCGATCCAATATACCTCGTAAAGGCCAAAAAGGCGGCTGAGAACCAGAAAAAAAATGAAAGTATCCCTATGCACTCTGGCATTGAGTGTTCATAGTAGGTAGCAAACAGGCATTAGGCGGCTAAGCGTTACAGCATTTCAAAGATAGCAGTAAATCATGGTTCCTGCTTATTATTAGCAAACACATCTTCCAATCCACGGAGGCATCGAATGACGCATTGGATGTGCAAAGTCAGACGGGATAGAATCTAGCATTTATTTTCACTCTTTGTGGCCGAGTCTAATCCGCATACTCGGGCCCCTGCAAGCGCCTAAGCAGTAAACGCCCAACATAATCAAAGCCAAAACAGCAGACTACTTCGTAGACACATGAGCCCATGGCCAAAACACAAAATACAGTTCGGTTGAAGATAACAGAAACAATAAGAAAAGGAAACAAAAAAGTTAATTATTTGCAGCGCTTCTCCACGATGTTGGCGCCGTGCTCGTCATACTCCTTCTTGGAAATCCACATCTGGTGGAAAGTACCCAAACTGGCCAAGATACTGCCTCCGATCCAGGAGCCAAAGCGACGCTCGGCGGTGTTTCCAGGAGCAGAGATTCGCACTCGAGGACCAGGGAACAATTGCATCAGCTCGTGGTTCAAACGATCTGTAAAGCCATAGAGCAGGCTAGATGCACCAGTGACAACGACATTAGCCAAAAGATGAGGGCGAATGTCCACATCAACACCACTAAGAGATGCCTTGATCAGCTCTGGAAGAGTTTGAGCCTGTGTCGGGGCGGGAACAGGCGAATCGGGGTCTGGAATGGCCGCTTTCACGTCAAACAAAGACTCCACGACACGGAAACGATCGAGACCAAACACTTGGTTGTAGCCATCCGGAAATTCAAAGGGACGACCAGGAGACGAGCGAGCCAGCTCTTCATTCGGCACGCCTGTAGGGCCAGTGGCGGAAAGTTTGTTCGGCCCAGGCCAAACCTGAACGACACATTCCTTGAACTCGGAGAGCGTACGCTCCTCGAGGAGGGTGCGATACGACGCATCGGGTGCCTTGTCGGCTGGAAAGGTCTTGTATTTGGCTTGGGGAGGTTGGCCAGCTTCAACGGCGGTCTTCGAGCTGACCAGATAGTGAGGCGTCACGGTAATCGGTTGCGGGGAGTTTTTCTTGAAGAGCGCACGAATTTGGGACGAAATATAGTCACCACCCAGTGGAGAATGTTGCACACCTCGCTTTAGGACCATGCCATCATGGACCGGGGTGATAGAAATATTAGAGGCGCCAATGTCCACAACGAGAGCAGAGGCTTTGCCAGATGCAAACCTAGATAATGAGGCCTGTCAGCACGAATTGGTTGCCCTCCTGGAGAGATAAGAGCTGTCTTAGGATACATACGCTGCAAGAACACCATTCCGAGCAAGATAGAAAGCAGGAGTACCCCAATTTTCCATTGCAACCTCAATGGTCTTCTCCCGTGATTTAGCCGGGTTCCAGGCAGGCTCTGTCATCAACAATGGATTATCGGCCAGAGGCTTCTCATCCGTTTCCACCTCCATCTCAGTTGGAAACTCATCGCTAGAAATATCGTTCAATCCGTTTTGGAATGGGTTGCCCGGCTTTGCGCCAGTGAGTCGCGAGGTGAAAGAGTATTCCCAGACCTTCTCCGCCATATCCCAGTCTTCGACGATGCCATCCTTGCCGATCGGGTTGTGAATGGATAGCCCTGGACGCGGGGTGACAAACACATCATCACCAAAGATCAGCTTCTCTTGGCCGTCAGTGTTGTATTTGCCGTAGTATGTTGGGATCAGTGACTTTGGGGCATCTTCACCAGCGAAGCCAGCGCGCGTGGTTGAGTATCCTGGGTCGAGGACAATGGCCGAAACCTCGTCTATAACCGATCAGCCAAAGAATCTTAGCATCAATTCACCAAAGTGTCTCCGTTGATGATGGGGCTAGGGCGTTTGTGAAGATCAAGCGAGGAGGGTGTCGCATCGCGCGAATGCACTTACCTCCACCGTACTCAGCCGCCTGGGGCGGATTTGAGGGATTCATCGTCTTAGCGCAGAAGATGAGAGATCAAATCAAATCCAAGACGATTGTTCGGTCCGCCAGTGATGTCGACAATTCAAGCCGAGACCATGCGCGTGGGGGATAAAGGGAGGATAGGGAGGAAGGCGGTCTTTTTGGTGCGGCAGAGGAGCTTTGGCGGAGAGCAACAACTGCTTTCCGCTCGGCAGGTGGATGACCTCACCTCCGCCCACCTCTTTTTTAAACCTCCCTCTCGTCGACTTTCCAAAACAAGACAAGTATGAATACTGAGGTTGAGAACCCCCCGGAAGCCCTCTTCCGCCCCTCAAAGCGCCGCAAATTCATCCGACGGCGTGCAGATGGCTCCGATGAGACGGCCGTGAATGGCGAAGAGCCAACCGAGCCTACTAGTGCGCAGAATCGCCGCACACCTGAATCTCACGCTACTGCTGAAAAAGATGAATCTACCCAAGAATCTATCGTGGTTCGCCAGCGGCGGCTGCCGCATACTCGAAAGGGGGGTATTGGATTCTCCGCCACATCGCGACTAGGTCAAGACAACAGCCGACAGACAGCGCTAAGTTCTGTCGAGGACACAGGCAAAGAGGAGATCCAGGCTATGGGTGATAGATTTACGGCATACACTGGTCAGACGGTTGACGTGGACAGGCACATGTACGGACATTATCTTTCCTGAGGCGCAGCTGCCAGTTCAATGCCGACTAACAAGATAAGGATGGCCTACATAGATTCCGAAATGGCTAAACGTCACCAACGCGGTCCTCTACCAGAGACTCCAGAGGCCAGTCAGTCACCTTCTCCATCAGCCATCGATGGGCGCTCAATACCGGGCCAGCAAGAGCGTAAACCCGCAACTTTAGGTAGATTGCATGAAATCGACCTTGGCGAAGAGACAAAATTGGAAAATATTGCGCGAACTCAAGCCGCTGCTCGAAGACTGGAGGGGCATGAAGAGCTACCGCTTACCGGTGAATCAAGCATTCAATCGGACGGCGCTGGGACAGGCGAAAAGCGATGGCGCAACCGCAAACGACGCACCAGCGCTGACATTGAACGAGATCGGTTAGTAGAAGAAGTATTGCGTGAGAGTAAATGTAATGTGAACCCGGTCATAAACTCACTCGGTGATAGTTGTGCTGACTATAGATCTCATTAGTGGATGTCTACGACGAACCGGAGGATGAACCGCAGGCCGATGACCAAGCTGCCGATGACCGAGTTGCTGAACAATTCCGGCGAGACTTCCTCGATGCCATCCAGTCCCGTCGTCGAACACGCACTACGAAGACAGTCAATAAGACGGAGGCGCCGAGGGGACCGAAGTTGGGAGGAAGCCGAAGCGCTAGGGCGGCGATGCGAGAGATGCAGGGTAAATCTGGGCAGAAGTGATCTGGAAGACACGGTAATGGAGGGATTTTGATTGGTGATTAAATTTTGAAGTTCTCTTATTCGTAGGCAAGCTTGTTGGCGACGTTTCTGATATGGGGTTTCAGATATAGGATGGCCATGGACGACGATTGGCCAAATATGGATGAATTGCCGCCCTCCGTAATATTATTATACCCCAAATAGGAGAGATTTGGATTATATTTGTGTCTTTGGTGCCCGTAGAAAGTGATATCATCTCTCTGAACTGAAGTACAAAAGGTGCAAATGAGACACAATCAGAAAAGCTAGGTCTCAACAGATGGATGTAAGGATGTAATGAGTAGACTCCATGCGAACTGGTTTACAGGAGGTTTTTGACAGGCAGGATCTGATATTATAGGTGGTAAGGGCCAATGAGGTGGTGATGGTGTTGCAAAAACATATGGTGTCCGTAATTCTACTACAAACTTCCTTAATATCGATTCACTTGAAAACGGAAGACAGTAGGGTTATTGAGATGCTAAGCTATAAATCATCGGCTTTTACCATTATACTCTTGGATCTTCCATTTAGTAGTGGATTATATTGCTAATAATTCTTAATCCCCTATATATATTTTGAACTAGTAGCAATAGCTTACTTGTTGGATACTATAATTATTGGAAGCTTAACTAAATATTCCGCTCGTGTCAAGAACTTTAATTATTTAAGTTATTTACATTCCCGGAATTGCTTTATCCTCCCCTTAGATAAAAAGGAAGAGTTGAAGAAGTGGAGGAATTTTTTTTGCGAATCGAGGGAAATCATCAGGCAAATAAATTCATGTTCCAGAATATGATTGGCAGTAGGCGAAAATTCCTGATATCTTGTCTACTCGGGCTTTATCACTCAGCAGTGATGGCTCCGAAGTTGGCACCAGCGCAAGATATTAATTCGCCTGTATCTAAGATTATCTTCTAGAATTGAAATCTTAACTATTTATTTTTCCCGTGCAAGAAGATTTGATTATCATAGGGTCCCGCGTTGTACCAGATGCAGTACCAGATGCAGTACCTGATAGTAGTAGTAGTAGTAGTAGTAGTAGTAGTAGTAGTAGTAGTAGTAGTAGTAGTAGTAGTAGTAGTAGTAGTAGTAGTAAAAATCGTCCCTTTCTGTGATATAAAGACAGAAGAAGAGGAAAGGGGGTGCGGTATGACTGCGGCTTAAATTCAGACAAACTTTTGTTATATGAAATATCGATCTGTGTTTTTCTAGGTTTGTAAGGACGTAAATGGCAGTCCCCGGGCAGCTACACCCTTATGACCGCTCTCTGTCCCATGACATAACTACGATCCATCGTTTAATTAACTTATAATCATACTATGTATATTAATAGTAATCGACTGTCTCTGTCAACGGCAGCAAGTGACACCTAGGGCGCTAAGCCGTGTCTCAGGTTGATCACAGCCCACAGTGGCGGGACGAGGGCCGAGAGTCGCCAAAAAATTCATTTGGTATGCCAAAATAAGAGAGAAACTCTGGGAGAGATTGCTAACATGTGTCATGTCTCTGATCCTGATGGGAAAGAGATGTGTCCAGCCCCAACCTCAGGGTCGGTCGCGCAGGGCTAAAGGGAACGCCAAAAGACGCATCGAGATCTCGCCAGGGACGACCCACTTGGGGTCTTACAGTACAAATAGCGGAAGGTGGCACATATCGGTGCATCGATTGATCGACGCGTTCCCAGAGGGGGTGTGTGTGGCGAGTTTGGCGCCGGCTTTCGTACGCACAGAATGACGGATCACTCCATACCACGCTCTCCATTGTCCGTGATCGGTAGAATCTGGGAGGATATAATAATGAGAGAGTGTATGTCGACTGATTACGCGCTGGGATGCAGAATGAAAGTCGTGTATCAAATTTCCGTATCACTCATCGTCGCGATCGAGCCACACAATGGTCCAAGGTTTCTCATGTTTCAGGTTTCCGGAAAGGGTTTCGGGAGGGCCTGGGGCCTGCAGGTCCGCAGTAACGGATAGGAGACCTTGCGCCTGGTCGTTCCAAAGCCGACAGGATCGTCTTTTTTCTTTCGTCAGGACACGTACAGCCAGTCCACAGTCCATGACATTGGCTGTTGTGGCTGGACGTGGCGTTGGACTTGGACCTCCCGGGCCCCTCTTTTGGGGGTTCCAGAGCCCTTAAGTGGGCGGGCTATTGTGCAGGGCGACAAGCCCAGGCACCGCTGGGTCCATGGTCTTAAAGCGGCCCGCTGGAGCTTGGCTCCACTGCTTTTGGGGAGGTATTGGAGGGAGTGGGTGCTGGAAGGGTTGAGTGGCACGGGATCGCGGAGTCGAGTAAACACCAGAAAAACCCGGGATCTCAGTCACTCTCGACTCCCCTGGGGACAGGAGGCTCTGGAATAGAACCGAGTAAGGATTGTCGAGTATCGTGAGTTTCGAGCAATTAAATTAGGAGACTTAGCAGCCTGATTGGGTCCAAGAAAACCCAAGAATCCCGAGAGAGATGAAAGTCTAGACTCTGAAACGCGCCAGGGCCAATCATGCCCTTCAGGGGCAACCTTCTGCAGCCCTTCTCCATCCCACTCGTCTCCTCCTGGTCGAGACTTTTCGACTTCTCGACTTCTCCTCCATTTCTTATCACCCATTCGTCATTTGTCATTCGTCATTCACGAGCTTGAGGGAACTCGACTTGCTTCCAGACTCCCTCTTCCACTCCCTCGATCTCTCGCTCTTCGCTTCCTACTCCAGTCACTCTTTGCCTCGACCTTATACCCATTATACCATACCCACCATACCCAAATACCGAACTCTGAACCTGTTCGCACTCTCAGCAACTCCTCGATTGCCTTTCCTCTTTTCATCATCCCGCAGGTTGATCCTGTCGTTTCACTCTTTGTGATTCCTGCTTTTTTTATTCGTCTCGCTGCTCCTCTGGATGAACCTTCCCTCCCTGCCCAACATCTATCTTCCAGTGACTCGGTGAAAATTGAAAAACACGCGCTTGGATAGTGAGTATTTGCGGGGCAATTGCAAGCAACTGATTAGCAATGCGAAAGACCATCTGGGCCCTGTTGGGCCTGGGTGTTCTGCCCTCAGCTCTTGCGACCGACACGCTCAGCACCCAGGGATTCAGTCTTTGCGAGACAGATACCGCCATCAAGGTCCAGGATCTTGATATCACCTACACTCGCTCTACCAGGGAACTTGTCTTCGATCTGGCTGGTACCAATTCGAAGGAACAAAATGTCACTGCCACCCTGACGGTGAACGCCTATGGCCATCAAATCTATACGAAAACCTTCGATCCCTGTGGATCGGAGATCCATGTCGCGAAACTGTGTCCTGGTGAGCTCTCGACCATGTCTCTTGTCCAAGGATAACCCGACCGAAGTAGCTGACCTTTCCCCCTTCCAATGTTAGTCCCTTCAGGACATTTCGAGGCTCAAGGAACTATCACCGTCCCAGAGTCGTACGCAAGCCAAATCCCTTCGATTGCTTTCAATATTCCCGACCTGGACGGCCAAGCTAAACTGGTCCTCACGTCGGACGGGGAAGACACTGCGTGTGTAGAGTCAAGCCTATCCAATGGAAAGTCCACGTCAATTAAAGGCGTGGCATGGGCCTCGGCCGGCATCGCGGCCGGTGCTCTCGCCTTAAGCGGCCTGTCGGCACTGGGCACGGCGGGTGGCGCTGGCGTCCCTTCGACCAGTCCGTCCGCGGGCGATGTTGTGGGATGGTTTGGCTCCATAGCCACCAATGGTATGTTGAGTGTGAGCCACCCAACCATCTATAAGAGCTTCACCAAAAACTTTGCATGGAGCACCGGCTTGATTCCGTGGTCGAGTATGCAGGACTCGATCGACAGCTTTCGCAAAGCCACTGGGGGAAATTTGACCCAAAATAGCTATGTCTATCTCTCCGGACTCAGCTCTGTCCAAACATCCAATGGAACCTCATCGAAACGGAGCTTGGATTTGATGTATCGGACTGCTGGGTTGATGATCCGATCCGAATCGAGCTCCAACTCGACTAGCTCCAGCAGCACCGACTGTGGCTCTCTTTCCATTTCCAGCTTCAAATGTTATTCGGAAGAGCTCATGATTCCCTCAGCGAACATCTTCATGACCATTCTCTTGGTGTTTGCCATCGTCGTGGCGGTAGTCGTGGTTGGCATCCTCCTGGTGAAGGTTATCCTCGAGATATGGGCTCTGTATGGCAATTTCCCGAACAAACTGATCGATTTCCGGAAAGACTACTGGGGCATAATGGCACGAACAATCACCAACATGATTCTCGTTCTGTACGGGATTTGGGTCATGTACTGTGTCTATCAACTTCGAGAGGGTGATTCTTGGGCAGCTAAAGTCCTGGCTGCGGTGACCTTGGCGGTTTTTACGGCTATTTTGGCATTCTTCGCATGGCGCATCTTCTATATGGCTCGCAAGTACAAGCAGGCCGAAGGCGATACCACTGGCCTGTTCGACGACAAAGATACCTGGCGCAAATACAGCCTCTTCTATGATAACTTTAAGAAAGATTTCTGGTGGATTTTTGTTCCAGTCATTATCTATGGACTGGCCAAAGGCATTATCATTGCTGGCGCCGAAGGGAATGGCATGGCGCAAACTATTGGCCAGCTAATCGTCGAGGCGCTCTTATTGACTCTGCTCTTGTGGAACCGTCCATACGCCACCAAATCATCGATGGGCATCCATATGACTATCCAGGTTGTCCGCGTTCTGTCCGTTGTCTGTGTCCTGGTCTTTGTTGAAGAACTCGGACTTTCTCAGACTACTAAAACTGTGACTGGAATTGTGCTTATTGTGGTCCAATCTTCTCTCTCTGGTGTGCTTGCGATCCTCATTGCTGTCAATGCCATTATTGTATGCATTCGTGAGAACCCCCATTCCAAGAAACGCCGAGAAGCCGGTAAGTGTATCCCATGTGCATTCGTCATTTACCGAATATTCGCATTGACTATCTGTAGAAAAAGCAAACCAAGACCTCGACGATCTTACTCCCTTGGATGCCCGCGAGTCTCTTCTAATCGATCACCCCGCTAAGAGGGACTTTACTGAGATGAGCAAGTTCAACTTCACGGGCCCATATGAGCCATACCGGGATAACCCAAAGCATCATCGGGGATCCACTGAAAGCAAAGATAACCTGGTGTATTCCGATTACGGTGTGGCACACGATCGGAATCATAGCCCAGAACCCCGCCCTGACTCCAGACATAGCGGTCGTCGCAGCCCGTCTTTGGAGGGCCGCCATCCGACTACAGCGGGCTTTGGCATGGCCTACTAATGTCACTTGCATTTGCCTTTCTTGAATCTGGATATTCCTCCGGTCGCATTACACTTTCCCTCCGATCCACATGTCCCTCCTTTTCTCTGCCTGACTTTCATTTAGCGTGCTTGGATGGCGGATAGTCCTACTCTCTTTGATTGTGCTTGATTCTTGTGTTGCAACACCCCTTCTGTTCATCTACTATCAACCCTTCTTTCCCCTTTCCTTGCAACTGATACTGACCTCCAATCTTATCCTCGATATTCCTTTCTTATTCCAGCGTCTTTGTATTTTCTAAAATTCGCTATGAAAACGTTCCGTTGTTCTTGTATATGGTATAGATTTTTTTAGGAATTTACAGACCGCAATATTCTTCGAATCGGTTGTTTTTCTTCTCTCCTTCCACAATACCCTGAAATAAAGCGTCGAATACAGTTCGAAAAGCTGTTTATGCGAGGATATCAATCATGACGGTTTTCAAACTCTATCGACTGCCAACGTACTATTTGAATAAATCAAAGTCAAATGGAAAATTGCCACCTGCCATTTTGAAAGAAAAAAAAACATACTGAACATGAAGAATTATCAAGAAAGTAACCACCATGTTTTGAACCCACGAGTGATGATTTTACGGCTTGATCAGAACGCAGAAAAGAAAAGAGAAGGAACCCAGGAAGCCGCACGCCATAAGACCACCCATGCTTCATGCACGGGCAGAAGAAAGAAAATGGCAAGAACCATCACTTCGATGATGAGACAGATCTGGAACCTGCGTGGCGAGGAGATAGAATAGATAAGAAAACCCGGGTGGATAGACGAACAAGAAGGATAATAAAGAGACACGAATCAGCCCGAGCAAACACCATCTAACGAGAATAAGGGTGGAAGCCCCGATGTCCTCCACGGCCACCACCACGGTAGTTCGCCCCAGGCTTGCCGGCGTTGCGAGGACCGGTGGGAGCGTTGGCCGGAGCTGCACTTTGCGGCTGTGGCGTCGGACCTATAGAGACATTATCAGCATCAATCGGGTCAAAAATGTGTGGTTCGTGGGATGACATACCACGACCCATGCTGCCTCCTCGAGCCATGCTCTGAGGACCTGTGGGGATATTTGGCTGAGGCACTTCATCATACATTCCTTCCCATGAGGTTGGGCCACCTTGCTGGTAAGGCGAGAAAGCACGGTTCTCCATGACCCGGCGAGCTTGCTGCTGCTGTTCGTATTTCTGCTGCTCGAAAGCAATCTGCTCCTGCGCGTTATACCCAGGCCCACCAGGCTGTCTATAACCCGCAGCGTTGGGACCGGGACTGGCGCCTCCATTACCACCATTGCCAGCCTGGCCTTGATTCTGCATCTGCTGCATCATGGCCGGGTTCATCACGTTCTGCATGTTTTGTTGAGAGCCCGGGCTACCGGGGTTAGGACTCATGCCACCTGATTGCTGATTGCCCATTTGTTGCTGCATTTGCATCTTTTGCATCTGTTGCATTTGCTGCATCATCGCAGGATTCATACCGGGCATGCCCATGCCGGGCATTGCTTGACCCGGGCCTGATGCCATGGCCATCTGCTGCTGCATCATGGCAAAATATTGCTGCATTCGTTGCCAGTACTGCGCCATCACCTGGGGAGTCATCCCACCAGCCATACCCTGTTGTCCGCCCTGTTGCTGGGACGCATCCCCTTGATTCATGTCCCGGAAGCCGTCCCGGCCACCACCGCCACGACGACCTCGATCTTCATCCCGCAGGTTACCTCGGGGTTGAGCCTTCTTAACCTCAATAGGCTTGCCTAAGATTTCGAGGGGTCTCGAAAGAGCGTTTTCAACGGCCGCTTCGCTGTCGAATGTCACGAAGCCGAAGCCACGCGGACGGCCCGTGTCCTTATCAATCATAAGAGTTGCATCCACGACACGACCGAATTGCATGAAAAACTGCTTGAAGTCCTGCTCGGTGGCCTCTTGGCTGACGCCACCGACGAAGATCTTGCTGGTTTTCTCTTGTTCATCCCGCGGAATAGCACGCTTGGGATCAATCTAGAGTCAATGGTGAGTTGAATGCTCGCTATGGAAAATCGGGCGCTTCTCTGGCAGTCTTACAATCTTGCCATCCAAGTAATGTTCCTTAACCATGACCGTGTTGACTGTCTTAGGATCCCGGAAAGTGAGGAAGCCAAAACCACGAGAGCGGCCAGTGGCGCTGTCTCGCATAACAGTACACTCCTGGACCTCGCCAAATTGCGAGAAGTAATCTCGTAGAGACTCTGTTGGATTCTTGTCAGACCCCCTAAAAACCGCCATTCGTCTTGAACGTGAAGTACATACGATCTGTGGTCTCCCAGTTTAACCCACCAATGAACATTTTCCTAGCGACAAGGATTAGCGTCTATCGGGCTGCATATCAACTTCAATGCAAAAAATCCGTAAAAGAGCACAGAATAAGCAGGGCAATATCAAAACAAGCCAAAAAAGGCATAGGCATGAGTGCAAGGGTACAATGAGTGTGCTCTGGCTATGGAGCTGGTGGCGCTAAGGTGCTATTCACGGACACAGCTAAAGCTGAACTGTCTGAAGCCTCCGAGTTTGAGGCCGGATTTGCGGGAGTACATCGGCATAGACACGCAGAGCCCCATGGAATCGCTCATTTGGTTTACATGAGCTTGGAATCCAAGTTCCGTCGACCGTCTTTTCCCGTCTCTTTTGGGGAATAAAATTCATGTCCCCGGGAGAAGCAAATCAGGTGGAAGGCGTAGTGCACGGAGAGTTCAAGGCGAAGAAGTGAATTGTCACTGTATCTCTGTCTGTCTTTGACCTGGGAGAATCTTTGCTCGTCTAACAGAAGATCCAAGCTAAAAGATCGTGGCTTGATCACCCCTCATCAGACAGCGTTGCTACTTCTTGCTCTGCTCTATCAAATGTATCGACAAGAAGCTATATAGTATCCGCTGTACTATATGGCCGCTCGCAACAAAGGTTCACGGCAGAGTCCGATCTGTCACTCTTCTGTTCGCGACTTCAATTCGCTTGACATTGAGCAGGAAATGCTTCAAATGCCCTTATTTTTGCCTTTGCCTTTGCCTTTGCCTGATCTTCCATAGCCATAAAGAATCACCACCGGCCGACTATGGAGGAGAGCCTGAGTGAAGACAACATGACAAGGTCTCTGCGACATGCTGACATCGGTGGGGACGAGGAGACTCTCGTACGTAACCATTAGGCGAATTAATGGCATGGCCATTTAGTTCAAACAACCGAATATAATTGTATTCTCCCAGTGACCCTATGTCTTCCCTTGAACACTGAAGCGGTGGAATTGTGCGGGATGCAGTAACATCTCACTCCTACCAGACGTTGTAGTTCGAACCGTGAATAGCATACCACGCCACTCAGAGATATATACCAATATGGAATAGCCAGATGCACCCCCTATATTGACCGACTGTGTTTCAAATACTTTGCAGGAGCAGATTTCACTTACCCATCTTCTTTAATTCCCGTCCCGTGCGACTCATTATCAGCGTGGGGAGCCCCCGCAGGGACGTTGGAGATACCCTCAGCACCATTCTGGAAGCCAGAAAGAGAGTCTTGCTGGGGGGCAGCTTGTATCGGGTATGCCTCCACAGGGGTGGGATCATAGCTTGGGACAGAGGGCTCCTCTATGGGCTGCGCAGGGATTGCTGAAGGCACTGGAACGGCGGGTTTCGGGGCCTCTACAGCAGAGGTTGTGCGGTTCGTCGACTCGTCGGCATCATAGCTTAAGAGATGACATTAGTCAGAGAGAAGGTCTTGACATGGGAATAGCGGGGAGAGAGGGTTGATACAGATCTGCGAAGAGATCCTCCTCTAGTTCCTCAGGTTCAGCCATGGCGCTGAGAAAGTTCGAATTGATTAGAAACGGCAATGGAGGAAGAAATAAGCGAAACTAGACTAGGTGGGCAAAGAGCAAAAAACCCCAAGGTCTGGAATAGTTAGGAATGCGTGGGGGAGGGGAAGGGGATAAAGTCAGTGAAGAGGCAAAGGGAGGTTGAGCGGAGGAAGTCAGTGGCTTACATACGCACGGGTTGTCAGGTCACTTGGAGATGCCCGCTACAACGTTAACTAACAACTATACCCCCCGCGCCGCTGATTCAAAAATTGTATTCGCTTTGAAGTCCCCAAATACCATGCATTATTGAAAATTGCTTGCTCTATATGGCCCGGTTGGAAGAGCACATCATCGCATCCCTGGGCCGCCCCGCACTGGAATCCCGTTGAGATCATTCATCCGCGCCTGCACTCGCCGCAGCCATGGCGAACAAAAGGGGGCGGCAGGTGAGTGTTTCCCAATTACCCACGGCCTCATTCGGAATCAATTAGAGGCTGACTATGGCATGGTGATCAGGAAATGGTTCAGGTTGGTTCGTATCTCCGCTTCCCTTCGCAGCTTCCTCATGGTTCGATTCATAGCTGATTTAAGGTGGTGGCCTTCTTAGATAATTCCGAGTATGACCGACCCCTATATTGGCTCCAACATAGCGATCTACATATCCTAATGATTCGTTGAAGACGTACAGATTCTCCATTTTGGCCTGGTCAGGCCGCATCCCTGAACCAGGGAGCGTCGAATGCTTACGGCCAAAACCTCGTTGTTGGTGCTTCATACTCTCATGCCAATATTCCACAGTCTGTTCGGCCCTCCAAAGACTATCTCTTTCTAGGTTAACCGTGGCTCATTAATAATTTACTGATCAATGTAATTTCGACAGAGGTGCGCCATCGAACCCACGTCCGAAGACACCGCCTCGGGCATCTGCTGCCAATGCCCCATACCCCGCGTCGCACTTGACGAACCGATCTGGAAATGTGGTCGCCTCCCCTCCCCGCGCCCCATACCCTGGCATCATGGCACAAGGGGTGGACGAATGGAGCCGTGACCCTACTGAAGAAGACGACGACGACGACGATGATGATGACGAAATCGTGTATGATGATGATGAAGATGAATTTGGGCTTCCAAGCCTTGCCAGCATGAGACGAAAGAAGTCGGCACCTTTCAGTGCTAAGCATGTTGATCTTGGCGGCACAATGGGGGGAATCCCGCTTCTTTGGGTTTTGGATTGGCGTCAAATAACAGACAGCGCGCCAACAGCTCGGACATTGCCGAAGAACGTGGCACCCCGATGTACCCTACGGCACGGAAGGGCGAAGGCAAAATCCTTCGACCGCAGTATAAGGATATCTTACAAGGTTCGAAATTGAAGCCAGGGATGGTCATATTGTGTATGCTGATTGCGTTCCAGACCCTGCAAATGCTTTGAATCTCATAAATCACTCTAATCCGCCAACAAATGCTTCACCGAAGGAAAGAGAGATTCACACCAGTCGCATTTCGCGAATCAACAAGTTCAAGCGCATTCTGCAGGCCAGCACTGTGTCTCTCACAGAACTCAGAGACCTGGCTTGGTCTGGAGTTCCTGAAGAAGTTCGGCCAATGACCTGGCAACTTCTGCTCGGGTACCTTCCTACGAACAGTGAAAGACGTATATCAACTCTTGAGAGAAAGCGCAAAGAGTACCTTGACGGCGTACGACAAGCATTTGAACGTGGTAGTGGAGCAGCGGCTGGAAACCCTCCTGCCTCTAGCACGCCGGGCCGAGGAAGGGGACTAGATGAGGCAATCTGGCATCAAATCAGTATTGACGTTCCTCGAACTAGTCCCCATATCCCTCTGTATGGATATGAGGCTACTCAAAGATCCCTGGAGCGTATCCTTTATGTATGGGCCATTCGTCACCCGGCAAGTGGCTACGTTCAAGGTATTAATGACCTTGTCACTCCGTTCTGGCAAGTGTTTTTGGGAGTTTATATCACCGACCTCAATGTTGAGGAAGGAATGGACCCTGGCCAGCTCCCTCGCAGTGTGCTGGATGCTGTCGAGGCTGACACGTTCTGGTGTCTGACGAAACTCCTGGATGGTATCCAAGACAACTACATCTATGCCCAGCCCGGTATTCACCGGCAAGTCAGAGCCTTACGAGATTTGACGAAGCGTATTGATTCGGCCCTGGCCGCTCATCTTGAACAGGAAGGCGTGGAGTTTATGCAATTTAGTTTTCGGTGGATGAATTGCTTGCTCATGCGGGAAATGAGCATTAAGAATACAATACGCATGTGGGACACATATATGGTATATTTTTCTGAGCCAAATGACCCCCAGTTACCGGTTTTCAATGCTGACCATCTGAATAGGCTGAGGAGCAGGGCTTCTCACGATTCCACCTCTATGTCTGTGCCGCATTTTTAGTGAAGTGGACTGACCAATTAGTGAAGATGGATTTCCAGGTATGTCTGTATTATTTACTCGCTTTGATCCCAAATTTCCTACAAGACAACCTAATATTTGTACAGGAAGTCATGATGTTTCTTCAGGCACTGCCTACGAAGGATTGGACGGAAAAAGACATCGAGCTTTTGCTGAGCGAAGCGTTTATCTGGCAGAGTTTGTTCCAGGACTCACGCGCTCATCTTCGGCCTACTGGCAACGAGCCCCCAGAAAATGGTATCTTTTATTGATTATAATCATAATTCATCATACTGTTCCGGAAAGCCTTCATGTTTGATGGTCCGGGGCCAGACTCAAAATCTCAATCAGTTGAAATGGATACCTTTCTGGTTGAAGGCCCACAGCATCTTCAAGAATTCGTTTTCATCGCACATTCTCGCACGCTTGTCGGCCAAGCGGGTTTCATCCTCCAGAACCTGTCGCACCTTTTCACGTACCAACTCCGAAACTTTACCACGCTTCTTCCGCTGGGACTGACCCTTCAACGCTTGCTGAAGGCGAGCGTTTGTCTCTTCTTTGAAGAAATCCGGAACATCATCATCATCCATATCCATAGTCTCATCCACGGGCTCCTCATCGGCCTGTTGGTCTCCACCCATATCCATCGCATCGCCATCGGCGTCGTCGACGGGGCCGTCCTCCACAGGGATATCATTTTGAGCGCACCAGGTGCGGTAATTGGCCTCGAGCATGTTCATAATGCTAGGAGTACCGATGAAGCTAGCCCGCAATGTCTTATTCTTCCGCACAAACGCAATGCGCAGCAAACCATCCCACTCTTCATAGTTTATTTGTGGTCGGGGGACCTTGGGAACCATACGGATAACGCTGGACTCAACCAGTGGTGGAGGCTTGAAGTTGTTCTTACCGACCTTCATGATGTGATCAATCTTCGCCCACATCTGTGCGTTGACGGAGAGACGACTGTAGAGCTTGTCACCGGGTTTGGCGAAAAGGCGTAGAGCGAATTCACGCTGAAACCTAGGATCAGAATTTGTATGTTAGTTCACGCCGAGTAAATTCTCTTCCACCAAGGGAAGCAAGGGAATGATAGACATACATGAGAATGCAAGTTCGGGGAGCAGGTGTTGTGGCCAGCAGCTTGAATGTAAGAGGAGAAGAGATCTGCACATATGGTTAGTTCTTAGAAAGCCTCGATTAACCCGGGTTCGTGTTATTCAGAAAACATACCTGGTAGGGGGTGTTGCTAATGCAAACATCGAAATATGGAAGCTCAGTCTTCATCACGTCTCCCAGAATAACTTCCAGGCGTTTTTGGGCCGGCGTTCCCTGAAAACGCTTTGTGACCTCGGCCGCCATTCGAGGATCCAACTCCACCGCAATGACCTTCTTGGCCTGTTCCAGAATCTTTGCCGTCAAGTTGCCGGTACCAGGACCGATTTCGAGAACAATCTATTGCGAAAAACGGTCAGCGTAGTCTCTTTAACTATTTCGGATGCACATACATCACTCTGCTTAAGGTCGGCTTTGTTGACAATCCTAGCAGAAGAAAATGGTTAGCGCCACCAGGTTATTCCAAGAGTAGCAAAAAGACTCACTGCTCGGCAATGCCTGGGTTCTTCAAGACGTGCTGGCCAATATCTGTGTTCATCTTGAAGATACTGTGGGCAGCCTTAGTCTTTGCGGCGGCGTCCGCCTGTGCGCTGTTGCGCTTGCCTTTCTGGACCTTGGGCATCTTGAACCGATGCGAAATATAATTGCCAAGTCCTTGAATTATCTGTCTGAATAGCGAGATTGAACTCGAGGACTCAATGCAAAATTCCGAGTCGTCCTGACATTGTCAACTGTGGGCAACTTTTTCTTTGCGATAAGATTATCGGTCCCGGGACTACTTTTCTACGGGGCCGACCCGCCTCCGAGTCTCGTTCGCATTCCACCTCTCAAGCTTCAGTTGAAGCTTGTTCTCCGTGCCCAAAATGGCGTCCGGACGCAAGGATTTCCTCAGTCAACAGGCGCCGGAGAACTATGTCGCGGGGTTGGGTCGTGGCGCAACGGGCTTCACAACGCGGTCCGATTTGGGACCAGCGCGTGAGGGACCGACACCCGAACAGATTCAGGCGGCGTTGACGAAACGAGCACAGCAACTGGGAGCCGCAGCCCCCACTGCGTATGGTAACAACTCTCGTGAGAAGGGAGGCAAAGAAGAGAAAGAAGAGGAGGACGATGAGCGCTTTCAGGATCCAGACAACGAGGTCGGTTTGTTTGCCTATGGACAATTCGACCAGGAGGATGATGAGGCGGATCGCATTTACCGAGAAGTTGACGAAAAAATGGATAAACGTCGGAAAGCTCGAAGGTCAGTCTTTTCCCATGCTCTACTGTCCCCCAAGACAACTTGTTCATCGGGCCAGTCCCGGTTGTTTGGATAGAATACCGACTTGAATCGTTCGCCACATACAGGGAAGCCCGAGAGCAACAAGAACGAGATGACTACGAACGAAAGAACCCCAAGATTCAACAACAATTTGCCGATCTGAAGCGATCGCTCGCCGCAGTTTCCGAAGAAGACTGGGCCAATCTCCCTGAGGTTGGTGATTTGACAGGCAAGAACCGAAGAGCCAAGCAGAACTTGCGCCAGCGATTTTACGCTGTTCCAGACAGTGTCATTGCGGGTGCTCGAGACTCGGCTCAGTTTGACACAACCATCACCGAAGATGGCGCTCCCGCTGAAGGAGCTGATGGCGGCGACGGGACCATGACAAACTTCGCGGACATTGGTGCGGCGCGTGATAAAGTGCTGAAAGTCAGACTAGACCAGGCAGCATTGGGGTCTTCTGCGGAAGCCAACGCTTCCGGAAGCGCAACCAGCATCGACCCTAAAGGCTATCTTACCAGTCTCACCCAGTCGGAGCTCAAGGCCGGCGAGGTCGAAGTGGGTGATATCAAACGAGTGCGCGTCCTGCTAGAGTCTGTCACTAAGACCAACCCCAAGCATGCGCCAGGCTGGATTGCTCTTGCCCGTCTTGAGGAGCTTGCAGGGCGTATAGTGGCCGCTAGAAATATCATTGCCAAAGGTTGTGAACTTTGCCCAAAGAGCGAGGATGGATGGCTTGAGAATATACGACTCAACGAAGGTCATAATGCCAAGGTAATAGCCGCTAACGCGATCAAGAACAATGATCGTTCCACCAAACTTTGGACCGAAGCCATGAAACTGGAGACCGATATCCGAGCAAAGAAGAATGTTCTCAGACAAGCTATCTTGCATATTCCTCAGTCGGTAGAAATCTGGAAGGAAGCGGTCAATCTAGAAGACGATCCTGCAGATGCTCGCCTTCTCTTAGCCAAGGCCGTTGAGATGATTCCTCTGTCGGTCGAATTATGGCTAGCTCTTGCCCGTTTGGAGACACCGGAAAATGCGCAAAAGGTTCTCAACGCTGCGCGCAAGGCTGTTCCTACCAGCTATGAAGTTTGGATTGCTGCCGCCCGTCTTCAGGAGCAGATGGGCACTTTTGAAAAGGTTAATGTTATGAAGCGTGCGGTCCAGTCCCTCGCCAGAGAACATGCGATGCTGAAGCGAGAGGAATGGATCAGCGAAGCCGAACGTTGCGAGGAAGAAGGCGCCATTCTCACATGTTGCGGGATTATCCGTGAAACCCTTGGATGGGGCCTGGACGAGGATGATGACCGGAAGGACATCTGGATGGATGACGCAAAATCAAGCATTGCTCGGGGCAAATACGAAACTGCACGAGCAATATATGCGTATGCGCTGCGGGTCTTTGTCAACCGCCGGTCAATCTGGCTTGCTGCCGCTGATCTTGAGCGCAACCATGGCAGCAAAGAAGCTCTCTGGCAGGTTCTCGAAAAGGCAGTGGAAGCTTGCCCTCAAAGCGAAGAGCTTTGGCTCCAACTGGCCAAAGAGAAATGGCAATCTGGTGAAATCGATGATGCCCGACGAGTCCTTGGACGTGCTTTTAACCAGAATCCCAACAACGAAGATATCTGGCTCGCCGCTGTCAAGCTCGAAGCAGATGCCAAGCAGACAGATCAGGCTCGAGAGCTCCTGGCCACCGCCCGTCGGGAAGCTGGTACGGATCGTGTCTGGATCAAGAGTGTTGCTTTTGAACGTCAACTAGGAAACACTGATGAAGCATTGGATCTCGTCAATCAGGGATTGCAGCTTTATCCCAAGGCCGACAGGCTTTGGATGATGAAGGGTCAAATATATGAGGCACAGAACAAGTTCCCACAAGCACGCGAGGCTTATGGAACCGGTACCCGAGCTTGCTCCAAATCCGTGGCCCTGTGGCTGCTGGCCTCGCGACTAGAAGAAAAGGCGGGAGCTGTCGTTCGAGCTCGATCAGTACTCGACCGAGCTCGTCTGGCTGTACCTAAGAGTGCCGAGCTTTGGACTGAAAGCGTGCGAGTGGAACGTCGCGCGAACAACGTGGCGCAGGCGAAGGTACTCATGGCCAGAGCACTTCAGGAGGTACCGACCTCTGGTCTCCTATGGAGCGAAAGCATCTGGCATCTCGAACCCCGCCCTCAGCGCAAAGCGCGCAGTCTCGAGGCAATCAAAAAGGCCGAGAATGACCCTGTCTTGTTCATCACCGTTGCTCGGATTTTCTGGGGTGAGCGGCGACTGGAGAAAGCGATGACGTGGTTTGAGAAAGCCATCGTCTCGGACAGTGACTACGGGGATGGCTGGGCATGGTATTACAAGTTCCTATTGCAGCATGGGACAGAGGTGAGTTATCTGCGATATGACCTAAAGACTCGAAAGGCCTCAGCTAACATCTATCAGGATAAACGATCTGACGTGATATCCAAGTGCGTCTCGACCGAGCCCAAGCACGGTGAGGTTTGGCAGTCCATCGCTAAAGACCCAGTCAACGTAAATAAATCGACCGAAGAGATCCTAAAGCTGGTTGCTGACACCATCAATTGAACGACTGTTGTTGAGATATCATGAATGTATTAACACATTACCTACCCCGGCGTTATTGGCATGGATGAAATGTTTCACACTTTTTCTCTGGAATAGACTTAAGCTGTAGTTGTTCGTTCTTCACTCGCAATACCTAGAAGATTTATCTATCCTTGTCAAGTTGTCATAATGCAACAAATATCATATTATATTCATGGGTATCGAAACAGCATGAAAATTCTACACCGAGTAGAGGTCATAGCTGTTATCTCTGCCTTTTCGTTCTGGAGACGCGATCTCCCCACCGCATCCGCTTTGTCCGTGAGAAGTTAAAAGGAGAGAGAAAAGAGTACTGTACATCGTAGTGTTAGTTCAGCACTGCCAAACTAGAAGGAAAGGGCCTGGCGAATAAATGAAACTCCGGACAAAGTCATCGAGGCTGTCTTCAACAGCGTCGACAGGCCTTCAAGAGGAACTCCAGAACCAGATGCATAAAAGACGCGGCAGCAACTGTCATGATAGCGCCAAGAATTCCCAGACGCCATGATCCTCCAACCGCCCAAGACCGAGAATCAAACAAGCAATAAAAAAGTGAATGGGAAAACAGGTAACGTGGTAACGTGTATCGAGCCCGAGAAGAAAGGAATACAAGGGAACAAAGAGGGCAATGAAGAAAAAAAGATGGGTATCAATCCTCACGCAGCCATTGACAGGCACTCGTCAAGCAAAAAGCTCAATTGCTCCCGATCCACGGCTGTGCCTCCCTCCCAGTCTGACAACCCATCGATGTCGTCTAGGTCCATCTCATCCTCACCAGCAGGCTTGACTTCGTGGTGTTCGCTCACACCATTCTCGAGGCGATCTTGCTTTTCGGTTTCAAGTTCGTCTTCTAAGTATCCTCCCATGATCTGGTCAATGATCAATGGCATATGACCAAGCACGCCACCACCCAGCTCTAAAGTCAGCCGGAGGTCCCTCACCCCGAGCGGCCGCCGGACACTAGCCTCCCTAGCTTCGACAGGGAGTAAGCCCGTAGCGGTGTCTTTGGAGATCTCACCGCGGGTGTAGGCAAGCTCTTCTCGTTCCAATTGCTCCCGGTACTTTCGCATCATCATGCCGTTAATCGTACCCGACGGACCGTTGGACCGCGTGCGCGAGAATACCGCCGACAACACCTCCTTGACAAAAGTTTCGGTAGCAATGGCCATGAACTCGGCGCACGGTAGACCAGCACCACTGGGAAGCGATTCTTCGTAACACATGGGAACCATACGGGCATATATCGACTCAGCGTCGGGGAATTCACCAGTCTCTGCAGCGAGGGGTTGCGCATATCGTTTTCGAATCTCCAGTTCCCAGTCTGTAGAAGAACAGCACTTGGTTAGAAATTCCCTTGGGTCTGAGGGGACGCGCACGATGCAATCGCGCAGATTTGATCTGGCTTAAAAGGGAGACGCTGGCTTACTTGTCTTATTCAATCCACCTGCACTCGCGGGAACTTGGCTTGGCAGCTTAATCTGCTTGGCTAGATGATATTCCTCTAGCTCATTCGGTGACACCTCATTCAAATCACGCTGGGAGATAAAAAAAAGGGTTTCGTCAGCGTCCATTTCTCTCCGCTCAACTTGGATCTATGTCATTGTCATCTCTCGGCGCGTACCTCTGGAATTCCCTTAATTCTCCGACGATCCCTGGGCGGAAGCTGCATCACTTCGGTCTTCAATCGTTGCTCCGCGGCGTCTCCAGAGACCGGCTTAGAGACCAGGGAAGGCTTATCGTTGGCGGACACCCAGTTTGCGACGCCATGATCTGGGAGGTCTCGCGTGAGATTTCCGATGATCGCGCACACGAAATTATTATGTAGATGTTCGATTTTAGTATCAGCGCATATTATATGGTCAACATGCGACGCGTATTCATTTTGGTTGGAGTGCCCTAGAATGGGAAGGAGGTCAGGAGGTCAGCCACCAGCAGCCCAATTCTTCCTTCGGAAGAAACCCCGGGGAAGAAATCCGCGAGAAGGATGTTCGACGAAGCATCAGGAGGATCAATCCGGTCATACCGAGTAAGAATAGGGCTGTAGATTCCTTATATTCGGCCCATTTGTCGCCGATGGCGGCTTTCAGCTCTGTATAGACATGTTCCAGATCCAAGCGCGGCACCGAGATGAGAGCCCTTGATGATTTCACGGTCGTCGAAAGATTTGGCGCCGTAGTCTTGGCCGGATTTGACGAGTCTGTCCGACTCAGCGCGGCCGGATCGATCTGCTGCATGGCTGGGGGACACGAACGCGACGAGGCGAGGCCGAAGGGCGGCAGGTGGGGAGGTTACACATTCATGGAAAGGTCCGGAGGTGGATTGTGAGAATGAGACAGAATCAGTGATCTGAATATGTATGGATGATGGAAAGAGATGGGGCCCGAGCAGGAGGTTGGGTTGCCGTTTGGGGGTGGGGGGAGAGTTGGAAGGTCTGGAAGTCTGGAAGTTGAGGTTCCGACTTGCGGCTCCCCGCCAGAAACGGAGTGCCGGAAGTGTGAGCAGTACACAGTGACAACTCGAGTGACTTGGTCACAATACGAATACATACGAAAGATGAGCAACAAGGGATAGAGAGATAAGTATTTACGGCATCAAGCTTAATTAATCAGGGTTTTGTAGTTTATGCTAGCTGCACTACATCCTCGCTCAATACGCCAAAAAGTTGTCCAATTTCCGCCAGGATCTCCGTGATCTCTTTTGACAACTGGCCAGTCACCAGAACTGCGAATAGGTTACTAGGTCAGCCAAGAACGACAGTTAAAGACCAGAGAGCGCAGGGAGACTTACTGTACGCGTAGGAGAGGGCACTGTCTTCATCGGTTGTCAGCTGCGACGCCTCTTCGTCTTGGCGATAGCGATAGATGCGAGCGAGGAGCCGGTCCCGCGCATGATCTATGCTGGGCAAGACATCGCTGAGCGGATACTCGAGTTTCATGGACGATGCCATCACTAGAGTTGTCTCAGTCACAAGAACTATTGCAAGGCAAGTAAAAAGGGGAGAGAAAAAGAAAGAACACTGACCAGTTAGAAGATGGCTGATACGGGCCGAAAGCTGTTTGCGTTCGACTGCAGTATATCGTAGAAGACTCATCTCGCCCTCTGTGGCCGTCTCACTCTTCATCAGCTCCAGGTTCATCGCGTGGAATGCATTCACCATGCTCCGCGTGCGGCGAATGATGTTGGCGTACGTAGCATGGGGAAAGGCACTGCGTAATTCGAACTCAGAGCCGGCGGCACTCAGCAGAGACTCTAGGCGAGAGAGAAATCTTTCGAGCTCGAGTCTTTCCCGAGCCGTCATGTACACGATCGAGCGGCCATTCTTTTCCATCGTAGACAGAGGATCGCGCTTCCAGACCAAGCCCAGCCGAAGCCAGAGCAGACTGAGGCCGTCTTTCAATCGACCTCGTGCGCTGATCGGCCAGATGACCCGAGTGATGATGATGCCCCAGATGCAGCCGGACAGCACCGCAACAACCCGATGGAGCGCAATTTCCGTTATGATAGGGTTCTGGCCCCCTTCGCCAGGATCGCCATCCGCATCCTTTTGAGCAAGTGAATAGGCGTAGAGCACCGAAAGATTGTAGGTAAGCATGATGAACCGTCCCATGGGCCCATTACTACGGACAATAATGATGTAGGATGTCCAGATCGACATCAGCCACCCTAAAAATGCAAGGCCAAACACATTCCCGCTGGAGATATACCAGGATAGAATGGCACAGCCGGCGCCCAGGCAAGTACCGAGGAATCGAGCATATCCGGTAGTGTTAGAGGCCCCAATCGTCATGGAACATACCAGCATGTACGACAACAAACCCCATTCCCCACGCCAGGACTGATAGAACGGCCGTGTCGCCGGAAGAAAAGCAGGCAGGGCATAGAGAGCTGCTCCCGCTCCAACCTTGATGGCATATTTGGTGTCATCTCGTCGGAAGAACTCTAAAGACTTCCAGAGTCGATAGCCGAGTCTCTCCTTGACGGTGGTCTCTGCTGGACGGAGACGAGCCTGCGCGGCAGTGGGAATTCGATCTTCAGGGCCCAGGGCAGCAAGCAAAGATGGCTGAGTTCCAGTCAAATTCCGGTCTTTGAGTCTCCAGAACTTCAGCCAACTCCAGGATCGGCCTCCAGGTCGTTCCTCGGTTTCCAGCTGGAGTTCATCTAATATAGCAAGCAACTCATGAAGCTGCTCGCCGAACTCCATCAGCGAAAAACTAAAATGGCCACAGCTGGCGGAAACTTCTTCCAGATCCGCCTCAGCTTCACGACTTTTGAACTTCATCGTCTCCGTCTGCTGGTAGAGGGATTTCAAGGTCTTCTGTCGAGATTCTTGATAGAGGTCCAGAGCCCGGTCTAAACTAGTCCGTAGTCGACTATCGACTGATACTTTATAGTTTGGGGCCGGGCCAAAGGGGATCTCGTTGAAGATCTCCTTCAAAGTAAAAGCTAAGGACCGCTACTAGGGTTAACTTGTTATGCTATTGATTTTTCTGGGCTCAGTTGGAGTGATTTTGCTTACCATAGATGGGCCTAGGTGGGATATGAATATCGTAAATACGTCTGCGGGCAACAAATTATTTTTGCTATTCCCTTCTACAATGCCATCAGAGTTCGAAGTAGGCACGTTCCCTCCAGGGGTGAGCTGTTCTTCTGGGCGTTCATCGATCGTTTCCAGAAAAGATCCATCTGGGAAGGACCAGGAGCGTTCAAGGGAGGCAAAATACTCCGTCTGAGAAGCACGAGTATTTCCATCGGAGGAGCCGGACTCTCGAGCAATGGTTTCTCGGATGAGACTGAATTGTAACGAGGCTGCACTGCGCAACCCTCCCATATTATGGGTGATATCCTGCACCCAGCGGACTAGCTTTTTCTCCAAACGGTATTCTCGCTCGGTACCAGCCACGAGATGCTCGAGCTTTCCTTCTCGAACAAGCATGTCTAGCTGGTTGTAGGCCTTTCGATGTTTTGTTTCCGCTTCAACAAACTCGGCCGATTTAAGGTCTTCCTCAGACCCGCTGAGGAAGCTTTCCGTAATGATAGCCAACATAGTAGCCAGTGTGTCCGTCACAACAACCAAGTTCGCACGGAGTTTCTTGCGGGCAGAGATGGGGAAGATCACAAATGATACGGTCATGGCCACTAACACTCCCATGATCACCATTTTCAGAACTTGGGTGATCTTGTTCAAAGACAGATCGCCACTTTGCACAGCACCCTCTTTTGTCAAGACCGTGATAGTTGAAAGGGCTGTGAGGGAACACGCCACGTTGACCAGGGGATCTCCAAGTCGTTGCTTGGTCCACCCCACAAAGCCCAGCCCACCACCGCAGAACACAATCAAAACAACTGCGTGGCCGAGAGCAGACATATTGAGAGTGTCTTGAAAGAAGTTTTCCACCAACATGCTCGTGATGGATAAGAAGGCTGAGTAGCAGAATGCCAGCAGGGCGCATATCAGAGCTCGAATCATACTTCCTTGGGACCTCGCCGGATGGAAATAAACCGTGACCGTTGCAACCATATGCTTGCCATCTTGATGGCCAAGATAATTCGATATTGCTGGAATAAAAGTCGCCAGCGACCCCAGGAAGTATGCCAGACTGCTCTTCAAGACCCCAATGCCGGGCTCCGACGTGAAGAACCGGTACAGCCTGATCCATGTCTCTCTCGTCCATGTCACTAATGCTGACAGCCATCGAAAAACCACAGATTCATTGGTCTCGATCCGACCCGAAAGTAAACCGCGCCGTTCATCGTGTTCCGTGTCGTCACCGGATACCGCTGCGGGTCGGGGGGGATTGCGCAGGCTCACCAGGCCTTTCAAGCGCTGACCAGTTCGGGGGAGGACAAAGGTAGCTTGTCGGAGCTATATCCAGCTGTCAGTAAGCCCTTCGTTCGCAGAAGGAAATGGTAATATGCGGTGGAAGATGAGACGTGAAAGCTTAGGCGCACTCTGCTGTTGTGGATCGGGATCGGAAAGACACACCTTCGGGCGCAAAAAGCGGCGGGAGCTACTCGGAGTTGCAGACGGCGCCATCATCGCATTCTTCTCACCTCACGCAGATTACGGAGATGGGCACGACGGCATTCTCAAGGGCACATTGGTCCCAGCGGAGATCTTGGGTTGGATTGGGTGGATTGGGTTGGATTGGGCCTTTCGCCGTCTCGAGGTCTTTGAGCATTACAGGTCCACAATTCGCTGGTTGGGCGCGTGCTTACCGCCACATCCCTGCGTCGCCTGCCCCACGCACCTTACATGGTGCTGCTTCACGCAGAAAACAGCTGGAAAGAAAGGCAATACGAGTGGTTAAGGATATGATCAATCTACTTGGTCGGGGTGGTGAGTGCAAGAAGAAAGAGAAGGACTCCTCCCAAGCAAAAATAGCGACATAGAGATATACAGACATACAAAGAAGCAACCATACTGCGCTAAGAAAGACTCAATTCACTGGACAAAGATGGCAAACAGAGAGTACAGGTGAATATGGCTTATTTCAAGCCTTCTACCTTCCAGACCTTCACAGCAGCATCCGCACCAGCAGAGGCGATCTTCAGGCTCCCATCGATCCAAGCCACCCCGTGGACGCCCTCCTTGTGGGCATTCTTGACCTCAATCCAGTCGCCAGGTTTGGCCAAGCTCCAAACAAAGATGTTGGTGTCCAGGGAACAACTCACAACATGGGAACCAGCCTTATTCCAAGCCAGAGATGTGATGCGGGCAGTATGGGCAGTCCAGCGGTCCGTAACAAGACTGCCGTCAGCCACTTTGTAGACTAGGACACGTCCACGAAGGTCTCCAACAGCCAGTATCGAGGCATCGGGAGAGAAGGCTAGGGCCGAAATTTGGTTGCGAGAGGCTTTGATGTCGGTCTGCGAGGAGAGGCTAGAGCCGGAGAGATTGCAGATCTGCACGGTACCATCTTCGCCTCCAACAGCAGAAATTGAGCCATGCGCTGCCACAGTGGTGACGGGAAACTTTGTCTTATATTCCCCAACCTTCTTACCATCCTGGAAGATCTCAACTGCCTCGGCAGCACCGACCAAGACGGTAGAATCGCCTGCCGCAATCCCCTTCGGTTGCCCAGAAAGCTTGGATGCACTACCAGTGTAAGTTTGAGCGGCAACATCGATAGAGCGGATCGTGTCGTCCCAGCCGACACTGTAAATACGTCCAGAGCCCTCTGATGTCGGGGCTAGACCAGCAATATAACCAGGGTGACCCTCACCCTCAACCTCTCGTGCCGAACCCGAGGCGACATCCCAACTACAGACTCGACCGTCAAAGCTGCCCGTCCACAAAGTATCCTGGCCGTTCAACGTAGACTGGTTCAGTGAGGTGATACTCTTCTGGTGGCTCTGGATCACCTGTCGGGGCTCGGGGGTACCCTCAGCAAGGTAGTTCAGGTCACCACTAAGGGACAAACTGATGATCAGGTTGTCGCTGCGACCCGGGGGCCAAACAACCCCCACCTGGTGGTCTCGCACGGCCATGGCGCCCTCCTCTCCAAGAGTCCAGCTCTGCGTGGTCTTGCCTGCCTCGACGTCCCAGATCTTCACAGTTCGGTCGGCACTAGCTGTCACAAACTTCCGAGAATCCTTCGACCAGGAGACACTGAAGATGCTGCCCTTGTGCTCACCCTCACCGATTTGGCCCTTGGTCTCTCCAGTTTTGCCATCGTAGAGCCAGATCTTCCTGTCGCCGCCCACGCTTACCAGGGTGGAGCCATCCGGGCTGAAGCCCACGCCATATATGTAATTGGTGTGTTTATCTCCGATTCCAGTATTGAATTTAAACGGCGCACCATGGTAGAAGACCAGCTTCTTATCGTCGCCAGCGGCGGCAGCCCGCAGAGGCCGCTGCTGCCTGATCGACACCGAATTAATCGATTGAGTGTGGCCGTAAATTTCTCCTACAGTGTTTCCACTGTCCCAAGTGATACAGTGTCCATATCTTTGCTTTCCGTCGCCCACTGCAATGATGCGCTGCGAGTCGCCGTCCCAGGCCAAGTCGTTGATCCGACCATTGACAATGCTATAGTCGCCCTTGGTGATACCATCACCCACACAGTCCCACACACGTACCGTACCAGCGGTATCACCACTGGCAACATAAAAGCCAGAGGGGGAGAATCGAGCGACAGTGGTCTGTGCCTTGTGCTCGGTATATTGTCGACCAATTGCGGGGTTGTCAATGGAACGAATGAAGATAGATTTATTCGACTGTAATTCGGTTCAGTTAGGCTAAATGCATGATCAATTGGGGGCGGGTTCAACGGCAGGGTCGTACAGCATAGGCGAGGCGTTCGCCTTTAGAGTCGGACGAGAGCTGGGTAGGTGCCCCGCGGGTAGTGGAGGGGCTGGCCGCCCAGATGGATTCTGTCGGCGAGTCAATAATCTGAATAGTAGAACATTGTGACAAAGCAGATACCGTTTGTGATTGACATCAGGGAGTGCGGAAATTGGGTATGGAGGGGAGGTGGTTCAGAGAGGGTGTGAGGGTGCGAGGGTGTGAAGAGAGGAAGTTGTTTATGGACTGACGTACGCGGGCTTCCAGGCACCGGCAAGCTGGGACGCTTGGACGCTTTGGCGGGGATTTCCTCCCGGGGCGGAGAACACTGTACAAGAGCAGCACGCCACACCCCAATCGCCAGATTATGGATATTACAAGATGACAACAATGCCAAGGAAATCTCCATAGAAGACCACTCGGGTTGTGTGGTACAATAACTTGGATTCAAACGCTGAGAGTAATAATACATGGAGAAAGCGCCCTTTTCAATAAGCCCCTGATGTATACAAGAACACCTTGGCCATTCTAAGGCAGCCATTTCGTGGTGGAACAAAGAAACAATCCTTCAATCCCTTCTACCGGAAGCCACCGTCCATTCTCGCTTTCATGTCTGCGGCCAAAATCTCGGGGTGTCGGTGGACAGAGGGCATGAGGCCGAGGCCCATGGCTCTACGGATCGCCTTCGCGATTTTCCGCTGGTTGACAGGCCGTAAGCCAGTCTGGTCGCGGTGCTTGATGCGACCAAGGGGAGTCATGTACTCGGACATGATAGAGAAGTTCTGTAGCCAAAGAAAAGCGAATGTCAGATAAGAGTGCTTCAATAATGACAGCGTGCGCAGCGGAGAGCAAAAAGGGTAAAAAAAGAGCTGAGAATATAGAGAACTCTCCACAAGGAACACTAGGGGTCCGCAGCAGGTGAACAGCATACTTTGTAAAGGGCCAATGGGTTCAGGTTCAACGCATCGAAGGCATCCCGCGAGGGGCTCTTTCGCTTTCCCCACTTCTTCATCTCTGCTGGGCTGAGATCGTGAGGGGCGTAGATGTCACCAGCCTTCCAATCACGGGTCTGAAACTTCTCGAGGGCTCGGCTTTCACCCTGGGCTTTCTGGTCTTCGAGGAATCGCAAGCGGTTGGGTAGCCGGCGGCGGTGGTTCATTCTGGGGGCTATGGCGGATGATCAGCTGGTTTTCGATTGCAAATTCCATTGATTTCTTTGAAAGAAAGGGAGAAGGGATTATAGAAGATCAGGGCAACACCAAAACTTTCGACGTACTGTCTGAAGCTGTGGCTCGCTGGGAGGTGAAGGCACTCATGGCCGCCGTCGAACTCCAACGACACGCCGAGGGCACGGCATTGGCGGCACTGCGCAGCAGTGACGAAGAAAACAGGTTCAAAGACATTCTGACAGGATATCAACCTCTGAAGACACCAATAAAGCGGTGTGTTGCGCCAGCAGGGGAGACGATGGAGGCCAGGATGAACGCGGAGCCGACGGGCGGATCTTTTTTCGCGATGCCAAGACCGGCCACTTGAGCAGCTCCGCGTCGCGAAACTTCGGCCCATCTGAACTCCTTGAATTTCCTTCCCCCTCTTCCACGTTGGAAAGTTCACACCTTCAGCATACAATAATCTCGAGCGGCTGAGCTTGCCGGGATCCAACCATGCAGTCTCACTTGTCAAGACGGGTCTTCCGGGCAATCATCAACAACGAGCCACTGTCTTTTTCTCGATGCCGCCGAAATCAACTGCTGCATACGATTTCCCCCGCACGAGTACGACCTGCGCTTTCCAGTATTTGCAATGTACCCCGGAGGACTCTTTTTGCCTTCAACATGGACCCCAGAGGCTCGGGAGATGGTCTGCCGGTGACATTGGTGTCGGAGAAGGGACTGAAGCCAATGACTGATCTCAAGCGATCTCTGGAAGACAAAAGTAGGGCCCCTCCGGCACATACCCTGGTCAAAGCGTTTCAGCTCTTCTTTCAGACAAGAGTGGAATCGCCCGGATTCATCAATCTATTTCAAGCACGCCTGCTATCGATGACATGGAAACATCTGAAGGCACAACAGGAAGAGCTGGACGACCGGGATTGGCAAGATGTTTTCTCGGTAGATAGTCTGGAGCGAATGCTGTTCGTGCTTTCCGAGGCCCAATGTCTTCCTGAATCGCGCGACACTATCTTGAAGATTGCTCGCTTCGCCTATCTGGAACTTTGTGCCGATCATGGCTTCGGTCCCAATTCCATTAGCCGGCAGGCGCTGCTGGTCTACATTAGCCTCTTGTCGATGAACGGCAACCCGGAAGAGGCCCGACAGGTCATCATCAACTTCGGAGGCCAATTGAGAGGAGCCAAGCCTTCTCCGTGGCTCACCGTCCTGAAGGGGTTTGCCTTGAAGGATGACCGGCGCCAGCTACGAAAGATCACACAGGAACTTGAGAAATATGGTATCAAGTTCGATCAGGCTTCCCATGAGGAGCTTGTTGATATTCTTATTGCACAAGATTTGTTCAAGGCAGTGCAGACTGTCTACGAATGTCCCATTTCGGAGAACTCTGAACCCTCTATTACAACCAAAAAGGCTGTTATTAAATATGCGATTCTGAATGATGAAATTGCTTGGGCAAAGCCAGTCTTTCAGTCTCTCTCCGAGTATATCAGTCCCGATACTGCAGGCATTTCTCTCCTTTGGGAGGCGGCGCAAGGCAACGAAGCCTCTACTCTGGCCGAAACGGTTAAGTTATGGACGACCACAAACCCGCAACTCAAAGGAGCCTTGGCCATCGCGGATATCAATAGCCTTCTTCAGTATGCCAATGCTCAGCAGAATCTTCAACTAGCCAACGACTTTGCCAAGTTGGCCGACCAGTGGGGTCTCGTCCCAGACGAGAAGACCCATCTGTTGCTGTTGGAGTCCTGTATCCAGGATAGCCAGGTGGAGAGAGCTCTTGAGATCCTAGAGCAAGTCGATCCTACTTCCTTGTCCAGCGAAAATCGGGGTCTTGCCAACAGGCTCATTACTATGTTTTGCCTGTCCGAGAAAAAAGACGTCCTATTCCAACGAATTTCGTCTCTCCTTGATCCGCTTTTCCAAAATAACGTGCAGCTTGCCCCAGAGACTGTTGCTGCATTGGCACGTATGCTCCTCTATCGACTTGACTTCGAGGCAGTCTCCGAGCTGCTTCGCCCACGACTAGCAACTTACGACAGTGAAGGCAAGAGCCTGATCCGGGCGGCTGTCACTGACTACATCTTAGACCAGAGCCAAAAAGATGATGAGGTGTGGGCAGTTTATGAATTATTCAAACTTGCATTCCCGGAGACGGGCGTCAGTGTGCGAACCGAACTCATGTGCGCATTCTTCGAGCGGAAGCGCAGCGATCTTGCTGTTCTTGTATTTGGACATATGCGCCAGGCCGAAGATTTGTCTCGGAGGCCCAAGCCTGACACCTATGCCCGTTGTTTCCAGGGCCTGGCTCGGACCGCCGACACGAGTAATCTGGAGTTGGTGCACAACATGTTGAAGCTTGACCTGGAGGTCGATCTCAACACTCGGATTCTCAACGGACTGATGCTAGCGTATGCCGCCTGCGATAGGCCAGAGAAGAGCATGGAGATTTTCCGCCAGATCCTGCAGTCCGATGAAGGGCCATCGCACAAGACCATTGCGCTATTCTTCAAAGTGTGTGAGAAGCACCACAATGGCGCGCAGGAGGCCATGAAGATGATGAAGAAGGTCAAAAAGCTTGAGATCGAGCTTGACCGTCGCCTGTACAGCGCGTACATGGAGGCTCTGGCGGCACAGTGTGAATTTGATCTCGCAACCGAGGCCATCGATAATATGCAAGCGGAGATTGGAGTCTCTCCGACGAGTGCGACGTGAGTTTTTGCCCAATCAGATAGCCCATATCTGCGCTATCTGGATCTCAGTATTGTTATTTGATTACACTTCTAATCAACTTCTAGGATCGGATTGTTCTACAACGCTATTCCTTACCAGTACTGGAAGGACCAGGTGGAAGAGTGGGCGCGAGCAAAATACCCTGATCTATGGATGCACTTGGAAAAGACCGAGCGCAGCGAGCACGAAGAAGGACAGAAGTTCAACGGCATCTCAAATGAGGTGTGGGTCTAAGAGGTTGTGCTGCACAACATTCATGTACAAATATACCTATTGCCAACTTTGTAAATATGTAATTTAACTTTGTGTATTCAATATTGTGGGTGGCTTCCGACCCCATTTTGCTCTTAAACTGGGATAGTATATAAGTACCTAGATCCACAATGATGTCCGTGAAATATATTGGAACCACTGCTGAGTCCTTGTTTGGGGCGCTACAGACATCCGATTCTACAAAGCAGAGAGATTCTTCCCTTTACTACTTCAACGCACTGCAAACTAGAAGTATCATGGTATGCGACAAGGTGGAAAGATAAAGATATCATCATATTGAAGCCATAGTAGACAGATTAGAAATCGTGTACATCGTCATCCATTAAAACATCCCAAAGCCATAGCCGTCACGGTTCATGACAAACTCTTTTAAGTCCGCTGGGAACCAATAGTAGCCGAGCCATCAAGGTCGGAGTCCACGCGGGGATCCATCTTGTTGGCGACGTCGCTCTTGTGCGGACCCACGGTCTTCTGAGTGGTACTATAGCTGCTACCCGCGGCGCTGTTATCCTGGGCCTGGTCGAAGGTCTTGGTGGTTGTTGGGCCCTTGCTACCAGAGATGGGTAGAACGCCGGCGCCACCGATGCTGGAACGGTGGACATCACGGTCGAATGTGGTGTTGCCAGAAAGGTCACCGTGCTGCTCCTTGCTGCGGTCACTGTCGACGCGGGGGTCGGCCTTGTTGGCGAGGTTGCTCTCATGAGGTCCGGCAGTAGATGAAGCAGGGCCGGAGGCATACGAGTGGGTGGAAGCCTGCTGGTGCTCGGGAACATATCCCAAGCCACCCTGGCTGCGATCACTGTCGACGCGGGGGTCGGCCTTGTTGGCGAGGTTGCTCTCATGAGGTCCGGCAGTAGATGAAGCAGGGCCGGAGGCATATGAGTGGGTGGAAGCCTGTTGGGGCTCAGAGACACCTCCCAGACCACTAGTATGGGCAGAGGAAGGATTGTGAGCGTCGATGGTGTTGTATCCCCCACCAGTTGTCGTGGTTGGCTCAGTCATCATGGAGCTAGGGGTGCTATAATTCGCACCAGTAGTGTGAGCAGGCTCGGCCATGGAAGAGCCAGTGGTGGTGGAGGCAGTGTTGTAGGTAGCTCGCCCATCAAGGTCGCTATCCACGCGGGGATCAGCTTTGTTGGCCAGGTTGCTATCATGAGGGCCATGGGTGGAAGTGGCTCCAGTCATCTGGGTAGAATGGTCACTGTCGACCCGCGGATCCACGGTATTGGCAATGTTGCTGTCATGAGGACCATAGTTGGAGGACTTGTTGGAGTCATAGGTGTTGACAGGGTCGTAAGTCGAGCCCGCGGTGTCAGTAGCAGTACCGGTAGTCGTGGAAGTGTGGTGATGGTCGTCGGTGGAGGAAGAGTGGTGGTCACCGTGGCCCTTGACGGCGTCCTTAACCTTGTGGATGATGTTCGACATGATGTGTGTTTTTAGAGATGAAGCTTGAGAAAGAGTTGTTTGATTACTGGAGTTGATGGAGAGTTGTGGAAGATAGAAGTTGATTGGGGTTGTGACTGTAGAGTAATGTGTTTATATACTCCAGAAATACTACAGAGGCAAACAGTGACGCCATGTGTGAAACAAAGGGAGACCAACGTTCAACATGACGTGGAGACCCCGCCAAGCAATGATACCAGGGCATTGATGGCCCAGAGAGCCAGGGGGAGGTTTGAAACTGGTCAAGTCGCTGTGTTTAACTTGATGTTGGAGTCGGGACAAGGAAATGACTGCGGATGACATCGAGGCACGTCATCCCGTAAGCGCCACCCAGTCGTTACGATCCTCTGCCGATCCCCTCTTCCTCAGCCTTACGAAAATAGAACAGAGAAGATCCTGAACTTTCCAGATCGACAAATCGTCAGGATGTCATTGAGAATGATATTGCGATCTCCAATATGGTCTCTGATTTCTCCACGTTCCATGGAGTGAGCATTCGGGTTGTGTGATCGGGTTGGTCGAACCACCCGAAACAACCAGTGGATCTTGATCGCATATTATGTCATAGTTCCCTAATTGTTGATTTCTCCATCTACTGTATAGAGATGCTCGTAATCATAAGGAAGGAGAGGAGAAGTAAGACTTGGTTTGCTCTCTTACCAGATTTTGTGAGATCTGTAGCAACTTGAGATGGTGGAGAAGAAGAGAGAGGTGTGCATTGATACCGCTAGGAACAAATAGGAACTCAATCATTTAATCACTATTTCAGCCAATTGGAGTCAATGAATTGAAATTTCAAGTCCTTAGAAAGATTCAAATGAGGATGAAGGGTGGGATCTAATCACCAGGACGCTGAACAATTGAACTATAGCGCTATGGGAATGTAAAATTATACAAGATTATTGAACTGCAGCATCTTTCTACGATCATAGACTCCGCCTCAACCTTTTCTGAAAAGCCCAGGAGCCCGTCGGTTCCTACAACCCGTTCAAATCGCCATGGCTGACATTCCGGCGTAGCTCGTCTTTGTCGGAGCTATGTTGTCACTGCCATACCTAGGGCACGCACGGAATGAAATGGAAGAAGAGATATCAAGGGCTGGGGGACAGCTGTACAAAAATTTAAAAGACGTCGAGGGAAGTATAAGAGTATATTGATAGAGGATGAGGATATATAAGTCAAGACATAGTACAGATGATGCCGAGTGGATCTAGTTGCGATCCCACTGAAATGCACAGAATGGCTCATAGATAATGACACAAGATATTCGCACCAAATGCAACCCAAAAAAATTTACAAATACAAAAACACAATATATACAGTACTTAGTTTCAAATGTCGCTTCAAATGGCATGAAGGCAATGAATGCATCGACGCCTCTTCAAAATAGAGCCTCTCACAGACTGAAAATGCCACTTCGTTTCTTGCCATGTGGGTACACAATCAGTGCAGCGACAAATAGACCCACGGAGATACCGATGGCCGTCTGGATCATTCCGTAACCTAGAGAGGTCAGGGAGCTGCCAGAGGATGAGCTGCTGGTGCTATTGATCGTGCCCGAGGTCACCTCTTCCGCATATGCCAGACCGGATATGATTGAACCACTCGATGCAAGACCGGACGGCACTAGCGTGAAGATACCAGGGATAATCGCCGCAGCCGCGTGGCCGTGCCACAGACGACTGTACAGATTAGCCAAGAGACCGATGGTGAACGCGCCCACCGTGTTGGCAACCTCGCCGGAACCGAGCCTCTTGGTGCTGAAATAATTGGCCACGTACCCACAGACACCCATGAAGATCGTGACAGGGAGCTGCTTCGGCTTGGCTTGATTGATGAGAGCAGCAAACAGACAGAATAGCGCGACAAATGGGAAATGCTGGATATACTCGTTTCCCCAGGTCCCGAAACTACTCGTGCTGCACGTGGACTGGTCGGTGGCATTGCTATCCATTAACCCATAGATCGTCGTGCCAACAGTCACACCGTACCCGAGGAAGAGGGAGTAGATGATGGTGAAGACCATTCGGATTGAACCAGCATTCATCTGATGCGATTGTAACTCCAGACTACTGCTGAGAACAGCGAAACCGGGCAGGATCATCGCAATGGCGGACTGAGCCATGGCTGAAAAGCAGAAGACATGTTCACCGTTATGTCTAATACTACCGAACGCACGTGCGATGAAGGAAGTCAGAATGGCCGCCGAGACCTCGAGGACGTTGGAGTATGTGGCTGAGGTCGGGGCGAGAATATGCTGCATGAAGCCCACCAGACAGCCCAGACAAAAGATTATGGGGAGGTCAACGGGGCGAGCCGAGAACGAGTAAGGGCCGACAGCGACACTCGCCAGACCGGTCAGGAGAACCAGGATCCAACGGTTATAGCGGGGCTTTCGCTGCATAATATCATCCAAGTCTTGGGTGGCCTGTTCGACACCGACCACGTCGTGAACGACATTTTTGTAAACATTATGGGTCTCTGCGAGACGGGAGAGATCCAGGCCTTGGATGACACGAATAATCTTGACCTCGGCCGTGCGAGTGAGAGGGTCATCGAACGACATGAACATACAACCCGGAATATAGAGAAATTGAGCCTTGACCTCCAACACATTGGAGGTCATCATCATGTACTCTTCCAACCGGTGGGTAGGAGCACCGTACTTCATCAAAGCTCGGCAGAGTTGCATTATATACTGCTGGCGGGCGAGCAGGTGGGCAATGTGCACTGTAAGCTGAACATTCTTCGAACTCTTTCGCTTTTGCTTCTTTCGCTCTTTATGATTCATGGGGGCCGGTCCTTCTGCGCCAGGCACACCGATTCGGCCCATATCCATAGAAGCTTGGATGAGGGAAGATGTATAGTGGTGGCCGGATTTGGGTCGGTTGGCCTTGTTGACCTTGCCGGCATTGCTGTTGGCGTACCATTTGAGCTTCTCCTTCTTGGTATTGGGGGTCATCGAGCCCATCAGGGTACCCGGCGTGCCTGGTGTGCCGGGCATGGTTGGCGCCAGTGTTTCGGTCTCGGGATCGGTGTCGGATGCTGTAGACACAACACTCACTCTGCTCGCTGATGGCAAGTTGTTGGCATAGACGCGAAGCAGCTGCGATAGAAGGCCTCCATTGAGAGGCGTGGATGCGTATTCTCCTGGCGTTGAGGCTCCTGAGAGCGGTTCCGTCTCTCGTCGGTGAGACTGTGGCCGGTGATGAAGCCCCAGCTGACTCAACAGATGCTGTGCCTGCGAATCATGCCCGATTCCTCCCATCCGCTGCTCTTCGTCTTTCGCCTGACGAGCAGCAAAACTCCGCAGGTCGTCCGTCGCGCCGTAAAGCTCCGGGTCGTAACTGGCATCCAACCCGTCCGCCTCTCGCTCATGCGGACGACCCAGCCGCTCCGCGAGGGTGCCAGCGCCAGCGCGGACACGCTGGCTTAGTGTCCTCCATCGTTGCGGGACAGAGGCGACACTCGGTCTGTCCTTCGATTCCTCTCGGTCCAATGTCTTGGACTGGGGTTGATCTTCCTCCAGATGGGCGCCCTGTCCTTCACCAGCACTCTCGGAGATCGAACTCTCCACGGAGGGCTGGTGAGGAGGGGAAAGTGTTTTCTCGTCGTAGCTCGACATTCAAACAGGCCCAAAGATCCACGGGGCCCAACCACGTCTCAGGGCACAAAGGGGGCCTGTCGGAAGGCACCGGATGACGCAAAGGGGAACCTGAATTGATTTGCCCTTTCGAGGTCAAAGAACAGCTCTGGACGTCCACAAAAGAAGCTGGTTAGGGAATCAGAACACAGTCCGGAAGGGACCAGTTGAACGAAGAAGCACGGCCTTGGGCAGTACGCCACCAACGACTACCCTTCATATTTTGGGGAAGAAGAAGGAGGGGAAAAAATCAATGAAAAAGAAATAGCCGATGGGGTGGGCGGACCAGGGGGCGAGAGTGGAGGTCGGGGATTTGGTAGGAAATGAGGAGAACCGGCTCGTCAGGGCCAGACTGCACTCGGTGGACCCACGTCGCTAATGTGGGTTGAAGTCATGAGCGGACAGGACCGCGCGTCAATCCTTGCGGGGGCTTACTGGACTGTTGGACTGCTGGACTGGCCAGATGGACTGGGATTGAGTGGACGGTGGAGTATGGGAGGGTGTGAAGCGCTTGGCAAGTGAACTAGAGATCGCACGGCAAACCCGGTTCCTGGCCGTCTCCCGTGATCATCACGGGGAAACCGGATGCCCCTGACCATGACAGCTCGTCCCTTTATGCTGTATAAAAAGGGTTCATAAAAAGAGTCGTCGAACCGTTACATGCGAAACAAGCTTCGCCATACATAGCCACTAAAAGACGCTAAAGAGGATTGAGGAGCGGCCGTTCTTCCAGTAATAAGAGCAGGTGACCAAAGTGGCGCAGGGGAAGGGAAACGCAAATGAGGAGTCCGAGGACGATCCATCCGAGAAGGGTCATGATTGCCGGGTGGTTTCATGATTCGTGCAGATTGACAAGCACCCACGTATGCTCCGTCCGCCCTTCTTCTGAAGCAATCCCCGGCGCAAAAATCACCGTTATTCTGTTGTGTGGGAAGTGGAGCAATCACTTGGGGTCTCGGCCCATGTGGAGATCGCGAGCGGCCAGAATCAATTATGTATTAGGCTTCCCGAGGTACCATATCCACCACTCATCCCTGTTTGGAAGGTCTCTCGACTACTGGATAGCTAAGAGAATAGAAAGGCGAGCATGCCGAGAGGCCCGAGGGACCGAATAGAGTGAATCCTACCCTTCAGAAGAATCGAAGCCGATGAAGCCGAAGTATACCCGGGGGGCTGCATGCCCCTGCATGCCCTGCAGATACATATTCTCCGGCCACGAACGATTGACGCCCAAAATAGGAACCACCTCAGCCACGAGTTGAGGGAAGCGCAGCCGCCGGCGATGAATCTAGATTCCCCTGTCCCTTTCCAAGATCTCCTCGATCTTGGGCTGGTGTCCGCGTCAAGGGTTATTTATAGCCTGACCGGTGGCGCCCGGACGGTGGAGCCGAGGCTCATGGACGGTCTGGCCGCACGCGCCATCAAAAAGCTATATACTCGACTCAACGGGGAAAAAAGAATCAAAGGAAGAACAGGAGGTCTGCTCACACAGCCCGGATAAGCAAGGGTTTCGTGATTTTCATCGGACTGCACTTCCCGCTTTTGAAAGGATGGCGAGACCCGGTGGGGAACGCACCCGACCCCACTGGCGATCAGCGAGACCACGGCGAGAGCAGCCGGGGGATACCTGATATGAGATATAGTTCGATGATATAGTTTGATACAACATTCAATATCATATAATCGTGGATGAACCTCAGAGGAATGACCGAAGGGCCCCGTGCGGAGTATACACTCCACGGGTAAAAAGATGGGGGACCACTATATATCCATACTGACAGGTCGGCTATATCTACCAGTAGAACACAGCTCACGTGGGTAAGAGCTCAAATCCTTTTACGCTGACTCAGTCTCGCCTAGAGTTGTCTTGAGAATTCATTGATGACCACGCCCTTCTCCCCGTATGCATCTACACGAGGATCCGATCCCAGGCGCTCGTATTCAAGCCACTTGGGTTCCCGCGGAGAGATGCACCTGTCATTCACCGTCCAGCGTCCAGTGTTGCACGTCCAAAGTCATCGGGGCCTCCGATTCGAGCGGACAGCCAAGACGAAAAACCAAGACCCAAGAAATTCCGTCCAAAACTTGATTGCTGCCTAGCCCTTGCTTTTTGCGGCCTGCAGCGCGGTATTAATCTGTGCCAGTCGCATGCCATGCCAAGCCCCTCCACCCCGCGACCCCGCGCCAGTCATCTCCGCATCGAAGGGTAGCACGTTATCATACGGTAGCAATACGCCGCCTCAGCCCCTCTCGCTCATGCGCACCGCCCCCGATCTCTTTCTTCCGCTTTCGATCATGAGTCCGTCCTTTCCTCTCCTTTCCAACCTGTCAGACGGGACCAAATAACCCCATCCCATCGACGACACAACCCCCCGCCCACCAAACGATGCAGCAATGGCAACCACAGTCCAACCCCCGATCACCCCATCGCCCTCCGGCGCTCACACCTCCTCGCCCCGGCCCCTGACCGACTGACCAACACCCCTACCACCCTGAGCATCACCCGTGAGAACACTCTCTCGGGGCGCGACTTCTCGGTCCACCAGCTCCGCAACCACGAACCCTTCGATAGCCCGCAGCGGCGGACGCTGCTCTTCACAGTGACGGGTAAGCTCTGGAGCAACTCGCTGCACCGCTCAATCCGCGATGCGGCGGGGCGGCCGCTGCTGGAGCTACGACGGATCTGGTGGCGCAAGCAGTGGAGCGTGAAGCGGGCCGGAGGCGCGGGGGACGATCTGCTGAGCGTCGAGATGCGATGGGCGATTGGGATGAAGATGGCAGTGCGGGTGACAAACGCAATGTTGGCGGCCGGGCGACTCGACGAGGAGCAGCAACAGCAACAGCAACAGGAACACCAGCAGCAGCAACTGCAGCAACGGCGACGGCCGGGGAGGCGGGGCGGACGAGGGCACCCGCGGCGGGAACCGTCGCCGCCGCCACCCTACAGTGCGGCAATAGCGGAGGCAGGCAGCAGTGAGAGCAGCAGCGGGCCTGGCAGCGGCAACGAGAGCGACGGTAGTGTAGAGTCGAAGGGGGACCATGTGTTGCCGTCGTACGACTCAGTGCGGCGGCTAGGGAGCCGGCACTCGCTGCGGGATCTGCTGGACGCGGTTGAGCCGCCGGCTGAGCCGGCACCAGCATCGTCATATGCGTTTTTGCCGCAGCGGCGGTACTCGGAGGCGGTGGTGGAGGAGAAACTCGAACTGAAGGTGGAGCAGGTGAACAGCACGCTGGCCGGGGTAAAGATGGGGGATCGGCGGATCATCCAGATACGGCGCGGAAAGGTAATGGATTTTACTCTATCGGGCCCGTTGCCGCGGTGGGAGGTGGAGATTGCGGAGGGCGTGGATTTGTTACTGGTGAGTCGAAATCCTTAATGGATGATTTCTCTTCTCTCGAGCTATGAGTCGTGAGCCATGTATTTCCGAGCAACGGGAAGAAATCCTGAAAGACTGCGCTAATTTGGATTCCTAGGCCGTCAGCATTGTACTGATCATGGCGGAGTTCGTGCGGCATGAATATCGGGTTCGAATCAACAATTGAGGATGCTCCGAGCTCCGAGGCCCAGTGGTGATATCCTGTCATGCCTCATTCGGCATTCAGCATCCTATATTTCGCATTTGCTCTCTCATACGAAGCTTCTCCCATCAACCTCCCAGCATGGCGGGTCTGCAAGACCCGATTAAACAAGCTCCCCTCCTGTTTCCATGAGCGACTACCATAGCATGGTTTTTTTTTTTTTTTTTTTTTTTTTTTTTTTTTTTTTTTTTAAAACCCTTTCTCTCCTCTTTCACAGGATCTACTTTTACTTCTATAAGTTTCTACTAAAAGCCATTTCACAATGGAAAGCGCAAGCGCAAATTGAGGGTTCTCACAGGAAAGCTGAATGCCCCCGAGGGGGCAAGCGGAAGGCATCTCGGTGTAAAGTTGATTATGTCAAGCGTTCTTAATGTAAAACAAACACCAACCGGTACAATTTTTCTAAGCCATACATTTCGTCATGCAAGGAACAAGTCTTTTTTCTTGGTGTCCCCCAAAATTAAGTTATACTGTGTGGATGCATTGCCATCAAGTTGTGACGGCATTGGGAGGGAATCAAATCAAGTTTTGAACAAGAGGCAAAACAAGGGAAACCGGCAGAGATAAGGGGGAAGGGAAGGAGAGGGAGACAAAAAACAAAATTAAAAATCAGATCCTGTAGAGCCTCTAATCTACGAGGACTGGATCTTGGAAAGGCGCTTGGTCATGCTGGAGAAGAAATTAGTGTCTGTGAGTTGCAGAGACATCGTTGGCAGATGTAGAATGCACGTACAAATCAAAGAAAGAGAACTGGCTGGGCTGGTTGCCATACTCATAGACAAACCGGCTGGCCAGGTGGCTACCGAAGATAGCACGGAGATAGTTCTCAGGAACCTGGAGAGATGATTAGTAGGGGCACCAAAGAGGATAGAGAGCGAAGAGATGAAATAGAAAGAGAATAAGACAGGGGAAAAACATACCCGCTCCAGAATAGTCTCGAGGCCGATCTTATCCAGCAGCAGACGAGGCAGAGCATCGCCCAGGACCGAGCGACGCAGGGCAATGTTGTGCCACAGCTCGGTCTGCTGGAGTTCCTCGTCGAGCTTGGTAATAGCCACACTGAGGCGGTCACTGAGGACGCTACGCAGGACACCAGTCTGCTCGTGCTCGCGCCAGATGGCCTCGAACTCGAGAGTGGCGTTCTGCTTGATGATCTCTTGGACCTCCTTGACGTAGGCCTGATAGAACTCGGGGACAGTACCATCCTCGGCGACACACATGTTCTTCACGAACTCTTCGTCGTTGAAGGACAGCGAAGCGAGAACCTCGAGAGACGATGAAGTTACACCACCCTTGTTGGCGGAGGCATCCTTGAACAGAATGCAACCGGCCTTCTCAAGACGCAACTTGCTGTCCTGGGTGATGAACAGGTTGGCACCTTCGACGATGTACGGAACAATGCACTTGTTATCTTGGATGAGCTTGCCGACGGTGGACAGGTCGATGGACTCCGGGCGGCCACCGCAGGGCACGAAGACATCGAACTTCTCGTGGTGGCGCAGGTGGAAGGTATTGCGGAAGATCATACCGTTATGAATAACCTCGCCGGTGGGCAATCTGACGTTCTTCTCATCGACAAGCACGCGGTAACCTTCAGGAGAAAGCAGAGACATGTCGAATTCGGAAATCATGACACGCTTTTTAGCCAGGCGGATCAGTTCATCGTGATTAAGACCATTGGGATCAACAATGACACCGGAGCCATCCACGATAGCACCGTACTTTTCGTTGGCGAGCAGGATCTCGTTGGATCCCAGATCGCCGTCGGGGCCACCGGTCTGAAGCTTCAGCATGGTGGAAGGATCGATCTTCAGCTTGCGGTAGATACCGAGAACGTACTGACGGACCGAGAGGGTCGTCATGCCGTAGGTGTCGTGGGGAATACCACCCAGCTTGGGGCTCTTGCCGGTGAAGAACGACTTCCACCAAGGGGCGCCGCGGTTGCGGGCGTGCTCGGTCGCCCAATCGACCAGCTCGGCGGTGTTCTCGTCCGGACCCATGAAAAGGATTTCGTCCTTGCCGTGGAGATCGACAATAGGGTCCTTGATACCGGGGCTGACCGGGGGCAGCAGCAGGTCCATGATGCTGTCAATGTACTTCTCAAAGGCGACCCGCGCCTTGTCTTGATGGTTCACATCCAACAGAATCACACCCTTGGCACCGCCTTCGGGGATATCCTTGTTCTTGCGCTGTTGAGTGTTGGCCAAGTTGTAGTTCTCGTCAAACAGCGAGCGGGCATTGATACCGTACGCCTCCTTGTTCCGGCTCTTGACGATACGGATACCACCACGAGCAATGTCACGGAAGCGCAGGTGGAAGCCACGGAACTCCGAGCTGATGACAAGGAACATGCCGTAGAGGGGTTGGGGATACTCGTGCTCCGGCAAGAAGTCCGGCTGCAGGCGGAAGCTGAGCGCCACCTTGGTGGGGGTGAAGAAATTGGTCTTGAGGATTGAGGCATTGAAAACACGGAACGAGGTCATCACCATCTCATCGTGCTCGTTCGCAGCCGTGCTGCGGATCAGCTGCTTCAGCTTATTTCCATCCAGAACTTCATCCACCTGGAGACGCAGGTAACTCAGAGTGGGCAAGAAATCGTCACCGGTAGGACCCTGGTTTTGTACGTAGTGGGTATTGGCAAAGTCGAGGTAGAGCTTGTGAATCAATTCGGGATAGTTGTTGATGATCTCGAAAATGTATTCGGCAGTGAATGTCTCGGTACGCAGACGCTTCTTGATCTTCGACAGCAATTCGGCATGAACGCTGTTGTTGCTATCGAGCAGAGCGGACAGCGAAGTGTACTCAGAACCGAGACGGTTCAGGAACTGTTGCACAAACACCCAAGCGCAATGGGCATAGATGGTTTCCTGCAGACTGAGACGACCGGTGGCGAAGTGGCCCTGGAAGCGGTTCTGGGGAATACAGTACAGCAGTGAGGCCTCCTTCATGATCTGGTGAATAGCCGCCTCGATTGGTGGGAACTTTGCGGTCACCTCGGTCGATTCAGAGGGACGCAGATAGAGAGAGATGACGGTGATGCCGTTGGAGAAGTGCTCAAGGTACTTGCGGGAGCTGGTCAGGCGGTAGTAGTGGTAAAGATCCGACAAGGCACTGAACAGACCCATGGCCGAACCCTGGCGGTAGGCAATTACGAGACGCTTCTCACGGCTGCCCTCGATCTCGAACATCTCAATCACAGGGCCAGTCCGGCTGACAGCAGTGGCGATGATCTCCTGGTAGATGGCCTTCGTGTTGGGGGTGGCCTTCTGAAGGAAGCGCTTCTCACCGATGATATCGATGTTGGTCTCGTCGGGGGACGGGTTGGGATTGGCGAACTGGCACTTGTACACGAAGTAGCAGCGCAGCTGCTGGCCATGGTCGCCCGGAAGAGTGGTGGGGGAGCGGAAGGTCTCCACGCGGTAGCTGTTGGCGCCCTTGGAAGTGTTAATGTACTTCTCATCGATTCGCTGCTCGTAGCGGGGGCCATCCATGGACGCCACACCGGGCCGGCTGGTGTCAATATAGACGGCATGATCCTCCGCCTCCTTGTCCAGGCGAATCTCCAGCTTCTTGTCATCCCGGGCATAGGCTGCGACCTTGGCCGCATAGAGAGAGAGAATATGGGTCACGATGTTGCCCACGGACTCGGTCTGGAAGTAGGTGTCATCGATCCCCAGCATGTTATAGAACCAAGAGGTCTCGGAGACGACGAAATCACTGGGGAAGAAGCCCCTCTCCTCTAATTGATCCATCACTATTGCAGATTGTCAACATGATGACTCGTTTGCTTTCTTCGTTTTCTCCCCGCATCGACCGGGTTGTGGGAGGGGGGGAAGACGATGCTACTCACCTTGCTCCATTTGTTTCTGCTTGCCTTCAAAGGTAGCGGCAATGTAACCCGGGTCCTCCGCCGACAGCGCGCGGTGCGGGCTGCCGGGAGTACCGGGGATGCCCAGATGGGTGGGCTGGGGGGAAGGCTGGCGCAAGGCCGTGCCGACGACATGGTCCAGATGCTTGTTGTGCGGGTAGCGCTGGAATCCGATGGGGGTGCCTGTGCCGGAGCTCCCGTCCTGGCTGGCAAAGGGCTTCGGGGCGGGGCGGGCGGGCAGGATGCCATTCGAGGCCTCCGACGGCGGAGTAGAGGGTATAGGAGACGACATTGGGAAAGTCTTGGAGGACTTCTAAACACGAATTGAAAGGAAAAGGGAAGAACGCTGAGTACCACGGTCAGCTGAAGGCACGTGGACGGAGAGATAAGGGAGACAACGAGGGCTATGCGCGCTTATCAGCGCAACGGCAGGAGGAACAATGTTGGCTGGCTGTTGATAAGCGCGCATGGCCACCGTCTTGTGCACACGGGTGGATTGGAGAGCTGCTTTGCGGAAACGGACTTCCTATTGCCTGGTACACCTGCGTGGAAAGGAGCCCATGCAATGGTCCCCCGATAACACGCAAGGGAGGGGCGAGGGACCAATTTCGTCATAGCTCTTGGGCGGTGTGCAATGGGGATGATACTCCATCGACCGATAGCATATATCACATAGCACATAAAGCAAACAGCTTATAGCATCAAGGCATATAGACTTATCGGCCTATAGATAGGTGGGACATAGGGGTAGGGATATTCGGTGTGACCACTTACCAGCGCCATCGACTATCGTCGAATATAGATCGAGATCGAAAAAAAAAACAGGTGGATGGTGCTCGGAAATCCGGGGAACGAGCCCAGCTTTTTAAATCGCTAGAGACTTGATTTTGAATTTTTCTTTATCATTGAATTTATTTAAATCGGTTCTTTTTTTTTCTTTTTTTTTTTTTCTTTCCCTGGCACGTTCATTCCCATTCTGATTCCCTTGACATTATTACACGTATCGTGACGGACCAAGGCGCACCCCCGGGCCAGTCATAACCGATGCTAGGCGGACTGAGTCGACGACTCCATCGTGACCAGCGGTCTCGATGCCCTTGATCCGCAGCTGGGACTCCACCGGGGCAGCGCTCATTCCTTCCTTCTGCTGCCCGCGGGCCCTCGCTGGTCAGGGCGTGACTAAGAGCCGGCGATGGGCAGGCCGCTGATTGGCAGCCATCGCCCCTCCTACCGAGGGGAAAGACCGAGAGGGAAAATCCCGCTGCGTCATGCGGGCCGAAAATAGAGAGATAATTGCCTCACTGGGCCTGGAACAGTGGCTGGGGTGGAACAGGAATCGCCTTCCTATTCACTCGATTCCTATACTTAGGATACTTCGTTTACGGCCGCTCAGCATTACGACGATGGGGGCACGCCGGACAATCCGGTCACGAGGTCCTGGTCACAGGACCTCGGGGCTACAAGTTCTGACAGACGCCTCAAGAGGATTCGACTCGATCCTGGGAATGTTATGACTGTATTATTGAATGAATGGGGACGCGAGTGAAAGAACGAACGCCCCCAGGGGGTTCCTGATCAGGGGAAAAAAATATAGGAAAAAATCCTGGTGGTCACCTGAGGATGGGATGACCGGTTTATTCAGGAACCACGTCAAATCGAGATTCCTGCTTGACCGTCGTTTCCTTCTGTGATTACACTCGACGCCCCCTATATGAAACCATATTCCCCCATTATGGCGCCTATTGCGACGGTGGCATTAGCATAATATGATATAATATTATTATACTATCATCATATTACCCAATTGGGATCCTATTGGCATCCAATTGGCATCCAATTGTGATGACAAAAAAATATTAAGGAGTAATGGATGGCCCCAAAATATTGACGCCTAGTATATCCCTATGGAAACTAGTCCTGGAACCCATCCACGAAACAGCTGGGGAACTAAGTTAACTAAGGCAATGCGTTTAGTCACAGAATAATCATCCCCGCATCCCATCATGGTTCCGCCGAATGGACGAGGGTTTGCGAGCACACCCAGTAAGCACGTCGGGCTCGATGCTCAAGGTTGACCACGATCACGATATCGGATATCGTGGGGAACGCGATGTGTCATGGCGTTTCGGTCGTGAACAAATGCCTCAATCTGCCCCAGCTCCAGCCCTACCGTCGCCCCCGGGAGATTTTCGCCTACGGGAGACTCTCGTGGGTAATAGCCTTGGCTATTCCGGCACCAACGGAAGGAGAGAGGGTTGGGGGCGAGTGAAAGACGTCAGGCCTGCACATTGCACATTGAACTCCCCCCGGGCCGGCAACGCCTTCCACTTCCACCGCCAACCGGTACCTGGATCGGTCACACCATGCGGGGTAGGGCCCCTCCCAATGGAAATCCCAAACCTGCCAACGGGCCCTGAGGAACCCAAACCCAAACTCGCGCATGTCTCTCTGCGAATCACCGAATCACGGGGTCCCCAACAGAAACTTATTGCTCCAAGATGCGGCGGGCCTTTTACGTGATGTCGGCGGGCTCGGCGCCATCGCGATTGGCAGAAGGGTCCGACCGGCGAGGGATGTGGTAATGCCGGTCCTCAAGGGGAAATGATAATCCGGAGTCCGCCTGATTCTGCCTGATTCCGAGGGTTGGGCCTCCCGACACGGATATCCCATCCGACTTGGAGTGTTGCACGGCCTGTAATCAGTCAGTCTGGGCCGAGCAGTCGCCAGGGTCTACGGGAGGCAGAGGGGTAGAGGCACCGAGACAACCCAGGGCTCCTGTCCCTGGCCATTTTATCGGAAGGCGAAGGGGATGGGATGAGCTCAGCTCCTTCCTGCTCGTCTAGGTTCGCAAGGACCATTCCCTGACCAGGAAGGAAATGGAATTGCGCCTTGATGAGAGAGACAGGTGCCTGTGGAAGAGCCCGGACCCTCCACGCAGCCTCACAATCAGAATCAGGCCCAGCTCTGGGACAGGGTTGATGAGTTGGGCAAGTGGTCGGCTGACCCTCTGCAGAACAAGGAGAACGGATCCCAAAACACAAACATGTCGCAGCCGAGGAACACAAGAGAGGCATGAAAGCGTGTAAATACCAGAAAGTCCGAGCGGAGGATCGCCCGGGACCATACTCAGAACCCCTTCGGGGATCATGGGGATCCTGCGAAGGTTGGCGAGCGCAAACGTGGACGGATCGGCCTGGTTGTAATCCAGCGAGCTTCAAGCGTTCAGGACATGTCTTCATCAAGCTTCTATCGCGAGATGCTCGCCCTGAGATTGGGGAAGGAGCTCTCCCGGATTTCTCATCTATTTCTCTCGTATGCGAAGTACTTGGATTTTCGACCAAGTCTTGCCCAATAATCCCCTCGTCGGTGGCATCCCCTGCATCCTTCAATATACTTCAGTAGACTTCACTTGACCTCTAGTCCCAGCCCCCCAACGCGAGGAAACATACCCTTCGCCTTCTCAGGGGGGTGGATGGATTAGAAGGTGAGATGAATGCCCAAACGGCGAAGCGCAAAGAATGCCCTTATCTCCTAGGCATCATGGGGCTCTCGCCAGCACATACACAAACACAAACACGTAGCATCGAAGGGGGTTTGTTGAGCAAACTTCCCGAGACTGAGGAACTCATGGCTGGGCAGCCGCTTTACACGACCATGCGGGACGCCATGCACGGCGTGTGTACCTGATCTGTCAGGCGCAGCAACGGCCAACGCATGATACACTGCTGCAGCCGCGGCACAATCTGCACTGTGCTCGTCGTAACGGGGAGAGAGGGTTCACACTTCTCTGGCGGTGAGGCCGAGAAGACGGTTGTGATGGGCGAGAAATAATCGGATAAATTTGTGTTATGTGTAGCCAGATAGATACAACAACAGGGCGGAATGCTCAACCCTCAACCGCCTCGAGGCCAGGATCCGGTCAAGGTTCCCCCGGGGCTCCCGTATTCCCCGGAAGCTTCTGGGGGAACATCGAAGGGGGATTGATTGCTGAGAACTATGTCGCAACCCCCAATGGCGGAAACCCCAGCCTCAGGAAACCCGACAGTGGTACGATGGGAAGTATGTCGGGAAAAGGGGGGAGCCCCTGTGTTCTCCAGAATGGCTTTGAATGGCTTTGATCTCCCCCAGATTCCCGAGTGTGGGGGGAGGAAACTGGAGGCAATAGAACGGCACTAGACGAGTAGTCCGTCGATTCGCGGGTTGGCTGGCGTACTTTGGACGCTGGGATAGTAGGTGAGCTCCGATCAGCCTCTCGGTCCTTCATACCCCGAGATCAACATGAGACATAGTATTATGCCTAGTGAGGTAATAGTGAGTTGGCCTATCGTATGGTAAAGGATAGCCCCTGACTTCCCATTAGAAGTAATCCGGGGATGTACGACCGAAGAACCTCTTTCGAGGTAGCGATGTCTAGCCAGAAGTAGATATACTAGTATCCCCATATACACCTTTCAAAGCAAGCACGGGGGTTCTGGGACTACTGTAGAACCACTTCTGCACGCATAAGTGACCCATCGCAAACGGCCGAGATGGCTGTACATCTTTTATTTTCTTTCTGTCTCTCTGTCTCTGTCTCTCTCTCTCTCTCTCTCTCTCTCTCTCTCTCTCTCTCTCTCTCTCTCTCTCTCTCTGTGTGTGTGTGTGTGTGTGTGTGTGTGTGTGTTTTCCAGATTCTATTAATATTCACATTGGAAAGAGGTGGAGTGTCGCTTGAACAGCAATAAAGTGCGGGAGTCGATCCCCCGAACCAGCCGGATAATTAGGTCCATTGAATACGGACGGAAAGTGCATCTGTTGATCAATCTACGGATAAAATGGATAGACACAGAGACGGCCCAGAGCCTAGACCCTGATCATCCCCGTAACCTAGAAGAATGATCATGAGAACCAAGAACCAAGAAAGAAGCACCGCGATCAAACTTGATTATAAGATACGTCTCCGACAATGAGAGTCCAATAATAGCAGGTAGCGGGAGAGCGAATGCAATCCCGGAGAGACCAACTCGTAATGGCATACCCGACGGGTAAAACATGAATCGGGCGGCCACCGCCATTCCCGGTCGGGGGAGAGCGCCAGGCAGGAGGCGATAATTCATTCGGGGTGGATTCAGTGTGCCGCTCCCCCCTGGCATTGGACCCCACTGACAAGTGTTGGGGGATCCTTCACGGACTGATCTCAATTTTCAGAGACGCTTGGAGTTTGCCCGGTAGGAGGGCAAAAGACAATTATGCCGTATACTTCAGCTTCATCCAGGAATTCGCTCCTGCCATTCTCTCCCTATGTTCTCTCCCTTGACCACACTGTTTTGGATGTCTTCTTTTGAGACCCTCGTGCGGAGTTTGCTTCAGTCGCCGTCCACATCCCCGACAGTCTGGTCGATGGGCCCAGACGAGAGGATGAAGGATCGGCCTCGTGGACCGAGGTCCGCCAGTCGGCGTTTCCCCGGGATTGTCGGAGCGCCCTTGGGAGAAGAACCGCCCTATCGCACTGAACCCCCCAATCGCCGCTATGTGTGCTGGCCATCGAAACACGCCAGAAGCCCCGTCGAAGGGGAGGACCGGCGCGTCTCCTTACCCGATCTAGCCTGGGCGGCTCTCCCGCCCAACTTCCCCGTCCCCCTAGGAGAGCACTAGTCGCCTATCATGATGAACATTGGATATTCCCCCTGCTATCGGAGGTTCATTTCCGGAGAAGAGCTGATCCATCCGATAGGCGCCAAAGAAAGCACCCCCCCCATCCTCCTTGTGTGGTTGTGGGGATATAGTGGCTGCTTCTGGATGTTCCTTTTCAATATGATTTGGTCCTACCGGGAGTCTCTTTCCCCCCCACACGGCCCTGCAACGCGTCTGGTCTTGAATCTTCTGGGGCCGGGGAAAGCGGTGGCCCTCCCGGGAATGTCGCATCCCTGCCTAATTCGATGGGTGACGAGAATGAGGCGATTAGGCTTGGCAAGGTGATCTCCAGGGCGAGACGCCCAAGTTGGGCCCCCAAAGGGTGATATGAGGATTGACGTGCCGCGCATCTGCATATCTGCACATCTGGGGTTGGACGGGCTGAATGTTGTTCTGGTTCGGGGTCCGGCGTTGGATGTTGGGATTGCTGCAAACGGGGGGTGTGGTGGCACTCAAAGTCACCCAGGTCCCTGGGTACGGGGAATGAGACTCCGGATCCTCTTCCCCGGCGCGGACCTGGAAGTACCTAGAAGTACCTATGTACCTGGGGGTACCTTGAGCGGAACTCCGTACTTTGTTCTGAAGTACTTCTCCCACCCTCCATGTTACTCCACATCGTTTGATCTGAGCGAAGGGGCTTTTCCTTTTTCTTTTCTTTATTTCTTTTTCTTTTTTTTTCAAACTAGTTCCAATCATTCCCTCTTAATCATCTAGCGAGTTCCTTTTAATCTGGCCTCTTCTCCTTCAGAGGAAGAATATAACTACCCGACGCCCCAGACCGACCCGTTGGGATCCTTTCCCCAAACCCCAGATTCGTTTACCCACTCATTTTACCCGGACGCTGTACACGGCACTTCTCTCCGTTGAAATCTCTTTCTCTTGACACTCTTCCTTTGACGCCTGTGAACTCCCGCTTACTTCTTTAATCTCTGATCCTCCCACTCAGTTGGCCAACCCTCCTGCTGTGGTTATCTCATCGTCTTATCTCGCCTCCCTGTAACTATCCCTTATCCTCTCCCGGAGCCGTCTTTCTTATCTCACGGCTTTTACTCCCCTTCACCACGAAGAACAAGCATTTTTATTACCTTCATCATTTTTTTTTCATGTGAGTCCACTTGATCTGCCTTGCTGCTGCTTGTTACATCATCTCTCGCCCCCAGCTCCGATCTCCCGAAGCTGCTTTCGGGCGGGTTCGGGAATTACCTGGGTCCTTTTGCACGAAAAGCAAATAGAAAAGAACCCACAAAAACTCGCTCCGAAGAGACTCTGACTGACCAGGGTTGTTACTAGCTAGCTGCACAGCTGTCCGTGCAAAGTCATAACCGCAAAGTCGTGAACTGCTCGCCCTTTCTGCCGAGGTTCACGCTCCGCTGCTCCACAGAACTACAAAAGAGCTCCCTCCACGACAACCTCCCCTGATTTCACACCACACCTCTATTTCACCAACACAATGGCTTCTATCTCTGCTGTTCATAAGACCACCTCGGTCTCCATTGCCCCTCCCGCCTCTGCAGATGCCTTCGCTGCCTACTCTCAGGACATTTCGCGTGCCATCATGACTGCGACCCACACTAAACCATCCAAGCTCCACCAGAGCTCCATCGACGGCATGCCCCCGGCTCCTCCACCTTCGCCTGTATCTTTCGCCATCGACAGTAATCGGAAGGCCTCCCAGCATGAGAAGATCCCCAGCTTGAGCCTTGAGTAGGCTCGCCATACAAATCTTCCGACTCGGTCACTTTGCGGGAGTAGAGAAGCTTCATCGCGAGGATCTTTCTGCTTTGTACCACCAACGCACCCTACCCAAACTACGCCCATTCTCACGTCGACTTGCTCGATTTGCTGAAGCGGGTGACGATTCTCTTTTCTATCCCCGAGTTCTTTATGCTTTCTGTCTTTTCTCTCTATCGCTCTTTATCTGTCTCTTATCTACGGGTGTTTCGTCTTCTCACCGCGGTCTGGTTTAGCGAGCACGGCGGCGTTATGTGTAGAGCCCTTGCAGGTCATCGCAAGGCCTGTTTTGTTATTTCCTGTTTTTCTGTCTGCTCGGTTCTTTCTCTTTGCCTCTAATGACTAAGGGTTTACTGGGAACACAAAAGAGTCCAAGGAGGGACGGGAAGGTTTTCCGGTGTTAATAAATCCCTGGAAAGAACATGAAACCAATTTGAAACCAATTCTAATATAATAGCCTCTGCTTTTTATTCCTACTTCTCGACATTGCTTCTATTCTTTGGGAAACAAGATGGGAATCGTATGAAATAGTCAAGCACATCCCGAGTTGTTGAGAAGGGTATGTACTCTTTTAGCCATCTCGAGCCAAACGGCCCTGTCACGCCCGCTGTCGCCAAAAGCACCATTTAGTAGAAGGAAAATCTCCCCCACCCCGACGACCTTCTCTTTCCAGCGACCAGAGCCGCCACTCTCCTTCAGCCTTGCACAATCCATACACCTAGAACCGCCACCGCAAGCACACCCAGTCGCTGGTATTCCTCTAATTGAACGCCACCCCTTCACGCACGAAACTATGAACGGCGTGCCCCCGCGCGCGCAACCCCCCTTCGCCCTCGGAGCCATCGCACCAGGGCGGACACTCAGGGCCGAGGCGAGGTAGCGCACCGTCGATCCCGACGTCACTTCTCTCCCGATCGGGGACAGTCCCCAGGTCGTGCGAACACACGTCCACGGCCGGGGGAATCGCGTGCGAGAGCTCTTGGTCGCACAGTACTAGGCGACGCGGGAGTTGCGCGGAATCGTATTGGGAGAGGGAACCTAGAATCGGGGCCGCGCAGGCGTGAATGCGTCAGGGTGTATGGGCATGACGTTTATGAGAGCATACGAACTCCCATGGACACCAGATCTTCATGTGCTCGGGTACCAGGCGATGGGGATTCGGTCCAGCATCGAAAGATCCTCGGCAGCCCGGACCCGCTGAAGGAAAAGACCCTCTGGTGGGCTTATGGAGAATAAAAATGGCAAGAAACGGGAGGATAGGGGCAAACTGTTCAGTGGGGCATTGTCATATGCTCCCGAGCCAGTCTAGGATGTAGAATCCCAACCATAAAACCAATACTTAGTGTACACAGAGTTGTGACATATGCAGGGTCCAAATCCTCGATGGAGAAAAGCAGGGGAACAAACTCCTCGGCGATGGAGATCCCACGTGACTGGCAACCAAGATATGATTGCGGGTAGATTGAGAGTCTGCACTCTCTGGCTGGGATCATAGAATCTAGGGAAGGTCATGATATTTACTTTCTGATCTGAGCGATTGGATAACCCTAAATACATCTAAGGGGTGGAGAGAGGGGAGGGAGTTGATGCTGGACATCATATATAAAAGCTGTGAAATATGTGACCGGAGAGTGTAGTCCGTCGGACAATTTGTGGATGGCTTTGCTGCTAGTTCATGGCTTACATCCAATATGAAATACTTCTAAAGACTACCTGACTACTTTGACGCGAGAGAAGGAGAGAACGCATCGTTGAACGAAGCAACCAGTGGAAAATAAAATGAGGCAAAAATTTGACATTACGTAGTTGGCTACGTACGATTTCCGTGGCCATGACCTAGGCTCTCGTTCGTTGACCAGGCGTATCCAAGGGCCAGGAAGACATGAAATTCGATCTGGTGATTCTTAGGTCGTAGAATGACTGGGCTCTCTGAGCATGCCTTTGCAATCCGCTGTAGTTACCGGGCACCAAAATTTAGGGCGGGTATGGATAGACTCCACCCCACAATATTATGGTGTATCCTTGATAGCGAAGATCGTAGAGCAATATGCCGCAGCACTACCGGTATAAAGGCAACTTGAGGAAGGCAATGCCGGCCAAGTCAAGTTTTGCACAACTTTTCACCTTCACGGTCAGGAAGTCAAGAGAACAAGGCCGATGAAAAGACAGGCATTTTGAGGGACGAGCTACGAAGAATTGCGGATCCCAAAGACCCGCTTCTTTTCGCCCTCTGTTCAATGACCATCGAGACAACCGAGTGTTCACAATCGTAAAATGGAGAGGAGCAGGCCTGATACTGCGAGGGAGTGGAAGTCTCTGGGTCTCGACCCTAATATTTGTTTTTCTTCCCCCTCTCTTGTGTTGGATTTGGGAGAGAAAACCTTGAACAGATTCCCTCTCTGTCCCATGATGAGAAAAAGCCTCAAGATGGCAAATGACCTTCTGCAGGCTGCTCTCTAAGCTCCTGCATCATCTGATGAAGGGCAGACAGCGCCTCCGGGTCACCCTGGATGGCACGTTCGTTGAGCATACGGATTTCCGCGATTTGGGACTCTGTTTGGGCCCACGCGCCAAGGCGATCCGCGAAGTTGACATTGCGGCGGCCACTGAAAGCAGTCCGCACAGTATCTGTCTCTCCTTTGTCCGCTTTGATCTTCTGCAGACGGTGGATGAATTGGGCTTGATGCGAGGTCATGCCTGGGCGCCGGGGCACGCTGCCGAACCCGGGCGCCTGAGAGGCCGACGGGTCGCCGGCCCCTGCAGGAACACTAGAGGGATCAGAGGTAGAGTCCGGACCTTGGACCAATGCGGGGGCCGAGTTGGAGGTGATGTTTGCCTTGCGACCGAGGATCTTCACGCTGTTGGCTGCGAGGAGCTCGAACGCTAGGCCCTGGCGCAGAGGTGCGGGCAAGGTATGGTCAGTGTCCGGGAGAGAATTCGGGTGCGCGAAGACTAACTCGGTGCCGATCTGATCGGCCCAGGCGCAACTGAAGATTTGATTGTGGTACGAGACGATCGGATTGCACGTGTGGAGACCGAGGATTTGGATTCGTTCAGCAGAGAGGGGCTCGGATTCTGTGCTTGCAACGGGCGTGAAGGGGTCTCGACCAGAAGACCCTTCTGTGCCTTCGTCAGCCGCCAGGTCTGTTTCGGTTGCGGGGGTCGAGCCCTCCTGACGCCGTCGGGGAGGACGGATCAATCCATGGTGGGAGGTGAGGTCGAGGTTCAGGTAGAAGGACTAGCGCGCCGCCTGTTTGTCAGATTCTAGGACCAGTATCAAACGCATGGACTCCTTGCACACCTCAGTCTCGGTCTCATGGTATTCGTATTCCCATTCCTCCTCCAGACCGGGATCAATGGCCTCCATGTTTGGATGGAGGGGGTCTGTTTATGATTGACAAGGGTTTTGGGGGAGTGGGGGTCGCGATGATTCGTGCCGATAAGATAGATCGACTGAGTCAGCCGTGCCGCAAGCGGTGAAGACTTGGCATTTTGGTAGGTTTTGTTTTGGTGGAGGTACATGCATACGAGGGACACCCGAAATGAAGATGTTTTTGAAACTGGAAAACTGGAAAAGAGGCGACGAGATGGATAATTAGAGCCAATTTGGCTTCGTAATGATGCGACCGGACTAGTCTACTAGTCGCAGAAAAGTCTCGGAGTATCCGATTGACGATGGCGCGATCCCGGTCGGCTCCCCAGACCCCAAAACCCTTACTATCACTTAGGGGCCGTCTTAGGCGCCCGCGAGTCAGCCTTATGGAAACTTGAACCAAACCCCCCCCTCCCCTCATCCGTTCCATCACTTCTCCTCTCCCATTCTTTCCCCAAGTGACTCGACCAAAACCCCCGAGAGACCATGGCCCGGGCATCATGTGTTCGTAAGTATCCGAGTCTTCCGCTCTTAGCTTCCCATGCAGGACTTTCGGGCCATATGGCGATCGCATCCGGCTTGGCTCTGACTGCCATGCATTTCCGCACGTTCCCGGGCGCCTGCGTTGACTTGCTCGAAATCTTCCCCATTTGACTTTTTTCTCTTTTTTACTGCTCACGGGAAAAAATGTGGGCTGGGATCGGAAGGCCCGGTCAAGGCAAAACTGACTCTGTTTATTTAGTCCTTCCCCTCCTGCTATGCGCCCTGTTTGCTTCTCTCATTGCTTCCCGGCCCACTTTAGACTCCTCTACGGTATGCCCGTCAACCATAGGTGACTCCGCTACGCATGATTGCATCGATCAGGACTCTTCAGCTTCGACTGGACTCCCAGAGTCTGCGCTGGCTGCTCAGGCGCATCCTATTGATTCGGGCGCCTCTGCATTGGCGGTTTACGGGAATATCCTGGAGCAGATGACTCGCAAGGCCAAAGCGACCATTGCGGCCCTCTCGTCCCTGATCATCTATGTCTCGGTCAATAGCCTAGCCCGGACCCTCAAGCCCTCGGCCTGGGTCTGGTATGAGGAAGACCGAGACGAGCCAACATGGTTGGCGTCTTCGCGCTCCTGGCTTGACCGCAAATCTTGCCGATGGCTCGGCATCTGTGGTGTCGCGCATTTTGAAATGGTCGGTAGCCATTTCGGCCATCGCGATCCGTCCAAATGGTCTGAAAACACGGATGCTGACCCGGAGTCGTTGCCATGGCGGTCGTTCTGGGTGAGCGGGGCCAGCAACCAGACCGAGTGGGATGCTGACGAGCGGGCTCGGCGGGAGATCCCCGACTATGTCTTCGACTATGCCCCACTCGTCCACCTCTATTCTGGCGAGCAATTTTGGCCCGGCGACATCGCGGAGCATTTGTGGCACACCACCCCCACGCTCAATTACACTCCCATCCAGGCTCAATGGGATCATCCGACCTTGGAGGACTTGAACGATCTCAATCAGTGGGAAGGCGGGCGGCATGTGTTCCTGACCAGTGACGAGGACCCCACCAGCCGTCCACCCTGGTTGGAGGGAGAGAAGAACATTCCAAAGCCAGGCAACGGGGATGAAGAGTCAACGAAAGAATCATGGGCGGAGGGGGATGGCCGAGTGGATAGCCAGATTCACGATGATAGCGAGGGGGCCCGCGCCGAGTGGGACGACTTGCGGCAGTACACCGAGGAAGACAGAGAACGCATGGAGAAAGATGCGCTCGCCCGAGAATCCAAACAAGGTTCCCAACGGTTTCGACAGGAGCTACGGAAGCGCTATGGCGGTCACGAAATTCAACAACCTTTCAAGGGCGCTTCCGCTAGAGGCATCGGGGGCAGAAGCGATGCGCCGGCAATTTTGCTGGTGATGGACAAAGGTAACGGCGTGGTGGATGCCTTTTGGTTCTACTTCTATAGCTTCAACCTAGGCAACACTGTTGTTAACGTGCGCTTTGGTAACCATGTTGGAGACTGGGAGCATTGTCTCGTGCGATTCCATCATGGCCAGCCAAAGGCATTGTTCTTCAGTGCCCATTCCGGCGGCGAGGCCTATCAGTACGAGTCTGTGGAAAAGATCGGTCAGCGGGTGAGTCTACAGTCTATCTTGTTTACCATTCAACGGTATACCAATTCTGATATCCTATAAGCCGGTCATATACTCTGCTGAAGGCAGTCATGCTATGTACGCCCATGCCGGAGTCCATGAATATGTTCTGCCCTGGGGTCTCCTGCACGACGTTACCGATCGCGGCCCATTGTGGGACCCTCTGCTCAATTCCAAGGCGTACAGATACGATTTCGATACCGATGATCTACGTGCCTCCACCTTTACCCCCCTGGCTCCCACAGAGTGGTTTTATTTTAAAGGCCATTGGGGCGACAAATTTTATCCCCTTGGTGATTCGCGTCAATACCGCTTCGCCGGCCAATATCACTATGTCAATGGCCCTATTGGACCGCGGTTCAAGCATCTCAACCGCCACAAGGTCTGCCAAGGCCCTGATCGCTCTGCCTGTGTAATCAAGGATTACATTGGAGAGGCTGAGCGAGCTCCCTGGTGGTCTGTGGCAGATTCTGGGATATGATTTTCTCCTACCCACTTCCTCAAATCTGATTGACCATTTTCTATACATGGACCGTTGCTGACCATAGAGGGGAATTGAAAAGCCCCTTCTACTTATACCCTTTTTTTGCTTTTTGAGTCGATATATACCCTCTCCTCTTGCTTTTGAGATTTTCGCATTTTGATTCCAATTCCCCGCACTATAGAGTTACTCCGGTGCTTGATGAAAGCGTTCATTTGCTAGCCGATCCCAAAGACGGCATGAAACTACGACCTCGACATTCCTTGACTTAGCGATCGTTTTTCGCTTGATATTCAATGATTTTGGCCGTTTGGCGCAGGTTTTGTTCTTTTGATTTGATATTTGGCCCGCATTGCGGTTTAGCTTTGGACCCCTAGACTTCCTTCATCTCCCCAATCTCCAAAGATGACAGCATACAAATACAATAAACTAGACTAACAAATCACTCTCCTATAGAATTAAACCTTAAAAGGATGCTTGTATCTCTTGAATGCTTTTATTGGATATACATAGGAGCATAATCATGGGCAATGCTATACACCAGAGCGCTTCCTCAACTACTTGTTTGAAGCATGCTAATCAAGACCGCCAATATATAAACATAGATAATCGACATCAGCATCGATTCTAGACGACATTATTGAAAATTAGCACCAGCTCTCATGGGGATAGCAGCTATCCACGGATCTCGAACAGGCGAATACGGCCCTGTTCATTGGCCACAGCCAACTGCTCAGAGTTAGGCGAGATAGCCACGGATGTGATGCGTCCTAGTGGAGTGTTCGAGGTAGGCCAGTTACGGTAGACAGTGCAGGACGGGAGGTGAACTATTAGCATCGAGTTAGTAAAATTCATCCAAACACATACAAAAGTTAATGAGGGCAAGCCACATACCGATTCGCAAGGCATCGCGCTTCCATCGGCTCGCCATAACCAGCATCTGTCCGTCCGGCGCAAAGACCAGATGACTGGTTGGGGTAGTGAGCTGGTCCAGCACGCGGGTTGGGGTCGGGCTTCGAGGGATTCCAGCCTGGACGCCATTCTTATCGGCAGTAGACTTATCCACCGAGGCTGCCGCCCATTCACGGCGGTCGTAGATATTGACGATACCGCTGGAACTGCCAATTGCGACCCAGCGGTCGCCACCAAGCTGGGTGCGGCCGGAGCGGCCGCCGAGGCTGAGGACGGTCGTGCCGACAGCGCCTGCGTCGAGCCAGCGCGCAATGATGCGGCGCTGCTTGCCATCCCACTCAGAGACCTCGCCATTTTTGCTGGCAACCGTCATTCCCTGGCCGTCAGACCACCAGGCGAAGTCAGCGACGCCACCGCGACCGTCAACGCGCACCTGTGCGATCCACTGCGCGGTGCCGGCATCCAACACGTTGATCAGGCCGCCGCCCTTCCGTGCGGTGCCTACAAGGCCAACGTATCGGCCGCAAGGGGAGAGCTTGAAGCGCTCCATGGTTTTCTGCTCTTCCTTGCGGTCTGCGGTGCCATTGACCTTATCCACCTTGCCGGTATCCAGATCCCAGATGTGGAAGTAACGCCGGCGACCAGCAGCAAAAATCTTGTTCCCTGTTGGCGGGGCAAAGGCGGATGTGTGGATGGGGGTGCGCTTGATGTGCAGAGAGGTCAAGAGGGGGTTCGGGGCTGGGGCGGAGGGAGAGATGTGATGCATGAAGAGGGTTGAGGCGGGCCCTGAGGAGAGCAGAAGTGGGTAGTGAGGGTGGAACATGAGAGAGTCAACAGAGGACTAAATCGTGAATGTTAGCTTGATAGCCGCCTTTGCAATGTATCGTGTGAATCAAGATCATGGCTCTTACCGGTTGGTCCTTTCCGACATCCTTCAACCGCGCAATGTCGAGCACCTCCTGACGCAGCTTGCGCTTCTTGCCTGGTTGAGTATTGTCTTCAACGCGGGTCAAGTCGGTAGTATTCTGAAGCAGCTTTGCTAAAGGCTGCATGGACAATTGCTCATTCTCGTCGTCTGAATCCATGACCTCATCGCTGTCCGCATCCGAGTCATCGGAATTGGTCTTGCGGCGCTTCGCAACCTCCGGATTCGCCCACTCGGGAGTTGGGTGTAGGCGCTGGAACTGCCGGCGAAGTCGCCGAACATATTCTGTGCCGCTGACGATATCTTCTGACTCTGTGTTGCGCAGTTTGCGCAGCTTGGCTTGGCCAGCGAGCGAGACTGCAAGGCGCTCATCATCGCTGTCATGCCAGATGGCGGGCAAGGCCTCTCGGTCGTCTTCTTCGTCAGACGGGGTCTCTGGGGAGGGGATGATATCTGTGGAAGCCGGTGCGCCTGAGTCGAGGAAAAAGAGCTATCGATAACCAGAAGTTATTAGCTGAGTGTCCTCCAGCAAACAAGAGAGGAATTCATACGTCTTCATCAGCCATGGAACCCATGCCACCATCTTCATCGTCGTCCTCCTCCTCAGCGCTTCCGTTCTCCGCATCGCTGTGTAAGGCGAGCTGCATAGCATTGGCTCGCTCCTGCTGGTTTCTCAATGCATTCATGAAGCCCTCATCATCACCAAAAAGAAGACGCTCCAGCTTCTCCTCAGCCTCATCCTTCTCAAGAACATCGTCCTCATCTGAGCTTGTTTCGTCGTCCATCTCAATATCTTCATCGGCGGGACGGGGATGCATGGTTGTGGCCTCGAACGGAGACCGAGCGGCCGTCCGCTTGGTTTTTGTCTTTAGCCCGACGTTCGGCATTGTGATATGTCCAGCCCGTATTATCAAAAGGGATTAAAGTAACTTCCTGCGCAGAATAGACTTCCGCAGCGACCGGCGTTCCAGAGCTTGCTTCGGCGGGATCAGAATATTTTTCGCGTTGATTTTTGCGTTGCCGGCAGATTATGGCGGTGAGAAAGGCGGAAATAAATAACCGTGGTGCCTCAGGCTACAAAGTCGGATGGTTAATTTATCTGGGCGGGTCTCGTGCATTATGGTAAGCCGGGCTTGTCATAAATGTTTTTGGGTGCGCTTTGCAACTGGGAGAGCCTGGATGACTTGAACGCTCAACAATTATTACAGGACTCCAGAAAAGAAGAGGTCATGGTTTATAACCCAGCTAGTAAATTAAGACAATAACCTAGAGAACATCCACAATTGGCAAAAACATATATTCGTGTACACGTTGACGCTCGTTAAGAAAAAGACCCAGTGAAGGAGAATAAAACAGAAAAGTCCCCGACACCATGATTTATCGCGAAAACAAAAAAACTTAACTACGTATGCGTTCCCGGAGTAGTGTTCAATTTCCTTTCTTGCTCGATGTGACTGCTGCCAGAGCTTAGGGATTCGTAGGGTGGCACAGGAGAATGATTATCTGTGAGTTGACCTTCTGATTCCTGCAGTGCATTCGCAGTGGCCTTTGGTTGTGAAGCAGTGATGGATGATTTGCCAGGCACTTCCTCATCCGGGTCAGACGAGTAGGCCTCATCCAGGCCAGATAGAAGAGCTTCTCGCCGGTGAACATCGTCATCCCCATCATCAATAGTGCCATCTGCGGTGTAAAGATCGTAGGAGAGAGGCTTTTTGATGAAATGATCGATGATATAATATTGGATAGCATTCATGATCACTGGGAATAAGAGCATCACGAAAGCGATCTGGATGGCAGTGTTCCCTTCTGTCCAGCGCAAAGCCCAGTCGCCGACCTTGACGATAAAGGGGAGGAGCGTGATCAAGAAGAAGACACATACCTTCATGCCCAGCAGGCCCATAAAGTAGATGATGGACTGTTTGAACCACCATGTGGCTCGCGGCGGATGACCATAGTTGCCAGACTCGATCGATTCCGGGGGAGATGCAAGAGGTGTGTAGCTGGCAACGCGATTGAGAACACGAAGGATCAAGATGAGGATCGGAATGCCCAGGGTTGTCTAAGCTGGATAATTAGCAGGAGCTCAATGTTCCGGAATACATAAGAAGCAAGAGGCGCCTTACGTCAATCCCCAGATTCAACAGGTAGAAAGAGCACGGGTTGGGCCTATATTGTTTCCGGATCTCCAACTGACCAGCGGAGAACATAGACATCAGAAGATTAAGTAGATGTAGCATCGCTGAGCCAAAAACTTGTTTGGAAACATCAAAGGCCCACACTTTCAGAGGACGCTGCGGTCGTTCTCTCCACCGTTTATAGACCAAGGATAGAAGCGCCAGCGCACCGAGGGCTACCTGGACGAGAAGGGAGAAGGGTCCAAGAAGTTTGCATTCTCCATTATTGTCTTCGTCTGGATTGTGTCCCGATCCGGGTGGGGTAGCGCCGTGATAGAACAGCATGTGAGTCTGTGAAGGTGATGCGGATGGGTCCACACCGATGGTCAAGCTGGGCGTTGAAGCGGCGGAAATCAGCGCCGATGCTGTCGATGCGGCCAAGGAAATGGCAGTCGCAGCCTCCATTTTAGAGCATTCAGTGATAGTGTCTCGTAACAGACGTCTGGCTGGTTTGAGAAGACGAGAAGAGGTCGGCGCTAGGATACGAGGTGGCTGTGTAACGTGGAGCTAGGCCAGCGGGCTTATCGAGTGCCGTGCCGGCTCATCATACGCCGCACATTCGACAGATTGCGTATTTTGCAGGCAGCGAAAATTCCAGAAGAATAGAAATTCGGAATCTGACTAGAATCGACGGGGAAGGATGAGGTAAAGTGCCGCAACGTTGGCAAGGTTGTTGAGGTTACAGTGGAAGGCGGTGTCCGCCCCCGCAACGGGATCGACGAGCCAAGCCTTTCTGGCCCCGGCAAATCGGCGCCAACAAGCGTGCTATTTCGGGCGGAATTCAAGATCCTGGATGATGATGTCTGGAATCAAGGGCTCTTCTGAGCCTCAACATTCGCAAGCTTCATGTTACTGGGCTCCCCGCCAATCACCAGGATCATGTCCGCCAAGGGTGGGCACCTGTTCTTCCATGACGCAGTCAGCCTTACCGCTTGGACCCTGATTGTTTCGTTCTGGCCACATTAGTCATCGACGGTGACGGACACAGGACTTCCATTTTTTTGGGCTAAAAAAGCCTCAAAGAGAACTAATTGCGAGATTTCTCTTTTCATAATATGGATCGGTACTATATGACTTCATATTCCCCATACAAAGAAGATATATAGCATGTAGTTTTGACCTCCCTAACAGACACCTACATGCAAACCGTAGTTCCTTGGTTCATTCCAGAGTCTAATACTCCGTTCATGATATGAAAGCTAAAGGTGTTTGTCGAAGCTGCCCTGAGAGGTTAAAGCTATTGGTAGAAAAGAAAGAGGAAGAATTTCATGAGGAGAGAGCAGAAAGCGAATTCCAGCTACCGTGTAGGTCAAGGAGTGCCGAGCAAAGTTGGGGGATTTCAGATTGATCACCATCAAAGGTGTAAATAATAGGATAGACAAAGAAGATAAACAAAACCTCGCCAAGCGCATGCTGTCTGCGAGAGACCCTCGGTACGATAGCCGGGGCAAACCCATCGAACCACCCATCGCCCATCCGAAAGAGTCGTAGATCAGAATCAAAAAACCCCGAGGGAAAAAAAAAAAAACGCCAGAAACCCCTCAAACCAAACCAGAATTGATATAACAGGAGAGCCGTCGCAACACCATGCGCAGCTAAATGCTAGCAGAGGGCATCATACAGTCGAAAGGTCGTCACATCATTCTATCCCGTGTTGTTCTTTCAGTCGTTCCAGATTTTGCTGTCTCTCTTCAAGATCTTCTCTAGAGCGAACCATCTTCTCGGGCTGATGGATCAAGACTAACCCAAAAGACACCCGTTAGCGACCAGATCCACGTCTTGATTCCCTTCGTTTATGGTCCGCGCAGGAATTTCAACGCCCCACGGTTGTACATACCGACCAAGTATCTACTTTGAAAGTTGAACCCATTGAGCTTGTCCATAGCCTGCTTGGCATCGTGTACGTCATCATAGACCACGTATGCCGTACCCTTGGTCTCGTTGGCGATGCCCTGACGAATTTGGCTGGAAGAAAAAAACGGGGTAGGTTAGTCAGGGAAACGTCTTAGAGATCGAACGATCAGACTGGCGACGCCTTACCGAATAGGCCCGAATTTCCCGAACAGTTCAAACAATTGTTCTGGCGTTACGTTGTAGCTGGAAAAAGCAAGTCAGTAATCGGATCTTGCATCACAGATGGTCGACTGCCGGGACGGGATGGGGATCGATGAACTGCGGAACTGCGGGTGACCGGAGATGCGCACCTGAGGTTCTTTACGAAGAGAATCCTGAGAAAAAGCAGTCTGTGTCAGTACGGATGGGTTTCATCTTGCACTCAGGGTTTATGGACCTCTGGGGCTGGCCAGGGCGAGGACGGCCATCGGAGCCGGGGAGGGGCAAAAGAAAAGAAACCAGGCACATACCGATTATCTTCGGAAGAGGGCTTCCTACTCATTCTTAGAACAAATGAAGTCGGGAAGGAGGATGATCTGAAATTAAATGAAGAGCGAGATACCCAGGGTATCGAAGGCAGTTGAAGATTTCAAGAAGAGGACTGTCGCAAGATGAAGGTGCAAGACACGCAGAACGAAGCACGAGGTGGGCTTGGCAGGCTTTTTTGGGGTTAGCGCATCTTCTTTATGCCTGAGGCTGCAAGACTGAGGTAAGCCGGCTGCCTGCCATGACCATACCAAACATCATTCTGCACGTGCACGAGGCCCCCTCTCACCGCAGCTGCTGGGTATCGTTGTATCCATTTGTAACAGATTGTATCAGCGACACAGCTCGGCGAAGACGCTCTCGTCGCAACTCGAAGCTCGGAAGTCCGTCCACGGCCCTTCTCTTCTTCTCTTCTTCTCCTCCACCAATCGCCCGCGGACTGCTTGTGCTCTCGTTGAAAACGCACTGGGACCGATATTGATCAAGCGAGGCTCTACGGCGCCCACGCACTTTCGTCGACCGCAAAGCTGTCCCGCGTACATACCGTGCGAACTTAACTCTCGAACAACCCTCCTTCGTCTACGTTCCTCCTCTCCTCCCTCCCCCCTTCCACCTCCGAAGCGCTCCATCCATTCGCATACCCCCAGTTCGTCATCCAGTTCGCAGGACTCGACTCCTGCTGACTGGATTGCATCCAAATCGACTTTCTTCCCGCCCGCGGGCTGCGGCGCGACTCTCGGCGCCTTTGTCCACCCGCCGCCTCGCCTCAAAACCCCCCTCAACACCAGCGCTTCGCGCAATTCGCCCTCCCCGTCGACCACCGTTCCTGCGCTCAATCGTCCATCAAGCATCTTCGTTCATCTCGCGGCCTTCCTATCCGCATGTCCTCCTGCCAGGAATGACACCTCTTTCCTCTGCGACGGCCTCTCGCTAGTCCGTGTGGTCCAACATCCCCGCTTTGCACCCACCTGCCGCAAGCGCATAGCCTCGCAACTCCGACCCTCTTCCAGACATCCTCCTGGGCCTGACGCTCATCTGAGTTGCCCAAAATGATGAGCGCCGCGTCTTTCTTAACCCCTCTGGGCGAACGTCCCCCGCAATACCGCACTCCGTCCCCCCGCGACGCGCCGTTGAACCCATCACACCCTCCACTGCAGAATTTAGAGCTTCATGGGCCGAGCGTGGTCTATACCGAGCCACCAGCCTCGATCGTGATCCGCGCCCGACAAATCAAAATCGAAATGCTTCAGACGGTGGTTCACAACACCGGTCGGGCCATGGCCGGTCAAACTCGACTATCGACACACTCGCGACGATTGCTCTCGCCACGAGCCCAACCTTCACGCCGCTTCCACACCAACCTCCCTCCCCAAATCCTCGATCGACTGTTCCCTTATTTCCTCCAGAATCACCCACATCCGAACGCCCCGCGAAACGCCCCCGATCTGACCGAGACCCATCACCATATCCCTCCCGGGGAATACCACCGGATAACAACACTCACTTGAATTTCCTGGACAGCATGACGACCGATGCAGAACTTCTGCTCAATCTTGCCCGGCCCACAAACTTCCATCCCAACGGCCATGCGAAACGAGTCAGCATTGACGAGTCCTACCACCACCATTATGGTGGAGAGCCGCAGAGACATCACCGAGTTGGCTTCGCCTTCGGAGACTATACTGGACCGGAGGATACAAAGCCTGTCTATTTTCCCGAAGACAGTATTCCACCATCGCGCATGAGGTCGCGATCCGACGGATCAGCGTTTATGTCGCGTCCTGTGATCCGCGGTGTGCGGCCAACTACCAGTTCCGGTACCTTGTCTTCCATTGTGTGGGAGGAGGACCGTGAAGAAAGCAACTCAGCAGACGTGTCTCGCTATGCCGGGTATGGAGAACATCGATTTGCCGGTACGCAAGATCCTCACAGCCTCCGCAAAACGATGGATGTGACACCCAAGGTTGAAGAGGAGGACAAGGATTCGAATCAAGCTAGCTGTGCCGCATGCCACTTGGTACGAATCCCGGTCGAATCAGAGGAACAGCAAGACGAAGATACATGGATCGGTTGCGATGGGTGCAAACGCTGGTTCCACATTCTGTGTGCTGGCTTCAAAAATGACCGAGAGGTTCGCACCGTCGACAAGTTTATCTGTCGTGAATGCCGGCCCATTCATGGACAGACCACGTTTGTGAGAAAATCCTCACGAGCTCGTACGGCAATCGACTATGCGGGTCTTAATCAGGGCCTTGTCAAGGCTGCTAGCGATTCTTTGGAGCACCACTATCTTGAGCCTATCCGCCAAGGCAAAATTCGTTTCCTTCCTGAAAACTTTCCTCGAATGAAACCGGAGTTGGTCACGGCCGAATACTTTGAACGTGGTAATGGATGGACAGAGCCTGTCGTCATTCCTGCGTGCTGGAATACGCGTGAACCTGTCGCGGAACTAGACCAAGAGTTTGAGACCCTTGTGCAGGAGGCTTGCTCTCAAGAAATGTTCGACGATCTACTCGATCATCTCCCCGAACAGGAGACCCAAGTCGAGGAAACAATCGACTATGGTCAGGATGAGCTAGATATGGTAATCCCGCAAGGACTCACTGTTCGAGCCGTGGCTGAACTCTACGGTCCTGAAGAGCGAGTCGAGGTTATTGATGTCAAGTCACAACAAGGAGAAGAAAAAAGATGGAATATGCACAAATGGGCCGACTACTATGAAAGCAATGAGCCTCATAAACCCGTTCGAAATGTCATCAGCTTGGAGGTGTCGCAAAGCCGTCTCGGCAGGCTCATCAAACGGCCTAAGATCGTACGCGATCTGGATTTACAAGATGCTGTCTGGCCAGAAGAACTCAAGGCTGCTGGCGACTTCCCCAAAGTTCAATTTTATTGTCTGATGTCAGTCGCTGACTGTTACACTGACTTCCACATTGACTTTGGTGGATCTTCAGTGTACTATCACATCCTCAAAGGCAAGAAGACGTTCTTTTTCATTCCTCCTAAAGACAAGCACCTGAAGAAGTACGAAGAGTGGTGCAATTCTCCTGCTCAGGATTCTATCTTTCTCGGAAATCAGACCAAAGAGTGCTATCGAGTGGATCTGTCAGAGGGCGACACTATGTTGATCCCGTCCGGCTGGATTCATGCGGTCTGGACTCCGGAAAATAGCCTTGTCATCGGTGGAAATTTCCTCACGCGTCTGAATTATGGTATGCAGATCAAGGTGCTCAACATTGAGAAGGACACCAAGGTCCCGAAGAAATTCCGATACCCTTTTTTTCAAAAGATCCAGTGGTATACCGCTTTGCGGTATCTGGAAGATGATCCTATCCCGCAGAATGTTCTGGAGGCCTTTGCGCAAGACGAAAATTATCGATTTCACCGGCATTATCCCATCTACTATGATTTCGGTCAACGCGCCAATCATGAAGAGTCTGGGTCACCTTATTTCAACGCTCGCTTCTATTCTCAGGCTGAGCTGGAGGGCCTGCCAGAATTGACAAAATACCTCCTGCGAACAGCACTCATAGCCTCTTCCTACAGCGTTGATGGCATCACCATGGAGGTCCGAAATGCCGTCAGGCGCTCCATTCCTAAGGGGATTGGAGACCCTGTGGACATGATTCGCAAATTTGGACTTTGGGTGGCTTGGAAGCGTGGTAATGAGCGAGCTCCTCAGTGGACTCATCCCGGTGTTATCGAAAGCAATCCGAAGGTGTCTCTCGCTGAAAAAAGACCCGCCGGTCGACCTAGTCGGCGTTCCGATCGCAATGTGGATAGTCAACGTACATATGCTGAGAGACAAGCAGTCCAACGGCCTTCTCACGAACCCATGACAACCCCGCTGCCCCAAGTCAGCAGCGCAACCTACACCCTTTCGGAAAGCACAACACCTGTGCCAGCTGCGTTCTTACCAGAATTTGTCGCCCGGGAGGCTTCAACTCCCAAGCCACGACCTTCCCAACGCGGTTCAGGCCTAGGGCCAAAGCGCGTCGCGTGTGATGCCTGCCGTCGACGACGCATTAGATGTCGACACAAGGATGAACCAAGCGACCTCATGCTTGGTAGGCAGATGGCTGTGAATGGATTCGGGTCAACGTCGGGTCTCAGCACCCCCTCATCTTTAGCTCAAGACGCTGTTTCCGCCTTAAATTCTTTGGCAGCAATTGCTACCCAGGCTGGTTTTCAAAGCAATGGAGTGGTTGGCCTGGAACACTTTGACGGCCCGGCAAAACTCCATTCTGTTGCAATGGGGGCCTCAACCGTGGCTGCGAACAGGCTGAATGATGTGAGCCCGGATGGCACTCATAGCGGGAAGAAAGGGCGGAGCAAGGCTTGTGACGACTGTCGCAAAAGCAAGGTTGGTAGTATCCTTCTTGGCTCCTTTATTCCCGTCAGCTAACGTGAAGCAAACAGCGTCGCTGCATCCATGATGAGTACGGCAGGGTAGACCCGATCAAAGCCCAAGAGCGATCGAAGCCTCGTGGGACTGCTTCGGCAAAGCGACCTCGACCTCAAGAGGATGAAAGCACGCCTGCAGCAGTAAAGAAAACAAAGCAGGAGAGCACTTCTCCAGTTGCCCATCCCATTAACTTCGAAAGCATCTCATCGATGGCTATTCCCCAACACATACCGGACACTGCCTATGATTCTGAAGCTGTTCATTATAGTGCCGCAGGCCAGGCTAAACTGCAGCCTCTTAATGAGGGCGAAGTGACCGTTGGTCAAGCCTTATATGCATCTCCTCTTGTCTTTCATGCTGATGTGATTGAGACCAAGGATGCGAAATCGATGTCCGTTTCCTCGAAACCGACCACGTCTCTCGTGTCTCCACCTACGTCGCTGGCCGACGAGATGGACGCCATGCAGGATGGTGAGACATTGGTGTCTGTCGAAGGCGAAGGGTCCATGGCGCTGCACACGCCCAACTCCAGCTCCCGTCACTCATCTCGGCAACCTCGACATGTCGAACGGTTTGTGCCAGAAGCGACCATTGCTGCGCGGGCGTCTAAACCAGCGGTGAAAGTATCAACTTCCACCTTCCGCAAGACCACCCCTGGTCTGCCACCATCGACCAAGAAACCCTCTTCCCGCCCTTCATCCTCACACGCCAAGAAAAGCTCGCCAATGGTTGAGCGGACCTTTGATCGCCACGCCACTACTTCATTGTCCCCTCACCAGCATAGCAAGTATGCGAAGCCCCGTGTAGAAAATGACACCGATGCCGAGAGTCTTCGATTGATCCGTGAGCTTCAAGAAGAGGAGTTCGGATTGCGAAGACGACGAGGCTAAAACGGTCGTCCAATAATGTTTCCAAGCTAAGAAACAGGCCAAGCGGCCATGACTGAAACGTGGAGATTACTTTACTTCTTTGATTATGGTTATTTTTCTTCTTTTTTTTCTGTTCGTTCTTTCTCGATGTCATGGGTTGCTCGGGATATCATTTGGGGAACTGGACACGGAGATTCGGAGTTCATATTTTGCTGGCGTTCTTTTTCAGTCTAGGCGGGCGGAGTCTGTGTGTTGTCTCTTTGATCCTTTCAGCTGCGTGCATGGGTCTTCTTTGATCTGGCTATGGCCCCCTCTTGCTTGTCTCTTTGCGACTCTATTTTCTTTTGTTTTGATAATCCATTTTCCAACTTTCCTGGACGTTCGTTCCCTATGTCTGCTTCTATGATTCCACCTGCTCTATCTTCAATTCCATTTCTTGTCAATTGTTTCAAACCCAATAACGAAGCTATAGTTCAACTTTCCTTTTCTTGTACGTATCGTAGCTAGATGCTTGGTTATCTTCATATGCGTTTTCTGTACCTCATAAGCTTTAATCAGCTTTAAATTGCTCACTGATTACTGGTTATAATTTGCATTTTCGCTCAAAGCAGAGTATGACACAGAGTTTAGTATCTCTGAAAGGTTAGGTGTCAGTGGCAATTTCTCCTTCTCAAAGGCCTTACATACCGAAGATTCCAGACCTGTTGTGGGAGGTACCTGGATATCTCAGCTGAGGAACCCTGAGCTGTAAGCCCGCTTTCCTATCAGTGTCGATTTTAGGGCTCAAAAATCGATGCAAGGGGGTTCCAACAATGGAGTTGCTGGAAAGTTTCTCCGGGTCTCAACTCACATCCCTACCTTCTCCCCAAGACTGAATCGTCAATAAATTAAGTTTGAGCTGGAGTTCGCGATGTCGCTTGAGGCTCCAACTGGCCCCAACACCTCGGATTCTCAACACAAGCAGATGCGCGCCAGACGGCCCAAAGTACGCACGGGTTGTCTCACTTGCAAGTACGTCTCAGGCTCCAATAAACCGATATGGATTATTCTCAGAATTCATGTCCTGACACGATATAGATCTCGGCGTATCAAATGCGATGAGGGCAAGCCGACATGTTCCCAGTGTGTCATAATCCTAGTTTGGATCCAGGTAGCATAGATTCATCCGACTAATCCTCTTTGATTGCGATCTAGATGTACAAAAGCGGGAAAACATTGCCAGAGATATCAGACGTCAAAAGCAACCGTTCCTTTACATAGAACATTGGCTCCTGCGCCAGCTGTCAGGTCCCCACAGGAGTTGCCTGCGATAGAGTTTTTTTTTCGGCAAAGCGCACCGCACCTGTCGGGCTTCTTTTGTGAGGCCTTCTTTCAGGGCAGTGTTTTCCAACTCAGTCTTTCAGAGCCGATTATCCGCTTAGCCATTGCCGCTATAGGCGCTTTACACGCAAAAACGTCCATGGGTCAGACTAATTTCGATAAACACACTGCAAATTCCCCGCTACAACTATATAATCAGTCTATTCGTGAGTTTATCGATAAGATAGATGCAGGGCATAGCACGGCTTCTTTATTTGCTACAGCCAACTTGCTTTTTGTCGTTTTTGAGATGATTCGGGGAAATGTTGCCACCGCCGAAGCACATATTAAAAACGGCATCAGTCTACTACAGTCCTGGCGGGAAACAAACTCCAAGCCGAGGAAGCCTTGGGGTCGGAAGTATACGTCATTCGAGTCGCGGTTCTTAGAAACCCAAATTGGACCTCTTATCTCCCAACTCAATACCCATGTCGTTAAAGGCGACAGTGGGAGGCGTATCAAATTCTTGCTCAATCCTTCTGACGATTCGGGAAGGCTTATTATGACAGATCAATTCGAGACGCTCGATGAAGCTCGGATTACGCTCTTTGATATGACCAATGAAGTATACACAGATACAGCACTATATCAGGATCGAGATCGAGATGGATTCAGTTGTAGGGCCATCGTTGCACTCGCTTTCCCTGACAGTGCTCGTCTGAATATTGAGAAATTCGAGCATAATTTCTGCGACCTAATCAATCGACAGGGACAGACCTGGACTGCAAAGGATAAAGAAATTGCAGATTATCTCTTTATTCTCAAGCTGAATATTCAGTTTCGCGTTATATCCAATGGAATCAAAAACCAGTGTGAATGGGATATATATCGCGCTGAATTTGAGGAATTGATTCAACGTGTCGAGCCGATCCTCTCCAACAGAAATTACCATCCGCTTCACCCTTTTCGCCTCACAGTGGGATTTAATTTAGGTATAGGGACGTCTCCCATACTCCATATACTGGTGTGGAGGTGTCGTTGGCCAACAATTCGACGTAAAGGACTTGAGATCTTCCACCGGCTACCTTCGAGAAACTCCTTCTATGCGACAGAAGACTATCATTCGATTTTCTCTCGTATTATGGAAATCGAAGAAGCATATCTGAAGCTTCCACCCGGCGTATCCCCGCCTGAGGATTGGCTCCCTCCTGAGCACGTCAGGATTCATGATTTCACTGTCACTGTTCCGCGTACACAAGTCCATGAACTTCTCATGCATGATGTGACTTTTATCAGCAAGCCTTGGGGTCTTGATGGTCCATTGGTCCACGTCACAGAACAGATGCAATTTATATTCCCTCTTCTATAATTGCTGATGTATGAGCTGACTTTGGGGCCGCTAGAAAAGAGGTTCTGTAACATCTAAGAGCGTGTCAAGAGGTTCAGGGTAGAGAACATCGAGAGACATGATTTTAGCTATCCCCATTCAGTCATCAACAACTTTCCAGAAGTCAATATAACTGGCTTTGCTCTAGAACATACTGGCTATTTGGTTTGCATTTTCTATATGAATCATCTTTACCGTCTGATCAAAATTTCGCAACAATACTATTGTACATGGACAATCGACCGGAGACTAGATTCATCGGTGCATTTAGCCAAGATGCTGTCGGAGGTCCTCAGGCGAGAGCCACTCCACAAGGTCAATCTTCACTAATGTCGCGAGAAAAGAGATAAAGCGCGTCGCCTGCCAGTACCCTTCAATCTCAAATTAGCGACTGACGTTGGAAGCTCAGTTGTGTAGGCTGTGTAGGATGTAGTGGCTCTGTTTAATATTCTTAAATCATTGTCGGTCACTAACACTATCTCCATGCCCCAAAATATACCTTGAAGTTTGTTAGAATGCTGCCCAGAGCGCTGGGACAGTCGTCGGCAGACAACACTTTTCCTAGCCCCAGACTTCAAGCACACTCAACGAGATGATGTGTTTACAAACGATATATTTAGGCGACTAATGATAGCTAAGGCAGCAATTAATCCTCGTTATAAAACTGTTGGGTGAAGGAGCCTCTTTATAAGGATCTGCACATATGACGTATTCCCATACTGTCTGTTTTCGGGAGTAGTCAAAGACAAAAGGATTTAACCAAAATCGTAGTTTTTGGTATTTTCTGATTTCAAAAGTAAATGAGTAAGATAGAAAATGCCACGAACATGATAAACCGGCAAGCTCTAGTCCGTGCTGTGGAAAAATATTGTCCATTCGACACGTTCCATGTCCCTGGCGGTGGACCCAGCCTCGCACGGTTCATCGATGACTTCATTCTCCATATAAATTTCTGCAAACAAGGAGAAACAAGGATAGGGCCAATGCCCTAGCCCCTTACCAGCGAATTGTATTTAAAAAATTTTATTCAAGCTAACAGGCCATGACCTTTGCTACTCTCTAAACAGTCCTGGGATTTATCATGGTGCAGATGTTCGCACATTCCCATTCGATTCTATCCGGAGGTGGCTGGAAGTGGTTCATCCACTCAGCGCCTATGGCTAACAGATAGTTTGACCCGTTGCCACAAGGGCGAGGACCCCCTGTTTCCGATGAAAACTTGTTTCAGTTACCTTCAGGAACGGATTCTCGAGACATGTAACGCCAATATCAAATCCTGAATATTAATTCCGGTGTTCTAGTTCCCGCCGCCACCCGCGCCCTATTGGCGGGAACCTTGCGACTGGTACAGAACCCCCAATAACGAGACGGTCTCCCCTTGCCCCACCCTCCCCTCTCGCGCGCCCGCAGTTTAGCTTCCGTGATGATTGACCACTTCCCTTTCTGCAAAGAATTTGTAGAAACTGTGTCAATCTACATTGTTTCAAACTGGTCTCTGAGTTGCTAGAAAAACTGATGCTTATTGTAACTGCGAAAATACTTCCACTGTCATCACATGATCACATCGCCACCAACATAGCTAACTTGAAGTTACTAGATTACTAGCAGTTTGCCGCTTCCTCCCGGTTTCAGAACTTCAAACGTCCCAACCACCCATGTTCCTGACGGATTCAGCGTGTTATGTTACAATTTGGTAGCAAACCTGGTTTTCGTTAAGCGAAATTAACCCACGGAATGATTTCTGTTTCCCCTTCTCTTACGGTTCCATATCCCTTACTTCATCTTCTCCAACCTCTTATTCAATAAGCCGTGCTCGAAAGCCACTCCCTGATCGAGGTAATGACTAACTTACGATCAGTTATACTAAGCTCATAGTCACTGATAGAGCCTCTAGGAAGATATTGAGTGATCCAATTTGATAGATTCTCAATACAAATTAATCAGATGAGATATGAGAAGATAATTAGTGTTAGTACGCGACAGTAGGCTAAGAGTGATATAAAGCGCAAAAATTCGGTAGTAGATATCACAGTGCTATAGGGGCATTGAATTCCACTTGCCTGCATCGCTATTCTGTTGCTATGCAGTCCTATACTTCATCAGATCATTCCAGCCTTTGCAGTTCTCGCCTGCATATATATTCCCCCTACCCTTCCCTTCACAGAGATCAATCAATCACGGAGCACCTGAAAGTGATGTGCGTAAGGATCTAACAAGAAATTATCTATTGCGATGCTACCACAATCCATTTAAAGTACATACTGGTGGTTGTGGCCCTACTGAAAAGGCAACCCGAAGGACGTTTCGGATACGCTAATCCTATTTGGGCAACCACGATGAACTTTCGCTGCACGATCCTGACGCGCTTTCACCACTCTCAAGTACAAGGTTCTGTTTCCTGAGATGAGTAATACGGATGAGCGCCGGTCACGATCTCCGGCTACACGTCGGAATGGAACACTGCAGTCTTGCGAGCCTTGTCGACGATCAAAACAGCGATGTGATCACGACCGGCCATTTTGCCGCAGATGCGCCACGAAAGGCATCAAGGACCAATGTTTCTATCACCCAGCCCCGATGACGAGGCGGAGGACCTCTGAACATGTAGGTTCAAACAAGGTTTCTTCTAGTCGGCTCACAAGCCAGCCCACTTCCAAGTAAGTTCAAGAAAGTAACATGTTACGATTGCCTATGTGAAGCTAAAACGCTTGAAATATAGTGCTTCTAGCCCAGGGTCATTGCATGGTGGACGCTTATATGCACCATTAGAGCTCCCATCAGCCTTTCCGGGCTATCTTGGGTCTAGCAGCTTCTCAGCGGTTCTGGCAGAACATCGCAATGAGATTCCCTTTGAGCAAGAAGAAAACACGGATCCTTGTCCAGTGCTATCAGTGGAGCCTGATCGAGTTCAGTCTGGCGCAGAAGTCTTGTTGTTTCTCTACAACCTTAAGGACCACCGAAAATTGGTGGATAAATTTTATTCCTCATCATGGAATGTGGTGGTGCCTAAAATGGTCATGGATGCCATTCTCAACTCTATCCAGCAAATTTTCGACGGGCTCGACGTCAATAATCTCATGCCTCAACTACAGAATCTGGCTACCCAGATTTTTCGAAATTCGTCACGTGCATTGAAAACATACCGATCTATGACTGCCGAGGAGTATTGCGCTTCATTCACTGGTCACAACTTTCGCTGGGAAGCCCTGGGCAATATTTTTACACTGTGCGGGCAGCAGCTAGTGATCACACCTGACAACGACCCTGAGGTTGTCCACGGGGATGATCCTCAGGCAAAGGACCGATTACTTGAACAGGTTACTGTAGCAAGTACCATTTGTTTGAATTTCTGCGATCAAGCATCCGCAGCCAATGAGATGCTGGCATTTCTGCAATACAACGATGTTATGCTACGTACGCAGCAATATGGAGACTCGAGTAAGTTTTTGTCTCTCTCGACAAAGCATATGTTCGGAGCCAACTGACAATTTATTCTCAGGTTATCAAGCATGGCGTCGACTTGGTGATCTGGTCGCTACGATCTATGCTGCTGGGCTGCATATGGACACCGAAGGCAGTGAAAATTGCCCCTTCTTCCTGCGACAATGGCGAAGAGGATGCTTTATCTCTGCATTTTACATGGATAAGATGATGGCAACATTTGTTGGCAGACCACCTCTCATGAATTACAGATATTGCAGCTTGACTCCTCCCCTTGACTTGAGTGATGATGTTCTAGTCACAGGAGGCGACGCCCTCGAACAAGCCATATCGGAGCTGAATAGCGCGGGCTGGAATACAAAAGGCGTCCGTAATAGAATGACTCCAAGCCGATTGCGATTCCAACTTTCTATCTTCCGGGAAAGGACACTTGAGATCACATTAGGGACCTTCGGGCCTCAGGATCTCATTCAAAAGTCCAAGTAAGGCATCTGCTGGTCAAAATTTTCTCTAGGGCCGCACATCTAACATCTTATTTTCAGTGAAATCCAAGATACCGTTCGAGCAGTCTGGGAGTCGACACCGGATCATCTCCGATATGATCAGCGTAAAAGCGATGAGTTCCATCATGGTTGGCTGACGGTTGTTTACCTTTACCTCTACTACCTCTACACCTGCTTCCTACTCCAGCGGGCGCTGATTAAACACACGAATACCGGACATGAAGCTCTGTTTGATACCTCACGCCAAATTCTGACCATTGTCATCGGCATAACTTCCAGACGGAACCCAATGGTAGATCTCGACAGGCATTATTCGTGGATTGTAGGTTTTGGTCCTAGTTTCGCGAGTCGAGTCCCAGCTGACCAATAAAAAGGCCCTCACATATGGCATCCCAAGCTCTAGTGTTCTTCTACTTGAGCTTTTACGCCAATCGCATGAACCTGGCCCACATAACGTGCATCTCCCACGCGCCGAGCTGATCCGTAGCTTAAGCGTGTTCATTTCTATTCTTTCTTGGATAGCACGTCCAGGCCATGGGAATTATCATACATGCAAAGAAGCCGAGAAGAATCTGTCTCGCATTCTGGATCAAGTTCTTGACCCACAACCCGTGCATGCAGAGATGGTCCAGGATGTGACTTCTGGCCTATCCAGTTTCTTGAACTGGTCAACATATAACAATTGGGACTTCAGCTCGGAGTACTTCCCTCCCGCAAATGGATTTGTACCGTGAATGATCGGGCCAGAAGGCGAGCCACGAGTGGCTAATTAAGATTGCCTACCCTCTTCCCCACTGATCTACACTAATAGCGCATTTGAAGTCAATCGCAAATCATCAAATCGTCAAAATTAGTATGGGGGTATGATATTGACACCAGACAAACTTCCGCCGACCATAGCAAAGTGGAAATCTCTTCATATCATGAGTCTTAAAACAGATCACACCATCCATACATAGTCATTCCGCGGAGGATGCTCTGGAACGAAATAGGCTCGATGGCACAACGGACAGTTGTAGTGGTCTCCCAAGAACCACTTTTCCAGACACTCTCGATGAAAAACATGCAAACAGCGTAATTCACGGATTTCTTGCGAGCGGCTCACTTGGTCCAAACAAACCGCGCTGGGACATTGGGGTCAGTTCATATGTGCGGCACAAGACCAGGTACTGTCAAAAGAACCGGAAAGAAAGAATCTTACCAGACAAATTGGCCATCCACAGCCTCGGAAAGGCCCAATTTCCCTTTCGTTGTGGTCCACCACTGCTCCAAGGTGCGAGTGGGAGAGACTGCATCCAACCTACGCAGGCGCTCGTCGGGGGTTTTCCTCGACCGCAAAAAAGCCTGGCGATCACGCCGGTTGATGATAATTGTCAAGCTTGGCGATGTCAGTACGGTCCGCGCGTTCCCGTGTAACACGAGTCGGAGGGAAAACTTGAACAAGGAATATTTGGGGACAAAAGTCCCCCCGAAAGGAGGGCAGCGGGAATAGGAATACCAAGATTTGGGCTTCAAAGAACCAAAAGTGAAAAGATTTGCAGGCTTCCCATAAAAAAAGCATCTTAAATCACTCACAATAAACTCAGTATGATCAAAAATACTACACCTAGCCCTATTCCCAAGACGATGGCCATATGGCTCGTCTTGAGATTACTATCGCCCGACATCTTCCAGTTAAGCTGACTTGCTGGTGCGTGATGGTCGGAAATGCCAGTGTGTTCGATCGTTGTCCACCTCGTGTCCTCGTGTCCAACGGAGGGGTCTTCCAAGCCACCCAGTGCCCAAAGATAGGCGAGTGGAATTCCAGAGCGATTGCCTCCTCCAGAGGGAGAGAAGAGCAGACGCAGTGAATGATTGCGCAACCCTGGGCGGCTCGGGGATTTCAACAGAGGAATCGATCCTTGGAGAAGCGTCGGAGAACCCTGTCGCTTATCACAAAGATAAATGGGCAGGCTTGGCCGACAGTCAAGTGCCGTGTCAGATTTCGTGTGAGCTGTCTCTCTTTCACACTTTCTCGTTCTCTGTCACTCCCTCGCGCGCCCCTCTGGTCCGAGGAGCAGGCAAATGATCGACCCGTCAAAGCGGGGGAGCTTTCGAGTGGATACGCGATTCAGCGATGGGACCAGGTCTTCCCCTCCTCATTGTCGGGGAGCCAATCGTAGCTGGTGGCGCCTCAAAGGGATGGCCAGGCCAAGGCGTTAGCGGCTGGGAATGCTGATCGGCTGGATTGTCCTTTTTTTTTTTTGTGTTGTGCTGTGGAACGCTATCGTGGAGCGACGGTGGCCATCGTATGATGCTGGGACCAAGCAGCACTGGAGTTGGAAGTGGTTTGGTGTTGCACGGTGTAGTTATGATGACCACTGGCCACCTGACCAGAGTCCGTATACGTCGACTTCCTCCCAACTACTCCCGTCCTTGCGCTCGTCCTGGCTCCACCCCCGCTTCCGCAGTTCTCCACTCTTTTACTTTATCCTAGTTGACCCACGGGACCCAACACAGCAACAAGAATCAGAATGCTTTGTGATTTCTAGCGGAGAATCTCGGTCTGCTCTACATTCATCGCTGTTATGCCAACCTCATCCTTCTCCGACCGCAGCTGCATCATAATGGGATCCTCAGGACTCTGCTGCAGCACGCGTTCTCCAAATAGGAGATCAATCTCCTCGAGGGATTTCTGCTTAGTCTCCGGGAAGAAGAAATAGATCACGGGTAGTGAGACACACAAATCTAATGATCATCAAGTCAGTCCAGGCTACGGGGAATCTCGAGAACAGAGCCACCTACTCCATGCCACAAACACAAAATAGAATTTCCACTGGAGCTTAGCCAGTGCAATCGGGGACACCTGGTTCCACAGGGTGCTCACTGCCCAGTTTCCGATTCCCACAGCAAATGCATTTCCCTTGCCGCGAATTTGCATAGGCATCACTTCTGCCATATACACCCTACGAGACAGTCCACTTGTTAATATTTCGGTCGGTTGCGACGCCGGCTTCAGCAGATCAGAGGGGAAGGGGGGTCTTACCAGCTGCAGGGTCCAAACGATAAAGAAAACACAACCGATACGGCGAAAAGGAAGAAAATCCCTCCGATGCTGTATCCGATGCGTTGACCATCGGGGTTTTGCGAATTCAGAGCCGCCTCGCAGATGAGTGCCAATGAGATGCCCACCGTGCCAAATATCAAGGGCCTGCGCCGTCCGACGCGATCGAGGATAAAGACGACGAAGATCAAATTGGTGATTGGGCCGACACAATTATAGATGCCGGCGACAAGCGTATTACGGTTGCCCGTGATCCCGAGCGCCTTGTACATGATTGTTTGGTAGTAGGTGATGACGTTGATTCCGGTCATTTGAGTGAAAACTTGGACTGCAAAACCGTGCCTAATGAACGTGTGAGTTGACGGAAGCAGATTTGGGGAGAGGGGGAAGGACGTGGTAGGTTGCCAGAATACATACAGCATCCTCGTTCGCCATTGGGGAACTGTGAACATCGGCATCCAGCCCTGTGCAGTGATAGCCTTCTCGGATTCGATCGTCTGGCGAATCTCCCTGAACTCCGCATCAATCCAATCCCCGTTTGTTCCATCAAAATGTACTTTGTGGAGCACGCGCATTGCCGCCGCGTATTGCTCCTTCTCGATGAGATAGCGAGGCGATTCGGGCAAAAAAAACATACCCACGATCAAAACTATCGCAGGAACCACCTGAAATGCCAGCGGGAACCGCCATTGGAACTGACTGGTTGCCGGCGCATGGAGCGATCCATAGCCGATCCAGCTGTCAGATGCTACATTAGCCAGGTTCTTGATATCTGCACCGAAACAAGGACAACAATTCTTTTTATTAAGGAAAAAAGAAACTTGAAAAACTTACGTGCTAACAATATACCCAATGCCAATCATCTGCTGGGTCAGCCCCACAAGCAAGCCTCGGGATGACGGGTGCGCAAATTCCGCTTGGTAAACTGGAACCGACATGGACATCAGCCCCACGGCCCAGCCGGCCATGATGCGCCCGACCAGGATCATCGAGAGATTTTGGGCGGCAGCCTGGAGGGTCGCGCCGAGCAGACAAATACAGGCGCCCATCTGGATGGTGAATTTGCGACCAAAGCGGTCCATCGTCAAGCCACCCTGAAGGGAACCGATCACGGCTGGTGGACACATCACGCTGTTAGTTACCCTCTGGCTTGTGAAAGAACCACCAACAAGGCGCGGTTAATAAAAAAACTTACCCCCTCCCGAGTACGTGCTGTTAATTGCACCAATGATTGCGGATGTCTGTGACGTATTGAAATACTTCAGAAAGTTGGGCGAGGCGATCACGTCGGTCATGACGCCGCTATCATAGCCAAACAGAAACGAGCCCGTTGCCGCCAGCACGGCCACGGTCATAGCGAAGCGCCGGCCCATTGCGGTAATGAGTCCGGGTAGAGAAGGTGAAACGACAATTTGATAATTGTGGAACAATCTCAGGCGTATTCGACCGTCCTTCTGGACATGGCAGACGGCAGCCCGATCATGATTCTTATACGGGCAGGGGCAGAATTGCAGTATGCAGGGCCAAATGCGGGGCAGAGCAAAATTCCGGAGAAGAGCAGAGAGCGCTGACGGCCCAAGCAATCTCTGCTTCGACAGGGGCTAGGAAGTAATAAACGGCTGCGAGGAAATCCGGGGATGACGAGAGTTTGCCGGGATACCAGCCTATCAGGGATAAGGGGCCCGAATACGGCCCCGGTGTGCCGACGGGTTCACCCCGCATTTCCCGTCCGGGAGACCCAGGAAGGCTAGCAGGGATTGTGCGGCGGCCTCGCTTGCGTCTTCGAGAGAAGGGAGGGGTGGCTTCGCGGGAGCCACTTATTGGTGGGTGGGCTTCGGCTGCAGTGACTGGTCCTAACAGGGGTACGCTAGTCTAGTCCTCTTTGGCAGCGAGTGCCAGGGAGACCGTGAGGCATGGCGCCCGAGCAGCTGAATAGTCAGGATTATAGCCGGCCTGCCAAGAATGACAGTGATTACAAGAAAATACATGTGATATCATGAGAGGAAACCAGAGAGCACAAGATGAAACGGATAAAGATCAAGAATCACGTATTCTTTATAGATGGAATTAGACCAAGCGGGTTGCTTGAGATACCAAACCATGCATGTGTCTACACTGAGATCTCCTCTCCATCGTGATCCATCGATCCGTTGATTCTGGCGTCCGCAAACCCCAGTGGCCAGCCAATGCAACAAAAACCATAACCGGAGAGTAAAGTTGAACTCCACCGGGGCAAGAGAAGCCCTTCGTCAGCGCCAGGCGCCAGGAGAGAGAGCACATTCAAACTCTGAAGTCAGTCTCAGAACACCTTCTGAGGCTTCGCTTAGAGTCCAACTATTGGCATATTTCACGGTACAATGGCGCACATCAGTCTGTCTCTCCGACTGAAACGAATATAATGGGCGTTTCGCGTAACATTCCACAGCCCTGTCCGTAGCAATTCACGCTGTACATACAGTCTTAAAATAGCTTTTTTGCGCATGTACAAGGTCAGGATTTCTATCCAATAACTATGGTTCTATTCCAATGGGCTGTCCAGGACCATATACTCGGCTTCGTGCAACCCATCTTTTCTGCTCCTCTGGTTTCACGTGCAGCCTTTCCGACTTCGCTTCGATTTGAGGACAAGGGCGGATCTGAAAAGCGCATGGGTACCGCATTCATGTAAAGTAGTGCTTCTTGTGGAGACATCATTCGTTCATTCCTTTATCTAGATACTAATGCGATCATATCGGTGAGTCCTTCTCATATCTAGTTAACCGGCGAGCGAGACTTCTGGAGCTGCCCAGAAGTCTTGGTGGACTTTTGCGCCTAGTAGAATGTTGCCCCAACTAGTAGATCTATGATTACCCTAGTCTGTTACGGCCTTAGCGGATATCGCTAGTTTCCCCTGTGCCGCTGACCAAGATGATTTCTCAGGGAAACACGTTGCATGAATACGGGTGGGTGGCTCTCTACGCTGTGGGCACACAGCCCATATCAGATTTAGATCCGCTTTGGTAATGCTGTCCCCTGGTTCGAGAACCTAGCGTTTCCCTTTCTCCTCATTCAGAAGATCAAGATAGAGAGATCTGGATGTTGATCTTCCTTGTTTTGATGGCGGGTCTATGGAAGTCCCGTCGTTTTTAACAATATGTATATTTAACTACATATATGCATATATCTGTGTGTACTTCGGTGTGTTTTCGACCCTCTCGATTCAAGGCTCATCAAACATCTACTCGCTGGAAATGCGGAGATGAACTGAAGAACTACACAGAACATACATATGGCCTGCAATCACGTGACCCACATGCTCCTAATCACGTGCGGACGTGTCAAGTCGCGTTTCGGGGCGCTCGGGCAGGCGGCGCGTTGTAAGATTTGAAGGCTCCGGATTCCAGAACGCCAGGTGTTCAAAGAGATCCAGCCTTCGGAGGTCGCCAAAATCCCGAGATCTTACACATTCCTCAACGTGACGTGCAGACACGCGACTCATCGGTCATACCACGTCCACCGGGGCTGGTGGGGATCCCGCATTACCTCCGAAGCCCGCTAGACAAGGAAAACATCAAAAGAAGTCGAGTTTTGGAACACGACCAAAATAATAGAACCCAGAGGGAAAGAATATCGTAGATAAAAGTCTCGAAGGGATCTGGTTTAGTCCGGAGTATTCTGTATAATCGTCAGAAAGGTACCGGGGACCTCAGAGGCGCACGTCGTGACTAGCGCGGGCCACGTTCCTGCTACCCTCCGCGTCCACATCGCGACGCGATTGACCGGGCTTGTGCATACTCGACCGCTTCTGCACCAGCCTCAATTCTCAACCTACCTCTCTCCTCCTCAAACACTTTTTCTTTCCCTCCTTTTCCTCTTTTTCCTCCAAGGTCTTCTATTTCTACCTCCTACCGGGATTCCTCTTCGATTCACCCAAACTCCAGCACAACAACAACGCCTCATGCTCGTATAGTCGCAAGTGACTATGTCCGACCCGGAGCCTTCGGCGACCTTGTCCTCGCCGTCCCTCCCGGCCACTGACTCCAATGCCTTGACATATGCCTTTCTGGTACACTCCCAGAAAACTCTGACTCAAAATCTGCCGCCTCGCGTCGATAATAAGCTGCTGGCTCGCCAAAAGCGGCGTCGGACAAGGTGTGTTTGTCCCGTCTCGGACCCGATATGGCCCCATCACGCGTTCTAACCATCTCTTTCCCCCATCTTCCCAACAGCCCGGAGGATCATGCCATTTTAGAGGCCGAGTACCAGGTCAACACCAAGCCGGACAAGCTCGCGCGGGCGAATATCGTAAATCGCGTCTCGCTCGGCGAGAAAGAGGTGCAGGTACGCGATGCCAAGACTTTCAATGTCCACAAATTTTGCCCCCTCACCCGCGCACCGCGTGGCTAATCATCTGTGGACAGATCTGGTTCCAAAATCGCCGCCAGAACGACCGACGGAAATCTAAGCCTCTGCAGCCGCATGAGCTGCTCGCGCCCCGATCGAGCATGTCCGACTCTTCGGGCCACCCGACCAGCGACGATCACGCGTCTGCAGAACCAGGGTCTTCGAGTGGGGCGGAGCAGTCAGAAGTTCAGGATCGGTTGGGGGAAACCAGGCCAAAGTCGTGGGGTGGCGAGCTGCTTCACCTATCTGACGAGTCCGATCCGGCGATGAAGGAAAAAGAGGAGTATGAGCCACCGCTGCCCAGCACGCAGACCAGTGTCGCCACAGAGACTATGGAGGATACCCCGCCCACCACCCAGGAAGAGTTCCACGCAGCGGAGTCAGAGCAAAGCCGAACTGATGCAGTGGAAGAGGGCTCGTCGCTGCAGGTATCGAAGAGAAAATGCTCGGTGTCGGACCTTCGAGGCGAGACAACCCAAGAGGATCACACGCCAAACATCCACACAACACCGGTCAAATCTCCACCCTCCCTGCGCTTGTCGTTCTCGTTTGATGGAGAGGCGATGGTCCGAAAGGAAGATGAGATGACCCCGTCACCGCCCAAGGGCCGCAACGCGTTGCGGATTGCCATGTCGTCGGATGGGAAGGCAGTAATCCGGGCCGAGAACGAGCCGTCGCCGTCCAAAAACAGAGTCGCCATGTTTTCAGTTCGCAGGCCGAAGATAACAGGTCTGCGCCGCAGCAGCAGCGCCATCTTCCCAGTCACGCCGCGGGCTGGCACGGCCGAGAACGACCGGGCCTTTGGTCGCTCTCGTGACCCTCGCAACTGGGAATCCTTCTTTGACACTGATGCACGCAGTGCTCTCTCCACTCCCACGTCGTCTCAGACCGCCCCCAACGTTTCCCCGGGCCTCTTCCAATCCCGTAGTCAACGATCCCTCACTCGCAGTGCATCGCAACGGCAGAGCTTACTGGCCGACGCAAGCCGCACTCCAATCTCGCAGTCGATGGGAGAGAAGAGACGCAAACTCTCTCGCACAGTCTCCTCATTGGGCAGGTTGGAGACCGACCGGAACCGATCTACCGCATATCTGTCTAAACTGTCGAAGTCGATGACCTCCAAGTCGAACAAATATGACTTGGAGCTGGACGCCGGGGACTCCGACAAAGAGAACTGGATCCCAGGCACTCGGTCGACCCAGGTTCGTCGCCGTACCACCTCGCACGCTCCTCGGCCTGTTTTGCGCGACGCCAATCGCAACCGCGGTCTGAGCCTCACGTCGGGTAGCAAACGCAATCGTCACTATCAATCCGGGACACCAGGCAAGGCACCGCCTGGTCTGAGTGCTGAAGTGTCAGCCTTCATGTCCGGTGATGCGAGTGGAAGCCAGGAAGATGATCTGGACTGTGTCCAGGGTCTCTTGTCCCTGAGTCAAGGGGCTTGGCGATAAGAGTTTAAAAAGAAAGGGATCGGTTGCATATGCTTCGATTAACCCTTTTTCAACTCCGCCATGCAAAATCATCATCTCCCTTTTTCAATCTTTTCCTTTGTTTTTTTTTTGTCTCTTTTGTGTGGCTGTGGCATATTTTCTTTGGGATGTTTCCCTGTTCCCTTTCATTGTATGCATGATTCGCGATGTGAGCTTGCAAGCGGTCTTCGCCACATCTGTCACGTGAACCCCATGATCCCTTGTTTCCAAGGCCTGTCCGATTCTATGTCGAGGCCGTTTCTTGATTCTTTTTTTTTCTTTCTCTCTCCCTATTCCCCCATGTCCCTCTTATCAGGGGTGTTTATACCCCTGGATATGTCGAATTGTGTGTGCTATGTAGGGATTGTATGATGGGAGGAAGGTCTGCCGTTGGCGGGGACCAGGCGGGTCATTTTCACCTCCCAGTTATAGAATTATAATCCTGGAATGAAATCCCAGTTTACGACCCATTTTCTCCACATCGAGCCTAGGAGCTATCGTTTTTTTTTTTCATCTAGAAACACATTTGCTGGTTTCGAGTGAGCGTTTAGACGAGAGTTAACGAGACAGAGGTCACCCCAGTAGATGTCTCCAGAGGTTTCATCAAAAAACAAACTTCAATCTGTCTATACAAAGTAAAGTTGCGCTAAATGATCAAAGATCAACTCTATCTCAATATACTCCATATTCCCCCCCCAGTCTGGTCACCATCTATACACACCCCTCTCTCCCAACGCAACCAACGCCAATGACCACTCTTTCTTAGCCTGGAAAGAAAGAAAGAATAAAGAAAAAAAAGTTCACTTCCCGCTCACCTCCGTCCGGCCGAAGGCAAAGAATCATCCGGCCCAGCCCCAACCCCGACCTCGCCCAGCCCCCATCTCCGGCACACCCTCGCTGCAATCCTCTCGCCACTCCAATACGCACCTGTCGTGGTGCCCAGCGCCACAAACGGCGCGGTATGCTCACCGGCAAACCACAGACCACGCGCAGGCCCGGCGCCGGCGCCGTCCCGCAGCGTCTCGACATCCGCATCGCCGTGCGAGAGGCCGACCTGAAAATTACAGTAGGACCCGTAGCCGGCGTAGGGATCGAGCTGCCAGCGGGTAGCGAGGATGGCGGACGGGATGCACGCCGGGTCGGCGGGGTCGTAGCCCGGGAGGCGGGAGTAGAAGGGGTGCAAGAGAGAGGTGAGGAGGGCGGCATAGCGTGGGTCAGTAGGGGACAGGTTAGCAATTGAGTGGACAATGTGCGAGCCGCAGGAGCCGTAGGTATAGAAGAGGAGGGTGGGGTGGGCGTGTGGAGGTGGTAGCGCGGCGAGCGAGAGGCATTCCTGGTTCCATTGGATATCGGGGGGATGGGGTGCGTAGTCAGGCTCTAGGAATTGGGCTGAGGAGAGCGGGGTGGAAGATGCGGAGTCGGAGTGCCAGAAGGCGCGGGGAAAGGAGACGTAGACTTTCTCGAGGCGGCCGTAGGAGACGTTGTCAATGGCGTCGAGGAGGCGGACTGGCAGGGGCGGATGAAAGGCGTCGGTGTTGCGCTTGAGCCAGCCCAAAGGGCAGGTCACGACGACCTCGTCGAAGGAGTAGGTCTCACCGGAGGCGATGGTCACGGTGACTTGCTGAGGATGCTGGTCATCGCGGTGGGGAGCGTTGATATTCACCACGGGCTGGTTGAGGCGGATGTCGGCATATTCCAGCACGGTCTTGCTCACATGCTGCAGAATACGGGAGTATGTTGATGCCACGACGTAATTACCTGCGTCTCAGGTGTTAGTATATCTATCTCTATATAATATGAAGAAAAAAAGTGGGAAAGGTCCTGCTTAGGGCTATTTTCTGCGGCCAAACAGTGCCAGGCCGAAAATATATTACACATACTTCCATCAACACATTCTTCTAAACGGAAGAACCTCAAGCTCTGGCGCTCAGCCCCGTCACCCACATAGGCACCCCATAGCCGACATGCGTGCAAGCAGTACTGTTGCACTTCCGCCGAGAATGCGGTCTGCTGCACCTTCTCTTGGAAGAAATCGTAGAGGCTTCGATCCGCCGGAATCAGATCGCCCTGCTGACTGCTATATTCGAAGGCCTCGGAGATGGTTGTCCACACGAATTCTTCCACCTGACGGGCCACCTCTTCACTGAGCCGAGACCCATCACGCGAGAAGATGAGGTTCCGACCCTCCGGATCATAGATATCCGTCTGTGTCGCCTGGGCGATAGACATGATGGGATTGGCCCCCGCACCATGGATCCAGTTGGGACCGCTACAGACCTCCAGTTAGTATTACATGTCCGACTTCACAATCTGAAAGCCAAGAGATGCAAAAGAAAAGAATGGACGATCCACATACAGATCCACCGAACGGCCGTCCAGTTCCTCTTGATGGACCTAGCGATAGATCACGGCGCTCAGCACAGCCCGATGATTGGATGCCCCGGAGCAGCTTTCTAGACAGTAAAGCCCTTGCCAACTGCGGGGATGGGGGGAGGGAAACACCTACACGTCCGCCAATCCGGTCCCGCGCTTCGAGGATGGTCACTTGCGCCCCGTTCTGGAGGAGAATATCCGCGCAGCGGAGGCCCGAGAGGCCGGCACCTATGACGCCAACATGAGGTTTGGGTTTGGTGGCCATGGTGAAGAGCCAGATACAAGAGAGATGGGGAGTAAACGACGAGCGATTCTGACCGGACTGATCACCGGGATGACTGGCGAAATTCACCTTTTCCAGATTGTGTTGATGGAAGGCGGGGCCAGAATGCGAGGATGATTGGCTGGCAGAGGATCTATGGAGCCGAGGCCGTTGGTTCTACCAAAACGAGATGTTGGGGAACCCGACACTAATTATAGGAGTGGAAACAAGGCGAGGAATTTGACAGCGAATAGTCTACGTTGAAGAATTTTGAGTATGAAGAGTGCCAGTCCCGTTTAAGCCACAGGCCCGCGTCTGCTAGACCCCGGGTGGAGCCCGGAAGATAGAAGAGCAAAAGTGTTACGAAACAAGCCGCCCCGAGATGTCAAAGGATACTGACATTCACCGCCTGGCAGAAATCAATCCGCATGGCCCTGGAGAAAGTCGTGGCGTGGGGACGTGGAGAGAAGGTAACGCTGTCTTCCCATCTCAGACTGAGCCGTGCAGAGTTGTGAGGTTCCCAAGGACCGTTGATCATGACGTCGAATTGAAAATCGATCGAGACCTTGTTCTCCTTGGAGGCTAATCTGCAGGAGGGGGGTTAGCTGCTGGCGTAGCATTGCTTGCACGAGATCGGGGTGGCCCTAAGCCTGTGGGCATGCTGCTCGGCTGCCCAATGCTCGACGACAGAAACAGCACTGTTTCTGCTCTGCAGTTCGAAACCGGTGCTATTCGAACGGGAAAGCTGAACAAAATAGTGGGGAATGCCGTTCTAGGAGAGAGAATGGGGACGGAAGATGTGTCAATCTACAATGCTCATGAAGGAAGTCTGGCGTTTTCGTCCGCCGGTTGGCTTGGGCCATTCTCACCGAACAACCAAGGATATGGAATACAAGGGATACCTGATTCCCAAGAATTCCAAACTGTGGGTTTATAGCTGTGCAGGAGGTTGGGTTGGAGATTTAGAGCCCCAGTCTCACACGCGGCACCCCCATCCTCTAGAATGTATCTACAAAACTTAATTCACCGGTGAAAATGTTGAACACCAAGAGATTTCCAGAATTTGATCTTATCTACTTTAATTCCACGCCCAAATATGCCGATAAAAATTGTTCGACATCATCCAACGACGACACACGGCCTAGGATGTGCTGATCTGGGCGGACCAATGTCGCCGAATCCCGTTCCGAGAGCCCAAGCAAATCAATCGAAGCCTGATCTTTTGACTCTGTATGCAACCGAAGCACTTCTTTCCCATAGTCGTTCTCATTAGGGGTTCTCATAATCGTATGTATGTGGTATTTTGCCGGCTCCTGATTCAACAAAAAGACCCCCGAATGATGATGAAATTCAATCAGCACCACGGGGCTCTGAATACGACAATAGAATGGGTCGTGGTCGCCCCATTGCCCAATCCATGAGAAATATGTCTCCCCTAGATGCTCTCTCTCACTCGGTCCATCTGAGCGCTCAGAGGTCCATCCGGGAGGAGCTCAAAGTGAGAAGCGATAAGTGACAATAGCTGCTCCTGTTGAGCTTCTGGAAGCTGATTGGCTGTAACTCCTTCGTTAGGAATGATTCTATTGTCCTGAAATGCGCCTGCAAGATGTCGCTGGTGCCAAAAAGGTTTGGGTCAATTTTCCGCGCATGAGTAGATGCCGAACTAGACGTACCTGATCAGCCGGATTCCATCGCTCTGGGGGCATTGCCTCATCGTGCATGCCACGATAGATCTACGCAGCCTTCCGTAAAACTGGTGATAGGGATTTTATTATCTCAAGTCCTAAATCACTCTCATTAACAAGGAGTTTCATTCCGGCATCTGGGCCGGAATCAATTTCCTATCGACCCCATCAGCGATTATCCGTGTAATAAAAGATCCAGCAATTCAAACATTTGGCTCGGCTCCAATGAATGTTGGCGTGATAACCATCTGCTTCTGGCAAACAAATATATTCAGACACATATGATGGCCGAAGAGAGAAAACCCCATGGCTTTGTGGTGGAGGGAGTCCCATATAGGGAGAATATGTATCAAGACATGTTAGCAAAACTGCCTTGAATATGACGAGACTTGAGTACTTACTGGTAGCTGAATTGGTTGAGAATAGGCCTAGCATTGACGAGCTCGCCGAGGAACTTGTTCATTGTCATTGCTGCAACGATTTTGGCATAGCCCTTCTCACTCGTACTAGCCCGTACAAGATCCAGGATAGCATCCTGTTTCTCCCGGGACAGAGCCTCTAGACGAATACCATTTTCAAATATCAGAAGCTCCGGGTTCGACCATTTTCTCCTGTTGTCCGCTGTCATCAGTATTCATCTTCAAGGCTCCGGTTGTGGGATTGGCAGTCTTACCAATCATTCGAGTCGATCTCATGCTGAATGACGTTTATCTCCAATTTGTCTAGGAGTTCCAGAACATGCTGCGCACATGCCACCTTTTCTCCACATGAGATGATTGTGCAACCACTCGTCCAAGACGACACTTACAATCTGCTCGACTGGGGCGCCTTCATCTTCCAATGGGAAAAGGCCTTCACGTCGCGTGCCATCACTTGTGACTCCATAGAAGGGTTCTTGTAGCTGACCCGTCCAGATTTTCAGGATGTCCTGCAGTAGCGGCGTGTCAAGCACGGTTTTGGAGTAGGAGCTCACTTCTGCTTTATGTAAATCCTTGACGCGCGGGTGATCTTTATTCGAGAAAATGCACTCTTAGCATGAGGTCATATAGTATGGGTATTGAAAATCTACCACGTACCAGGTACTGGGACGTAAGTGCGGAACTCCGAAGACGTCATTTTGAATATTTTCGAAGATGAGATGTCCATCGGGAGAAGTGCTTCGTAATTGATCTTTTTCATCCTCGCTCGTTCACTCTTTAATTTGGGTCCCATGGGAGAAAATCATAACCAATGAAAGCCAGTCAAACCCCTGAGCGGTAAAAATTGACGCCACAAACACTTGTCCTGTGGAAGTCGGAGCCCACTTCTGATGGGTGACCAAACTAAAGTCCCCGGAAATTCAGCCGGAGGGGGAAAAATAGAGATGATCTTTTGATCGCTGTCATTTTGGAATACATTCTTATTTATTCCCCTTGACCTCAACATCGATCTGATTCCCCTAACATACTCTCGGCATGTCATAATAGTAGGTACTCGCCTGTTACGCACTGAACCAGGGCGCTCTACGGCAAGCCTGAGAATGCAGGCAGGATGAGATAGGTCGGCGAACAGACCAACAAACCACCACACACCACGGTAGAGGAAGCCTCCTAAAAGGGAAAGTAGAAGCAGATGAAGCGAAGAGAGTGTGAAAGTTGATTTTCTCCATATCGGAGATACGAAGCTATATCCTGTAAAGCTCTAATCTATTTATACTTCTTCAAGTATTTTCGTGTAGAGTTGTTATAGAATAACTAGATGAATAATACTTGATGTTGTTCTGGGCGATTTCGGATACGAATCGTATGCACAACGATATATATTCACAAGGAACAACAAGTTGGATTCGGACTCCTTTATCGTCATACCTTCTGCAAACAGCAGAATAACGACATTAAGGTCATAGAAAGAGAATCCCCCTTTCTTTTCGAACGCAATTTCTTCACGATTCAGTTATTAGAATAATACGTCTATACTATTGTTCCTCGATTCTACAACTATTCAAGATTATATCCATTTTCCTTTGCTGACCAACAGGCCGCTACCCTGTAAGTAGCACCCTAGCAATAAATTTAAATAAACTCTGAATTAGTAGCAGTAGCTAAAACCTGAGTAATGATAGATAATTGAACGCGAAGAACTCAATATAAGTAGGTGAATAAGCGACCTTATATATCTAGTCCTTCCTATCGTGTGTTAGGATATTCTATCCTAGCGATAGGATAGGATCCTATTGTAATGATAGGATACCACGTGACCTTAGGTATTGCTACCTAAGTTATTATTCTGCCTTGCGGCCTGACAATAGCAGAATCTCCTGACCGCCTTGTTGCTGAACTGATTAGTTCAGGCGCGTCCATTTTTGGCACCTCTCGAGTGGGTCCGTAACACTAATCCTATAGTACTGCTAGATCTTCTGCTAGGACTCGCTTGGATTCCTTCGTATATTACCTAGTAGGTCCTAATTAAAGGTGTTTAGGAAGCCGTTTAACGAAGCGATACGCCTATATCTTGCTAATTGGTAGCATTCCGACGCGTTAATATGCATGATTCGCCCACGATTCTAGTATCCTAGGGGTGATAGGCATATAGCAATCGCTCATAGATTGAATCCAGCGAGTTAGAGCTTCTTCCTGATAGGCTTTGAGAGCGTATCCAACACCACGTTTAGCAGTATTTGGCCCTATTTTCTTGTTGACACGATCAGATAGCGTACGCCTAGTAACACCAAATTCGCATGCTAAACGCGATATATTAGGCTTCGCAACACGTGCCACTGCTAGGCAGGCCTCAGCCACACGAGATTCATCAAAATTCGTCATGTTTAGATAAGGCTGTTGGATAGGGAAGCAAAAAATAGGGTGGTAAGAGAGATTGGAAGTCAGTGTGTGGTTGGCAGTCAGTGTGGTGCACCCACAACCCGGAAAGGTTGGGGGTAGGGGGGCGGTGCAAGGCACTAATAGAACGGAAGAAGAGCGCCAGGCGTTGCCGGACATTATCCGGTATGTATGCGATTTTTCTTAGTCCTCCCAGATGGTTTCCAGGTCGAGGTCTTGTCGGCGCTCGGCACCACAAACACTCCATCGCTTGCGCTTATCACTCCGTGGAGCATATATGCTGGAACCTCCACGCATGGCGTTAAATGTGTTCGTTGCGGGCGAGGCGTCTGAGGTGCCGCGACGTCGGTTCGCGTTGCTAGCGTCCTCAGCGGTGTCAGCGGCGTCGGCAGCTGCCTTCAGCTCGGCAATGCGTTCATCTTCAAGAGCTTGCGCTTCCGCATCGGGAATATCGGGGATAGTTTCCAACGAGGAGATACTGGGGCTACGGGACCGAATGCTGGAGGGAGTTGAGGGAACGGAGGAGGTCGATGAGGCCGAGTGACTCGGATAGGACTCGTTGTACTTAGAGCCGAGCATCGGCGACGTATGTATGAATGGGGGACTGTTGATCGAGGGTTGAAAGTGCAAAGGCGATGTGGAGCGTAGACGACCAACACGGGGGAAGGTCTGTGGCATCAACACGGGCGAGGAGCCCGATTGTGACGATGGGGATCGGGGAGCCGTTTCGAGCTCGGCATTTTCAGAGATGGTCTCCGAAATGTTCAGCGACCCCAGTCGGGTTTCGATGTGATCGTCGGGGCGCATCTGCAGGGGCGTGGACCGCTTTGCGTCGACGGAAGGATGAGGCGTGGGGACGCCGCGGCCGTTAACGAAGATATATCGACCCCGAGAGTCCAGCCCTGGGGAAGAGTAGGCGCGCATCATCGATGGCATCCCGGGGATGCCGACCAGGGATCGAGAGCGCAGATGCGATCGGGCCAAGGGAGATCTGGTTCGTGGGGGTACAGGTAGCTCAGGGGAGACCGACAGAGTGATCATGACGTCCTCCTTCCCCGTTCGCCCCGAGACATTCCCGGAGCTGGGTCCGGCGGAGTCACTGGTGTCGGACAGGCCGAAGCGCATGGAGTCAGGTCGAGACGACCCGTCCATGGCTGCAATCACGATCAAATGCGAAAGGGGGAGTGGAAGAGGGAAGAGGAGAGGAGGAGAAGAGGGGGGCGGAGAGGACGAGGGCGAGGGCGACGACGGGGCGGTGCTGAGTCGGAGGGAAAGGAGCGTTAAGCCGGGCGCATCCTGTCGTTGACCGGCAAGAGGGACGAAAAAACCTTGGGCCGGCCAAGCGAGAAAGTGCAGAAACAGGGGGAGGAAAGAAGAGGATTGAGAGCAAAAGCACAGGTCCAGAAAAAAAGGATGCGGCGAAGAAGTCCGGAGCCAAGGCCCAGAACCACTGGACCCTAACAAGCCTTGCGCCGACCTGGTTCGACTCGGTGCTTTCGCTCTCTTTCTGTCTCTGCGTGTTCTTTCGGTCGATCTAATTTCACATCCACCGATGAGCGCAGCATTGCAGAAATGAATCAGAGACCTTGCAGAGTTTCCCCGAAGCTCGACTGCGGGTACAAAATTCGAGTTCCTGACTCCCATGGATCGGCCAAACGGAGATAGTCTCCAGGGCTCCGCCAATGGACGGCACGGCACGGGCAACGTTTATCTAAACCTCGAGAACGGTCATGATGTAAACGCCAACCTGCCGACATACGCTCGGTACGTGGAACCTGATGGGACAGGGCCAACGGCGAAGATCGGCTCTTCAGAGGATATGGACCATAGCGCTGTCAACGAGTATATTCGAAGTGTCCGAGTGGAAATTGTGCCGGTACACCCACGACTGTTCCATGATATTTAGATTGGCATCTATCGCGAAGAACTTACAGTAGATACGATACTTGTTGCCGAAGAAACCCCAATGCCTACTCGATTGAGATGACCGAGTACATGACTACATAATTTCGAGAAATAAACATAACTCCATGCCCCTAGGACAAAACTCTTATCGTTTCTCTTCAGCGTCATAGGAGCATCTTTTCTGTCTCAATGCAACCTCTTGTTTGCTTTCTTTTGCTTTCTTTTGTTTTCTTTTCTTCTTTCTTTGCGGAAGACCACTCAATCTACCTGGTTGGACTCCGGTACCTTCACGGGCCCAATTCGATTCACTAATGCAGCCAAGACCGGGCCAGAGATGGGTCTCAGATTTCAATTCGGGCTACAGGATTCTAGACAGCTCCGGATGGGTCGAGATGATGGCAGATAATTACAGTGTAATACATTTGTCCTCGACCCTATGGTGAGTCAAGCCACGATTACTACTACCAACACTACTAAAAAGTGAGGTAGGTACAGGGTACTAGGAGGTGTAGGTATATCAAAGGGGAATCAGCATCAGAACAGAGTCAACAACTACCACCATCATGGCCCAGCCAGGAAAAGCAGTTCCACGCTCAAACACGCAGTACAACCCGTTCTCCCACGAACAAGTCCACTAGAGGTCGTGATGTTTCTTGTGCTCTTCCTTCTCGCGGCACTTGCTCGCCTCGCTCTTGCGCACATAGGTTTCGCGTACCCCATCGCCCTCATGCTTGAGAACGACCCACTCGCCCATCCCAATGTCCTCCGGTGCGAACCGTACACCACGCCCACCACCGCCGACAATGACATTACCAGGCCGGTACTTCGGATCCGCCTGCATGCGGCGGATTGCCGAGACGTGAATCTCGGCGTCGAGCGGCACATCGCGCACCTCGCCGCGCGGCAGCGGCCAGCAGATCGGCTTCCACGAGCCGTCCGACTGCAGATCCATCCGCCGGAACGGCAGCCACTCCATGATGCGCCACGAAATAACTGACAACGGCGGTAAGCCCTGGTCAAACATCAGACAATCGTGCAGCAGGCCCTTGGTGCTGGAAGTATGCAGCGCATGCCAGAAGTCGCGACTCGCTGCGGAGCGCTGCTTCTCGTCCGGCATGGTGCGGAACTCCTCGTCAGCCTGTCCGTGGCCGTCCAGACAGGCGTTCGCCTGGCTTAACCGGCGCGCGTCAATTTCCTCCTGGATGGGGCTGTAGTCGCCATCGAACTCCTCCAGGCACTGGAACTGCTTCATCTTGCGCGGATCGAGTTCGAGCCCGGCCTTCTGTGCCTCCTGTACCATCCACACAAGCGGCGCGTGGCTCAGCGCCCACTTCTCGTCCTTGGCGGTATTCAGCTTCCAGCCGCCACCGATGTCCGCATGGCAGCCCGGGAACCAAATTTCGTGGATATCCTGATCCTCCTCGTCACTGTCATAGCCGTCGTGGCTGGGAATTTGGATCGAGACGTTGCCGGAATGGCCACTGCGCATGGAAGCACAGTCATCGACGGACTGGTTCGCCCCGGGAGGGGCCAGGCTGGTTCGTCGCGGAGAGGGAGCTCGGTATCGAGCTGGCTCCCCGAGGTTCGCCTCGCTGCCCTGGCGACTTGCCGGGCGACTGCCGGGGTGAGAGGTGTTGTGCGAGTGGTAGTAGGTCTCGCCGGGACCAGGTCCCCAGCTTGGGTCGTTAAAGCTTGGCACAGCCGGCGGCGCGGTCTCGGTCTGCGGTGACTGGGCGTTATCGTTGACGGTAATGGCAGGGACTGGGTCCGCCATCGTCTCGCGGTGGTCCTGGTGGTGGATGTGCAAGTGGTGGTTGGCATCGACATGGCGGGCAAGATGGTTCTCCAGACGGTGCGGAGCGACGTGTGGACGGTGCCGGTGCAGCTTATTCTTATGGTCGTGCGGCCGTGGGCCCGAGATCAGGTCTTGTCGGAACTTGGCGCGACGCTCGTCGATGCCCACTGCGTGGCGGATGACGCGCGCTGTGCTGCGTGCCGTGTACGGGAACTTGCTACGCTGCATCCAGGCATTCTCGAAGCGAGGGACGCTGTTGACAGTATCAAAGAGACCCATAAAGCGGATACGCGAGATCGGGCGACTGAAGGTCTCGCGGAATGCCTTCATGTAGGAGAAGAGCTTCTTTTTCTCCTCCTTCTCCTCCTCAGTGTCGCCCAGGCGTTGCTGCCACTTGGCGAATGTCTTCCAGGCGAAGCGGATTAGTTCCTCGTTACCGGCCTCGAGCAGGCCGATATAGTCGAGCATCTCGGCCAGGAAACGCGCGATGTACGCGCCGCGACTGAAGCCGATGAAATAGATCTCGTCGCCGGGAGAATAGTATCGCATCAGGAACTTGTACCCGCCCATGACGTGCTCGTCAAAGGAGGAGCCAATGGCCGAGTCCTTGGCCTTCTGATAAGCGGACTTGATGCGCTGGATGCGCCCATGGCTCGACAGCGATTTCGAGGTCACATAGGTTCCTATGCCGGGCTGGTAGTAATGGTACTGGTGCGGCTGGCTGCGATCCAGCATCTGCATATCGTTGGTCAGTGACCTGCCATCTTCGGGGAGGAAGACGAGAGAAGGGCAACATACGCGAAATATTTTCAAGACGTTGCTATCAGATTCATCGCCGGCAAATTTGTTTCCTGTGCCATCGAAACACAACACGAACTGCTTTGGAGGCCCGTGAACGGGACCCGCGTGGTGAGCCATGTCGTGTGGATACGGGGTCTATACCGCCGGCGTCCACAAGGGCAAGGGGAGGATTCCGACTATATACGAAAACAACCGGAGAGGACTTGAAGGAAAGCGCAGCTCGAAGGAGCAAAGCCGGGCCACGAATCACGGTGCGCGCCACAGACCCATGTGAGAATGGACGAGCAGCGGAGAAGGGGGAGGGGGGGGGGGGTAGGATAAGAACGCTCGAACAGCGTGTCACCCAACGAGACGATCGCTGCAAACCTGAGCGAAAAGATACGTCAAGCCCCGGGTGAGTGGGACTTCCGAGACTGGCACATTCCAATGGCTGCATGACGGGGCTGGCCTTTTTGGGCCCTTTTTCTTCGGCTGCTTCTAGCTTATCTTCAAAATTTCGCCTCCAGAGGACCGTGTCTCCGATGAAGGTGGACGAAATTACATTGATTTGTCCGTGGTGATCGAGTATAACCCTGAAATTATACACTATGAACTTAATCTGGGGTCCATGTCCCTGTTTTTCAAGAACTATATGTTTTGTCGTCACGGTTCTACTACAGGACCAAGCTTGCCTGGCCTCCCTTGCTCATACTGTACGCAAAGCCCTACAGGTTTAACGGGGGTGCATCCCATCCAATGATCACCGTCGCATCACATTGCTTTCCTTGCTATCAGGGCTGGCCTGACTCGCGTCGGAGAAGAGGAAGGGGAGGCCAGTCCGACCATGGTGGGGAAAGTCCCGGATGGCGTTGCTGGACAAAAAAAGACCAGGTGGATAACAAATCCTCAAACATGTGCCGAGTTCTTCATCACGCCTCCCTTTTAATCATTTTTTTCCCTTTTTCAGTTGCTACGCGACGAAATGGCCACCATTGGACCCAGACGGCGACGAGGCTGGACCTATAGGGTGCCATTGCCTCCTTTGAAGAGTTCGGGACATTACCGTCGATCATTCCCCACGGTGACTGGGAGCGGATCTGGTTCCCAATGAGTCGGTGCCGTAAGGGGGAGGGGGGAGGGATGGCAGCATCCGACTGGGATTGGAGGGAAGGGTGTTCGGCTGGTTCGTCTCGTTCGTCTCGGTCAGCTCCTTTCTCTGATTTCTGGGCCATTTGATCGAGACTAACCCCGAACTAATAGGCTAGCGGATTGGTCTGCCTTTGCTGCGGGCTTGGGAGGCTTCATCGAATGGCCCACGGAAGCCCGCGACCCCCGTCACTAGGGGCTAGCGTGGGCTTCACGTCGCTGGGCTCCACCCGGGATCCACCTGTCTGCCGTCATCTGAAGATGCGTGTCCGGCCAAAGCTTTGGAGGCCAAGTGCGTGACGCGGACTGAAATTTAGTGTGCCCCAGTTGGGCATTGTCTTCATAGTTTCTCCATCGCCAGCCGTGAGAAGAGTTTTCCTTCGCGTCTGGTGGAGACGATGCTCAGCTCGTTTAGATGATCTAGAGATGTTCGCAAATAACGATCGTGTTATATTATTATCGCCGTCGGAATCTTGCCAGGACCGCCGATCGTCTCGGTCGCATTCGGCGGACGTCAATAAATCACATGGACTCAGAACGATGGTCAATATTCCCATACTCCATCCGGATATACGGAGCTCCTTCGTGTGTATCCCTGCATGCTGATAGATCATTGACCGTGCGATCGTGTCAATTCCAGTTTGTTGATGTGAGCGCGATTCTTGGTTCGATGTTGTTAAACCTCGGAAAGGATCTAGGGCCAACCTCGGGAGTGGCCGCAACCATACTTGCCACGGTGGCTACAACCGTGGTTATTCTTCATCCCGATTCAGGACTAAATAATTATGGGGTTCTGCAGACCATGGGGTCGGATTTAATCTAGGTTCTCTGGGGGTGGTTGACACGCCGGCAGCACGGATGTCACCGTCCTTACGCAGTACTCAAGGACAGACAGGGGTTGATCTTGACGTCCCTCGTGCCCAGGGTGAGCTATAGAGACCAGGTCCCCTGAATTCCTCCATGCACTAGAGTACGTGAGTTCCACGAGGGGAGGCGAAGAGATACGCAGACTGCAGGTCGGACTCGGGTCCTCCGTGTGGAGCATGGCGGACATCGAATAGGGAAGACACCCGCTACATACAACGAAAAAAGGAAGGGAACAGCGGACCTGGTGCAGGACCCTGAGGGTGGAGACGATACATCCAATTCTGAATAATCCGGGATGATGACTGGCAGCGACGTGTTACCAAGAGCCTGCCAATGACCGGGAATATGGTTTACGCTGAAAAGTGGTCCGTTCGCCTTTTGGCGCACGCTAAAAGTCCATAGCGAGTGGGCGAACAGGTGGGTCATGACGATCTGATGGAAGCAGGAATTCAAATCAACCGGATCCTGCCAGGCCAAGATAATCAGCATGAAGCAATGGGATGATTCCGCTGGCCGTGGGCCAATTTATACAGTGCATTCCGTACATAGGAGTCCTTCTATATGCTGTTTTGCGCATAGCGTTCAGAGAATGCGTAGATCGAAACATCCTGGGCATAAACTTACTATGTATTCCCGTGCGGGCACCTACCAAGGTACCTCGTATAATAGAGTTGTTACACCCTCGTCAGGTTTCCGATTAATACTATATAATAGTAGATTGCATAAATATGGAAGCATGCGCACGGAGATATCCCCAAGGATAGAAACCCACCATTCAGAGGTGCTCCAAGCGCCCAATGTACGCCTTGGTTGAAGGATGACAGAATGTCAAATATATGATGCGTAAAATGAAAAATAATTCGTTCCTTTTCGTTCTTTTTGTCCTTTTTTCTGTAAGTTTCTTCCTTGCGTCAACGACCCCCTCAACGTCAATCCCGTCGTCCACAAACCGGGTGCACAATACCATGGTGGGTATGACAGCGCCCTCTCCCTCCGACGATCTCACCACTGACCATTTCCCACCTCCTTCACCACCACCACCACCATCAATTCCTGCATCCCAACCTCCGTGCTCAGCAGCCCTGCCAACCCCCTCCCCCTTTCCCTGACCCGGTTGCTCCGAGGTTGTCTCCAGCCAGCCACCGGCTGCGACCAGGGTAGTTCTCGATCGGGTCAAGCGTGCCAACCTGATCCCCACTTGGTGCGGCCACCGACGGGCTGGATCTTTGCGATCCGAATGTGGGGCATCATGGCCCTGGTACAAGCTCCATCCGCGATGCGATTCCTCGTATGGAGTACACCGCTACCGATCCATGATCGAATCCATCACATTGGCGGGGGTTTATTGTTGTCTCACTCTTGCCACTTTCATCCCTAAGTGATGATGCGCAAGACATCCAGCTGGAATGCTCCCTCCAGCGGGAATGAGGTGGGCTGACGTCGGTAGGGCGCGTGCGTCAATGGTACCTTGGGGAGATTCAGCCCGGGCATCTCATGATGCTCACAATTCTCACGTCTCCCGCTTCACCCTCCAATGGTGGACGGTACCGGAATGGAGTCAGATGGAGTTCCACCCGAGCTCAGAGCGCCCGCTTGCCTCCCCAGTGACGTGCCGTGTTCCATTTGCCTGGCCCACCCCCTTTCTCAAGTTTCCCAAGCAAAGCCTGAGCCCCCCCCCACCAGGCACGGCAAGGCCTGCAGATTGATCAATTACTGCAATGAGCGGTTTGTCACCATTTTTGCGATGCTCCATGCTTCGAATGGGGGGATCCACTCATCGAATCAGCTCCCGGCGGGGACCAGCTGGGACCAGCCCTCGAGCTTTGTCCCACGCGGGGCCTGTCTATGTGATTGGCAATCCTAGGTTCATCTTAAGCCACAGCCCTCGGGGCAGATCGAGGCTAGTGCCCCTCAAACCTCCCCTATTTCCAATCAGATCGAGGCCTGACGGTCAATCAACTATTGGCGATAACAAATCCGCCACCGCGGACGCTCCACAGTCCTGCAGTAGCTGACTTGGGTTGCCCACGCAGCTCGTTTTTAAATCCGGCGTTGCGCGGGCGCATTTCTCTCTTAATTCCCCTTTCTCCCACGATCTAGCCTTAGTTGCTATTCTTCATTGTTTGTTTTTTTTTTTGTTTTTGGTGACTTTTTATCCGTTTCCTTTCCCTCTCTCCCTCTCTTCATCTTGAGTGACCTTCTTGTCTGCGCGAGAGAGTCCCAGACTTGCCCGTCACCATGTTGCGGAGATTGTCAACCCAGTTCAAGAGGAACAAGGAGTCCAATGGGGACGCCGAGCCCAAGAGCACCAAGGAGAGCAGCAAGCGCTTCTCCAAGGCGGCGCCGTCCCGGAAATCCACCACCAACAATGATGACAACCACGCCGTGAAGCGCGCGGAGGTTGTTGCTGTCTTCGAGAAGTATGCGCAGGCAATTCACGCCTCGCGCGAACCTTTACCCAACCAGACCGGTGATGGCACCTACCTGAAGCACGACCAGTCCTCTGGTCTGATCGATGACATCAAGTCGCTTGGCTTCCGCGACATCAACACCGTCAAGGATTTGATCAAGAACAAGGCCTCCGGCGAATTGGTTGATGACAAGACCTACCTCATGGAGCGTATTATTCAGGTCAGTACTCTAGTATCTCTTGAATAGGTCGATTGAGCTCCTAGAATCTAGCAGAGTCTGACCCGCAGCAATATAGATGGTCGCCGACATGCCGGGACACTCCAAAAACCGTACCGAGCTTACCAACCAGTTCCTGGATGAGCTCTGGAACTCCCTTCCCCACCCCCTCTTTCGTAAGATTCATCCAAATTTCCATTCGGGCCAATTGAACCAATTCTAATGTGGCAAATAAAACAGCTACATGGGCGATGAATACAAGTACCGCTCCGCCGATGGCTCTAACAACAACCCCACACTGCCGTGGTTGGGTGCTGCCAACACCCCCTACTGCCGCACCATCCCTCCCCTGACTATCCAGCCCAGCGGTCTGCCTGACCCCGGCCTGGTCTTTGATAGTCTGTTTGCTCGCCAGAAATTCAACCCTCACCCTAACAAGGTTTCCAGTATTTTCTTCGACTGGGCCTCGTTGATTATTCACGGTATGTTTAGCCAACATGTCAGTATGAGAAGAGACGCGCTAAATCTTTTGGCAATATAGATATTTTCCAGACCGACTACCGCCAGCCTCACCTCAACAAGACCTCCGCCTACCTCGATCTCTCCATTCTGTATGGTGATGTCAAAGCGCAGCAGGACCTGATCCGTTCCCACAAGGACGGTAAGCTGAAGCCCGATTGCTTCTCTGAGGGTCGTCTCCAGGCTCTCCCTGCCGCCTGTGGTGTTCTGCTGGTCATGCTGAACCGTTTCCACAACCATGTTGTGGAACAGCTTGCTGAGATCAACGAGAATGGTCGCTTCTCCAAGCCCGGTGCTAATCTTTCCGAGGAACAAACCAAGAAGGCTTGGGAAAAGTACGACGAGGATCTGTTCCAGACTGGCCGTCTGATCACTTGCGGTCTGTACATCAACATCACTCTGTATGATTACCTCCGCACAATTGTCAACCTGAACCGTACCAACTCCACGTGGTGCCTGGATCCCCGCGCCCAGATGGAGAAGGCTGGTGCTACTCCTTCTGGTCTCGGTAACCAGTGCTCTGTCGAGTTCAACCTGGCCTACCGTTGGCATTCGGCCATCTCTCAGGGTGATGAAAAGTGGGTTGAGCAGGTCTACCACGACCTGATGGGCAAGCCTGCTGAGCAGGTCACCATGCCCGAGCTGATGGCGGGCATGAAGAAGGTTGAGGGTATGCTCGATGCTGATCCCTCCAAGCGTACCTTCGCCCACCTCCAGCGCCAGGAGGATGGTACCTTCAAGGATGAGGAGCTTGTCGCTATTCTGACCCACGCTTGCGAGGATGTCGCCAGCTCCTTCGGTCCTCGCAACGTGCCTAAGGCTCTGCGTTCCATTGAGATCCTCGGTATGGAGGCTGCCCGTCGCTGGAACGTTGGGTCCCTGAATGAGTTCCGTAAGCACTTCGGCCTGAAGGCTTATGAGACCTTCGAGGAGATCAACTCCGACCCCGAGATCGCCAACTCCCTGCGTCACTTGTACGAGCACCCCGACTATGTCGAGCTGTACCCCGGTATCGTCTCCGAGGAGGCCAAGGAGCCCATGATTCCCGGTGTCGGTATCGCCCCTACCTACACCATCTCCCGTGCCGTGCTGTCTGACGCCGTGGCTCTGGTCCGTGGTGATCGTCACTACACTGTTGACTACAACCCCCGCAACCTCACTAACTGGGGTTACAACGAGTGCCGCTATGACTTGAACATCAACCAGGGCTGTGTCTTCTACAAGCTGGCCACCCGTGCTTTCCCCAACTGGTACAAGCCTGACTCCATCTATGCTCACTACCCCATGACTATTCCCAGCGAGAACAAGAACATCATGAAGATGCTTGGCCGTGAGCAGGACTACTCTTGGGACAAGCCTGCGTTCACTCCTTCGCGAATCAACCTTACCTCTCACCAGAATGCTAAGCTGGTCCTGGAGGACCAGAACGACTTCAAGCCGTCCTGGAGCTCCGCCATGGAGGATCTGTTCGGTAAGGGTGAGTTCGACAATGAGCAGCGCCAGGCTCTGGGTAAGGCCTTCAACACTGAAGATTTCCCTCAACTGGTGAAGAAGTTCTACGAAGATGTCACTCTTCGCCTCATCCAGGAGAAGGGTGCCAAGCTGGCTGGTATCAACCAGGTCGACATTACCCGTGACGTTGGCAACCTTGCTCATGTCCACTTCGCTGCCACCGTCTTCGGACTGCCGCTGAAGACCGAGGAGAACCCTCGTGGTCTCTTCACCGAGCACGAGATGTACATGATTCTGACTACTATCTTCTCCGCTCTATTCTTCGACGTCGATGCCACCAAGTCGTACTCTTTGAACCGCGCGTCTACCGCTGTCTCTCAGCAGCTTGGCTCTGTTGTTGAGGCGACCGTGAAGGCCGACACCGACAGCGGCCTCCTGTCCGGCCTTATGAACAACTTCCGTCCCCACGACAACGCTCTCCGCGAGTACGGCACCGCCGCTCTTCGTCGCCTAGAGGAATCTGGTCTCAACGCCTCTCAGATCACCTGGTCGCAGATCATCCCGACGGTTGTCGGCATGGTTCCCAACCAGGGTCAGGTCTTTACTCAGATCATCGAGTACTACACCTCCAACGAGGGCAAGAAGCACCTGGCAGAGATCAACCGTCTGGCCAAACAGGACTCCGCCGAGTCTGATGAGAAGCTGTACCGCTACTGCCTGGAGGCAATCCGTATCAACGGCACCTTCGGCGCGTATCGCGAGGCCCGCAGTGCTCTCACAGTCGAGGATGCTGGTCGCCAGATTGACATCCAGCCTGGCAACAAGATCTTCGCTTCCTTTGCCCAGGCCAACCGCGACCCCAGCGTCTTCCCTGAGCCTAATGAGGTTGTTCTCGACCGCCCTCTCGAGTCGTACATCAACCACGGCCAGGGACCTAACACTGGTTTCGGCCAGGAGATTACCAAGATCGCTCTTGTTGCCATGCTGCGCGTCGTTGGCCGTCTTGACAACCTCCGTCGCGCTCCCGGCGCCCAGGGTCAGCTCAAGAAGATCCAGCAGGAGGGCGGCTATTACGTCTACCTGCGCCAGGACGGCACCTCCTATTTCCCCTTCCCCATGTGTAAGTTGACTTCCAACATATTCATTCTGTTTATCAGTCGAATAACCAAGCTGACCAAATTCCTCTTACAGCGCTCAAGCTTCACTGGGACGGCGATTTCTCCTTCCCGGCCCTTCCGGCCAAGAAGAACTAAGCAGCCTTTCTGGCCTCTTAAAAAATTCACTGCAGCCAACCCCCGGGCCAATTGTATACGTTGGGGGCACCGCTTAATATGCAGCACTTGACTGGGCTGGCCATGCTTTACGTTTTGATTTTGTTTTCGGGGACTGTTGTTCTCCAGGATATCCACAAATTTGTTTTTAATTACGGGACCGCTTTACGGCTGTAGTGTATAGTTCAATAATGAGATTGATATCCATCATTTCGAAGGCTGTGTCGTATTATTTGAAGCTGGATAGTGTTCAGAATCGCTTATAATGTCACTCACCTGTATTCATAGAACCTTTTGTTTCTTAGTACTGGATCCTTAAGTCTTTGCACGAGAAATGTGAGGCGCTTCATTGAATCCATGGCAGAGCATCCAACCTTCACAGAAGTATGGGGTTGGGGGGATGGCGTATAGTGCCAGTTACCTCGCAAAGTTGAGCAGATAAGTCCACTTTATCGAACTCTTGAATAGGCTCATGCTGTACCTGAATTAAATATAATTAAAGCTCTACTGTTTTTCAAGTTTTCTTTTGTGTAAAACGGTCCTTGGAATGGACGAAATATGCTCGAAAATCTAGTCGAACAAAGGGGATTGGACTAGGGATGCGCAAGCAGGATGGTGGGGTCGAGAAACTGATGTTTTTCTGGAACCATTGAGTTTCCAGGATATAATTGATACATTGACAGGAAGACTCTACATGGTTTATTAGGGATTGACGCATTCCTTATAGGATATTCACGTTGAATGAAGCTGCCGAGTTTATAGCTGTCCACCGTGGCGTTTGTATACTTTCCATCACACACCGCCCTCGCGGCTCCACGCCCATAAACATCGGGGGGAAGATCGACGACAATCTACCAGCCCAACCTCCAAGATGCCCCCCAAAGTTGCCAAGGGCGAATATATCGAGACTGTACGTGGTAGTTTGTCCCATCTTTACCCTCTCATATCCACGAAAGACCTTTGTTCAGAAGGGTTTCGCTCACAATTGAACAGGATACGGGAAACAAGATCTCGCGTCGCTCTCAAATTCACGGCACTCAGCACATTATCCTCGGCGGTAAAACTGTCATCCAAGCCGAAGCTGTCATTAGAGGTGACCTATATCGCCTACCCTCGACCGCCGCCTCTACAGACCCGAATAACCCCTCCCCGCAACCCAATACTCCAAGTGTGGCCATCACCGTCGGCCGATACAGCTATATCTCCAAGAGTGCGGTCCTACGCCCGCCGAGCAGGATACACCGAGGTGTACACTCTTTCTACCCTCTCAAGATTGGCGATCATGTCTTTGTCGGTGAGTCGGCTGTTGTCGAGGCCGCGTCTCTCGGAAACCATGTCCATGTCGGTGCTGGGGCAATGGTCGGCAGCATGGCGATCATAAAGGATTTCTCGGTTGTGCTGGACGGTGCTGTCGTGTCACCTGGGATGATTGTGCCAAGCTGGTGTGTTGTGGGAGGGCAGCCTGCGAGAATTGTCGGCGAAGTGGGCGAAGGCTACGGCATTGAGGGGGCCGAGGGTGGTATGGCACGGGAGAGATATCGTGTGGTGGGGAGACCCTGATGGCTTTGATCTACATGTGTGGCTTATGCCAGACCTTTTACACTTTTCTTTTTCCAATGATACCCCTTGCCTTTTTGTTTAACAAGATTCCTTTAGTCGAATTGCCTATTGATTACAGCTCATGTGCACCCCCTGATTCGCAATTATGAACATCATTGGCATTAGCCGGTGAAAAGTAGATGACATCGAGAAACTCCGATGATCAAAATCCCGAATTTTGAATGGTTGAGGGAGATTCAGTCCCAGCACCTCGCTATCCCATGTTCTCAACTTGCACCGCACGGGTGAGCCGGGGCAGGTCCGGTGGGATAGGAATGCCGCTTTCCTCAAACGCCAGATCGTTAATCCAGCGCTCATTGAGGTTTATTGGCTCACCCTTCGACAATTTGCAAGCCAGGAACAGCCAGCTCAATGCGTTGCCCACGGTGCTCACCTCATCACAGACATGGTCGAGCGCATACTGTGACATTCGACGGTAGAGGGCCTCGTCTGTCCATAGGGAGAAGAGGTGCTGTGCGACAGCGTCGGTGTCACCGACATCCACGAGGAAGCCATTCTTGGTGTTTTCGACCTGCAGTGGAATACCCCCGGCTCGTGTGGCGATCACCGGCTTGCCCTTGTGAATAGCCTCCGAGACTTTGACTTCGAAGCCTTCGCGGGTAGACAGTTGCAGTGCAATGGTGGCCTTGGAAAGGACAGCATTCAAAACCTGATCCGACGGCCTCAGCCGCATAATGCAAATCTGGTCACGTAGATGCGGTGTTTTGTGATCGATGAGATCAATCACTTGGTCGTAAATGACCGCTCCATCCGGATCATCCACCGAGCCATGCCCACATATCAGAAGCTTTGGAGGCCGTAAATCCGGTCTTTCGTTGACGAGTCTATCGTAGAATTTCTCATATGAATCGAGGACGTCGAAAATGCCCTTTGATGGATCGAACCTTGCGATTTGCACGATATACTGGTCTGTTTTTTTGGGGGTGGTTTAGCCCGGTTACTCACAAGGTATATTGCATAAAACAAATTTCGTGAAACAAAATTTCTTACCGTCGGGGTATTGGATCATGGGCATATCAGCATTCCTGCAGGCTGCATTGAAGATACGGCCGTAGTGCGCCACGTCCCAGTCTCGCATATTCTTGTTCAACCCATCCAGCCTGCGCCTCGTCAGCGAGATTATGCATGATCTTCAGGTCTTCAGATCAGTACTTACCAATCGGTGGACGCCGGCATATAGCCGACGATTTTCCGCGGTACATCGTGGGGTACAAATGCGCTTACGGGATGGCTGATGAAGCAATCGGCCAGTTTGATATGACTCCAGAAGAATTCCCATGCCTCTGCCTGTGGGCTTCCAACTTTTTCAATCAGATCGCTTCTGATTTGAATGTGACTTCGGAAAATGATCGGTCTTTTGGGGGCGATCTTCTTGGCAATAGGTATTAATCCTGGCATTTGAGGATCATCTACGATCAGCACATCTGCTCCTCCCTCAGACGGCGGAGACAGAGGTCCGCCTGGTAAAGTCCAGTATCGTCTCGCATTCTCTTCAATCCAAGCCGTCAATACCTTCTTGTTAGCTTCACTCAATCGTTCTGAAGGAAGCGCCACTCCCTGGAGGATGTTGTGATTGTTTTTGGTTATGCGAAAAACACCCGGCCGTGGTTTGGGGACATACCTGCCCGAGCTGTTAATCTATTCCTGGCAATTCTACGTCCTCTCAATTTTGGCCTACCACTTGATATCTGTGCCCAACGAATGCGAGAAACGCACTAGGGCATGCCTCATCAAAGCGACACCTCCGCCTTGAGGGGTTGCGCTGAAGAAGGCAACCCTCAGTCTTCGATCCTTGAGATAGGATGCATAGTGCTGAAGCGCGCTCCAGGTCGAAGCCGAAACCGTCTTTTCAAAGTCGTCCAGATTCGTTAGGCGCACGTGGAAATCCGTGTCAACCTCTACGAGGCCCATGAAACCCACTTGCAATAGGGGAATGTTCTCCGGCCCGAATAACCTGCGCAAAGTAGAGTTCAGCGCTTATTCTCCACAATCCTGCCGATCATGACCAACCTCACGCATTTCCGAGCCATCGACTCCGCCTGTTCGTCAATGGTGCGCGCCTCCCACGCTTTGGGCAGCGGTTGTTCGCGTGAGGTAAACCGGTCCATTAAGCTCCTCTCGGGCAGGACTAGTGGGATTATATCGAGCTCTGCCCATAAGCGGGAGCAGAGCACCGGACAGCGGTCGGCGACATGAAGCGGCATGGCCACGCCGATGATCTTCTCCAAATGTTCCTCGGCGTAGGCCTTGAGCTGTGAGACGATAAATTCTGTTACACGCTCTGCGCAAGGCTGGTCTTCGCTGGTGTCAAAGACTCTTTCGATAAAGTCTAGCATGTAGGTGGTATCCCTGACCGCGATGGCGACCGTTGAGGCACGATGGTTGGAGAAGAAGGCAGACACTCCTGCATAGATGGTCTTTCTCTCGTTAGTGATCGCCATATCTCTTTATAACCAGCTCATTTGACAACTGTGCATACATCAGCAGGAGATGCCAGCCAGGCATGCCGTTTGAACTGCTGAGATAGCCGGCGCTGCCGTGCCACCGACGAGCGACGCTCGAATTCATGGCGTGTGTCGCCAGACATGGTGCTATAAGGAGTGCAGATGCTGGAGGACAGAACTACAGGCGCATTCTGAAGTTTCTACGGCGAAAACAAGAACAAGAAATATGAATATGTTGAAAGCACCCCGTCGGGTGACTTCACTTTCGATCGTGACGTCGAAAGAGCCCCCGCAACCACGGTTCTTGATTTTGTGGGCAGTAATAGGGCAACAATGAGAAGCATGTCGGAACCCATTGCTTGGGACCTGGCTCAATGGACTATTCGTACTAGGCTGGGATCAATTGAGGGCAATCAAGAAGGTCGGGGAACCCTGAGTAGTTGCAAACCCACCTCCAGCCACCCACAAAGCACGGGGACCAAAGTAGATTGCGGTGGAGCCGCGCGTGAAACGCCGACTGCCTCTGGGGGGAGAGGAGGCAGGCTGAGTCAGCGTGCCCCTTTTCCCCCGCCTCAAATTGCAAACTTCGGATTGTTTTCTTCAATTCCCACCTTGCTCGTCGGGTTCAAGTTGTCGGCTTGTGCGCTCGTCTCTTGCAGCTCCTTTCTGTCTTCGCGTCTGCGCTGCCATTGTTCCCTTTCCCCTTTTCAATTCCAAATAACGCGTCAATATGGGTGGCTCCGTATCCAAGATGATGGGGAAGATCTTCGGCACGAAGGAGATGCGCATTCTCATGCTGGGTCTCGATGCGGCTGGAAAGACCAGTAAGAGCCTACCTGAATGCTTCTGATGGTCGTCAATCAAGCTAATCGTGGCCTTTTTCAGCTATTCTCTACAAATTGAAACTTAGCAACCAGGATGTGACGACCATCCCCACCGTCGGATTCAACGTTGAGAGCGTCACCTATAAGAACGTCAAGTTCAACGTCTGGGATGTTGGTGGCCAGGACAAGATTCGTCCTCTCTGGAGACACTATTACTCTGGCACACAAGGCTTGATCTTCGTGGTGGACTCCAGCGATACTGCTCGTCTGGAGGAGGCTCGCTCAGAACTCCACAAGATCATCAATGACCGTGAAATGAAGGATGCCCTCCTTCTGGTATTTGCCAACAAACAGGATATCGATGGCCGTATGTCTCCCATTTCTGGTTGATCGATCGACCGGTGTCTTATCTTCGCCACCTCCAAACTAACCAAATATATTTCATTCAGATTTGACTCCCGAGGAAATTACTACCGAGCTGCAACTCACCAATCTGAAAGACAAGATTTGGTATGTCGCGCCCAGTGTCGCGACTGATGGCACTGGTATCTTTGAGGGCCTGGTAAGTCTCCCCTTGCTGCTCCTGGTTCCGGTTTCCCATCGGACCGAAACAAACACTGACCCGCATGGCTCCACTTTCTCAGGCCTGGCTCTCCAACAACGTCAAGACCCAGCAACAGAAATAAAAGATCGCCCCGCTGTGATCCTGAGAGGCGCCCAACCACCCTCGTGTACAACACCTCGCACCCGACAAGTTTTTACTCCTTTCGATTCATGTCCGTGTTTGATGACAAGACGACGCAGCATTTGGGTTTTTTGTTTCTCTTGTTCTTTTCGTCTCTTCTCCTTGGGTCTTTTCCTATGTGCATGCTCGACCTCCTTGATTCCTTCCTCTCCCCCCTTGGTTCTTCATTTTCTATCTATGATATCCCCTCTGTTCTTACCAGGACTCGGTATGAGCTCCGATTTAATTATTTAATTATTTTTTTTCCAATAGTGGTTCATATCATCAGCGTTGGCATTTTTCGATTCCCTGGTCGTTTCCTTGTGTGCCCTTCTGTGTATAGAGTTGATCGATTTCATAGAGAGAAGAGGGATAGCAGACTTCTGAGTTGCGATAAATAATCAACCAAATTGAACTAAATTATATTTTTGATCGAAAAAGGTGCCAGTTCCTGAGACTGTTAAGATGGGGGGAAAGGGGGAATCTAGAGAGATGCGGGCATTTCTAGCCTGTCTTCTTTATCGATTGGATGGTGCAGCTGCCATTCTGTCTTCCAGTAGCAAGCAACAGCTATATCAGGACATGAAGGTCAATCGCACTGTTTAGCAAATATTTAAAGTAAGGCTGTTTCTTTGCTGCACTAGAAAAATGACCCTCTGAGAATGCTATTTATTCGCATATAAGTTCCCCGGAATCGATATCCGACGTGGAGATACCTGTTCTCCAATGTTGTGGATCCGTTCCAATCGATCCAGCAATGTGTGCTCATTTTTACGTGTCGCCGGCTATCTCATCCCACTCCTGTTGCGGGCTTTAATTGTATGCTATGTACATTAAACGGGTCCATAGGCAACGCCACTCGCTGTCCATTTCTAGCCTTGAACCCATGGATCCTTCTCATGTCAATCTGACGCCAATATTACCAGTTATCAACTTTTCATGCTTGAGCTCGCCACCGAGGGAGCATAAATGAGACTCGAGTATACAACCAAAATCAAATTTTCTTCAAAGCTGCCATCCTGCCTGAAAAAGAATTCTCTTTCCAGTCTTCAAATTCATAGACTGAAAACCAAATCAGAATGCCCGCTTTTAAGAAAGGGGATAAAGTGAATTACAAACCGGTAGGAGGTAACGTGCCTCTATCTACCTCAATGCTGTGTCTCAAATAGAATCTGACAACTTACATCCTAGGACCTGCATCTCATACAAACACCAGTGTTGGGGTCATTTGTGACCTGAGCACTACACGAGCAAACTTCTCTGGGCGCATCGTTCAAGCCTCGGAAGAAGAGCCTCGCTATGAGGTACTATATCCTGGAAGTCGCATAATATGATCCTGATGCTAATGGCTATTCAGGTTGAGAACCAAAGGACGCGCAAAAAATCCGCCATCAAGGAGAGTAATATTCTCGGACCTGCGGAGTAAGGAGGAAGGGCACGTCAAATAGCTTTTGGGAAATATATAAATTCTGCAATATATTTATTATTGGACCTAGGCAAGAATTTGCGTCTTGACTGTGATGCTATGCTACATCATCAGTGGCTTGTCTCACTTTCAGGATATCGCATGAATTATATAAGCTGTATACTTTGTATCCGGGGACCTGTGGGCCTTTTCGGGCATTGTAGAGTTCTTATTATAAAGATGTCAAGTTAATTTCGCTGGTAGCCAAAGTTCAGATACCTAGTTCGCTAACTTTAGCGATGGGGTGTAAATGAGATAAGCATCGTACTAATAACTAATAAAAATGCCCCCATCCACTATAGGTCCGTGCCTGGCCGACAGAATCGCAGCAACATGTCATTAGACATAGTATAAGTGAAAATTTTTTGTTAACTGCTGGTTCTCGTTCTGCAGTCATTTTATGTGACTGAGAGACGTTTCTGGCTTTGAGTCACCGGGCCAAAGTCCGCGGGATCAAACCTTCCATTCTACCAATACATGAACTATCTAAGCACAAGAGACAAAATGATACAAGTATAGCTCGAACATTCAGTCTGGTATATATCCAACAAACCATATTGGTTCTGTATCGACTTATCCCGCTCTTTATACCCCACGTTTATGATATTCATCGACATTTAGGCTATACATTTTTTGTAAACAGTGCCTGAAGTAGTGCTCCTAGCCGTGATTTGACAAGCTCCCTGTTAAGATCATGTTGAAACCGTATAAATAACATACCAAGTCTACAATCTATTTGCATTTCACGTGCCTTTATCGCATTTTGTGACAAGGATGACGTGTTTATAATTACGTGCTTTGAGGTACCCATTGCATAGCCTCTAGTTGCTCCAATCCCCGCACTTTATCATAAATAGGCCTAGTAATAGGCATTCGTGTCACTCCCGCATCATCGAAAGTTCATCAACAGAGGCAAAATTCTCACGATTCTATAATTCAACATGGGAAGCGCAGAAGCAGCTCTGTCGAATCCTTTTCAAGATGTCCCTGCCGGTAAATTGGGTAAATGGCCCGACAAATTCGACCCAGAACTTTGACTAACAGTTCATCTTAGAAAGCCTTGAGAATCTAATGGCTCAATTCCGCGCCGACGAAAATCCCAATAGAACCGATCTACTGGTAGGCGTATACAAGACTGATGAAGGGAAAGCATATGTGCTGCCCAGTGTGTACGAGGTATGGTATTTCCAGGACAGCTGTATTGATAATTAAGACTGAATTTGGATATCCAAATACCAGGCCAAAAAGCGAATTTTCAATGACCCGGATTGGCATCATGAGTATCGTCCATCCGCCCTGGGCTCTCAGAACTACAGGGACTTAAGCAATAAGTTGCTGTTTGGTGCTGACCATCGGCTTCTTCAAGAAAAGAGGTAAATAGATGGACAAGATTCTGGAATCAAGCAGAAATTAATTTCTTTCAGAATCGTTACAACGCAGACACTCGGCGCCAGTGGAGGATGCCATGTCGGTGCTGTACTATTAAAAAGCCAATATGGACCATGGAAACTGACCGGGAATCCACAAATATTTCTCCCAAGTGAGACCTGGTGTACGCTTTGTTTCATTTTCAATTTATGAAAGCAGCTCTGACCGGTTACTACAGTGAACCATCCCTTTGTTTTCAAGTCCGCTGGGATCGAGCCCAAGTTTATTCCTTATTTCGACAACAAGAACAACAAATTCGATTTTGCAGCCTTTACAGCAGCCATTCAATCTTTACCCGCTCAGTCTGTTGTTCTTCTCCAATCTGGAGCACAGAATCCGACTGGTTGTGATCCTTCATCCGAGCAGTGGCGGGAACTCGCCTCGATATTTTCCCAGCGCGGTCACTTAGCGTTCTTTGATGCGGCGTATCCGGGATTTGCCTCCGGGGACATTGACGCAGATCTTGCAGGAGTACGATTATTTGCCGAGCGCGAAATACCTCTCATTTTTGTCTCGACCTATGGGAAATCTTTCGGGTTATATAGCGAACGTGTTGGAGTTCTCTCGATCCTGGTGCCAGATGAAGAGGTGGGGAGGAGGATGGAAACTCAGCTGAGGCTTTTGGCTCGAGCTGAGTCCGGTGCGCCTCCTGATTTTGGATCCAAGATCGTTGAAACAGTCTTGTCGGATGAGGCTCTAAGAGACCAGTGGCGGGAGGAACTGCGCGATATGGCGGATGGACTCAAACGTCGCCGGCTTGCACTGCGAGAAGGGCTGGAAAAATTGGATACTCCAGGTGACTGGCAGCATCTCACTGATCAAAACGGAATGTTCTCGTAAGTTATTTACTTTTTTTTTGTCAAGGTTGAAATCTTGATGGTGGTTGTGCTCAATTATGTATAGATACGTTGGGATTTCTGAAGAGCAGGTTGCTCTCCTCCGAAACAAGTACCATGTGTATCTTCAGAATACTGGAAGAATATCTATCGCGTATGTTCAAATCCATGTATCGATATATGCTGAAAGGAACCACCCAAGCTGACAATTCCTATAGAGGCCTTAATCAATTCAACATCGACCATACAGTTCGCAGTATTAGTGCTGTTGTCAAAGCGCTGCCATCAAATTGAAATGAAGGAAGTATTTTGTCACTTCAGGCCGTTGTAGGAAACTTCTTATCATGTGATATATCTCTAGTTAAGCAAGCCCCCTGGCTTGAATGGAAATGAAAGCTGAATTTCTCAGCTTTAGAACAGTTGCTTCAACTATTCAAAATATCAAGAGACCAGTCTGGTCAGCATGCATGGTGTTTACAAACAAAAAAACAACAGGGAGCGAATTCACATTTCAAACCTTTCCTTCCATTTCTTCCACAGAAGGGCGGTTTATGGTTATCAAGTAGTGATAAGTGCTGGGGAGCAGAAGCAATGTGAACCAGGTCATTTCTTCCAAAGTACTTATATTACTATAAAGGGATTCAAACAAAGAAGAGGAAAAAAGACTGACATCAGCCAGCCGGAGCATCGAGAGTGAGCGATCAAGGTGCTCAGTTCAGGCTAGGCTTCGGCAACCGATCGCTTCCTGGGGCGGCAGTGCTACCGTCACTGTCGTTACATCGAATCTGACTGGGGACCTTGCGCGATAGCTATATATAAGATTTGAGAAGAAGCAAGGCCCCGTACATCGAGTTTCTTCTTCTTGCTCCGCGCTGTTGTCTCAGTATGAAATTACACCCTTTGCACAAAAGATATCATCATGAATACGGATTCAGTATTTATTGACTATATCCGAGAATCATACGTTAAGTTGGTATTCACAAGATAAATCATGACGTTCGTCCAAAGTCCTCCACAAGCGCTATACACAAAAGAAGAATAAAAAATATTCCAGACCCCGTCGCATTTGTTGAAAAGTCAACTGGGGAATGGCGCCCGATGGCGATCGACAGAATCTACAGATGGGTATTCGTTGAACTTCGTTTCCTCTCTCTCTCCGCTCTCATTTTAATTTTGCGGCGAAAATAGATTTAAAGCTGGTTGGGCCAGATGTCGTTGGCAATCTCGCGGACCAGCTTCAGCTTGTTGATCATGCCGTCCCAGTCAATGGCATTGCCTTCGCGGTGAGAGGCGAAGCCGCACTGGGGGCTGACGCCGACCTGGTTCAGGGCAGCGTCAAGCGAGATGTTGTTGCCTTCGGCGATGATCTTGGCGGCGTCGATGACGCGCTTCTTCATCTCCTCCTTGTCCTCCATGGTGGCGAACTTGCTGGTGACAACACCCAGGATGACGTTCTTGTGCGGGGGCAGGTGCTTGAGGGGCTCGAAGCCACCGGCACGCTCAGTATCGTACTCGAGGTAGTAGGTGTGGACGTTCAGCTCCTGGAAGAGCTTGATGGCGATGCGGTCGTAACCGCCCTCGGAGAAGTGGCGGCTGCCAACGAAGTTGCCGCGGCACAGGTGCACGCCGATGTGCATGTCTTCGGGCAAGCCGATGAAGCAGTCGTTGTACAGCTTGATGTACTTCTGGAACATGTCTTCGGCAGAGTACACGTTAAGGGAATCCTCCTTGAAGCCGTTCAAGAATTTCTCAGAACAGAAGTCTTCAAGGTGATGTCAGTACTCGGCTGTGAATGCTGGGATAGGTCTTGGGAAGGGGGTGTGAAAGTCTTACAAGCAAGGTTGGGGTCATCATATTGAATATTACGGCAGCCAGCATCGTACAGGATCTTCAGCTCATCCTGGTAGGCCTTGGCAATGTCACCAAAGTACTCCTCGTCGTTGCTGTACACGTTCTTAGGGTAGGCCTTGCCCTCGCGGTAGCGCAGGTGGTACCAGTTGGGCGCGGCGAGGGTGATCTTGAGGTTCTTCACCTCCTCCTTGGGCACCAGGCTGGCGAGGTACTTGAATTGGTCGACATAGGTGCTGCCGACGTGCTTGATCTTGCCGGTACAGAGGACGGTCTCGCCGGGCTTGTGGCCAGCCTCAAGGAAGGCAGCAATATCGGGGGCGTATGGGCGGAAAATGTCGACATCGAAATCAGTGACCTCCTCGAAGCCATCGAGGCCAGGGAAGAAGGTACCCCAGAACACTGTCTTTGGTTAAGTATTTGTTCGAGCGGCCCAGGGAGATGTTGGAGAGACATTGAAGAACCTACTGTGGCGGCGGTACTCGCCATCCGAGGCGGCCGGATAACCCAGCTTCAGCTGAGTGTCGACAATATCCTTAATTTCCTTGTCCTCGACCGCAGCGAGCTGGGCCTCGGGCAGCTCACCCTTCTCGGAGGCGAGCTTGGCTTCCAGCAGCTGCTGGGGACGCAGGAGCGAACCCAAGTGCTCCGCGCGGAAGGGAGGACGCTGGTGAAGTTGAGGAGCCATAGTGTATGTCTTCCGCGGCCGGATGGTGGTTAGCTCCCAGTCGGCACCGTACACGGATCCAGGGTTCGACTCACACGACAAACGGGGATATCCTCACAATGTTTGATCGGGAAACAGAAGAAAAAGGAGAGAAAAATTGGACACGAGGGCCGATGGCTCTAAAAGAGGGGCACGGAGCCAGCTCATCGCGATTTGCGTCCCCCGTTGTGCTCGCCTCCGGCTTGGAATCCCGCCCCACCAGCCGATGTGCATCTCCACACTCTGCGACTCGCCTATGGGAGTCGCTGTATTGTTCATTCCATGGTCCGTGGTTCTCATGCGTGCTGCAGCGTAACCACCCTAGAATCGCGGAGTGCTGGTAAATACGGGGCGATACTTACTATAGAGTTCGGTATAGTCCTCTCTTTTCGAGGAGACGCCAAAGTTGCCCGGCGCAGCGTCTATACTCTTTTTTTTTGCGCCGATGCGGGGGCGTCGCTTGGCGTCTATAAGGCGCCTCGGGGTAGCCATGGATGCAGGGGTCACTCCTCTTGAAAGTACAGTTCAATAGGCCGATAGGGACTAGTTTGGCATGGGGTGAGGCCACTAGACATCAGCGTGGCAGTAGCTCGTGCATTGAAGATGCTGGGCACTAGCTCATGTATTTGCTGTTGCCAATTGCACTTCCTGCATTTTCATACTCGATGATTCATTCGAAATGGGGGATTCCCGGGACTCGGCAGTTGTTCTCTGTATTGTTCAATGCTATTGAAACTATTGGGCTTGCTACGGGGCGTGTACAGAATCTCCAAGGTCCAGAAGGAAACCCGGGAGCCGCTTCTTGTGTCACAACCCCGAACTTCCCCCTTCCACACATTCTAGGATACTTTGTCGCAGCCCATGAGTGTTCAATGCGCATCCCGTCCATCTAAAAAGCTCCGGCTGAGTCAAGGCTGACAAAGGAGGTGGAGCGTTCAGCAGCAGATCGAGTGGGGCGCGCCCGGCACTTCACCCGCAACCGACTTACCGAACCTTCGACGCTCCGACATTGCAAAACATTATTCGGAGGACGACGTGTACAGAGTATACTTCGAGTACCTGTCAAGCTGCCCGCTCTGGAATCTTAAGAGGACTGGAACGAGTCCTACAGCGATCCTGGTGTCATGTGAAGGCCTGCCGAGTGGAGCTTCGATGGCTTCTTCCTTGGAAAGTCTCCCCAATGAGTTGTTGGACCAGATCATCTCCCATCTGGCGACAGACCCTCCGTCGTGGATCCGATGTCGCCAGGAGCCAGATGCCTCGATCACCAAGTCCGTCAATAAGAGCCTCAAACATCTGTCGGTAGTATCGAGGGGCTTCACCAATCTGATTCGGCCTTGGCTCTTCGCCCATGCGTGCTTAGACTTCGCAGATGAACCCGCGTTTAGTACGTTCATGGTGAAATCGGGTCTTTGCCAGAATGTGAAATCCCTGGTAATCTGTGTGTTGGATGATGCAGATGTACAGTTACGGGTCAACCAAGGCTGGTGCAAGCGAATCTTTGGCTACTTGGATCCCATTCGCATCACCGTGGTCGCGCCACCACGCACGATCGGAAGGATGCTCAATACGAGGATTGATGAGCGACATAGTTGGGCATTTGATATCGGATTGCAAAGCCTCCAATTGGAGTGTGCCGGGCCTCGAGCCGCATCCCACTGGCAGTTGCCCGCCATCTCACCCGGGGCCGGGTTACTCGAGATGCGCCCCTGGACCTCATTCTGTTTCCATGAGGGCTCTTCCTTGAAAGCCTACAACCACTACGAATATTTCCTCTCCAACGTTCCATCACTCCTGGGAAACTGGGGAAGGGCGCTGAAAGAAGAGAATAAGGTTGAGATCCCCTCGGCGCTCGAAACGATTCGTTCGTTCTCTTACACGGCCATCTTCCCGTTCTACAACCATGTAGACCTAGTTCTCACGGTCATATCTGCCATGACTCGACTCGAGACTCTTAGTATACAATTATCCCCAGACAAAAATAATCATGCAACCGAGCTCGAGCAACGTGGATCTATGGATCCACATGACCCTTGGATGGAGTTGGAAACATCCTATACCCTGATCGGCTTCAGTATCGCCATGTTGGCCTCCCTCAGGGAATTCCGAAGTCTAGATTTTCATATACCAGCTATCCAGCCGGAGATCATCAGAGCCATGGAGGAGCACCTCGGCTCGGATTGGTCTCGTCATAACAGTATCTGGAGACGAAACTTAAGTCCAACCCTGTCTGTACTCAGATAGCACTGGAATCGATTGGAAGTTCTATGTACAACCAGGTTGGACAATCACGGCTTTGGCCCATTATATACTCTTCTTTAGATGTTGCAGGCGATTGAAATTGGACGATAATTCTGAAATTATTCTACATCTTACGTATTGCCTGCAAAGTATATCCTCGTTGTGGACTTCCGTCATGAATTGACAGGCGGGAAGATCTCGGGATCGGACAAACAGGCGCCGTTTGGCCCTCCTTCGAGTTCAAGTTCCCCACACCCCAGCACTCTGGCCCTACCAAGTCACATCAAGAGTATGGGTCAATCTTTTAGTACGAAGAAGGTTTCATCTACTGACGTTTAGTTCCAGAGGGTAAATGGCCTTCGTGTCTGGCGTTTATGCCGCTGAGCCTGCTGAGCCAGTCTTGGCGCACAACCTCTTACGCCCAGTCTCTCGGGCCAGCGAGCCGACATCTTTACTAGATGAAGAAGGGAGCACCAATGGCTGGAACTTGAGAGAAGATCTAGATATCGGTTTTCAAGATCCCACTCGAGGCATCTTCCGGTCTGGGGCTGTCATCGGATTCTCCAGGCTGAAGACCAGAAGCAAGGATAGCGATGAATATATTGGACAGGTATGGCCTCAACTCTACTACAGCCATGCCATATCCATGCGTTTTCTCATCTCTTTCAGATCCCACGCTATCTCCTAACAACTCACTTGCTCAACACTTGTACATCTACATCATCTGAGCCAAGTACATTCATCATCCACCCAAATAGCTTTGAGGCCTTCGCCCCCCGGACGTTGCTCAATGCTCTTCAAAATGCCCCGGGTCATCCTGGCCTATCGAGGACTGAAGCCATGAAATGCCTCGACACTGTACAATTACTTCCTGTGCACAATTTTCCTAACGCTGCGCAAGCCATCGGGAGGGTTTCAGAATCACTCCAAGCAATCCAAGAGCGGCGACAGGGATCGCCCGGTGCAGAAAATCCCCACCAGCCTGTGGTGATGATCGTGGTCGGTCTGGACACTCTCGCTGAGGGAGTTGTCCGAACCTCAAACCCTGTCCGTGGAACGGCCTTCTTGGCTGCAACTCTACGCAACTTGACTCACATGTCTCGAGCATATACGCCTTGGCTTTCTATTCTCCTTCTGAACACAAACGGTCTTGGGCCGGCATTTGTAGAATCCGCTCCGCAACACTTGGGTTCAAACCAGGCCAGAAGCTCCAACGAAGAAAACACGAGATCATCGCCAGATGATGGCATCCACTCTATCTTCCAGATGCCTGGCTCTTCGCTCCTGTCGAACCTCCTAATGAGAACCCTAGACCAAGGCATTGATACGCATATCTTGCTATCAGATGTGAAAGCGGCCTTAGTGGTGGAGGTGATCAAAGACCGTGTCGGCGCAGGACTCGGGAAATGGGGAATATGGTCTCCCAGGAGATAAGCGTACGAATGGAGATAAGTTCTCTGAGGAAGTGAGGACGGGGAAACCTTTTTATCCATGTCGATGGACCTTGCTATTCTTACATGCAAAAGAAAGTTTCGATAAATGCGCCATTCTCCGATGCAATTAGGGCCCATAACCCCGCCACTCCGTGCAAAAGATCAACTCCGATTCACGAACCACTTGTGTCTCTTTAAAGGGTATCACGCTTTTGTGGTGTTTGAAGACCGTCGCTCTCTAGTTTCAGGCATGGAGAAACAACTCTCAACCAAACAAACATAGCCTGCCTAAAGGGGATGAAAAACATAATGAAATGAAACGACGAGGGCTCTCTATCCAGACTCGGACACAACATTTTCCTTCTCGGCCCATTTCCTGAGCACAGCTCGCTCCGCTACAGAACGAGCTTCTTGCTCATACCTTTTGAGGTCCTGGTCGGCTGTGTTTTCCTCGAACAAGATGTCTTGTTGCTGCACTTTCACCCACTGTTTATGTCTCTCACACCGTTTTTTGGTACAGATACCGCGGGTCAAGAAGGTCATTTCGTCTTCTCCCTCATCCTCCATAACAGCGTCACCATCGACGTCGATGTTAAGAGGGTAACTCGCAGCCATGGCCTCGATGGTGCCCTCTGCAAGTGCTTTCTTGCCGGTCTCCGATAGCCGCCACTCGTCGAACTCCTCGTCAGACCAGGAGAGACGTGAATCAAAGCCACAAATGTCTTTCCAACCCCCCTTCGGCTCGTTTTGTTTCAACTTCTCGACCACGCCCTTGGACCGCTGGCGCACTAAGCCGACGAACTTGGACCGATCCGCCAGCATCTCTTTGCGGTGCAGAATATCGTTTCGTCTCTGACGAAGCTTCTCAATCCTTGCAGCTTCATCAGGCGAATACCCAACTCCGTTTGCGGTGGCGTCGAATAATCTATCATTGACGTTCGGCTTGATCTCGCCTTTGGCTTCAGAACCGGTGCTAGCATCGTCCGCTAGTTCTTGCGGCGAAGAGAGAATGTGGTCACCGAGTTGACGAAATTCCTTGACTGATGCCACTCCCGTAATCACAGCTTTCAAATCCCCAGGCGTGAGGATACCTCCCATGCTGCCCAGATCCTCCTGCCCTTTTCGAGCAGGCCCAAGCTTGAGATGGCGGGTTTGTCGAATCATGAACTCTCGCCCGTGCTCGTCTGAGCAGTATTTGCTGGGGTTCTTGCGGATAACGCGCGCGGGTTTACGACACTCCGAAAGACGACACATCGGCTTCCATGTGGTGCAGCTATTTTTGCGCTTGCTGCAGTTCGGGCCTTGGAGATACAATTAGTATTCAGAATGAATGGTTGAGCTATTTAAGTAGACTCACAAATAAATTTATCGATCAATTCCTCATCTCGGGGATCAATATTGACACACTTGCCATGGAACCAGTCTTCACAGCCACCATCACACCCAATCATCCAGGTATGATTATCTGGTCGCCGACAAATACAAAAGATCTCATTTTCATCTTCGTAGTCCTCGTCGTCGTCGGCTGCCGGACCTTTTCCGCGCTTCTTCTTGTCTTCAGGAGCCGGTGACCCTGCCACAGATACCGAGCTCTGTTTCTTCCCCCCTTTGCCCGTCCGGGACATGGGTGTGTTGGAACGGCCCCCGTCCACGCTGTCGACGTCTGCGTCATTGATCCTACGCTTTCTGTTCACCGGGGGCTTTTTGGCTGTGCCTTTTTTGGTAGCAGCTGATGCGGTCTTTTTATTTGACGTAGGCTTGACGGAAGTTGCAGGAGACGATCGATCAGTCGATGAGGCACGCGACGAGACGCCGTTTTTCAAATTCGCGAGCGTTTTGGAGGTCGGAACATCACCAGTTCCGTCCAAACCCAGGGACTTGGCCTCCAAGTCATCGTTGATAGGAAAGTTTTCCATGGTCGAGTTTATCGGTTCTGTCTTCACGGATGGCAGGGCATTATCTCGAGATGCTGTTAGCGGCGCACTCTTGCTGGGTTCATAAAGCGAATCATAGAGATCTGCCCATGTTGTTTCTCCCGTTTGATTGTTTTGGACAAGGTCCATTTTCCTCCACTGCTGGTGGACCTTCTTGGCTCTCTCGAGGCCAAAATATCCAGTCTGTCTCCATCCCGTAATACCCACAATCCGATCATCGTTGACAATGATATTTGCGGGCACCAAATCGTTATGAGTGAGGCATAATTCTTCCGCAGGATTCCTCCTCTCGAAGAGTATGCTGCGGTCCTTGTCCTGACCAGGAGGCGGGGATTGCGCATTGAGGCCCTTGCAGACGTACGATGGCTCGTCGGAGGCAGGATCGATTGATCGAAGATGTTGTAGGATCTGGCGACATTGGTTTTTGAAGGTTTCCACCTGACCAGCGCTGAGATATCGCCATGCGACCTCCAATGAGACGCCGGGGATCCGGGATTCCACCGTCACGTTTCTCCCCTCAATTGTGCCGCAGAAAAGTATCACGGGGACCGAAACGCCAATCTCTTTGAGTGATTCTTCAACCTTCCGCGCGGATGAAAGTTCGTTTGCATTCACACACGAGTATCTCTCTGCGGCGGCGCCGTCGGCGGACTCACTATCCACTCGAATGACAACGCTGCCTGCAGCGAAGGCTGCCCTTGACCCTGGGACATTGAGTGAATATTCGGGGGTGCAGAACCTCTGCGCGGTCTCTTGCCAGAGCGCATTCGCTTGTGGATCGGAGTGGTACCAGCTTTGGTAGCGGGGGGTGAAATCGTCGGGGTGCGGGGCATAGCGACCATACTGCGCGCTTCGGGCGAGGAAAGGGTCGTCATGAGGGATATGTTCTGGGTTGGTTTCGTAAGGGGAGGTGGTGGCCCTTGTCGCTTCTGCGCTCGTGGCAGACCCATTCACATGGGTTGCGATAGCAATTCCTTCCATGTCTGCACTCATAGTCTAAGCTAGGTATATGAAGGCACTGGCAAGGGCAAATATTCAATGGAATGTGTAGTGACTGGAAGTATGTCGCGTGGGCAGTGCGATTGCACACGATTTCGATGAGCTGGGCACGAACCAGGCAGGTTGGGAGTGAGGCGCGCGCGAATTGAGAGACGCCGAGTTAGGTGCACACAGATCCGGTAGAGGATGTCGGAGGCATCATGGGACATGCATCGATTCATCCAGTGGCCTGGAAATTTGTCTCAAAGACTACCAGGGCTCATGCGACAAGGAGGGTGAATCTGAAGCTGTCGTTGGAGTGCTTGGTGTTGACCTCGGGAATTTCTTGCAGGCTCAGCGCGAATCCTCCGCCCGGTAATTCAGGGAGCTGACACTCTCTCAACCGGCTGCTGGGGAGCTAATTATGCCCCTATCAATAAAAATGGAAAGGAAAAAAACTGGAAAGCACTCTGGAATATTCAAACTTTCCTTCTCCACGGTGGCTGCATTGACAGGACTGGTCCCTTGATTTCACTGGGCGATCGGAGGCGCGGAGTTTTGGCGCAAGGCCAAAGGCGGTGAGGTGAGGCTGCTTGACACGCGACAAGAGGCGCTTCTTTTGCGATCACATCTTATAACCAACTAACATCACTGTTTTGAGGCTTCAAGGAATCTTTGACATTGTTACTGGGAATGATAGCCTCCGGTATCAAAAGCCATCGCCTCTTGATAACTTTCACAGGCAGTCTGCTGTGCGACCGCGATGTCAGCCACCAGTCTTCTCTAGTCTCCCCCCACGCGCCATTAGTCATCCGCGTGGGTATAGCCTGTAGTGATATCGTTAAAAAGCCACTTGAACCCTCGGTCTATAGTGCAGGTGTGAAACTTGTCCTATGAATGGAGATCGAGGGCGTGTTGATGGCGAGGAAGAAGCGTTAACCCTTGACGCCTGGCTTTGGAGTCTTGAGGGCACTATCTATGGTCCATATGAGATTCAGTAGTTTCTGTACATCGTCTGCATTTACTATCTATATACATATTCAGTCAATGAACCACAATCATTATCTGATATTTATAGAACGCCGCGATACCAAATATTTCTATTTATGCTGATCTAGCGATGCAAGAAGAGAATATTTGGTTGTAATGATGAAGGAGTTAGCCCTCATAAGAAGCCAATTTTATTTTACACAGAGCCTTTGTCGCGGACTCGCAGCGCTCTCTGTGTTAATCCTGTAAAACATACTCTACAGGCCTTCACATTTTACGTCTCGTGGATTTTATAAAGCTTTGGTAAGATGTTTTGACGCAGAGGGAAGAACACCCCAACATCCATAACAGACATTAACCATCCATACTGTAGGCGGATCTACCACGGATGAGGTTTCCTTGATAATAACCGGCTGTGGATTCGATTCCACTATAGCCATAGATAGCCACCCTTTAAGCCCAGGAAGGAAGGTAAGTAGGCCTGGTGGCATGCTGGGCCCTTGGACGTCACACCTCATGTGGATACAAGGACAGATGGCGGAATCGGGATTTGATATTAACCCATGAAACAGGGAAGAGAAGATGTCTTGTCATTCCCAAGGGACAGTTAGCCTTGCCAGTCAAGTCTGATCTGAAATTGGATGGGTCTTCCGGTAATTTGATGCCGCGCAATCGGGATCATCTTCGCCCAAAGCAGCATATGCGGAAATGTCACAACACGGCAATTTCTAGGTTAGTGCCCTCTGACTGTCAGTATCACCATGGATTCCTGCGCCAAAATAGGATAAGACGGGGCAACTTTATGTCCCATGCGGCTTGGGAACTGGGGCCTGCATGTGCATGAATCGGGGGCCGCTCATGGATCCTGGGTTTACACGCGGGCAGTGGCTGGACAATTCATTGCAGCAGCAGCTCAGATCAAATTTACCGTTGATGATCATCGAATATGGCCCCATTCTGAACCCCACGTCAACTCGCGAGGGCCGAGACATAATTGTGACCCGATATCTCGAATTTCTGCGGCTTCTGGACTCGCACAGCTCCGCTGGGAACACCCTCGCTGGATTTCTATACATGCATCGTGCTTGGCTTCTGGAAGAGATTTCTTTCGTTACGTCTACTCTAATTTCATAAAACTATTAAAACTCTGGTAATAAATGACAGCGGTAGTGTGACACATGCAACTAGAAATTTTGTATTTATTTGCATCCATGACGAGAGATGTCCATGGTGAGAGATGCACCCGGATTGAGAAGGCTGGGCTCGCGCCCAGGCTCGCTTTTCTTCTGGCTCCTATTGCCTCCAAAGCGCAGACTCCGATGTCGGACAGCGATACTAGAAGTAGTAGGAGGAAGTCGAGTATTCAAATGGCAAGGTGCTTTTCCTCTGACGAAGTTCGTCTGGAAGCAACCTTGGAAGAGGAGATAGGCCCCTCAGTCTAATGTACGTGTACTTGCATTAGTATATTCTTTTTGAATAGCTAGGCCAAGGACTCGAGCCAGTTCTGGGCCATCTGCAGCGGTGAGCATCAGCACGGGGCAACTAGAACCAATCCTGTGCCATTCTAAAGCTGATTCTGCATGGTGCATGTTAGGCAGGTCGTAAGCGCGAGTTATTTTTGGATTGGCGGAAAACCCGGGATTTCCAGCGAGCAGCCGGTGCAGCCACATCCAAAAAATAGGATTCTGACGTCTGTCCACATAGTACTGTAGTGCTCCGTGTACACGGTAGAGGCGCTCCTTCGACTCAGATGATCCAGCCTTGAGGAGGGATCGGCACCGACTATACCAAAGATGGTATGTCGCTGATGGCAAGTGGGGAACCATGCATCGAGAGATGTCTTAAGGACAAGATACCGGATAGGAGAGAGCGGGGGCTTTTGGTACGATCAACAACAGAGTTTGATAGTGATGATCGTCATCCCTGGGAGCCAGGCAACTCAACTTGGAAATCACAGGGTTGGGGTCGTGGATGCCACCTTGTTCGCGGATCTGCTGTGTCTTTTCGCGTCCACTCTGCAGGTGCGATTGGCCCCAGGATTGGACCCAGGAACAGGCGACTGGCGACACTAAATGCGATTAGCCTTGTCGCTAGCCGTTTTCCATGCCCGGATAATCGGTAAGCTGCATCACCGGCTCGGGTCGACCAGGGCCTCTGCACGATCGAGTTGCTGGTAACTCGTATCTGAGTTGTCAGTCTTCGTCCTCTCGTGAGATTCTCACTGACCCCAAGCCCTGCAGCTGGAACGCGCGCCCATAGGATAATTATCAATCAATCTTTGTAACCGCATCGTGGGATGGGGAGAATGCCAAATTGAGGGAGAACGGAAAACTTCCGAGCAGCCCTAAATTGCAAGTTATTGCTTGCTCCTGTGGTAGATCACCAGACAGACCCAGCGTCCATGTCAACACCCTTGATTGTCCCTCTCTACTTCGTCCACTTCATCCACTTCCCCCCTTCCATTCTGTCCAACGATCCAACGGGTCAATCGTCAAGAGGCAAGCCGCAACCTGCAAGTCGCGAATATCTTGTTCATCAACTCCGGTCAAGGTGGGCCATCGCTATTCCGTGGCCGGTGATTTCACCATTCGATCTCTCTCTTCGCCGTTGTGGAGCCTCGAAGGTTGGCCCCCACGGGATCGCGCTACTAGCCAGAAACGGGGTGACGAGTGCGAGCCGGTCGCTAGCCCGTTGGCTTGCCCTTTCGTCACGAATCATGGCTAGTGATGGTCCTGGCCACATGGTGGAATGCATCAAGAGCACCCTGCCGAGCCCAGGTTGTCCTCTCCTCGGGTAAAGAGCCCTGTTGGCTGCGGTGCAGACACTACGACACACTAGTCTCCCCTCTAAAAGAAAAACCAAGAATTTGATCAACTGCCGATTCCGCTGCGGACGGGGGATGTACAGAGTACGAAGTCCTTTACCGGCTGTCCGGGCTGCATGCTCGCAACCATCTCACGGGGTGCCCTACGATTCCTACTGCTGAGATCAGCCAAATCCAGTCGCTTGTTTCGCAGATCTGGTGCCCCACCGGCTTATACATTCATATCCAGGGGGACAAAACACGTGTGGTAACCGGCATGCAGGATCCCAACCGTTCTTGGTCCTAGGTTCCCCTGTCCGATTCTGCTGCACATCCCACCGGGGGTTACATATGGACGGGATGGGGCCGGGGTGGAGAGGCAATCTTTCTTTTTTTCTGGCCCAATGCGCGAGTGCCCGGTGGATCCCTGCGCTCTGCTTATTTTCAATGATTCACTTACCACCGCGACGCTAGATTATTTTTTAATCCTTCATGAACCACACGTCTGTCTGCATTTTCTTATAATTGCTGCTGACCAGGCAGTGCTTCAGGTGGCATCCTGGCGTCATTATTCAGCCTCCGGGGTGAGCTGAACCTCGTTTTTAAGACGTCCCGATCCTTCCGCGGGTCATCCATCCTTCAACGCATCCCCGACCAGTAACACGGACCTCTTTCATCTCCACGGCTATCTAGGTATCAGACCCTTAGGCTGTCGGACATCAATATCGTTCCCGTGGACGTGCTACTCTTCAACGAGGTTACCAGGCTGGTTACCTACGGGCATTTTTCATCCTTACCCCGCTTCAGCGATGTCCACACCGGATAAGGGGGAATCCAGCGATCCCGCGGACAGCTCCAACATGCGGTGGCAATTCATCGATGCTTCGAATAATAGTCGAAGCAACCTGACACAGGTCAAACGTCATGTGATGCAAGAGTATATGCGCCAGAAAAAAGGCAATTCACGGAACAGTGAGAGCGAGGAAGACAATGGCCCCCAAAAACGCGGGCGGCCCAAGAAGACCCGCGGTGCAAAGCGCAAGGCGGCCAAAGATGCAACAGCCAAAGATAAAGATTCAGCTCATCACAATCTTTCGAATAACAAACACGCTCCTCCTTTGGAAAAAGATGCGCCCGCCGATATAGAAGAAGTCGTGCGAGATTGGCAACCTGGGGTCTCTGCGCCCTCCGGCTTTTCGGCTGTAACTCTGCCTTTCCGTACATCGCCCATTCAAAGCCTCCGATCACCTGGTTTAGGCTCCATCTCCCCGCAGAGCCAGAGTCAATTATGGGACCTCGGCAGCGTTTCATCATGGTCCTCAACGCCTCAGACACCTCTAGACTTTGTCCGATCTCCAAAGACTCTTCTCAGTGCTGCTCGGACAGACCCATTCAACTCTCTTCCCATTGAACTAGATCTGGAAGGCCAGAAGCTATTCGATTTCTATGTGAATGATATGCCTGCATGCTCCTATGGAACACATTTCCGATCGCAAAAGGCGCATAACTGGTATACCCAAGTGTTTGTCCCAGAGGGGATGAAAGGCGCCGTGGCATTCCAGAACACCATTCTAGTACATGCTGCAAACACTTGGGCTTGGGTCCGCAATGAGACCGAAACTTCTACTACCCTCGTACACCGAGATCGGGCTGTTAGTATGCTTCGAGACCATCTTTCGAAAAACCCGCGAGACAACTCCGATGTTGCCATTATCTCTTGTCTGAGTGCTGCAGCTTTGGAAGATTTTGATCCGCGACCTGGCCACAAAGAAATCAGCTGGGTTCATATGCGCGCGGCTCGCGAAATGATACGTTCACGGGGCGGCCCGGATGCATTTGCGAATACTCGGCTCGGAATGCTTATCAATTGGCAGGATTATATCCTGTCGGGGTACGAAACCCATGGGCCTAGCTTCTTTTTCGAAAAGGAGGCCTCCCACTCCATTCCCTTGCCCGAACCTCCGGCCTCTTCTCGTTCCTCTGAGAACATCCAATCGATGCCCTCTCCCCCTCACTCCATTTCCTCTGCCTTGTCCGATATCAGCCCATGCCCGGAACCAAGTTTCGCTGTTGTACCGACTCCCAATATTTCTCCGATTGATGAGATCAGACTACAGTGTGAAGAATTTCTTCACTTCCTGCGCCGCTGCGAACAACTCGCCCTCTATCAACGAGATAATCCAAAAGCATGTCACATTGCTCGCTATACAACAGTGCACGAGACCTCTCTGCTGTTCCAAATACTAGCTGCTCCCCCCGGTGCACGATTTACATCATCAGGAGACCGGAAGCAAATGGTCGCCCGCCTCACGGCTTTGATTATGCTCAATGCCGCTCTGTGGGACTATAGATACTCCTCCGTCCACACTGGGTCCTTCCTTCAGACCCTTGAGGAGGCCATGGTTGACAGTGAGGTTAGCATGAGTGGTTCTGTCGAGGCTATCCTCCAGATCCTCCTTGAATGCAATGATGGCAGCCCAAGTGAGTGGGTTGCCGGAGAAGGCGGTGCCGTGTCCCCAATTTTAGCCGAGCAGGCCCCAAATTTCGAACAATATTCTCCGACTGCAACTTCTCCCTTCGCGCGACCTTGGTTTGCCGGTCGTATGCTGAAAATCTGCAAGCGGCTAGGCCCTGAGAGCTGGCATCGCATCAGCGACTTCCTCTTTACGTGTTTGACACTTCGAGTCTTTCAACCGTCGGTCTACCTTTGGGAGGCTGATCTGCGTCAAGAAGTTCTTGATGCACCTCTGACAAGCTATATTATGCCTTCACTGATCGGATGATGTGATGCATTTGTTCTTGCTGGTGGCATAACCATCATCCCATCTCCAGGTGCTCAATTGATACCTTAGTGTTCATAAAAGGATTCGATGCCTTGGGTCGTCTTCCTTGCGGAGACTTGTATACATTTCTTCCCCTCACATCTTGATATTTGGTCTTGGAGTTACTTGCATACCTATGTTTTGTACTGGTCACCGGCGACACGATATACCCCATTTGATTAAATAAATTTGGATACTTCAAAATTCACGTTCCAACGTTCTCTATCACTGGTTCATCTACACTGATGTCCGTTCATTGCCAGTACTTGAATGTCAGGAATTATAACTGCGGTGTAATTGCAAAGATATATTGCTAATGTCTTGTTTCCAACAAAAAGTTGAACACGCCGCAGCCTTAAACGATAGAATAGGCGTTTGTCATCTCCGGGCTTACAAAGCGTGGAGAACACCGAGCTCATAGTGGATCGATATGACAAGCAGGTCCAGTAAGGTGAAGGAATCGGGAGAAAAGTCCCAATATTGGTGCCAAAGCTTTCGAAGCTAGAAAAACGCTTCTTTCAGTTGAGTCTGGGGACTCCGGAATTCCGTGAGTCTTTGGTTTTCCCCACTCGCATCGGTTCAGAGCGTGTCCCAAATAGGCAGTTTGAGCCACCCATGCCAATTCAAGTCGCACCAATGCTGCACGAACGAAACATGTGCTATAATTTTCAATTTCATAGACATGGTTTATGTTCTGACGTAGAAGTTGGGAGGAGCATGCTATTTGTATGACACCCTAAAATGTAGAGATTGATAGAGTGGTAAAGGCTACCCCGCTACCAAAAAGGCAGTTGGAGCCACGCATGCCTTCGCTACCGAAGACAAGAATCCCCAAGCTTAGCGAATGTGGTCATTTATTAATAGGGCCAGCCCAGATTTAATGATTGAACCAAATTCAACTTGTTCATCAAGTCTACAGCCATGACAAAGTCTACCGTCACTCTAGCCTCCGGCAAGGAAATGCCCCTTGTGGGATTCGGCCTCTGGAAGGTCCCCAAAGAAACTGCTGCAGATACAGTCTACAATGTCAGTGACCGTCTTCTCGAGTCGATTGGAGTTTGCATCCCTGTCTAACAGTTCACAGGCTATCAAAGCCGGTTACCGATTGTTCGACGGCGCCTACGATTATCAGAACGAGAAGGAAGCGGGTGAGGGTATCCGCCGTGCCATCACTGATGGCTTAGTGACTCGCGAAGAAATCTTCATCACCACTAAGCTGTGGAACAACTACCATCGTCGTGAGCATGCCGTGTCAATGGCCAAGAAGCAAAATGACGCCTGGGGTCTTGGATACATTGATCTTTTCTTGATGCATTTCCCTTGCGCCTTGAAGTATATCGATCCCGAAGTTCGCCAGTACCCCGTATGAATTCTCCCAAAAAAGAACTCTTTATGGCTCTAAATAACCACTTAAATTCTGAACTTTTATAGGCTTGGTGGATGGATGATGCCGGTACTGTCGAGACCGACAAGGTTCCGATCAGGGAGACTTGGGAAGCCATGGAGGAGGTTGTTGACAACGGCATCGCTCGCAGCATCGGTGTCAGCAACTTCCAGGCTCAGTCTATCTATGACATTCTCACCTATGCCAGCCATCCTCTCTCATCTCTGCAAATTGAACATCACCCTTATCTTGTTCAACCGGAGCTCATCAAGGTGGCCCAGGAGAACAACATTGTCGTGACCGCGTATTCCAGCTTCGGTCCGCAATCATTCGTCGAACTCCCTGCACAATTCTCCAAGAAGGCCAAGGATATCCCGCTTCTCTTTGATGCTGAGCCTGTCAAGGCTCTTGCTTCTAAATATAACGTAACTCCTGCACAGGTTCTTCTGCGTTGGGCTACCCAAAGGTGAGTTATCACTATACCTATTTACCTGGCTCGAGACCGTACCCCAAGCTAATGAATTTGGCGCCAGAAATGTTGCTGTCATTCCCAAGTCAAACAACCAATCTCGACTTGCTCAAAACCTGGACGTTTTGGGCTTTGACCTGACCACTGATGAGCTGATGTCTATTTCTGCTCTGGACAAGGGTCTGCGTTTCAACGACCCTGGCTTTTATCTGCCTAATCACCCTATTCGCATTTTCGCTTAAGCTTAAGATTTACCTCAGATATAATGATACAGAATGACTCAATGTGAACTCAAATTTTTGATTTACATCACTTGAAGGCTCTTCCTATGCGTAAAGATGTCTCTTTCAACCAATCAATTCTTCAAGTGAGAAAATCAAAACAAGACACGCCTGTCGACAGACCAGTAAACAAAGCCCTTGTAAACAAGCCAGATGATCAACTAGTAGTTCTTCGAATACGGTATTTTGGTCCATAACTCCAAAACAATTATATATATCTTCATATATCTCTTGCGGTGCTCTTCCGTACAAAAAGCTAGTCAACACCAGAGTGATATTCCAATTTCGACCCAGGGTGATAAAGTCGCAACGTTTTATCTGAATGCTTGAACAGATAACGATCTTGTCATGACATCATATTGCTATATCATTACTTATGTTCTCGTATCACTTATTAACTCTATATAGGTTCAACCCCAACTCTATTGCATGATATCCCGCATCATATCACCAATCGCGTCAGCACCACCACCGCTGCCCAACAATTTCTCATTCGTCGTTTGGATAATGACACGGCGATAGCTGATCAAGGGCGGCGATCCATTATCCTGAACTTCAAGCACGAGATGAAGTACCTGGCCTTTCCGGACTGCGGCGCGGCTGATCAGCTCCACGCAGCATTTTTCTGGCGGCGGGAGCGTGATCTCAACAATACTACTAGCCTCATTCAAAGGCATAACTTCGAGCTGTCCGACCTCGTGGTGAACAGACCACTGGGTCGCACTCGGATCCCGGTACTGGTACCACTTGAAGGTGAGTGTATCGCGGGGGTCGGGGTCGTACGAGGCCGACGCATCGAGCTGGAAGGTAGCGCCAGCCTCCAGCTCAAGATACAGCGGCTCCAGGCCCTTGCTACCATTTATCTCCACGACCGGGTGGTGGTTCGCCTTGCCTGGGTCCGCAGAGAGCGACCACTGCATGCGGGCGGCGAAGTCGTTCTGAAAGGCATCGCGCCATCGCCAGATGGTCGCGTGATTGGATTTGTGCTCCTTGCCGTCGCGCCCAATCACCTCGTCCGCGGTATCACTGTAGTGTCCGTTCGCAACGCCCTTGCCACTGATATCGGTGCTGATATAGCGACCGCCCCATGAGCCGAACTCTGGCCGCTCTGGCACGCCCAGGCCGTTCTGGATGATATACAAGAACGTCGGCGTGTCGCCTTCGGGGATGAACATGAAGTCGGGGTATATCGAGCCCAGAGGGCCAATCTGGATATTCTCCTTGATCCACTCCTTGCTGATCTTGGTGGGATCGGGGCCGCCCTTGTCAAAGCCGTACCAGCCGTCGCCAGAAATGCCGCACCACGCAGCCATGCCATACTGGTTCCAGCCGTGTACGGAGCATATATAGAAGAGGTCTGGATAATTGTATCGGATCCATGCACCCGTATCGTCCTGATCGGAGATGGCGTAGACGCGTAGCTTGGACCGCAGTTTGGCTGCATCGATGGCTGAATGGGTGTTCTGGATTTTGAGAAGAACAGAGGCGAGCACATTCGTTCCACCCCAGCAGAGGATCCAGAGAGGCTCTTCTGAGGATGTTTCAATGCTCTGGAGGAGCAATTCGCCGCCCTCGCTGAGGGGAATATCATTGCCTACGGCAGTCATGCCATATGTCTAGGATTGACCAGTCAGTTTTACACTTCCTTGAAAAATTGTGAAAATACGATATAATCTTTACCTCTGCACCTTTCTTAATCAGAGATCGCAAGTACTGAGCCGTGGGGTACGGGTCATTTGGGTGAGCATGAGCATTAAGGTTGTCGACCACTTTTTCGTAGCCATCGACGATCTTGTGCATGTCTTGTGGGCAGACCTTGTTCTTCATCCATGTTGACGTACACGCAACCAATCCCTCTGTCTGAAATTGGTTCGAGTACAACAGGTAACGTACAAGAGACTCCGCATCATCCGGTTCGTTGGAGATATCGCTTAGGATGAAAACCCGCGGCTTGGAAGGATAAGTTTGTAGTTGCGTCGGAGATGCCATTATAGAACGAGTCAATGGTCACGGAGTCACAAGAGGGGTAAGCGGAGAGTGGAGAGGCAGAGATGTGAAGCACGCCGTATTTGAACTTCCCCAGACCCAAGGCGCATTCCAGGAATCGCAAGTCGAGCCACACGGGCTGTGAGTGGAGAGTGGGGGAAAGGGGACCCGCCCGGAGTGATGCCGGAGTTTTGCCGACATGTTGGCCAAACCAGCAGTTCTAAGCACCACGGAGCCTATCTCAGCCCTTCGACTGGTCTTGTAGACCAGACAGCCATGCTGTGAAAGACATGGCCAACGCCCTGCAATGATGCCATGTGGTGGAAGGCGGGGGGCTCCACGTGGCGTTCATGTTCGGGGTTGACAACCCCGGCTCCCAGTCGAGATGCAAACGCTGGTCTCGGCTAGGAACTGCATAGAACGGTGGCCTCCCGAACAGGCCCATGGCGCCGGAGTATCTTCATTCGTGATTGTGATCAGACTCTTTCCGAGTTCGCCCTGGGAATGCACCGTTTGGTAGCTATTCGTGAGGTGCATTATCGCCTACTCAAGCATTGGTCTGGCCTTCAATGTACTCTCTTGATAATATACTTCTTCTGGAATGCTTTTAGTAGCTTCTTGGTCACCCCAATAGTCTATTTATATTATAGGATACAAATAAATGGGCTTACCTTTTAGTTTATATTAGCTTGTTCAAATCTACTATAATGATCATACCATGTCTCCCTGTATTATAGGATTATGACTCTCTGTGGGCTCATGGTTCCTGTTGGGATCGTTTTACCCCTACCATTTCCTCCCCAGGACTTCACTTAAATTGTCTGTCGAGAGCATTTTGACCGAATGAAGGCAGATATTAAGGTCAGTTGGGGTCTGAAATGCAATGCATTGGAAGAAGTCCAACAGCTTCACTTTCGGGTTGATGAGCAACGTGAGCTCCACGAGACAACCGGCTTCATAGATCATATGGAGGCTGCAATTTAGAGCCCGCCCCATATATGTATTCCTAGGTTTCGCCCGCCTGGACAGTAGATGTTTTACATGGACTGAGACGGTTGAGGATTTCCAGATCCAAAAGCCTAGAAGCTTCTCAGGTTCAAATTTCATCTAAAGTCTAAAGTGAAGTAATATACCTAGAGTGGATAATATCAAAAAGAGATAAAGAATCGTCATGTCAATGCGCTTTATATAATATTCGTGCACCTATTTATACTTTTTTGCCCCGTGGCGATAGCCTGCATCATGCTTCACCCATCTTCTTACTCCATAGCTTTGGAGAGCCGCTATGGGTACTCCAACTAGTATTGGTAGTGGTTGGATGCATAGATAAAGGGTCCATGCCCTTGAGCCTAATGCGTGATCGTGGTGGCCTAATATCAAGGCTGGAACCCTCCGTGGCAGTGACCTCTGGCTGTCCTTCCTGAATTTTGCCAACAAAAACTTCTTCAACCTCCTCAAGAGAGTGACCCACAGTCTCTGGATACCAAAACCAGACCAGGATAGCTGCCACCCAGTTAAATGCCGCGAAGCAATAGAAATAGTTCGCTCCAATATTTGTCAGGGCGATTGGCGAGCACTGTGCGAAAATGAGATTCAAGCTCCAGTTCGTGGCGGTAGATACGGAAGACCCGCGGGCTCGGATGACCGTCGGGAAGATCTCCGCGGGATAAATCCAGGAAACAAGGCCAAGGCCCGTAAAGAATAAGGAAAAGACAAAAAACATAGCAATTGCGGCGCGCAGAGCATCTTGATTGGCATTACTGTCGGCGAAGTCAACGTAACGGGCAAGAGTAGCTTCTACGCACATGGCCGCACCCGTACCCAAAAGCGATGGAATGAGCAGTTTTCGTCGTCCCACTTTGTCGACGAAGCACATGAACACCGTATTCCAGAACTGCGCCAACGCACCCCAGATACCGATGATCATAAGTGAACCAGATGTCGAGAGCCCCAGCGACTTGTACAACCGAGGTCCATAGTTCTGAATCACGTTTGCGCCAGAGCACTGTGTGAATGCCTGAAGACCGCAAGCAAGAAGAACCCGGTAGCGCCACTGCCTGGACAAAAACAGCTGACGCCAGGAACGGACAACAGCTCGTCGCTCGTATGCAACTGTTTTGTGGATCTGGTCCAGTTCTTGTTCAACAAGCTGATTATTGGCCGCATCTCGATTCGAGTGTAGACGGGCGAGAATCGCACGCCCAGCTGCCTCTTTTCCGGTTTCGATGAGCCAACGTGGAGACTCGGGAAGAAACCAAACTCCACAGGTCAGGATGATCGCCGGTGCTGTCTGCAGGGACAGTGGAAATCTCCAAGCAAAGTCGCTGCTGTATCGAGAGCACCCGTAGCCGACCCATTGCTATGTGGAAATCAGTAAGAGTGATGAATTTGAAATGATATTTGAAGGCGGCTTACAGCAACCATGATGCCAAGCCCGATCATCCACTGCTGCATGCTTGCGAGCAGGCCGCGAATGCGAGGCGGTGCGACCTCACACTGAGTCTGTGTTAGTCTTTCGGTTTACACGAAAATCAATCTACTATTTGTTTTTTTTCTGCGTAGGGAGGCGTACACAGTAGACAGGAATGGAAGCCGACATCAGTCCAATGGCAAACCCGGCGATGAATCGTCCCGCGATTAGCATCGCAATGGTCACGGCCCCTCCCTGAAGCGCAGCGCCTAATGTGGCCAGCATGCCACCGATGAAAATTACCATACGGCGTCCATAGGCGTCGGAAACGTAAGGAGCAATGATGGATCCGACGATTGCACCACCTAGAAGTCGACATTAGATCCCGATCTTGGGGCCCCGAAGGTCAGGGGGGATTTTCGGGCCGAAGAAAAACTCGAACTCATTGGATTCATACCTGTATACGACGAGATAATACCACCGCTGGCTGCATCAGAGAGGTCCGGCGAGCCAAACCGGGCCAAAAAGGCATCCTGCTCGATGCTCGAAGAAATCACGCCCGAGTCGTAACCGAATAAAAATGAGCCGAGAGCTGCGAAGACGCAGCAGAGGGTGACGAGGACATAAGCCATGGGTCAGAGCAGCGCTGCTGCATTGCCAACCTTCTTTTTTCGTTGATTCCAGAATCGTCCCCGAAGAGACCTGGACGGTCAGATTGATATATAGATCACCGGCAAAGTAAGCAGCCTTGATTCTCACGCGTAAGTGCAGAATGTACCTCCACCCTGGGGAAGTGGGACGTGCCGAAGGGGGTAAGCGATCGCGAAACTACTCAAGAATGGCCATGCGACAAGCGAGGGACCCGCTGCAGCTGAAGCCAGCGAGGTCTGTGACAGGTAGAATCGGCCTCCTTCTTGGCTTTTCTCTGAATTTGGTCTATTTTTTGGGTTCGCGTTGATCAATGGTCTTTCAGGAATGGGCTGTCATGCAGGACAAGCTTAAATGACTTCACTCGCAGTCCCGACCCGGTTTTTGTTGCCACTGCCGAGACCAGGCCGAGACGCCAGTTCGACCCACGGATTCTCATCTGAGCTTGGAACACGAAGGATCGCGCAGCTGAATGACATTCTGGTACATAGTATAAAGTCCTGCCTAGCACAATGTACATAGTTGAGAGTTTCGAGTACCTGTTGTCGCGTGCACATTCTTCGGTCGCGCGTCGAAGGGAAGTATGGAATCCTCCCCGTTGATGGTCCTGCCCGCTTCATGTACGTGATTGCTCCCTGATCCCTTCATGACAGCGAGATGCAAGGTAATGCCCGTCTGTACAGAAGGGGTTCTAGGATAAGACAGAGATTCATTGTTTGCCCGCATAGCCCTAAATATAGAGTCATTGTCATAGTCATCATTATGGTGAAGGATGCTCTCTCGCAGCACTAGCCTGCCCTGGGCTGCTTATCGGTGGTCCTTAGCCTTCAGAAACCCACCAGCCAGAGCTCCTCTTGAAGCGAATGAAAATAGATCAGTGTGTGGCTTGACGCATGGACGGGGCGCCGTATACCGTATACGATGTCCGTCTACGCCATAGAGAAAAGAGGAGAAGAGATCTTGTGGTCTTGAGTGAGTCTCGGGGAATAGCAACTCATCTTCTTCCAGGTCAGACGGCTAAGATGCTCCGGTTTGGCTTAGGGGAATTCATCTTGACATTTATCTGCTTGGCTTTCATTGTGCCTGACAATTACCATAATCCCACCAAAAGTGACTATCACCTGTTCGTGGAAGCACGGGGTTGGGCGAAGTCACTATACTTGCAGTATGGCATCTGCCTCACGAGCATGTCAGTCGGTCGGGGCCGCTAAAATCAAGATCGTTCTCCGGTGACGGCACCCATCCTTGAGAGACATAGAGACATAGTTTTGTAGTGAGGCAAAATTGACAATATAGGGATGCGGGTGAGTACTTGTATGTACACATGAACACTATTCTGGGATCGTATCAATCTCAGAGGCGTTCTGCGACCCCTCCTGACCCTGCGCCCGAGACAGAAAACGACCTCTCCGAGTCGATCGCACTCGGTCGGACATAAGAGCGAGTCACTGTTATTTCTTTTTCCCGTCCACTACCCGCGCGGCCCGCAGCAGCCGCAACGCCCTAGAATTGTTCACTAGCTAGCGAGTGGTCAAACCAGGGCAGGGTCACATTATGATTCACTCTGATTAGTATGGAGGTACTTATTTCCTCGCCTTTGCGGAGGAGACTACGCACGTTCGGTGTCTCTGGTTCTCCATTCTCCCCCTTCGGCGATGGGATCCAATTCGCCGACAGCGGCCCCCCTGGTCTAAAGGGCGGTGTTATGCGATGTTCGTGATTAGGTAGTTAGTCATGCTATTATTTCACGCGACAGTTGGGTTGGAAATCCAACGTTGCAGCCAATGCATGCGCCCCAGGCGTTAGCAGTACTTGTCCAAGGAGGACCTGGACCCCCAAGAAACATCGGATTGCGCCGCGGGATCAGTCCCGACTCCATTTGCCGTCTTCGATGATCAGCTTGATCAGCTTGATCTCCCTGATCTCCTTGATCACCTCAAGATCGTAAGTTCGTCAGAGCCAACCCGACCGATGGGGTAATTCCGACGGAGCGATAGCCTCATCGACCTAGGCATCTCGGCATTCTCCCAGCGCCTCGCCGAACCCTGGCGCCCACTACAAGCGCACCGCCCCGAGCCCAACCGAGTCTCGAACCGGACCCTCTTCCAGTGGAGACCGACATGATCGGGAAAATTCTACCATCGGACTCGAAGCCGAGGCGATCAACCAGAAAATGCCTCAATAGAAGAGCCCTAGAAGCCCCCGTGCGCAGAAAGGGCGCCGGGCTCGCGCCCAGTGAAACGCCGAGGAACGAATCCTAAGCGTTTAGTACCTCCACAACCCAATCGCCGTGCGCTAGGTTCTCTCGTTTAGCGGCGTTTCTAATCATGATGATGATGCATTCTGGTGCTTGAGTCGTTTAAGGCACAGAGTAATTTTTTATAATTTTTCCAGGTGCTGGTTGCTGCTCGTAGCTGTGGATGGCCGCTGTACCACTTGGTACCTCGGGGTTATCGTTAGTATAGTCCGGTCATATGCCGTCATCTGTAATGCAAGACAGTTGAGTTTAGTCTAACGAGACCCAAAAACGCGGGATCCCATTGTTCAATTTCTTCTCTTCTATTTTCCCGCGATCCTGCATAAATTCATGAATCCCTCCAGGTTCGTCCGTCGTCCTGAGCTGTGGCTTTTCTCCAAGTTGGGGTTTCTCCACCGCTTTCGGGCGAAATAATTATCTCATCGTCCAACAGCCTCAACTTCCCAGTTTCTTCGCGCGCGCTTGGAAACTTCCCAACGTTAACCTCTCTCCTGACCCTCTGACCCTCATTGCGTCCACTGACCAAGGTCGCGCAAGTCCGCCGGAACAAAAGGCGGTCCGTGAGTCGGCCGTTCGACATCGACGATCCTTCGACTTTCCTGCATTTACTCCGCTTTTCATTCGCCGTACCCTTGCGAACACTGCCCTGTCAATAAAAACTTCCCTTAGTCCCTTCAAACCCCGACTCCTGCCCAGTGGTCGCCTTTTGGACCAAACGACCATTCCCGTCCAACTCGCTCCTGTCAGTCATTCTGTTGTCTACGCCGACAGGAACGGTTCGCGAATGGTTCGGCAAGGAGGGCGATCGATGACCACATTAACAGATCGCCCGCCAAGCCCTTTCTCCTTACATGAATCTCGCCCGTCTTTTCTCTTGATAGTCAACCATGGCGACCACAACCAGCCCTCACTCCGGTGAGAATGAAGATGATCCCGCCTTGAACGATGCCTACCTGCATGACGATGTCGACCCCCTGCAATCCGGCTCGACCCATGACGCCTCCCCCGCAGACTCTAAACTCACGCCCCAGTCCTTACCGATGCAGAAGCGCCGACGAGTCGGCCGCGCCTGCGATGAATGCCGTAGGAAAAAGATCAAATGTGACGGGAAACAGCCCTGTACCCATTGTACCGTCTACAGCTATGGTGCGCTTTGCCCTTTTACCTCTGTTCTGTCCATTCCCGCACCTCCGGTCGTATCGGGTCTGGCTAACCTTCCGTAGAGTGTACGTACGACCAACCTTCGAATCGCCGTCGCAACCCGGCACCCCAGTATGTGGAAGCTCTCGAAGCCCGCATGCACAAGGCCGAGGCCATCCTCCGAACCGTCCTGCCGGATATTAACCTCGACGACCCGAATTTGGATGTGCATGCCACGGAGCAGCGAATCGCGTCCGCCCAGAAGGAAAGACAGGCCACCGGAGGGCTCCAGAAACCTCCCACAGGCTCCGCGGAGACTGGCGGCGAAGGTGGAGATGAGTCCCTGTTAGAGACCATGGTCGACAACTCGGGCTGTTTGGACCGGGATGACCAAGGTTACTGGGATTATCATGGACATACCTCAGGAATCATCTTCATGCGCCGCTTACGCAAACAGCTCGGCGCTGTTGAACCACCTCTCGCGCGTCCCCGCTCAATGACTCAGATGCTAGAAAGCCCCAAATCCGCATCGGAATCGCCCCAGGATGCCTCCCTGCCCCCAACACACGATCTGCCGCCACGGGCGGTCGCACGCCGCTTATGCCACAATGCGATCGACGACGCCTGCTCATTGATGCGCTTCGTGCACGAGCCATCCTTTTTTGCTAGCCTCGAGCGCATCTATGATACACCCCTGGATCAATTCTCAAACGAGGAGAATTCATTCTTACCCCTTCTTTATATTGTGATAGCCGTCGGATGTCTATTTTCAGACGATGGAGCCGGGACACTCGACTTGACCGGCTACGAGGGTGCTATCGGACAAGGGTTCCAATTTTTCAAGGCTGGCCGACAGCTTCTTGAAATCACCGATTGTCGAGACCTACCTTCCCTACAAGCGATATGTTTCATGGTCCTGTTCCTCCAATCCTCTGCGAAACTGAGTACTTGCTACTCGTACGTTGGTATCGCACTCCGCTCCGCATTGCGGCTGGGTCTTCATCGCACCGTCACGGCAGACTTCAACCCGATCGAACGAGAATTGCGCAAACGTATCTTCTGGGTTATTCGCAAAATGGACGTCTATGTCAGCACACTTCTGGGCCTGCCCCAGATGCTAAGTGATGATGATATCGACCAAGAATATCCAATGGAAGTGGACGGTGACTTTATTAGTGTCAAGGGCATCACCCAGATGCCTTCTGATTATACCCCGCTGATGGCAGGATGCAATGCGCATACGCGCCTCTGCAATGTCATTTTGAAGGTGGTCAAATACATTTATCCCGTGAAGAATGCTCGATATCGCTCGAAGTCGAACCAACGATATATGGTCAGCCACTCCAAGATTCGGGAAATCGAACGCGATTTGCAAAAGTGGATGGAAGAACTTCCCTTAGCGTTGCGCCCAGGGACAGAAGTGTCACCGCAACTAGAACGGTAAGTCTTGCGAGACAGGACTCTTTCTCCTTGATGTCATGTCCATAGCTAATACTGCTTTTAGGATTCGCCAATTGCTCCGTATCAGCTACGCTCACGTCCAGATGGTCATGTACCGCCCCTTTTTACATTACGTCTCGAGTGGCTCTCAAGCGCGCGGCGTTGATAAGCGATCCTATGCCTGCGCTGCGGCATGCGTCAGCGTGTCTAGGAATATCGTTCATATTACCACGGGAATGCACAAGAGAGGTCTTCTCAATGGCTCCTTCTGGTTCACCATGTATACGACTTATTTTGCTATTCTCTCCTTGATTTTCTTTGTTGTCGAGAACCCAGATTCTCCAACAGCCAAGGATGGAGTCCTGAAAGATGCCATGGAAGGCAAAACGACGTTGGCCGGTTTGGCTAAGAAGAGCATGGCGGCCGATCGGTGCTCCCAGAGTTTGAACGTATGCACCCACCCTTTCTATGGATACCTGTGAGATCTGAATGCTGACGGCGACTTTAGTGTTTATTTAAGACTCTGCCAGAGATGTTGAAAAATCGCCAGGGTGCAAAGGCCCCAGTCAATCTCAAGCGGCCTGCACCGTCCAGTCTTTCTGCGGAGCCTGAGCAAATACAGAACCTACCTCAGCAAACTTTGCCTCATCGCTCAAGCACATTCCCAGCGCACATGATGGCTCAATCATCTGTGACAGACCCTTCAAATCGCCGACAAAGGAGCCTGGACAACACTCAAATTGGAAATAACCAAGTTGGTAACAACAGAACAACCGATAATGGCACCCAGTCGGCCTGGATGGCGTCGACCCCCGAGCTGCTTACGGAGACCATGTCTACCCCAGAGCCACCCTCGGTTAACTCATTGAACCCTTCGTTTTCCAACCAAGATTCCTCTAGCCTGGCATGGGCTCAACAGTTCAATAACCCTGACAACCTTCCCGATCTTATGCCTATGATGTTCCCGTCCGACGACCCATTTGCGTATCCTACACAGCCCATGTCCACACTGGAAGACGATCACTTCAAGCACGACCGTGGTGGAATCTCGTCATCACAGTTCCCATTCGACTCGAAATCACACCAAGTCGGAATGGGTTCAAGCACACCAAGCGACCCATCAGTGGCAGGTGTGTCAACACCCAGTTTCGACTCTTACAACCTCCCAAGCTTCCCCGCGGGAGCCCCCACCAGCATCAAGTCATCAGTGCCAAGCCGACTCCAGCAGGCCACGAGCCAAGCTATGAACGGCCCCCGCCTCCAGTCGCCCATCTCCCAAGCCCAGACTCCCAGTGAAGCGCTCAGCAGCCCAGATCTAGTATCCATCCCGAACCAAAACTTTGTATGGCAGGGTTACAACTTCCAACCGACGAACATGGCCACTGCAGACACCACTGTGCAACAAGATCCCTCGGTCTCGAGTGGCCTCCCCGATTTCAACATGGCCCTCGACGAGAACAACATGGGTATGAACATGGACCTCGGCATCTCTTTCGACGATCTCTTTGGGAACAACGCCACCTTCCGCGCGGGCAATGGAGCCAACGACGACTGGACGCAGTGGATGAATACCGGAGCCTAAACTCCGAGGTGCTCGCCTTTCCCCTTGTTTATTAAAAATGTTCTTGTTCTCTACGACGATATGCGCTTATGAAGGGAAGCAGAAAAGAAAAACTTGTTAATACCTGGCTGGCGTTTTATTAAAGTTTGGACGATAGGTGCTTTGCTTCTTTGTTTGTCTTTGGACTATCTTGTGAAATACTGATGCAATTTTGGTGTTCGCGGTAAATGCAAAAGAAAAAAATAATGATATAACTTGGCCTGTTTCGTAGTCCTCGACTTTTCCTAATATTTTTTACCCGGAATCTAGAGATACAGAACTCTACCCAGGCTTAAACGGAAAGAAAAAGGCGTGAATTGAATTCAGGTAAGAATATACATGTCTGTTTTCGGAATCGAAAGAAGCAGGAGAGAAAAAAAAAAAGAAGCAAAGTTTGGTATCAGACAATGTAGACTCACAGAACGCTCATAACACAGGTGGGAACAATAAAAGAACGATCTCCATATAACTATCCCATATACTCCCTTCCGCCGTCCATCTTCTCGGCCGGTCTTAGCCTAGTCCAACATTCACTAACCAGAAATGAAACAATTCCCCGTATCATCAACACCACGCCCCCATGTCCAGACCCCTTGGATTTCCGTTGTACCATCGCGATGCACATGTTGTCTGTAGATAAAATGTCGCCGGTGGCCACTAGGATGACGGCGCGATGGATAGCCGCGGTGATCAACCCAGATCGGGCAGCCAGACCAGTACTCATACTGACGAGTGAATCCGTCCATGACCAAGGGCTTTGGAGCCGGTACAGCCAGAACTGAGGTTACCGTCGACTCCGTCAGCCTGTCTTCTTCCGTGAATTCCAGCGTTGCGGAGAGGCGGAGCCATCCGCGCCAGGCCAGTCGATACAGCGCGTACTGCATTGTGCACTGATCGGTGTCAAAGGCGTTCATTTCTCGAGATACTACGCAGCAATCGACGGGGCAGTCACGTCGTGAAATAGCCGCGGGGCTTGTCGCGCGGAATTGCACGATCAGCAGAGTCTTGACGTCAAAGGCAAAGACCTGGGGGCACTGGTATTCGCAGGCATATCTGTTTTTTTTTAACTTGGTTAGTTGGGTATAGAGCCTCAGGTTTGAAAAGAGATCAGGGAGAAGAGAGATGAGGGAGATGAGACCATACGCTCTAAGCTCTCGGCCCAGATGAATGCTCAATTCACTGGGGGATTGTTTGAACTCCCATTCTCGTCTGCTGATAGTGCGGGGGTATTTCATCTGCCCGATCATAGCAGCCGATTCCAGCGACCGTTCTGGATGGGACATGGTCATTTGGTAGTCCACTATCTTGGCTGCGGACGTCGATCCTCGTGCCGCCATCAATGATCGGGACCAGAGTCTCGGCGCGGCAGGTATAGGTTCAGCACCGGAGGCTGGGCGGGATAGGGCCGAACTCCCCGAGAAGGCCAGATCCACTGGCGGAAGAACATTCTGATCGAAATCCCGCATCACGTCCCCTTCCGTGCATATTTTCTGTTGGCGGGTGTTGAGCATATAGGCGGCGGTGCCAAGCCCGACAGTATCAGCCGCCGAGGGTGTACTTCCTGGCCCGAGAAACTTCTCAATCGTCCGATTCGTGGCGGGCCAGACCGTGACGTGCTCTGCTTCTATAGGGTGGAATTTCTCGATCCATTTATGTCTAGGGAGCGTGGCGGGGGCTTCGGTATACAAGGGTATAGAGCTAAACATACGCATCAGGTTGTTCACAGTTGTTGTCATGTTCAACCTCCAAATGAAAAAAAACGCATGAGGCCACAAAAGAACAAGCCGGTGGATCAATGGAAAAAAAGGGCCGAGCGTGGGTAATAAATTTGCGAGATAAGGTTCTAGATGACAGGGAGGCATTCACGATTGCGGACTTTGCGTAGTTGGTCACAGGGCTTCTTATGCACGCCCAACGCAGCCTATTCAGCCATGCCAGTCAGATAACGCGCGCATCAGCCTAGGCTCCCTTCGAAAAGTATATCACGACGCAATATAGAGGCTGCTTGTTTTGGCTGCCCAATTCCAAATATGCACAGAGTTAGCGTCATATGGGAGAAACGTGTGTCCAGTAGATACGATGGGATGCTGCGAAGAAAGACCCCTGTTTTCGGGGCGTGCTTAGAACCAATGTTAAATGTACAGCGAATACGGCGGCCGCTTATCCTTAACTGGGCAGGCAATCGGTTCAGTTCGTCAAAAGCAAACCCGTTTGAGCGGGGAACCCTGTCACTTGCGGCTCTGTTCTAGGCCTGAGCGGCCACGACGAAGCGGACTCAATGCCAGCTGTCATAGGTAACCCCGTTCCTCTTTGCGTTAGGGAGCGCATTATCTGGGAAACAGTTTCCAGCGAGCTTCCTCAAAGCGAAAACCCTCGAGATATATCATTGGCCAGAAAAGGCCACAAGCTGGGAGCAAAGCAGGTTAGAAAGCCAATGAACAAGCTTCTTTTCGTAGATTAGGCGCAAGGATGTGCCATAGATCTTACGCTAGAAACACAGGTGCGATATAGCCATTGTTTAAAATGCTGACAGAGCCTTCAGAAACGATAGCATTCAGCCGCACGCCCTTCAATAAGGGTGGCTTTGACCCCGTGCTAGAGATCATAGCGAATGGACCATTGATATTGCAGCGCATGTTCAATCTGGAGCCTCGAATGACGCAGCGTAGATAGTATGTAAAAGGAGATCCAAGCAGGTCGTTGCGTTTTACAATTTAAAGATGCAATTTCACGAAGATATTTGTCCAATATTTCAGTCTTTTCATGGAAGAAGAAGCCCGTAATTTGTAAAGGGCCTTGACAAGCAGCGAGTTCAAATTATATATAATATACGTCCTACAGGACAGCCTCTTGGCAGAAATACAGCGGCAATTCAATAGATACATGATTGCGCGGCTACCTGCATGTGCAAGAATCGTTCCATTCCAAGGCATGTAAATCATCATCACTGCCGGAAAGCACGCCGAGCCCACGATGCTTGACACGCAAAATGAGGAAGCCTCGCGAAATCATAATCGGTTTAGACTATAAACGGCGACGAGACCCACATGGTGGTGACTGGCCGGCAGCAAAAGTCCCGACCCCCGTTGATTAATCTCGACACTCCTCGACGTGAACGACATGGCCTATCCTGTGCCAAAGCGATCGCGAGACCTCAACCTCAATTTCCACGATTTCTGATCTCTACGAGCGTTGATTGAATTGCTTGATCTCCACGTCCCATTGCACTAAAGCGAACCCCTCCGCCCCGCTTCCCGGTCGCATGAAGTCGGCACCCTGGGAACCTGATCTATAGTTGTATATTATTGAGTGATTATTCCAAGCGTGCATAGCTCGAGTTGCGGCCCTCATGGCTTCGACTCCAAAGCTCTCGACCGTCATCACTTGGCTGCTCTACTTCATCCCCGTGTACATCTTCATCCTCGACCCGTTCGTCCGCCCGCTTCTCCCGGAGTCGACCTCGCGGTCTTGGAACTCCGACGAGATCGCCGACGAGTGGGAGGATACCGCGCCCGGACTAAACCTGACCGATGACTCGTTCATTAGTCCCGAGGACGGCGTGCCGCTGAACTGTCCCGGCGAGGCCGCCGGGTACCGGGTGCACCTGCTGTCGCGCACGCCGCTCATTCTGTACATCGAGAACTTCCTGGGCGACGAGGAAGCGGACCATTTGGTTGATATCAGGTAACGTCGCAGCAGTCCCTTCTGCCTCCTTCCAGCTATTTCTCAAGGAACCCACCTACCCCGATCCCCCCTGAGACTCATAGCGAAGTACTTACTGACACCGGGGTACCGGGGTTTGCCCTCTTTCCCTTTCCCAATAGCCTCAACAAATATACCCCATCCATCGTCTACGATGGCGTTAGCGAACGAGTCGACCCGTCGAAACGACTTTCCGACCGCGCCCTGCTCGACCGCGACGATACGGTGCGCTGCCTGGAAGACCGCGCCCGCGCGTTCCAGGGCTGGCGGCCGCACGTGTACATCGAGCGCATGTGGGCCCAGCGCTACAATGCCTCGGGCCACTACCGGCACCACTACGACTGGACGGGATCGCTTGCGCGCGGAGGCGACCGGCTCAGCACGTTCATGGTATACCTGGGTGCGAACTGCACGGGTGGGGGGACGAACTTCCCGCGTCTGCGGCGGCCGGCGAGCCGGCACTGGTGCCGGTTCCTGGAGTGCGAGGCCGAGGGGGCCGAGAACGACGGGGGAGACCAGATGCAGCAGGGGATCACGTTCAAGCCGATCAAGGGCAATGCGATCTTTTGGGAGAACCTACGCGCCGATGGGACAGGGTACCCCGAGACTTGGCACGCCGCGTTCCCGGTCACGTCAGGGACCAAGGTTGGGCTCAATATCTGGAGCTGGTATCAACCGCCGCGGAGGAAAATGCTCGGCGGGCGCTGAGCGCTGTTGGGCGGACTGGGTCCTCTCGGCGGAGGGGGTGGCTGTGACTGGATCAGGGCAGGAACGAGGAGTGGGGAAGGGAAGGCAGGGAAAGGGATGGCGTCCTCGGGGGTCTGGCAGGATGCTGGCGACTCGCTGAAGGGAGGGACTTGGAGGACGTTTTTGGTTGCCCCGGCCAAGTCGTCCGCCGAGGGCGCGTGGGAATGCTTGGGGTCTGTGTTGCACGCCGCACGGGCCCCAATGGCTGCTGGGATGCTCTGGGTCCCTGTCCTCCAAAGATCTGGCCTTCCAGCGGTCTGTTGTATATATCTGCACATAATCTAGCATCACTGTATCATATTTAACATCAGAACTCAGAGCATGACCATCAAGCCTCTCCCGGTTCGCCTGTGTGAGATCTTTTTCCCCCGGCGAAGGAGATGAAAAAAGTGACTTCCCGGCGCCTCCCGTCCAGTCGCACCCACGGATAAGATGCATAAACACATCGATCCGGAACGGGCGGGGCACAACAGGCAGCGACATAACTGCCCACTACGCGAGCCTGGCAGGCCAAATCAGCATGTATCATCGGCGCACGCGGACGCCAAGTCAGCCGGCGATGCCGAGAGAATACCAAGACCCAAGACTTGGGGTTGTCGGAGCGGGAATTGGCAAAGAGGAAAACCTTGGCTGCCAAGACGCATCGCCATGGCCCATCTGGCTTGGCAGTGGGTCTGCCCGGCCAAGCCCCCTTCTGAGGGACTTTTGAGGGGAGGGTGGTAGTTGGGTAGTTGGATAGTTGGTCAGTGTTTCAGAGTCTCTGAGGGACTGTGCCTCACGGACTGGAAGGTCGTGCATCGGTGCTCGCGGGACACCGACGGGGCAGAGGGGTAGTCGGTATTGTGGACGATATGGACGGAGTACAAAGAAAGTATAGGAGAGAGAGAGAGAGAGAGAGAGAGAGAGAGAGAGAGAGAGCAGTAGAGAGCAGGAGAGAAGGGTAACGTGAAGGTCAGGTGAGAGTCAAGTGACCTCCACGCTGAGGGTGGTTCAGTGCGGTGTTCTATAGAATCCTCATACTCCGATGAGAACAAGATGAGAGCCCTGCATCGTCTTGATTCGGCCTGGATTCCGGAGTAGCAGGATTCTGCAGTCTCTCCTGCAGTCCTGCCGTCTCGCCACCGGAGGGAGTCTAGAGCCCTCGGAACTCGATTCTAGTAGCAAGTAGTCGAGGGTCATGCTGGCTCGCGAGTCGATAGGACACCATGCGCTGTCAGCAAATCCGATAGCATCCAGTCCTAGCCCTTAAACGGGGATATGTCCTTTGCCTCCGGGAGTTAAGTGCTGCGCCAGAATCCTCCCCTCTTCCCATCCGCCAATCCTCTGCTTGTCCCGCCTGGAAATGCGGGTCGACCAGTGGAATGCACGTCCTGCCATCCCCCCGAGGCCCGCGCCAGCCAGTGAGAACGCGATGTTCCGCAACGCCGGGTCTTGGGGGGTCCACAGACTCTTGGCCCGGACTCTGGCTGAGTCTTGGGTTAGTCTTGTCCCTCCGCGCTTCTGGGCCAAGGCTCGGCTCCTGATTTCCTCCCTGTCTGGAGAGACCCAAGAACCCAAGACTCCCCCAAGACTTCCCTTTCCCCCTCCCCGTTTTCTTCGTTCTCTCCTCCTTCTAGACACGCGCCGTCTTCCTTCTTTCTCGATCCCCCGTCGACTCTCGTGGATTCTTCTGTTCCACTCGTGAATCAAATAACTGGCCCCGTGTCCCCTCTGGTGGGCTGTTTTTTCCCGGTTGTGATTGTGGTTCTTTGCCCCCTCGTCTTCGCCCCCTAAGAGTCGTGGCTCTGGGCATCCCGCCAGACACCAGATCAATTTCTTGGCATCATGGCCGACGCCAATATTCCCCCAACATCAACTCCCCAGGCGGCACCAGTCTCTGCGCCCGCGGGGAGCAGCCGGCACCTCCAGTGCAGACAACGCCGACCGCGTCGGTGACGGCCACGGCCGCTGCCGCGACCGCCGCCGTCAACAACTCCCTCAATGGCGCCGGCGAACAGCTCCCTTGCCAGTGGGTGGGCTGTACCGAGAAGTCTCCCACAGCAGAAGCTCTCTATGTAAGCTACGGCATTCTCCTTTTCTGTTCCCCCTCCCCGGCGACGTCGCTGGGAATTGTCGCAGACACTAATACCGGTCGCCACCCAGGAACACGTTTGTGAGCGCCACGTTGGCCGGAAGAGCACCAATAACTTGAACTTGACCTGCCAGTGGGGGAACTGCAACACCACCACGGTCAAGCGCGACCACATCACCTCGCACATTCGAGTGCATGTGCCATTGAAACCGCACAAATGCGATTTCTGTGGCAAGGCGTTCAAGCGTCCCCAGGACCTGAAGAAACACGTGAAGACCCATGCCGATGACTCCGAGATCCGCTCCCCCGAGCCGGGCTTGAAGCACCACCCCGACATGATGTTCCCGCAGAACCCGAAAGGTTTGTCGCTCCACTTTCTTGCTTTCTCGTTACCCGATCGAGACTGGGGCTAATTGTATCGCGTTGCGCGAAAACAGGATATGCTGCTGCTACTCACTACTTTGAAGGCCCGATGAACGGGGTCTCCAGCGCAGCCTATACTCATGGCGCCCCGCAGTATTATCAAGCCCACCCCCGCCCCAACCGGCCAATCCCCATTCGTATGGCAACGTCTACTATGCGCTGAGCCAGGGCCCGGATGGGAACGCATCCTATGACCGCAAGCGTGGGTATGATGCGTTGAACGAGTTCTTCGGCGACCTCAAGCGACGTCAATTCGACCCGAATTCCTATGCGGCCGTGGGCCAACGCTTGCTCGGCCTGCAGGCGTTACAGCTCCCCATCCTGAATGGCCCCGTGCCTGAGTACCAGCCCATGCCTGCCGGTGTCGCCGTTGGCGGCGGCGCTGGCTATAGCCCAGGCGGCGCACAGGCACCGGCCTATCACCTCCCCCAATGTCCAATGTTCGCACCAAGAATGATCTCATCAACATCGACCAATTCCTCGAGCAGATGCAAAACACTATCTACGAGAGCGACGAGAATGTGGCCGCCGCCGGGGTCGCGCAACCCGGCGCCCACTACGTACAGGGTGGCATGAGCTACCGTGCGACCCATTCTCCCCGAGCCAACTCCCCCCGAGCCATGTCACTGCGACCACCTCGGCCCCTATGATGGCTGCTAGCGCTCACTCCCCGTCGACCGGGACTCCAGCGCTGACCCCGCCCTCCAGCGCTCAATCCTATACCTCGAATCGGTCTCCGATCTCTTTGCCTCAGACTCATCGCGTGTCGCCTCCGCATGAGAGCGGTGCCGGCATGTACCCTCGCCTCCCGTCGGCCACTGTATCTGATAGCATGACCGCGGGCTATCCGGCTGTCGCCGGTGCCGCCCCGCCGTCGACCCTCAGCGGAGCATTTGACCATGATGACCGCCGTCGCTACACTGGTGGCACCCTGCAGCGCGCCCGGCCGGCTGAGCGTTCAGTCGACGAGAACAACATGGACACCACTCATGACAGCAAGACCGATGGCGAGCGCACCCCAACCAAGGACCATCCTGATGTCGCCTCCAGCCTCATTGACCCCGCCCTTGCAAGCACCTCCCCCAACCCCGATCAAGAGGCCGCGCAGCGGACCGCCCAAGCGGCCACGGAGGTCGCTGAGCGAGATGTCAATGTTGCGTGGGTCGAGAAGGTGCGCTTGCTGGAAAACCTCCGGCGCTTGGTCTCCGAGCTTCTGGAAGGCGGCCGCTTTGATGAGTTGGCGGGCCACAGCAGTCTCGGAGCATCTCCGACCCCAGCCAGCGATGATGTGATGGAGGGCATTGAGACGGCTAGTCAGCAGGCTTCCCCTGCCCATATGTCTCCGCCAACCCAATATGAGAGCTCGGAGGCAGTTTTCTACCCGACCCTACGCGGATTGGATGATGACGGAGATGCCAAGATGCCTGGGGATGAAGCCTAGGCTTGGATTTTGAGCTAGATTTGCATTTATCCCCTTACCTTAACGCAGTCACGACTCTACTATTGTGTTTGTCTTTGTTCTTTGCCCCTGTGCCTGGGTGACCTTTTCCTTTTCTCTCTCCTATCCAATATTCGTTTCTTCCTCATCCTTCTCTATCTTCCCTTTTTGCCTCGCCTCTTTGGATGCCTCGGGCCTTTTTGCCGTCGGTCGTTTCGACCCATGTTATATCTATATCAACTTCTCTTTTTTTTGCTCTATTCTCCATTTGATTTTCTTTTTTTTTCCCCAGCGGACCGCTCTTCACTGGTCTGGTGTGGTTCCATTTGGATTGTATGATAAGAGCCAACCTTGCCCCTATTTATTTACCAAGTTTGTTTGCGTCCAGCTATGATCACATCACTTTTGGTCTCTGTCTTCATGTTAACCTGTAAACCTCCCCTCTCCCCACTCTAAGCTATAAACATTAGGTTACATGGTTACATGATCTCGAATCCACCTTCCTCTCCTCTCCCCTTCCCCGTTCCGGTGATCTCGTCGATGGTTGATCGACATGTCAAATCCCAATAGGGCAAGGGCAACATTCCAACGGGCGAGGCTAAACTGCATCCGGGGAACCCAGTGACGCAAACGACCGAGACGGCAGAAATGTAGTCGATAGCAGGATGAGGGCCGGACGATATGCGCCTCGGATTATGATCTAAGCTTAAAAATTAGAGATTGTGTAAAATATGCCTGTGGGCGGTCAATCATGGTTGGGAGGGCGTTTCCCACTGAGCGGCCACAGTGATGTATACTCCGGAGAGCATCGCGCACCGCGCCCTGAGCAGAAAGCATACGTTAGATCATAGGTCATAGATCATCGATCCACGGAAGAAGTCTCCGGGATGCCCCATGTCCGGAGGAAAGGGTCCTCATCACATTCAGGCCCTCTTGGCCCCAGCGTCTCCAGTTTCCAGTCTTTAACGTAGGATCTCAGGATCCGTTGGTTTGATCCGATCGAGTGTTGCACGCGGAAGCAGCTGGAGTTCATTGGGGTGGTATTGGTATTACCACTGGATACCCTGCCACCACGCTGGTGGCCCCTGCGACCGGCCGGGGTCTAGCTCCGTACCGTACGGGGCCATACCCCGAACCCAGAACTCCACCACTGTTTACGGCCGAACGCACTTCATTTATTCCTCTTCCCTTTTCCTCTCCGTAATTTTCTTCTTTTTTTTATTCTTTCCAATGGAGGACCCTTGATTGTTTTTTCTTCAATCTCTGTTCATCTGTTCATTTCTATCTCCGCATCCCTGGGACTTTCGTGGTGACTGGGCCGACCTCCCCACGCGACAAGGCGGTCACCCCAAACAGACCGCGCGTGTCGATCGTAGGGATTATCGATAATCAACATCCAGCCTCTCACCTTTGCGCCGTTGGCTTTTCTCTCCGCCCTGGTCGGCTCCCCTGGTTTGTGGTTTGTTGGGTTGGATCTTGTACTCGGTGCTCACCCTCTTCCTCCTCTCTCTCCCTCTCTCTTCTCTCCATCCTTTTTTACCCGCTCGATTCTGTCGTGGTGGCAAATCCGCGCCATCGGCTGGTTCAGACGCTGTCATTCTGTGGTTGAGCCTGTGAGCGTGCCTCCGAGACTGGGGCGACCGCTGAAATCCGGATCCAGAGTTTCTCTGTTGTGTTTTTCTTCGCCTTCGCATCTTGCCTCTTTCTTTCTCTTCTCTGTGCCCCGCGCCTAGTTGTTTACGCCCCGTCGACTCCGGCTGGAAATCGCATCCGCCAACTCTGGAAGAAAAATCGGACCTGGACCCCTCTGATCAACACGTCCCGCCGTTGACGGCCATCGTTTGTTCTGATCAATACACCCCCTGGTTGGGAATTATCGCCTCGAAATGCCACTGTCGAATCGCCGCCGTGCGCGGCGCAAGGAAATTCAGTTGCAGGAAACCTCCGACGCGGAAGCACCAGATTCGTCGCCCAGTCGACCCTCCGCAAAGAAACGCAAAGTGAGTCTGATCCCGTTGGAGTAGTCTGGTCTGCGAGCAAATAATTCTCCGTGTGCCCCTCCCCCAAATATGGAACCCAAGGAAAGCTGAGACTGGAATGTGTGAATCCACAGGTTGATCGCCGCGCCTCCCCCTCCCGCACCGCTATCAAGGCGGAGTCCGGCGATGATGCCGAGGACTCGGCGGGCGATCATGACGCCTCCACGCATCAGGATATCGTAGACCTGGTGATTTCCTATCTCAACACCCCGCGCGAGGAACTGCGCGTCACACGCGACCACTCCAACGCCAAAACCGAGAACAAGCAGAGCATTCAGGCATATGCAAAGATCGCCGGCCGCAACTGGACCTACTACGTCAAAACCCTGCATGTCAATATCGGGCGCGAGCCGGACCGCGAGCAGAGATCAAATGAGCAATCCAGCCCCGTCACCATTGCTGCGCGTGCGCTCCCCGATGTCCACGTGGATCTGGGTCCCAGCAAGTTTGTTTCGCGCCTCCATGCGGAGATATTTTATGACGGCGAAGAGACGCCGGCATGGCATATCCGGGTCAATGGCCGAAATGGTGTTCGTCTCAACAATGTGATTCTCAAACGTGGCGCCGATGCCATTCTCTCCTGCGGTGATATCATCGAAGTGGCCAATTGCCAAATGATGTTTGTGACGCCCGGCGACGATGCCAATATTCACCCTAGCTTTGTTGAGCGTGCGCAGCGTATTGCCAATGGCCAAGAGCTGGACCCGGCCACCGCGGCTTGGGATCCCTCACAGCATGCCCATCCTTCCGCGTCCCAGGCCACAGATTCCGCTCGGCCGTCCTCGTCCGGTGGCCCCTCGCTGGCACCTCCCCCGAAATTTCTCAACCGCCAAGTTACACCGCCGCCGCGCTCGCCTGACACAGCTGGCAACCGCACAGTTAAGCACTCGCCGTTGTACAACCGCGGTATGATGATGGAGAGCACGGAAGAGATCGATTATAGCAAGGACGCAGCCAAGGACTTAAAGCCGCCTTACAGCTACGCCAACCTGATTGCCCAGGCCATCTTCTCCAGCGAGGAGGAGAAGCTTACCCTAAACAGCATCTACAATTGGATCATGGACAGATACGCCTTCTATCGACACTCGCAAAGCGGCTGGCAGAACTCTATCCGGCATAACTTGTCATTGAACAAGGCTTTCCAGAAGGTCCCACGTCGAACGGACGAGCCCGGCAAAGGAATGAAATGGCAGATCGCTGTAGAGTTCCGTGAAGAATATCGCAAGAAGCAGATGCGCAAGGGCACGCAGTCTTCTGCTCCGTCATCTCCCGCTACTAAAGAGCCTCCATCATCAGCACGTGGAACGCATGTTGCATCACTGGACACCTCATTCTCAGCCACAGCCAAGAAGTCCCCGCCTGTCTCATCCCCGGGTTTCAGTTCTTTCCCCGTGGCTCCCGTCGAAGCGTACACACCAGAGCGTGGCTCACGAGCCGGACGTGGTGTTGGCTCCGATCATCCTTTGCGTCATATGAACCCGCGCGACTACGAGGAACCTTCACCCCTGCCAGCTCGATCGCACGCCGCCAATGCCAGCTCAAGTCAAGCCCAGAACAGCAGCAATAATCTCAGCCGTGCCTATGGGCTCTCGGACAACGTTGCTGGGTCACCGCCAGTACTGTCCTCCTCGTACTATGACGACGGTCCGTCGTCGATGATTACCCCGGCCCCGCAGCGGCAACAGCCCCGCCTGCCCCCTCCCAGCACAGCACAGATCCCGTCCAAGTTCATGCCGATGAGCTCGCCAGCGCAATTCTGGAAATTCGCCGATATTGGTAGCACTCCGGCTCGGCCGGTGCCGGATATGAGCCCGCTAAAAGGCGAGCCCGAAGACCGCATTATCGGCGGCTTCCCGAGCAGTAGTCCACCTCCACCGAACCTGGTCAGCCCTAGTAAACCGGGCACCTCGAACGGCCTCGGCTCTAGCAGGACACTGCCACCCTTGCAATCCGATGGACCGGATCTAGGTCCCACTAGTGCGCGGAAGGAAGAGCGCATGGAGGATGAAGATGAAGATGATGCAGGCGGCTTCGATCTGGCTCGGTATGTTATCTCTCACCCCTTTCACCAAACATATAAACATTATCAATGCATAGGAGCAGTCGCTAACTTCGAATTTTCAGTGGCTTCCAACCCATTGGCTCGTATCATCGGCAATTGAGTAATGCAGCCCGCGCAACTGCGACTTGAGTGCGCACCATGAAGGTTGTTTTACCTGTTGACGCAGATTGTATACCTGTCTGTTGTGTTGTTTTTTTCTTCCGCTCCGCATACACCGGTGTTGGGCTGGTTCAATTTGTTTATCTTTACACATTTTTTTGTTGTTGCGTCCCCCGGGTTTCTTTTGATTCTTGCTGTCTTCAATATTTGCAGGATTTCGTGGAGTGCGGCCTGGAGTTTCGGGTGTGTCTTTTTAATGTGGTGTTAGGCGTCTTCCTTTCTCATTTGATGCCTGGTATGCTGCCTTGTTTTTTTGGGGGCGGGGGGCGGCCTTTTTGCTCTGCTTGTTTATCTTCTTTATGTATGCTGTTCAAGACTTCGGGTGGGGAAGGGCAGGCTTCTGTATGTAGTACGTAAAGCTAGTCCCTGTTGGATCCCTGTTTGATAAAATATATCAATACAACAGTTCCAAAAACTCTTAAGACCGCGCCTTGCAAGAAAGAAAAAAAGTATAGAAACTCCATTGTACTCGATAACATGCCTATTTTAAAGTGACTTAGTTTACAATCATGCCAATATCTCTCCCCTAGGTCTCCTCCCTCTCTCTTTCCTCTCTCTCGGTCTCTTCACGTTGAAAGACCACCCCCATCACTCCAGACTCGGCCAAAACTGCTCCTCCAACCAGACCACCTGCCTCCACCACTCCAAGCACCGTCCCCGCATCAACTCCGCCTCCTCAACGCCCTTAATCTGCGCCGCCATCTGATCAAGCACGTCCCCAATGCGATTCACAAACTCCTCAAACTCCGCACTCGACCAATTAGGAATGAACTTCTCGCGCAGCGCACCGCCATCTGCATCTGTCTCCGCGCGCCCTTCCGCCAGAAACGTCCGCGCATACCGCCATGACCGCAGATAGCACACCTCCGTCGCCCACAGCACCGCCAGTCCCTCCATCACCGACACCCCCGAGCTGCCCGCCGACATGAACATATCGATGTACGCGCGCGTCACGCGGTTCGCCGAAAAGAAAATCGGCCCGCCGCGCTCCAGCGGCGCCGCAGATGCCGGGTGCGCGCCGGCCGGGAGGCACGGCTCACACTCTGGCGGCTCCGCGGTGCGCAGATGGTGAGGCGATGGCGGCTCGCACACATCGCTACCGGCCTGCATCTGGCACTCGCCCTGGGTACTACAGAGACTGTGTAAGTGGTCTGCGTTAGTGTCCAAGCCAGCGGTGCGCGAGACCACGCCGGGACAGGAGGCCGACCCGGTGGTCGAGATGGCGGCGGAGGTGGTGATGGCGCCGCCCTGGGCAAGGCCAGCGCCGGCCTCGGGGGAGATGGCGGTCAGGTCGAGAGAGTAAGAGAGGGCGGTAGCTTCGAAGAAACGCAGTTCGGTGCGGATGTTGACGAGGGCATCGATGAGCAGGTCGACGGCGGTTTGCTCGAGGGTTGGGTGGCGCGGGGCGTCGGGGTTAGGGTTGCGTGCGGGCAGGCGAATCTTCGTGAGCAGCAGGCCAATGAAGCGGATGTAGGATTGAGCGTAGAGACGGTCTTGTGAGAGCCATTGGGAAAGGGTGGTTTTGGGGAGGGTGCCGCTACCGGCAGCTGCGAGAAAGGGGTGGTTTGTGGCGCGTTTGAGGGATTGCGGGGTGGCGGAGAGAAGCCAGGAAGTGAGAGGGCCTTGGCTGTTCATGATTTTGTTGAGAATTGAAAGTGTTCTCTTTTTTCGTGGTGGTATCTGGGGCCAATGGTCTGTCTCGATGGTGGGGGAGGGGATTTGTATATATTTAGCTGGACAGTGCGGTGGTGGAGGGGAAGCTGCGGTGGGGCAGTGCGGGATGAACACAGAACGATGTGGCTATGGCGTCAGTTTCGATAACCGATAATCAGAGGGGTTCGCCTTAAAATTAAGCTTATCGTATACTTCCCCTTGATTCCTGAACCCTTACCCATAACAACAACAACGCTAGTGCGAAGATAGAGAGGTACAAAATTTTGCAATTCAATAATCACCCCACTTCTCAAGTCATTTTGTCCTTTCCTCACCCTCAACTTTCGCTCCGGCTGCTTCTAGTGAAATCCCAATCAAACCCTCAAGCGCATATCGCGCATCATTACCGGCGTTGTGGAGATAATCTGCTTGAATGTTCAGTTCATTCAGCATCGCCCCCAGACTTCGAGGGCTGACATCACATCGTAGGCGCTGGAACAGTTTCTGAGTATTCATCACTTCAAGAAGGAATTGGCCTCCTGGTCGTGTAAGTCGCTCAAATACGATGCTGCGCGAATAAAGGACTTCAAGGTCTCGGTGAGGATCATGGCCTACCACCACTGCTTTCCGAAATGGTCTCTGATCAAGCGGGATGAGAGCAGCCCGAGGCTCTTTGTATTCCCATGGAAAGAGACACAGTTGATCCGTGTTGATTCCGAGATCATCATCGTCGACGAACTGACTTTCTCCAAACAAAAATTTGCTAGGACATCCTGCGACGTAATCTGAATTGACATGATGCTGATATTCTGTGACACGAAGATGGAAGGAGCGGATGTGCTTGATCCAGTTTTCACCCCGAGGCCCTGGCGCAATTCCTTGGAGATCGTAGGTGTCTAGAAGAGATAGTCCCACTTCAGTTACTTGGTTGGCATTCTTTTCATTCCACTCCACATCCACGCTGATGAAGTAAGGCATATGCTGGAATTCCCACCCAGGTGGCTCGGATGTGATGACTGGAGGCGACTGATCTCTCAAATAACAATTACCTTCCAGTGGAGGCCGGAGCCCAAAGTACGCCTGGAGCTGATAGAGGCCGCGAACAAGGTTGATTTCATTTTCATATTTTTGGGCTGTCTGCTTCTTCTGGGTTCTGTAGCCTTTCTTCCTAGAGGCCGCAGAAACAGCGACAGTGACCTTCTTTTGAAACGCGTCAAGTATTTCCTCTTCACAAGTCTGTATCCAACCGTGGCCCCTGAAAGTCGGTGCGGGAATGCTGTTCTCAAGTTCATCCTTTGTATTCCGATCCTTGCTCACTCCTAGGAACTTTGGCACAGGAGTTCCATCGTTCGAGTCGAAATAAATAACTAGGCCCTCCTGATTTTTGCCCATCAGAGACAACGAACAGTTGAGTGCAGCGTTGATCTCATCAAAAAAGGCCTTAGCCTGCAGAGCTGGTATGAGTAAAAGCTTGCGCTCGCTTATACTCGCGGGGATTTCTAGGTAGTATCTTTGCTATATCAGTGTTTCAGCTCTTCGAAGCCTCACAGGTGGACTTACAGATCCCAGGTACGGCACCAGAATTTTCCACCATCGAAAAAGTGCGATGCAATCTGCCGAGAGATATCAGGTATGCTTGAGAGAAACCTGAATGGAAACTGCGCCAGAGCACGACCTGGACAGAACGCTGTGGAGAGCTTGTCATCGACAACCAGAGTGGAGCAGGTCGCGCTCACCCCCGGAGCAGCGGCCTCTACAGCCGTAGACGTGGTCTCCTGCGTTGACTGATTATACCTTGTCAGCATGTCAAGCCACTCATATTTCTGTACATACCATAGGAACTTGGCTGCTCATCTGACGCTGGGTGTGGGGGTCGACCCCACCAGTAGGCGAGGACCCGATCAGGCGTTCGTTCATTTTAGCGTCCAGGGTAAAGAGTCCCATATCATCCTCGAGCAGCAGCTGGAGACGATTGAATTTCTCCATTATGAATATTGTATAATCGAGAAGAGAGATTCTGGTGAGTCAAGACTTGGAGGTCAAGAAAGAGAATTGTGTTGTGTTGGAGAGATGGAAGGAGAATAAAGCAATTTGAAGGAAGGTGAGAGATAGTGAAGTTGCGAAGTGAGTGTGTCAGCACTGACTTAAAAGTATACCGCCGACACACAGAAAAGTGAGTGGTTTTACCCGCCAGAACAAGCCGTTATATTGAATCTTAACTTTATGATCTGGCATTGCATTGGTCTGGCGCTGCAATAGATATGAGAAAGTAGGTGATGTATTTGTGCTAAGTATTGATTGATTCAAATTCTAATTTAGTTATCAAGTGAGCAAAAGGTATTGAGGTGAAGGAAAAGTGCTAGGAGAGGAGTATCAAGTAAAAGGAGCGAAGTCTCCCTTCATGCAACCTAGTACTCGGTTCGATTACAGCAAATAGTGCCGTCCAAGATCTACCATGCAAAATTCAAACACCCGGTGCATTAATTAAAGATGAAACCTTGGTGGATCTCAATATATGCTTCAGTGCAAGTCCCAAACAAGAAGGTTGCAAGATATACTTCTTGTTTAGGAAATCACTTGTCACGTGCCCGGAAAAATGATCGGCCGATTGTTTGGCACCTGCAGCTCCAGGCAATCGCCGACCTCGTCCTTCCAGGTCTCGTCGATGTTTGATGCTGTGGGGGCGTCATTTGCCGTTCTTTGCGTCCATTTTTTTCTCTGGATTATTATACCGTCGCCGATTGTTCTCTGGAGCACTCTGCGGCCTTGACGGACGTGCCTTGTGACCCGCAAGATGCCTATGACAGACGAGACTGACCACAGCGGCGGGGTCATTCTGGATGGCCCCTTTGATCCAGATGCCCAGGCGACAGTTACGGATTATATTGACTATACCGAATACCTCCCAGCCGATCTCATCCGCTCTTTGACCCTGATCCGAGGCCTGGACGACCGATACCTCGACTCGGCGCATTCAGTACACAGTCTGGCCAGGACTTACGGCCAGCTCCCTGACCTTGCATCCGATGATCGACCAAGCGCTATTAGCCTCCGCAGAGAGATTTCGCTTCAGCTTGATCGCGCAATCAATGCGCGCGAATCTGCGTACGCCGAAGCTTGTCGCGTTTACGACGTCGTGGATCGTCACTTTGACCGGCTGAGCTGTATCAGACAGAAGCTCGATGCGCTACCACGGCCCCCTTCCACGGAACCGACGCCTCCCCCACAGCCTACACCCAAACGTGCACGCCCAGGGAAGAAAGATACCTCATCTACAACGCGTATAACCCTGCGTCTGGATAATCGCAAGCGCAGTAGTGGCACACAGAAGTCTAGGTCGCGCCGTTCAGGTTTGGTGGCAGATCATCTGGCTGATTTCAATCCGGATTCCCCTATTGCAAGCACTGAACATTCGGATGAGGAAGCTGAGATCGAGCTTCCTCCCAAGCCAGCCAGACCCCCTAAGAAGGAAAAGGCTCGTCGTCTGAGTTCGGGAGTGGGGGTTTCGACGAGCAATGCCCTTGCAATGCTCAAGCCGCCACCTGATGATGCTAAGATTGGAAGTGAGGATTTGCCATGGTTGCGCTTGACTGAGTGGGAGATGACAAAGTTGCGCAAGAAAATGAAGAAGAACGCTGTCTGGCAGCCCAGTGAAGTCATGATTCACCGTGAGCTTGCCCTTGCTGGTCGTGGCTGGGAAGCTTATCGAACAGCTAAGGCTCTAGCGGATGAGACTGGTGCTGAGTTTGTCGACTGTGATGATATTGAGACCACACGCCGCGATGAGATGTTCAAGGACCTAGAAGAGACCAAGCTAAGCAACCGTGGGATGAAGCTGAACGAAGCTAAGAAGCTGAAGCGTGAAATGCTTGCGCGAGAAGCTGCTCTACACGGAGAAGAGACTCCATTCAAGCAAGCGGCTATCGCTGCGCAGGGCACTCCGGCTAGTCGATCATCGCGCAAGCGAAAGAGAGAGGAGATAGCAGTTGAAGAGGTAGCCATCGAAGAGGAAGATGTCGCCCCGGAGCCTGTACAAGAACCGGCCCCAGTTCCCAGACCTAGTTCTACGCGCCGCAGATCCAGTCGAGGTGCGACCACCAATGGACCAGCGGGTGCACCTGCAGCCCCAGTGCTACTTGCAATTGAAACTCGAATATCACCTGCCGCCGAAGCAAGACTATCCCCCGCCTTGCCCTCTCCAACTGGATCCCGTCGGTCCACGAGATCAGCTGCCCACCCCGCCAGTGCCAGCACACCCACACCCCCTGTCACCCGACCTTCATCTAGACGTTCTGCTGCCGCCACCTCTGAACTGGGAGGTCTCTCTACAATCGCTGCTGCCGGGGGACGAGATGTACGCATAAAAAGTGCGACTCCCGCTCGCAAGACTCCTGTACGGGAGCTGTCCCATGCGCCCAGTGTTCCTGCGCCGACTCGACGTCGTAAGCGTCCCGCTCCTGGTCCAGTCTCATCTGGTCAGGATGGTGGCGCCGCTGTTAGTTACGGACGACGTAAAGCGAAGCCAGGTAAGAAACGCATTAGCGTTCAGAACTCACAGGATATTCGTGTCGATGAGGACGGGGTGTTGGAGGAGATTGACGCGAATGAGCCCCGATATTGTCTTTGTGGGGACGTGAGCTTTGGAACCATGATTTGCTGTGAGAACCAAGATGTAAGTTTATCTCACCAACGCCTGTCTACCGGTTCGTGTTTTACTGACTTCCAACCCCCTAAGTGTGATCGTGAGTGGTTTCATCTCGAGTGCGTCGGCCTCTCCGAGGTACCTTCTCGCACCGCTAAGTGGTACTGCCCTGAATGCCGGGTCAAGTTTCACAAGGGAACCGACGGCATTATCAAAGGGGGATCGCGTCGATGAACAGTCCAGGCTGAAGTCAACCGGGAGAATTTGTATGATACCATGATATGCGTTGAAGTTCTGTGGGGCTTTTGATTATGGAGTTGGCGGCCAATTGAGTCCGGCGTTGTCATTGATTTCAAACATCCTGGGGTTTTCTTGTGCCTTTTTTTGTGCTCCAGCGAGCTTGATTCCCATCTGATTACCCTTTTGCGCATATGTATTGGACCCAGGCTTAATATCGCTTTGATAGGCGTTTTTTCATTCACATTCTGTATTTACTACATTCAATCAATTGCTCATTCATATGTACCAATTACTTTAGCTCCCACTTGTCTCCCTCCGAAACAATCTCTACTGGCCGCCGCTCATCCAGGGACTTGCGACCAGCGTCCAGGATGGCGGTGGTGGCAATGGTGTTCCTCAACGTCGGGAGCGGGCGAGCATCCAGCTGGTCGAGTGTGACCCGTCCCTCATTGACAGCCGTCACAGCGTCAATGAATTTTTCGAAGCTGACATAGCCATAGCCAGTCTGACCGCCGAAGTTGCCCTCCTCGTCGGGAGCATAGCGCATATAGAAGCTACCATTGAAGAGTCAGCTAAGCCGTCCCTGTGGTTCTTATGCTGTTTCGCGGTGGTAGGAAGGTGTCACTTACGGGTTCACCCAGATCAAACCCTGGTCGTCACCAGTCACATCGTAGCCGCGCTTGGCCTGGTTCACACGGATCTCGCCGTTGGCGCCCATATCTGCGTTAAAAAGTATGTTAGCCCGGAATTGCACAGTAAGCCTCGAGCTCACGGTGTCCAAAACTGACAGTGGAAATACTGATTCGAGTGCACGCCCGCATTCTGTGGTGCGGTCCAGCTGGCCGTGTACACGCCAGTCGCGATCTTCGCCGGGTTATCCTTGCGCCGCCACTCCACCAGTAGCGTAATGGTATCCTCGGTCTCAGGGACGCAGCCAATAGATGCCGCAATGCCCTGGGATGCCGTTGCTGTGACCCGCACAGGCTTGTAGTCCGGCACCATACTCTCGTTAATGTCGATGTGGTGGGAATTCAGGTAGTATGAGATATCGGAGTCGCGGCCGGCCCACGCCTTGAAGGTCTCCAGCTGGCTCTTGGGCTGGCTCATGTAGCTGTAGAAGTAGTTGAAGTCGCCGAGGGTGCGGGCTTTGGCGCGCGCGTCCGAGTATGCCGGATCGAAGCGCTTGTGGTGCTCGACAAAGACGAAGACGCCGTGCTTGCGCGCGGCCTCGACCAGGGCCAGGTGGTCGGCCAGACGCTGTGTTGCGGGCTTGGTGATCATGACGTGGATGCCGCGCTCGATAGCATACAGAGCAATGGGGAAGTGGGTTGGGTCGGGGGTGAAGATGGTGATGGCGGAACCCTTGGGGAGGGCATCAATTGCCGTCTTGTAGGCATCCGGGTCGGTTTGGTCATCGGCAGGGAAGGAGGTGAAAGAGGTGTCGAGGCTGTTGTATACTTGAGAGATGTTACGGTGCAGATGGTCACCTGAGAGAAATGGTCTGAGTCTTGCGAGCTTTTCGTCCAGTCTTTGGTCGTGGACTTACGAATGCCAGGGAACTTCTTGCCCGACACGCCCACCATGCTCAACTCGCCCACTTTACCCCGACGACGCAGGTCGAACAGAGTCAGGCCAACCACGCCGACCTTCTTGTCTGAACCAGATGCACCACCACCGACAAAGCCGGTGGTGTACTCGCCGGTGCCGACCTGACATCTCGTTAGCTTTGCGCGGAATGCGACAAGTCAATTAGGGCATACCATCAACACGCTAGGAGGGGCCATGATGATTGCTGTGTATGTAGTGGAGAGCAGAAGGAGAATGTAAGGAAGAGAATAAAGAGAGAGGGAGGAATGGGAATAGAAAAACCAATTAATTCAATTGATGGGGTCGTTTCGTTGCTGGACGTAATTCTTCCGGCGTTTGAAAAGACAACGTCAATAGCCGACTCCATATCTTATCGATGCGGGGCAGCCAGGAACATGGGTCGTTCGACCTTGTTTTATGGCTGCCTTTGAATGCATCTGCGGTTTCTTTCTTATTAGGTCTCTGCTATTGTTGCTGCGCATTGAATACACTCATTCTCCCTCGACTGTCAAGATGAGCAGGCAGGTACATAGGCACTGAACAGCCTCGCGTAACGGACTCGCGTCGCAATCTCCCGAAGCCCCTCCTCCGCGAAATACCCCCACATTTCGTCACTGGTCGGCTATTGGTGGAACAATTTTATCCGCCATACAGAAGGCGTCGGGCAATTCGCCGACGTGGGGGAGGGTCAAGAGGGAAGAGGGAAGAGGGAAGGCCATGGGACGTTAAAAACGACTCGAGCTTCTGCTCCTCTGGAATACTTCTCTAACTCCTCCCCCTCCCCCATAATCTGCTGTAAGTCCGTCCTCCCAACCTGAAAAGGATACCAATATATCCAGACGTTGTTTGCATGTATAGAATCCTCTCTAATTCAAATCTAGCATCATGCCGTTGACTCCACTCCGCCCCGGCGTTTATGCGCCGACGATGACCTTCTTTGACCCGGTCACTGAAGATCTCGACGTGGCTGCAATTCGCCGCCATGCGGTTCGTCTGGCTAAGGCCGGCCTGGTCGGATTGGTTACCATGGGCTCCAACGGTGAGGCCGTGCATCTCACCCGCGAAGAGCGCATGACTGTCACTCGCGAGACTCGCTCCGCTCTGGACGAAGCCGGGTTCTCAAACGTCCCGGTCATCGCCGGTGCCAGCGAGAACAGCACCCGAGGCTCCATCGAGCTTTGCAAAGAGGTGGCCGCTGCGGGCGGCGAGTACGCCCTTATTGTGCCGCCTAGCTACTATCGCTATGCGGTTGGGAACGATGACACTATCTATGACTTCTTCACTAGCGTCGCCGACCAGTCCCCCGTTCCATTGATCCTCTACAACTACCCTGGTGCCGTTGCTGGCATCGACATGGACTCCGACCTTCTCATCCGCATCTCCCAGCACCCCAACATCGTCGGCACTAAGTTCACCTGCGCCAATACCGGCAAGCTGACCCGTGTCGCGGCTGCCCTCGGAGCCGTCACCCCTCCCTCTCCCCTGGCTCCGGCCCAGCGTGCGGCCCCGACCGTCTCCAAGCCGGACGCTAAGCACCCCTACGTCGCGTTCGGCGGCATCGCCGACTTCACCCTGCAGACTCTGGTGTCTGGCGGGTCTGCCATCCTCGTTGGCGGTGCCAACGTTATCCCCCGTCTGTGTGTGCGCATCTTCAACCTCTGGTCTGAGGGTCGTCTGGCGGAAGCTATGGAGGCTCAGCAGCAGCTCAGCGCGGCCGACTGGGTCCTCACCAAGGCTGCCATTCCTGGTACCAAGTCGGCTATCCAGTCGTACTACGGCTATGGCGGGTTCCCCCGACGACCTCTAGCTCGTCTCAGCGATGCTCAGGCCAAGGAGGTCGCCGACAAGATCAAGGACGCCATGGATGTGGAATTGAACATCCTGAAGGATGCGGCGTAATGAGTGGATGACGTTGTTGGAAATGGACGTAAAGAATTACCATGTTGTATATGATCATCTGATGAATTGATACGGGCAAAGACCCTCTCCTTGACGGTTCAGTATGAGCTCCCGTAGGCTGTAATCAGTACAAGGAATCTCCTTACCACGCATGTAGATTTGCTGTGCATTCTTGGTGCCATTGTCCTTCCCCGAGTTCCAAGCTCCAAGCTCCAAACCCTAAGCACGAGCCCTACACGATTCTGGCGGGGAAGAGCGAATTTGTCTTATCGACGATAAGCAGGCCCGCAATCGGGTTTCTCTCGCGCCCGTCATAGGCGGAAAATTATCTGGTCGGAGTTGATACGAGCGTTTATCCATCACTAAATGTTGCCTCATGCATCTCTGCCGCTTCTACCCGCCCTGAAGTCATCCTAGAAAAGTATACACTGCAGAACTTGAAGAAAATACAGAATCAATTTCACCTTTTCCAAGCGTCAAGCACATTCTCTGGTCCTCTGGGGTCTCGGCAGCGCGAAATTTCACCTCTCGGGCGAGAATACTGCGCGAATATACTTCGGGTTTTTGTTGCCCGAAAATGCCCCATCCCGGTACCATGTCCGGAGTGGATATTCGAGGCGTGGCACGGGGTCACTCCAGAGAGTCTGGGCAAATCCCACATCATGGATCGTGAGGCCGCGGACCGTGCTCTGAAATAGGAGGAGAGTAGGTTTTTTTCTCTTTTTTTTTTATTGCGTGTTGAGTGCCCCGCGTGGGGGCAGACCTTGCTGGATATATACCTTCCCGCACCTCCAGTTCTTGGGCTCTGGTTTTCTTCTTCTTTCTCCGTAGACTCTGTGCTGTGTACTAGATCCTAGATCCTTATCTAGGCTCTGTCAAAAAGACAAAAACACACTCTTCCTCCTTCATCCCTTGACCCCGATTGATCACAATGCCGTACCCCGACGAGGCAGAGGGCTTCCAGGTGGATGGCCCGAATAGCTTTACACAGTTCCACAAGCGTTTCGTAAGTTTGTGGCTCCATGTTCGGATTGCTACGGATGCCATGAATGCTTATTGACCTGCGAACTACAGTTTAAATTGAAGCCGTTCGGTGATTATGGTGCGGAATTTCTCGCCGCTGGTTGGAGGCCCCGAACGCTGTTTCTAACTGGTTTCTACAGATGTGGATGTGAAGATTGAGGCGTGCGGTGTGTGCGGCAGTGATGTCCACACCATCAGCGGTATGATTACCATAGTATCGCCTTGCCGGGATAGATACTGACAAGCCGAGCAGGTGGATGGGGAGACCAGAAGTTCCCGCTCTGTGTAGGACACGGTGAGCACATCCTTTCGCCTCAAGTCCGGCACGTTCTGTGTGCAAAGAGAATAGCCCTTCTAATCGATGTTCTATTCTAGAAATCATCGGGCGAGCGATTCGCGTCGGCCCGAAAGTCACCCTCATCAAAGAGGGCCAGCGCGTCGGAGTCGGCGCCCAGTCGTACTCGTGCGGCGAATGCAAGCAGTGCCGCAACGACAATGAAACATACTGCCCTGTACAGATGATGGACACCTACGGGTCAGAGTGGCCGGAGACTGGCATCGTCAGCCAGGGCGGCTACTCGTCCCACGTGCGCACCCACGAGCACTGGGTGTTCCCTATTCCGGATGCTCTGGACAGCAACACCGTGGCGCCCATGCTGTGCGCGGGCTTGACGGCGTACTCGCCACTCGTGCGCAACGGCGCCGGGCCGGGCAAGAAGGTAGGCATTGTTGGGCTCGGTGGAATCGGGCACTTCGGCATTATGTTCGCCAAGGCGCTCGGAGCGGAGACATGGGCGATCTCGAGGTCGCGGGCGAAGGAGGCGGACGCGCGGAAACTAGGCGCGGATGGATACATTGCGACGGCGGAGGAGGGCTGGGATGAGCCGCACCGGTTCTCGTTTGACTTGATCATCAACTGCGCGAACTCCTCGGAGGGCTTCGACCTCGCGCGCTATCTGTCGATGATGGATGTGCACGGTCGCTGGGTGAGCGTGGGCCTGCCGGAGGAGGAAGGCCAAATCATCAAGGCTCAAAACCTGATTGCTAACGGCGTTCTCATTGGTGCCAGCCACCTGGGCAGTCGTCGCGAGATGCTGGAGATGTTGCAATTGGCGGCCGACAAGGGGCTGAAGGGTTGGGTCGAGGAGATCCCCATTGGCGAGGAGGGCCTCAAGGAGGCGATGCTGCGTATGAAGAAGGGCGATGTTCACTACCGGTTCACCTTGACGGGGTATGAGAAGGTCTTTGGTTAGGTTCTAGGTATGATGGTCGGGAGCTAGGCGTTTCGGGAAGTTGCGGCCTTGAGAAAGGATGATACTGGTAGATGGGGGGTTGGGGTGGGTTGGTGCTTAAAATGAACATTTAACTCTTCACGAAAATACCGATGACATTGAATTCTCATGCAAGTCTACTTCCGTCGTGATATTGTTATAAATCCCCGGTATCCGTATGAAAACATAGATGTTGTGCGGCCTGGTCTCTACCTGGACCCTGTATAGAATATGTACACGTTATTGTCCAAGGCCAAGCTTGTAGTGTCTCACGCATCATTGGGTGTAGATATCAATTACCTGAACCAATACACTTATAGGCAGGGCGTGCTGGATGGGGAAATAATAACCACGCATATTACTTCCTTGAACATGACAACAACTACATAGAACAATATATAACACGCTGATGTGAACGCTCATACATTGTTGGGGAAGAGTGGAGACTGGGTCTGAATAAGAATATCATTGTAAATAATAATGTCTTGCCTGTCGTTCGCTTCGAGAATCTTGCAGGGTATGTTTTACTTGGCCCGCCCGCTTGAGACCGGGGTTGTGGCACCGCATTCCTCATAGTGGATCGATCGATCCACCAGGGAGACAGATCTGCGGCATGCTTGTTCTCCCACTTGAAAGCGTTTCTTACTGTTGCACGACTCCGTATAGCTCATGAATGCTTGCCGCATCTCATACCCGAAGACCGAGAAAAAACCAGTCCAAGTTCAGCCCCTACTTTGCCCGATCAGCCGTCAAAGGTGATGCAACCTTGGCTCCGGAGGCCTGAACCGCCACCCAGGGAGCCCGAAGGAAATAAGTCGGGTTGACCGCGCGGGATGCACGGAGTACTTGGTACTTGATTCCCTCGCGGTTGGTGGCTGGAAATCAAGTAGCGGTACTCCGCATCTTCCGCAAATCCCCCATGATTTTGCCTCCGCGGGCGCGCCAAAGAAAAAAAAATTCTTATCCCTGCAGGACCAGAAAGCGAGGGAGGTACAGAATACATAGTGGTTGGCTTGAAAAGCCCTGGCGATAGAAGTCTCTGGTACTCCGTGTGATGTCGTTGGCCGCAAAGCCAATCACCCGCCGCCATTCACCGCCCGAAACCCTTTCAGGCCCGTTCGTCCTTGATTCTTGAATTCTTTCCGCCGCTCCCTTATTTTTGACTTCCTGTGCCATTTTCTTTCATTTTTCTTTTCTGTTGTGGTGTTCTACTCTCCCAGTGTATTCGCTCTCTTGTCTCCTTTTCTCGTTTGGATCGTTTGTTGTTCTTTTGTTACAGTCTTTATATACCCTCGATACATCCTTAGATCCTCCTTGCGCCGCGGCAACCGGACCAACCTGCACCGCACGAGAGGAAACATCGCAAGATCACCAAGGGCCAGCAGGTTGCCCATTACCGTTCGCTACTCGATACACCTAGACCGGAATCGGGAAAAGTTCAGTCGTTTTTTGACCTTATACAACGTCCGCTTCGCTGTGGACGCCCAACACCTCGGTCGTTGATTACTCGCCTCCCCCCGTTGCCCTCACAAGCAGCAACGTCATGTCGCCACGAGATAACACCGTGGGTCCCCAGAGACGCCGCCCGTCACTCTCAATTCGGTCATGCCCGCGCACCGCCGCGTACCCAATCGCCCTCCCGAAGGATTACACATTCGATCAGTGGCAAACGACCTCCCTGGTGGAGGCGTGCGATGGGGATAGTTCAGCAGTGGAGGACATGGAGCCCTTTCCAGAGGCTGTGCCTCGACGCCGTGCGGCGAAGAGCTTCTCTAGTCTGCGGCACCCCATGGATGGCTTAGTTGCTCTGGGCCGCCGGCTGTCCGTCACCCTGCGCAACAAGTCGTCCAAGCAGAACATGCGTGTTGCCGCAGAAGAGCAGGATGACGATCGCCGCCACTACCACCACGTTTCGGGCCACTCCAATCATAAGAGAGGCATGGCATCAGGCAACTGGGGGCTTCGATCTCGAGCCTGGTCCCATGGCCCTAACGTTCGCAGTATTAACCGTCGTCCTTCCTTGAACAGCGTGTCGGCGCTCCAGGGATTCTATGCCCCAACCGCATCCATCCCGGCGCCTATTCCAGGCCATGGACGGGAACCGCCTATTCTTCCCAATGATATGTCTGCGGGCGCGGCGGCACGGGCTGCGGCTGCTGCGCAGAATGAGCAAATTGAGTTGGCTAAGTTGGAAATGCTGAAGGCGGAGCGTGAGATCATTGTTAAGAGCTCCGAAATGAGATTGACACAGGACTCGGAGAGCGGGATTGGGATTGACTTGCGGGACCGCTCCGAGTGCTCCGATACAGAATTGGATGTGGTTCGCCTCGGTAAGACTCATCAAAAACATCTCTGGTTTCTCTTGATTGCCTAGCTAATCGTACTATAGATCCATTTTCCTACCTGCCGACCGAGATTACAGCTCAGATTCTGTCACACTTGGATCCGGTATCCCTGATGAACGCAGAGCTGGTATCAAGCGATTGGCATCACCAGGCGTCCTCCCCCCATGTCTGGAAGCATGTCTTCCGTGGCGCCTATCCTCGTCGTCAGACTAGCTCCACCTCGCACAAAAAGAAGCAGTCTCTCGGCCTGGGTAAGTCCATTCCGAACCAGGATTGGAAACGAATGTTTCTTGTTCGGCGCGCCCTCGAGCATCGCTGGAAGGAGGGAAAGGCTGCAGCAATCTATCTCCACGGTCATACTGACAGTGTCTACTGCGCGCAATTCGATGAAAAAAAGATTATCACTGGTTCTCGCGATCGCACTATTCGTGTTTGGGATGCCCACTATCCCTGGTCTTGTCAGAAGATCATCGGACCACCCCCGGGCGATGTCTCTATCGCTGGCCCTGTAAACAATCCAGCTCAGCAGGCCACTGGCAAATCTCCCTTTGCGACCATTTGTCCGCCATCGACTCCTTCCTCGGGAATCATGGCCCCGATGGAACACCCAGCCAATTACCACAGCGCTTCGATTCTTTGCCTGCGCTTTGACGAGGAAATTATGGTGACTGGGTCTTCGGACTACACCTGCATTGTGTGGGATATCAAGAATGACTATCGACCCGTCCTACGCCTTTCTGGACACCGTGCAGGTGTGTTGGATGTTTGTTTCGATGATCGGTATATCGTTTCTTGTTCCAAGGATAGCACTATTTGCATCTGGGATCGCAAAACCGGCGCGCTCCTCAAGCAGCTTCTCGGCCATCGTGGCCCTGTGAACGCTGTGCAACTCCGGGGTGACCTCGTGGTCTCGGCCAGTGGGGATGGTGTCGTCAAGCTGTGGAATGTTACCTCCGGTCATTGCGTCAAGGAGTTTCCTAGCAAGGACCGCGGCCTTGCCTGCGTCGAATTCAGTGATGATGGCCGTACCATCCTCACGGGCGGTAATGACCGTACCATTTACCAATTCGATGCCAACACTGGGGAGATGGTCAATGAGCTCAAGGGACATACTGGTTTGATTCGTTCGCTTCACCTTGATAGCATGAACAAGCGGATTGTCAGCGGCAGTTACGATATGAGTGTCAAAGTATTCGACACCGACTCTGGCGAGCTCTCCATTGACCTGCCCGGTTGGACCACCAGTTGGATGCTGAACGTCCAGTCAGACTACCGCCGCATTGTCGCTACTAGTCAGGACTCTCGGGCTGTAATTATGGATTTCGGGTATGGATTGGACGGCATTGAACTGCTCGAAGATTGATTTAAGTTGAGATTGCATCTCTCTATATAATATTTGTGTCTTTTCTCCTTCGGTTCAGCGTTGATTTTGGAAATTTTGGGTATATCTGGAGGAGTTAGAAAAAAAATTGGGACCTGGGACTTACCAGGCTGGCCGGAGGACAGGGATCTGTGGGCATAGAAGATCCATGCTTATATTTCTAGAATTCTTGGCGCGGAAATCATATTATACCATTTTTGACAGTTTGTCTTGAATGCATTTGAGCTTGCTTTCTCTTTGATCGCAACAACCATTTCGGAATACACAATGCTAGACTACATCGATAATTCCGCCTAAGGCACAAATATTATATAAGCTCACATGATTGGCCCCAGTGGTGTTTAGCGCCTCCGTGATCCGTGGGTTTTGGCATCAAAACAATCCCAATTGTTTTTCCATCAACACAGACAGGTAGTTGCTGGTCCAGAGACCCCTGATCTTGCAAAGTCCTCATCGTGTTTCGCGCCTCCCACATTTTCCTCTCCCACCTCCACAACTCCGTCCCCTCGCGTTCTCCGGCAACGTCTCTCATTACCCCACCATGGGTGAATCCAGGTATGGCTTTTTCTCCCTATCGACAATCGCCCCCTGAATGGCATCGGGATATCGGCTAATTGTGATTTCTATCTAGGCAAGAACTTCTGGCATGGTTGAACAACCTGCTCCAGTTGAATATCACCAAGATTGAGCAGTGTGGAACCGGGTATGATGAACCGAGCACCCCTCTCCTCCCCCCTGAGGGTCCCTGGCGATGGATTTGAAAGAGAATGGATGGATGGAGACTGACGGGGGTTTTGAATTGCATGCAACAGTGCTGCACTATGCCAGATTTTCGATTCTATTTTCAGTGAGTCTAGCCGTTGCGAATATCTCCAGATCAGAGGCGGTCAAAATCCGCCTAGATTTTTTTCTTCCTCTTTGGTTACAATCGATATTGATACAAGGATCTTCTACCTCTATAGTGGATGTGCCCATGTCTCGGGTTAAGTTCAACGTCAACACCGAATATGCCTATCTCCAAAACTTCAAGGTCCTCCAGAGTACGTGCCGACGACTGGTTTCCGAAGTCCCGCCGACCTGAACACCTCTCCATCTAACGCTTCCATGCACCTCGTTTCAGATGTTTTTGCCCGCCACGCTGTCGACAAGCCGATCCCCGTCCAATCACTTACCAAATGCCGCATGCAAGATAATCTTGAGTTCCTCCAGTGGACTAAGAAATACTGGGACCAACACTACCCCGGTGGTGAATACGATGCCCTTGCTCGGCGAAAGGCCTCCGGCGCTCCAACTACCGCCCCCGGCGCTGGTTCGCGTGCGCCCTCAGCCGGTTCGCGAGGCGGAGCCACTCCGACTGCGGGCGTCTCGCGTGGTCCCCGAGTGGCCGCCCCGGCGGGCGGTGCTGCATCTGCGGCGTTGCAGCAGGAGATTGCGACACAGAAGGAGGCCATTGCTGGTCTCGAGAAGGAGCGGGACTTCTACTTTGCCAAGCTGCGCGACATTGAGCTGTTACTCCAGAACGCCATTGATGAGAACCCGGATCTGGAGAAGGATGAAGACTCGTTGGTGAAGCACATCCAGGGCATTCTATACTCGACTGAGGTGAGTCCCCCATTCCGGCCTGATCGCTTCCGGTGATTGTGAGGGCGAAATTGGATGGCTAACGGGTTGATAGGATGGATTCGAGATTCCCGAAGCTGAGGAGGGCGTGGCTGACGAACTGGAGACGTTCTAAGCGGTCAGGTCCGGGAGAGAGCAGCGTCCCATCATCTAAATACCCCCGCCATTTTATGTTTCTTTCGCCAATGAGAGCGTAGATAGTGAATTTCACTCAGCCCATGGCTCCTAAATAGGGAGCTGATCTGCGGATGTTGACTGTTTTGTGTGCTTGCGAGGCCTGCCATCATTACGTAGGACAGAAAAGACGTGCACCCACTGAATTTCGAACTGGTGCCAACGGCAGGGCCGGTCGGACAGGACCACAGGACCCGTGGGGCCGAAGATAAAAAAAGAGCGGTGATCAGAGGTATTCTGGGGCGATCTGAGAGAGGTTGAGGTAACACACTGTAGCTACTGATTATTGGCTGCGGGCAGCCAGTAGCGTGACAAGTCCTTGCGGAGGACGAGCAGCACCATGCTTACCTAACTCTGCACAGTCAATCATTGCAGCGTCCACGCAGCGCGAATAATAAGATTCGAGCCACTAATTCTCGAATCGTATGGATGTGCTGCGTCCAACTGCGTCCAACTGCCTGAGACGCAATTAAACCTGCAGTGGGACTAGTCCGGTTGGGGCCTAGTGTGGCTGGCCAGAACACTCAGGCCAGTCCCACCTGTCACGCGTGATGGTACATGACTGGCTGATCCCGTCGTGTACCTGCAGCCACGCTTTACCTATCCGGGAACCAGGTTTAACACTCCTCTCCTCACAGCATCTCGTTGATCATGGAAAACCATAACAAAAACATTCAATCCGTGCCAAATTTCAGAAACAAAGCCTCCAAAACTGGTACTGGCCCCAGACTCAATTACGGATAGCGAAAGTCCCTGGACCTTGGACCCTGGGAGGAGGATCTCGGCCCCCCGGGCTAGTTCGTCACCACACGGGTCGCCTAGACTTGGCTTCGATAGGGGAGTGTTTGGTCCGGTCTCGCCTCTGTTCCACTTCCGCTTTTTCTCTTCCTCTGGCTCCAACGGCTTCCGGAATTCCCCCTCTTCTCGCAAGAGTTGAACTGGTTCGCGAAGCAGAGTGCTGTGCCTCCTCTCATAGATTTTCAGAGTGAGATTGCGCCCAGTGCGTTTCTTTTTCGCTTCGCCCTCACGTCAGACCCATAGGTGCCCCGGGGTCACCACTGATATCTCTCTGGTGCAATAGCTGTTTGGGGTCGAATTTTCCTCGACAACGCCATGGCTTAAGCCCTGGCACCCCCTCTTCATCGCTCTATTGTCTTCTTTTTCACTCTTTTTATCCTGGTACGTTGCCTGGCTGCATTCCTCGGGCGCGAGGAACATGGAAATCGCGTGGCAATGGATGATCTCCCGGATGGAATGAATGAATTGCTGACAGACCCCTCCTCTAGGCATCTCTAGTCACTCGCTGAATGTGCTTCGTTCATTCCTGATCTGAACTGTTGGCGACACAAGCAGCCAACATCCACTCCTTACTCTAACGCCCCGTCATTCTCTCCTTTACCTCAGATCGTGGTCAGATTCATTCGTTTTATTGAAATTGCGGGCAAGACCTGCTATTTAAATCCCATCCGAAATCTTCTCTTCGCTTGTCAATCCCAAAAGTCACTTTCCTTCCGAATCGTGTTGTGGGCTGGTCGACCCAGTTCCGACCTCTGCGAGGATCCACGACATCCTTTTATTTCGTCTTCGACTATCAAATCTTTCCGGCTACGCCGATAGCCTGCAGAATGGCTCGACATGGTCATTACCGCCATGACCGGATAGACAGGATCATCAGGGCTAAGCACCTGCTGGAGGAAAGTGAAACCGATCATGGACCCGACAACAAGATCGATATGCATCTTGGTGTGGATATAATTCAGAATCCTGTCCTTCATTCTTCCGAGATCCTCTCGACAACTGAGAATTGCGACCCATTACAAAACATCACTTGTCCCGATGATATTCCAGATACCACTGAGATCTTGCTATCAAAACGACAAGAGGCGGAGGCAGCCTCGAGCACTGTGGTCGAAACAGTCGTTCAGGTTGTAGATACCAATTCTCAGACCCTCTGGCAATCTGCTGGAGTCTCTTTTCCGATCACCATCTCGAACACTGCATTTGGTGCTCTCACAATCACTGGTGGCTCCACAACCCCAACAGAGCCATCGACGGCTACCTCGGCATCCTCCACCTCTCAACCCACTTCTTCCACAGCTGGGGAGCTGTCAGTCCCAACAGCTCTTAGACAAAGTGCAGCTTTCTCGTCACAAAGAGTCTCTTCTGCAATCAGCTCTGTGCCTTATACGTCGACTCGCCTTGTTTCGTCTTCTAGCACCACTACCCCTTTAACGACATCAACTGTGAGTTGGTGGGGAGGAGTCTATACTGTTGCTTCAAGTTCATCAACGACAGGTACTTATTCAAGCGAGCCCTCTATGTCGACAGTTTCTCATGGTGGCGCCGAAGAAACTGGATCTGGAACTCGTGATGGATCTGCACAGACTACTAGTCAATCGCAGTCCTCATCGGGATCTGGATCATCGATTGATCCAAGAACGTCGAAGATTGTTGGTGGAGTAGTAGGAAGTGTAGCTGGTCTTTCTCTGATTATCCTACTCCTCTTTTACTTGTTCCGTCGGCGCAAAATGCTGCAATCCAAGAATGGGGGAGCCCTCCCCCTTCCGTCTGATGACGCCGGGACACGAGAAGTCGCCGAACGACGCTCCAGCAATGATCCTCTATTCACAGCTTCATATTTTGCACCTGCATTTATGAAACGTTGGAGGCAGTCAACCATGACTACAAAGACTGAGAGTACTGTTTCATCAAACGCGAGTGAACGTGGGTTCCAAAAGATTTCAGGCCGCAAAATCCCTCCTGTCCTCACCCATGGCGGTGATGGCTATGGAGGTGGTCTGGACGGAGACTCTCCCACCCTTCCTGGATTTTCTCCCATATCACCTGGCGGTGGCCCGCTTTCCTCCACCTCCTCTCATGGGCCACCTCCAACTTCACCATACGGCATAGTCCTGGACACAACATTTACTCGGGAGGCTGAGGAGCGTAACAACACCCCTTCACGACCTCCTCCTGTACAGCTACCTGTCTCCAGTTCGGTGAACTTTGGTACTCCAACTACCGTCAATCCGTCTCACCCTATCGCCCAACCCCAGAGTGCCATTCCGGTAGCTCCGTTGCGACCCGACGGACTCGGCCGCAGCCTTCCAAGCTTTGATGGGAGCCGTAGCAGTCGCTTCACGGAGAGTATCGACCGGTGATCTGGAGAATACTTCAGCTACGGGATATGTGATACGAAATTGCCGACGTGTTGATGGGACTTGGAGATCTGACTTCACCAATTGATGGACACGACCGATTTATTTCCCCGACACATTGATTTGATCATTTACTTTTGTAGCGCTTCTTGTTGTTGTTCTTTCCTTTTGCGCATCATGTCTGTTTCACACTCCCTCATAATTGCTTCTTGCGGCCTGTTTTTCTGAGGCTCATTCTGTCCTTACTGTTGTCTTGGTTCTATAGATACCCCCTTATTACTCCCCCTCTTTTCTCAACCTCTCTCCGATAATTCTGTTCATCTTTCATCTCGTTTCAAATATCTCCTTTCTTATCTTTTTTTCAATTTTTTCAATTTTCTATTCTATATTTATCTTCAGCTTTACGGGTAGCTGTCATTGTTGTGGGCCGCACTACGACCCACCGGTTATGGATAGGTTTGATTTACTTAGTTTTCAGTAATTGAAACCTCAATCTTTATTTCTTTCCCTTCTAGGGTCGCTGTCTCTATACGTGGCAGATGATGGCAAATATTATTATGGCTATGACGCTCTCTTGACTCTTTTGATTTCTCGGCGGTCCAGTTTCAGGAAGTAGGTATGTACAAGCACTGAGATGTGATTGACCTTGCTGGGAGCGAGACCGATAATACCAGACAAAGTTGTTCATGAGACGAATTGGATCACCCTTGAATCGTTTCTGATTCGCCCAGAGTCTCCAATTTCTACTGCGCATGACTTTCCTTTTAAGGACGCTGGACACTAGCAGTCTCCCCGCTTGAGCGGACCCATTCTAGCACTTGACTGCCAATTAAGCAAGAGATTCAGCTCGGAGACTGATATTGACGTGCCTCTGGGAACTATTCCATGCTCAGTGGAGGGGTCGTTATGATTTTCACCGTTCGATGGCATGCGGGATATTACCGGCCTAACCACGACTTTGTTCCTATTCCGCATCGCTTGAACTATCGTCGGATTCGGAAGATGAGGACATTTCGAAGATATTGCGCTGAGGGGGAGCAGCACGCTTCGCAGCAAGCTCTTGCTCTCGCTGCTCCTGCTTCCTCTTGATCTCTTCTTTTTGGACTCGCAACATGTCCCTGAGCGTCGCGCCCAGTGGAAATGAGGAAGCATCTGACGAGATCGATGGTGGAAATCCAATCTCGAGTGGCCTGTTAGGATGCGTTAGAGGCAAATGATAGGTCATTGAAGCAGTAAAAAGACTCACTCTTTCTTGTTCTTTTCAATCTTCTTCCCGTTGGTTGATTTATCTTCTGCGTCGATCTGATCATCGGATTCTTCTTGCTCTGGATCGGCTTGATCATCGCCACCTTCTTCCTCATCCTCATCCTCATCCTCATCCTCCTCCTCTTCCTCCTCCTCTTCCTCCTCCTCTTCCTCCTCCTCTTCTTGCTCCTCCTCCTTGTCTTCCTCGTCATCACCATCACATGCCACATCGCCTGAAACTAGGTCCTGGCTTGCGATTCCGCGATCCTCGCTTGGCATGGCAGTGGTCTTTTCTCCCCAATGATAGGATTTTCATCGTTGTCATGTTTGTTTTCTTCACCTTCATCCTGATCCTCGTCCTCATCCTCGTCCTCATCTTCTTCATCTTCCTCGTCCTCATCTTCTTCATCTTCCTCGTCCTCATCCTCTTCATCTTCCTCTTCATCATCTCCTTTCTCTTCATCTTCTCCCTCCCCCTTCCTCTTCCTCTTCCTCGTCCTCTTCTTCATCCTCTACGTCTTCATCACCAGATGCTGCCTCGGCCGGATTCAGGTTCTTGATTTTGACGTCATGATCCTTGCTTTTGGTGGCAGAAGCCTGCTCTTCCTCTCTGATAGAATTTTTGTCTTGGCCCTCCCCATCATCTTCTTCCTCGGGTTCGCTTTTGTCATCTGATGGCTTTTTGTTGGAGACCTTGGGCTCAGCAGCTTCTGTTGGTAATACAGGGATGACAACTGACGGCGTAGACCGAGAATGGTGGCCTTGAACAGGGGGCCTAGAGACACCTGTGGGGGTAGCGGGACCTTTCTGAGGGGGTATCCTTCGTGAGATCTTCGTGTCAGAAACGGGCAGGGCTGGCTCTGTCGGGGAATCATTTCTATGCTCTTTGAATTCGAAACCAAGATTTCTGAGATTCTGGCGACGACGCGAAAGCTTTTTGCGAAGATTTCTCATATCCGCGCTCTTTCTTGAGTCTCTTGTCTTTGGATCACGAGCTTCAATATCTGAATAAATTTCGAGTAGGTCGTGGAAGATAGGTAGACAGTTGATATTGACAGTCTCCGGATGAGCTAAAAGATCGCGAATTTCTTGTACATGCTGTTTGTCCATGGGAGTGAGGTTTGCAGAAGCCATGCCATTCACTTGGCCGGCTGAAGAAGCTGTGGAGCTTTGACGGTCGTCCATAACCCGCTTAGCTTCACGAGAAACCGCTTGACTTGACGATATGGGATCCGCCATAGCTGTCCTATTTCGTTTCGATGAAGGGCTCGCAGTAATACCTAGTCCAAGGCCACTAGTATTAGACTTAGGCTGTGATGCTCTTCTCTGCTCAGGACTTAACGCCCGTGACATGTAGCGCTGTGGGCCTGGGCCATGCACTCGTTCTGGGCTGCGAAGGGAAATAGATTGTTCAGCTGGAGGGTCCTGAAGTCGGGCAATTTTGTGCGCGGTCTCTAATTCAGGCGTCTGCTTGCGCTTTCGAGACCGGTTTTCGGTCTTATCACGTCGCACGTCAACTTCTGCTATCTGATTCCCAGGGACGACCAAGGCATCAGGTTCTGAAGCTTCGGCAATGAATGGTAATTTGCTAGTAGTTATTCTCGCGTTCCGCGTCTCCTCCCGGGATGCGCCTTTGTAATCATGAACAACAGAAGAGAATCTCTCACGGCGATGCGTGGAAGGTTTCTGAATTACCCGAACAACGCCCTCTTGAAGGTGCCCCCTTGCCTTGACTCCGAGATCCATGAAAATATCGGAGACAGGCCAGCGAAGATTGAGGTCAACGTGAGGTCTTGCATCATTGAGGATTTTCTTGATATCAAGTGGTTCATCTGGGTGAAGCTCATCCCATTCGCTGCTAATCATGGCACACAATTCTGCAACCGTAGTCTTCTCCGGTTCCTTGACGAGTAGAAGGAAAGACGCTGTTGGCCGCACAACAGTAGGCTGTTCTTGTACATTCTCAATGCTGGGGATCCCAGTGTTCATTAAAGAGCTAGAGGTGCCTTGACTCCGTACGTCTGGTTGCTGATCAGGGAGCAAAACTTTGACCTCAAGTCGCAGGAAATCCATGTTAGCGGTGCGAGACCGAACGGGTAAAATTACTCAAAAACAATATTTGCAGAGAGTAAAGGGAAGGCTCCCTGCCAGACGCGGTGGCAGAGGAGTTTGAAGTAATCGAAGGCTGGTTGAGCGAGAGGAGAATTATGCACGCGAATGCGGAAACGATCGCCAGAAAAAAACCTCGGGGTTAAGGTTCGCGCAAACCGCCCAGCCACAATTTCAACCTCACTCTCACAACCCTTGACACCTACTGCTTCCCTCGTGGCATCACGGAATAAACCGTGTACTGCTTTTGGGCTGTCAGCCTGTTCAACCGTCGCATCATTGCAGCATTCCCACGCGTCAACTCACATTTCCCTCTACGTTCGCCAACAGGACCAACCTCCGAGATTCTCCGCTGTCCAAAGTGCCGTCTCCCTGAACCCGACCGCTCCTTGACCAAACGGGGGAGGCATACAATATTACTTTATTTCATTGTGACTAGAATCTAAATGCAACCTCTAGTCGGTCCGCCAATATCACGACCCGAAGCCTATCAACAACCCAAGAGTTGTCGCTTCCGAAAGGTTCACAGCTCCCGTCTCCAAGCCTCGAAAAAGCGAATGGGCGAATAACTCGTATGTTCAATTTAGTTTATTGAACACCAACACGTGATGGACCACAAAATCTACTCAACCATGAGTTTCACGCCGATCCTGTGGTCTCTGTGGGCAATGATCAAGAGACAAGCCGGCGAGGAAAACCATCAGCCGCCCACGTTGCTCTCTTTGCCACATAGCGTATTTGGGTGAACGGGGCTTTACGCGATCCACTCTCGCTGCCATTCAATGCGACCCATCCATCCTAATACCTCAAGTCAACAGCGCGGCGCTGCTCCGTCAAACCCCTTCCAACACGATGCTAAACACGATGCTTTAGAGAAAGCAAAGAACCAAACGGCTCGAGACAGATGACGATTGATATTAGTGGAAACAACTCGATCAGACAAAGATCACGCGAAGGTAGCTGATATGGCGATCAGAGCTGTTGTTGACGGGCATTGAATAGCTTGATTATGATTGGACACAGAGCGCATCGTCGCCGACTGGGCCGCAGATTTACAAGTGTCTGAGCGTGTACTCACACTTTTCTTCAGATCGAATCAACTGGTGGGCCATTTTATCAAGCAGCTATGCGACCCCCCGAACAGTCGACATATCGGCAAAGAGCAGTTGTTTTCTCCAGCTGTCAAATCGTCCGGCAGATCTTCGATCGGCCACGACTGGTCTAAGCGTACTTGGCCTAGACGATACGAACCGGTGCGAAATAATTTTCGCTTGCGCCGGATTGCTACACACGAGGGCATCCGTAGCAATGCCTCTGCTTTGTAGATGACCACTGAAACTATCCTCGTAGAGGCTAGTAGCCGCCCCCTTTCTTGCTCTTATTCTCTCGACAAGAACAAAAACTGCCTCAGTTTGGCAACTAAGATATGTATTCGAGAGAAAGTAAAATACAAACTATAGAAGATGAAAGATCCCCGCCGAGGAACCTGCCAAATTGGAACAGTCGACAAATTTCTTAGTTTTGACTACTTTCCAATCGAAGCAGCACCCAGACTTTGATTTTTTTTTTTTTAATGAAACCGTGCAGAGTCGAAAATGATCGATCTAATAGCCTGCCCCTTCAGTCTAATCGCTAGAATCGAATGCGAGAAGAGTCTTTCGGAGCTCGTGACAATGTGTCGCTGCGGAATGGTAGAACAATGCTGCCCGGCGGTGAAGAATGTGCTTAGATCCGTGATCTCGGCTGCTCCCGCTGTGGATTTAGCCAAGCAGTCGGCACAAGACCGTCGCTGCTTTCGGAATGAGTGGGTATCCCTCTTTCAGTATAGGCTTTCTTTTCACAAGTCATCAGCCCCTGAAATTCGTTTGGATCTGTCGACCACACACTGTTACACAATGTTTACGCCTGGGTGCAGATCAGTAAAATAAAAGTAAAGTTTCTTGTTGCGAATTGTTGTGTATTTGGAAAGAGCGTGGATGAAGAGTGGACACCCAGTTTGGTTTAAAAGAATGGGCAGTTGATATTGCAATTGAAGGACGTGCCTGTAACTTGTCGTGCCCTAGGTATTGCACCATATACAACACCAAAGTCTGAACACTACCTGTTCTATCGTAATCCTCGAACACGAGACCCGACCATCCCAGGCTTGAGTGAGAATGAATGCGGGATAGATGGGAGCTGGGAGCCCCACAGATGGGACAGATGGGGTGATCACTCGCGAGGGGGTATATAAGCGACTGCAGATTCTTCAGTTCCGACCAATCCCAAGCTCTCATTTTCAAATAATGGGCCGTGCACTGCTCGGAACCTGATATCTAGGAGTTGGATTGGTTTGTGGAATACAGCTGGCGTTGTACATCCTTGACCCATTCCTGAACATGCCGAATGATGGCTGATCTAGGTTCCAGCTAATGCGGGTGAACAGATAGTCAAGTCATTGCAGAAGAACGGGCGGGCCCTGCGCCTCGTTTCTAGACAGCACAGTCATCTGATAGCCTGGCCAGCCTACATATTCCGCCACAAATCCCGATCGCAACCAGACTGAATTGCTAACTCCACAAATACCAAAATGACATCCGGCATTCCCAAACCCCCCGGTGTTCCACTACTTGGGAACGTGTTTGACATCAATCCCAACGAAACCTGGCCTTCGCTCATCAATCTGTCTAAAAAATATGGTAGAAGTTGCTCGATTCTAGTGTATCCAGTGAAATTATTGATTTTTAATAGGTCCGATATTCAGAATAAATGTCTTGGGTAAACAAATCGTCTTTATTGGCAATGTCGCCCTTCTTGAGGAAATTTGCGATGAACGACGGTTTCGCAAGTGCGTAACTGGCCCCATTGTGGAAATGCGTCATCTTGCAAATGACTGCCTGTTCACCGCATACCATTCCGAGCCAATTTGGGGAGTTGCTCATCGGATCATGGCACCATATGTCACCCAGTTGGGAGCAGATAACGGCTTTGCTGACATGGGGGACGTGATTTCGGATTTGACCAGAAAGTGGACATCAGGGAACAAGAAACGTGTACTCGTCACCAATGACCTTGATCGTCTGCTCATGGCTTCTGTGGTGAAGTGTTTCTACAATCAACGAATTGAAGTCCTGGAAGGTGCCGAGCCTCCCCTCATCGAAGCGATGAACGGAATCACCTTCGAAGCGATGAAGCGACCCTCGCGCCCGAAGATTCTCACTCAACTTTTTTATCAGAGTACCTTCGACGCACATATCAAGACAATGCGCAATTATGCAGAGGAGATTGTCAAGTCACGAAAAGAGAACCCTGACCAGTCACGCAACGATCTACTGGATGCGCTTCTTAATAACAACGATCCAGAAACTGGAGAGAAACTCAACGACTCGCGGGTCATTGATGAAGTTGTGACGATGTTTATTGGGGCGGCAACAGCCGCAAACCTCGTGTCCTACGCCTTGTATTACCTGATGACGAACCCAGACAAACTAACCAAGGCCACCGCCGAGATAGACTCACTTGTTGGTCCCGATGAACAAATCAAGCTGCAGGACTTCAAAAAAATGGACTACTGCCAAGCCATTATCCGCGAGTCACTTCGGCTTTCCGCGACGGCACCTGGTTTCAACCGAGAACCAATCCCAACCGAGGATAAGAGTCCAATCCTACTTGCGGGGGGCAAGTATCAAATCCCACACGACCAAACTATGATTTCCATTCTGCACGCCGTGAATCGCGATCCTGAAGTGTTTGAAGATCCTGAAATGTTCAGTCCAGAGCGGGTTCTCGGCGATAAGTGGGATGAGCTGCCGATAGGAGCAAAAAGAGGCTTTGGAAATGGTAAACGCGAATGCTACGGCACGATGTGGGCATGGAACTGGTCAATCCTTACCCTTGCAAGCATCCTGAAGGACGTTTCTTTCGAGTTGGCGGACCAAAACTACAAGCTTACCTCCAATGGGGCTTTCAGCGTGAAACCATTGAAGTTCTACGGTCTTGTTAGCCCGCGAAAGAGATAAATTTTGGATTCGGCATTCATGTCTCCGCGATGATATATCTTTTCAGGATTTTGGGCTGTGGCGGTTGAAGTTGGAAGCCGATTTTATGTCGTCGTCATGCTGCCTTTTCCCTGTTTGGACAGTCTGTCATATCCCACGGAATGTATCGTCTCCCACCACGCTCTTATTTTAGGTTTCCGAAATTATACTTCCGAGCAAATCGACAGCTCTGAAATACAATGGTGTTCAAAAGTATTTACCGGTCCCCACTTTCATCACCCCTACATCAAATATACGTATATATCTGTTACACTATACACACACCACCATTTTTCTCAATGCGTATTGCAGTGAGGAAATGACCGACGAAGGGTGATCTCTAATTGGAGGATATCTTTCCTAGTACACAGTCTTTACAGGATATAGCTTCACATCTCCGATAGGGAGAAAATCAACTTTCACACTCTCTTCGCTTCATCTGCTTCTGCTATCCAGGCTTCCTACATCGTGGTGTGTGGTGGTTTGTTGGCCTGTTCGTCGACCTATCTCATCCTGCCTGTATTCTCAGGCTTGCCGTAGAGCGCCCTAGTTCAATAGATAACTAGCTAAACACGCTAATAGTTGTTTATATATCTAAAAAGTGTACTTCCGTACTTGTAAGTATCGGAAGGTGTAATCACGACTAGTAAGCTTCCTAGACCTCCCTAGGCGAGGCGCTGATTTGACTATGTGGCTTTCTGTATAACGTTGAATAGTGTTATATATCGTTTTTGGACTTCAAACAAAATTACGTGCTAGATAGATCCTATATACACCGTTATTAGCAGTATTGCTAGACGCTGCTGGGAGGTAAGTTCACCTCTTTTTCTTCATTTTCCAGCAGATTCTGCTAGGTTATCTAGCATACTGGTGGTTGTAGAAGGAAATAAATTTGATGTGTGGGTGGTGTGTGGGTGGTTAGTGTGGAGATCAAAGTAGGGACCGGTAAATACTTTTGAACACCATTGTACTTTCGATACTCTACTAAGGCCCAGTGAATGGATCAGTCTTGTTACGGACAGATCACTCAACGACTAAATAGCTCACAGACATGCTCAATCCTACTCGGCAATGAAAATGAAGCGAGGTGTAAGCGCTAGAAAGATGCTAGTTAACATTTCCAGACATTAATTGTTGTATATGCGCAATTTAACGGGCGACTAAATGAGCTTCCAAACCATGTCCGCCACGGCTGCACGGACGGCAAGCCATGTTCTCTGCCAAAGCTTTCCCAATCTTGGCCTAGGCTCTCAAGGGTCACACTTCCTCGTGGCGATGCCAGGAAGAATTCCACATGCATAGTGGGGCCAAATTGTGGAGGGCCGGGTCCATGTGGCGTTGAACATGGACATAGAAAATCGCTCATTCGGGCGCTTTAGTCATAGTGAGAAAATGGGATCTTATGAGAAATATTAGGTGAGCTAGACTAATGACCTGGACATCGAGTATTCTATCTATTCTTCATGATTGAACAAACATAATGATCAGGAGTTTCATCTCGGTTTCTTCCTTTGATGCTTTCTTTTTGTATAATGAAGCGTGGGTGTGATGGGAACCTGGGACTTACACGTTCTATGCGGGGCGATTGGTTGATGCCGTCTCGGGAATTCGTCTGCAAATTATATTCCTCAAATTGGCCCCGCCGTGATTGGAGGTTGCAAATACCGCACACCCGCCGATGTCAGGCACGCACTTGTTTAACCAGATCCGTCAAAATTGAAAAAGGAAAGTAAAGAGAGAATAAGAAATAGCGCTGAACTGGGACACTGGTAAGGGATTTGGTACAAAATGAGAGAGGTAACAAATACTATAAATCCCTCTTGTTTTATCCTGGTTTGTTCTAGGTTTTTTTCAGACCTCACTCTGCGCTTGGGAGAAGCATCTTCGCCAGTCAATCCTCGTTCGAACTCCAGATCGAATCCTCGAAATGCCGTCTCTTAGCTCTTCTTTGCATTGGAAGCCCAATGACGAGGAGTCCGCCGATCGCATTACTATTGTATCTGAAGATGCACGTTCAAAGGAGAGGAGAAAGGACAACTTGACGAGGCGAAATAGTCAACGTGTGATCGACCCTACGGCTGCTATTCCAATTGAATACAGGAGCCTGTAAGTGGATAAAAGCTGGAGCAATGTGACTTGGATTATTCTGACAGGGGAAAGGTCCTTCGAGATCGAAGAAGATGCCCAGAGGAAACAGCGGTTCAAACGACGTGAGGAAAGAGACAAATTGGCAGAAGGTAGATCCTTTCCTTATTCACTTGGAGATACCAAGCTTATACATATTTCTAGAATGGCAAAGCACAGAATGGCACGTTTTGCCCATTGAGGATGTGCAGAAGCAGCTTCATGCTGATATATCATCTGGCTTGTCCAATACCGAGGCCAGTGAACGTTTACGAAGATATGGCCCGAACAAAATTTCGCCATTACCCAACCCTTGGTTCTGGAAAATCTTCGGCTATTTCTTCAAGGGATTTGGCTCGATTCTGCTAGTTGGTGGAATTCTTGTCTTCATTTCATGGAAGCCACTTGGTCAGCCACCTGCGGTGGCTAATCTGGCCCTCGGAATTGTCCTCATCGCTGTTTTCATCATCCAAGCTGCCTTCAATGCATGGCAGGATTGGTCTTCGTCTCGTGTCATGGCCTCCATTACAGGAATGTTGCCAGAATCGTGCCAGTTGATTCGCGACGGGTCCCGTACAGAAGTCGTATCGACCAATATTGTTCCTGGTGACACAGTTTTTATCTCATCGGGGAACAAGATTCCAGCGGACATTCGGTTCATAGATGTCTCCCATGATCTGACAATTGATCGATCTATTGTCACGGGTAAGCACATCCCGGAGTCTGAAGAGGCTGTAGCTAACACAGTATCCAGGGGAATCTAACCCAATCAAGGGCAGTGTGGATTCAACTTCTGAAAACTACCTGGAGACGCGTTGCATTGGACTTCAAGGCACCCACTGTGTCTTCGGGAATGCCACAGGAATTGTTGTAGCCACTGGCGATTCAACTGTTTTTGGCCGTATCGCCAAACTTGCCGGTGAGCCGAAGACAGGCTTGACGACAATTGAAAAAGAGGTTTTGCGGTTTGTCTGCTTGATATTTATCATCATGGTTACCTGGATCATCATCCTGGCTGCCGTTTGGTACGTTGAGGGTCGATAGTTTCTTGACTCCGGTAATGCTAATTATTTTGATTAGGGGTGGGTGGCTTCACAAGGTGCACCCTGATTATATCAATGTGCCTACCCTTATTGTGGATTGCGTTAGTGTTGCAATTGCCTACATTCCTGAAGGCTTGCCAATTGCGGTAACTGCCAGCTTGACTATCACTGCAAACTTGATGAAGAAAAACAAAGTTCTCTGCAAGTCCCTCAAAACGGTCGAGACCCTCGGCGCTGTATCTGTTATTTGCACAGACAAAACTGGAACTTTGACAAGAGTGAGTAGTACCTTTCTTTTGACCTTGACCACCTTTTCAGAATGTTTGACCTTTTCTAGAATCGGATGGCTGTCACGGACTTCGCTATACATACAGCAAACTCAACCTTGGATACAACAGGTGCATACACATCCAGCACAATAGCTCAACCGGTTCTAGATCAACTTCGGGCAATAGCTGGTCTCTGCAACGCTGCAGAGTTTGACTCGAAATCACAAAATGCCCCTTTAAGCGAAAGACGCATATTTGGTGATGCAACTGATCAGGCTATCTTAAGATTCTCGGAGGGCTGGGGCCCTGTTTCAGAGCTTCGAAAAAGCTGGAAGACCCTGTTTAATCTTGCATTTGACAGCAAGAATAAATTTATGGTCAAGATCATCACACCGCTTATCCCTCAAGCCAAGAACATATGTCTTTCTGCCACAGAAGCTGCGAACATGGACGCTGAACATTCGTGAGTTCACTCTGACTAAAATAAGGCTCGAAATAACTAACAGTTTCATTAGTCTCCTAACTATAAAAGGGGCACCTGATATTTTGATAGAAAGATGTACGCACATTTTGAAGCTCGATGGAAGCGTTGAGTCTCTAGATGATATCACTCTGAGCAAAGTGAAGCAGCTGAAAGACAAGTGGTCGTCGGAGGGAAAAAGGGTCATTCTGCTTGCCCGCAAGGTCTTGGAGAAAGGTAGCATACTCGATGATCCTTTTTCACCAGAGTGCGAGAGCCGCGCACTACAAGCAGCAAAAACAGGTCTCACTCTTGTGGGCCTTGTCGGATTGATTGATCCTCCAAGAGCCGAGATTCCAGAAGTGATTCGGATCCTACGACAGGCTCAAATTCGCGTCCTAATGGTGAATCTTGAACTTTGAGCTTGTTTTTTTTTGATAGAGAATGATTTTCTAATGGAAGTATAGGTCACCGGCGATTTTGGACTAACGGCATTGGCTATTGCTCGTCAATGCGGTATTGTGACATTGAGTTCTGTCCATGACGCATCTGCTCTTGCTAGGTTTCCCAATACAGATGAGAAACAGGTTGACTCCTCTCAATCTGCAATTCTCGTTAGTGGTCCCGACCTGATGGGCTTCAATGAATACCAGTGGGAGCAACTTTGCAAGTACCCTGAAATTGTATTTTCGCGAACGACGCCGAATCAGAAGCTTCGTATAGTACGGGAGCTACAGGCAAAAGAGACTGTTGGTATGACAGGCGATGGAGTCAATGATGCGCCCGCTCTCAAAGCAGCAGATATTGGTATCAGTCTCGCCAGTGGCTCGGACATTGCCATTGAAGCCGCTGACATGGTCTTGTTGGATTCATTCGCGGCGATTGTTGAAGCTGTTCGTTATGGGAGGGTGGTATTTGATAATCTCAAGAAGACAGTGGCTTATCTTTTACCCGCTGGTTCATGGTCCGAGTTCTGGCCCGTCTTTACAAATCTCATATTTGGGATTCCTCAAATTTTGTCATCCTTCTTGATGATTATCATCTGGTATGTCGATTTTGTTCAAAATGCTCGCTTTTCAGCTAAACTGATTTCACTTTTAGCTGCTTTACCGACTGTGCGGCTGCAGTGGCACTCGCGTATGAAGCCCCGGAAGCAGACGTCCTATATCGACCACCACGCCACCCAACAAAAACTAGACTCGTGAACTGGAAACTCATGTTCCATTCTTATGCCATCATTGGAATGATAGAAACTATTTGTTCATTTGCTATGGCTTTCTGGTATCTCCAGCGAAATGGCATTCCTTTCTCCGACCTCTGGTTCAAATTCGGTGAAATTCCGGCCGGGGTCGATACTGATTACTACAACGCTCGTGTCAACGAGGCGAGCTCGATTTACTTTATAAATTTGGTCATTATGTATGTTTTATACCTCGTTAATGACCCATCAACGCCTCTTTGACTTTACTAATGATCCTTGCCAGGCAATGGTTTAATCTTATGGCTGTGCGAACTCGACATTTATCGATTTTCCAGCATCCTCCAGCTTTCAACAAAGAGACACAGAACCTGTTCTTATTTCCTGCAATTGCTTTCTCATTGGGTATTGCCGTTATCTGGCTCTATATCCCCAGTCTACAGACCGTTCTCAATACCTCGGGAATTCCCGCAGAACACTATTTTTTGCCTGCTGCGCTAGGTCTAGGCTTGCTTTGTTTAGATGAGGCAAGAAAGGCTGCTGTTCGACGCTGGCCAAAGGGAGTTTTGGCTAGAATGGCTTGGTAGAAGCTTGAGCTTCTTACATGCCTGGTACAGGACTTAAGCAATTTTGGCCTGGTATGGTGATATTTCTCCTTTGATATCTGATTGTGAAGTTGGTAAACTTCAAAATCGTGAATCTCCTTCTGTGTGAATTAACATGTAATTTTCTTGGGGTCATATCCTTTCCCATGGGCAATCAAGTATTGACGTTATAAATCCAAGTTTTCTTCCGCACGGATACAATTTTCCATATATGCTTGTCTCTCAACACGATCAAAGAGAACATGTTTCTAGTCAAATTCTCATTCTTGCATGATGGTTTAAGGAACGAATTGACTGCAGGCGTGTCATTCTGGAAAATTGTTCTAGAATACCGGTGGCCCTATACTACTCCTATACTAATTCTCTCTTTTGTCTTCGGGGGTTTGAAAATAAATCTGCGTTTATCTGAGCAATATCATATGCTACTACTGATTCCGCTATCGTAGAGTCCACCTATTTCGCCCTTGAAATTCCAAAAAATCCTAGATAGCCTCCTATACAGCTAGTTATTCCAATGAAAAAAGCAGCGGCAATAAGCATATTCCTTAGAGCTCGTCGATGATGAAATTCCAGAGTTTTGGCAATGCGCTCTGCCCAAGCCTTGGGAGGGTTACCATTGGGAAAGTCCTGCGGTGGAATTTCTTTATTTAAAAATCTGCAGAGAGGCTCCCAGCCATCTTCCACGGACCATTCCAGGAGTTTGTCGTCGGGAAGTCCGAGGCCACGTATCATAGCAATATGTTCTTCATAGATCCACTTGCCATTGGACTGAAAGCTACCACGAAAGAATCGGGGCATCATTGAGCGGCACATAGTTTGACGGATCCAGAATAAATCAGCACAAAACCAACTTTTGCACCAGTCCCAGTCAAAAGGGTTTCGATCAAAATATCCCATGGTCTGCTCCATGCTTTTGTACCAGCTATCGAGATCGTGACGAATATTCAGGATAACCTTCGCATTTGGATACGCCGCAATCAAATCGCGCGCAAACTCGGCCGCCATCAGGTCACTGACGCCGACACATTCACTTAAGACTGTGTCAAAGTCCTCGGCAGTAAGCTTCACGCTGCCTTTGCCGGGAGTTGTCTTGTATTTTTTTTGAAGTAGTCGATAAGTCGCCTCAAGCGACGAAGGGGGCAAGATTGTATCAAATCCATGGTGCGTATGATCAAAGCCCAGAATATGTAGAGCCTCGCGAAGAGATTCAGTTCCAGATCTGGAAATGCCAACAGCCAGGACTTTCATAGGCTCTTTCCGCTTACCGGTAGCCGGCGGCGGGAGACCGTATAGGTAGTGAAGAAGCTGATCCGGCACTAAAAGCATTTCAAAGTGTGCGAAATTGAAGTCGATGATAAAAACGTAGAGAAATATTTACGATTGTTTTGAAAGTGCGAGAGGAGTTGTGTTCGTTCGCCTTCGCTGGGGAATCAAACCGTTTACTGGCAAGCGGTAAGATGTGGGGGCCGTGGGGGCCGACCAATCTATGTATTAATCAGGACTGATTCGATGTATTCCCATAGATAAAAGGTACGTATTTCTACCCAAGAGAGAAGATGCCCTGGCAGATTGGTAGACTTGTGTCAGGGATTCAGTTCAGTTCCAATCTCAAGAAAATTTCGATAAGTAGCCTCACTCAATCCTCCTGCCGTCGGAAATAGCGTGTTGTGTTCTTTGAAAAACTGGAATCGTAGTCGATGTTTCACGAAATATATAATGCAACTTTCAAGCGTAATTAATCTGAGTTGCGTGATCCCTACCAAAGCATCTGTTCGATTGATTCAATGATTCATTCCTGATGATCAAATTGACACTGTTCAATACTTTGAATTATATGTAGATAAAAACGTTTCACAGCTTTATAATGAGTGAATGTATGACTATAGCATGATCTTCGCATCCCGCACTCGGTCGAAAGCGGTATACCATGATTTCTCAGTGGATATTTCCTCTTCAAACCCGATAGATCTCGCCCTGCCAAGATCGAAAGGCCGATCAAAATCCATCAGGCGTAGACTTCCCATCCGGGATCCAGTGTTGTGCATGCTCTTGTAAATGATGTCTTCACGAAGGCCATTTTGACGACAAAGAGCCTGGAACTCATCCCAATGTTGATCAATATACTTAGTGGGGTGCAAGCTTGTATCATCAGGCCCCGTGCCCTCTAAACCAAAGTATGCCGCCAGAATAGGCCAGCGCTGCGACCATGAGACGGGGGTGGCACTGTCAGCGATGTTGAAGGCACGAGAATGAACCTTTTCACGAGGCTGCAGGGAAGAGAATATGCAAAAGCGCGCAATGATATCCTGGTTAGAGTCCGTAGATAGAAGGCGCCACGTTTTATCGTTTCCTGGAAACGGGACACGAGCTCCAGCTCCTTCAAGTGCTCGGTAGAGTCCAAGATAAATACCCATTGTTTGAGCCATGCAGTTAGCATTGCCAAAAGGAGCGACTCCGACCTAGCTCGAGTCAGACAATTTCCCAAATCATGAAGGGTGTGACACAGCATACAATTACATCCGGACGAACTTCACACCATGACCACGCCTTACCAGCAGACAGCTCATGAAGAAGGTCTACCTCATGATAATAAAACAGGTCTTTGGCATACTCTGCCGGAACTCGTGGGAGATCTTCTTTCAGAGGCACCTGTCCTCGGAAAGGGAACTTATCGAGGAGGTAAACACCATATGCCTAATAGACAAGACAAAGAAAGCATCAGTTTCAAGAACGTTTCTTAAATGGGCAAGGTCCTGTATTGTCTCACCTTCGTCCCTGTGATCAAGGTCACGAAGCTTAATTTGGAGGAGAGAGCCTCCAGCGACTGAACCGCAGCTCGTAGCATCTCCTTGTTGAGCCGGCATTCTTCGGCGGCATCGTCACTCGCTCGATACGCTATCAACCAAGAAATAGAGGATAAGCAAACAATCCAGAGACCAGGGATAGTAGGTGCAATTTTGGAATTCATTACCAGCGTAATATACATGGCTGACTGTCTCCACAGAAGGGACTTTTTGAGCCAGGGTTTTCTGCAAAGAAGAATCATCGCCGCCTAGGAGATCGATCCCTGAGACGATCTGCAGGCGATCATCGCGTGGCCACTTAGCTTCGTCAGAAGTAAATGGTCGATTTGCAACAGCCGTGATCCTCGAAAAACTGTCTGGCGAGGGATAGCCCGAGAGCAGTTGATTCACTAAAGCCCAACCATTGATACCTGAACACCCAAAAACCACCGCGTGCTGCTCCATTGGCTGGTTTTGAATTTTCTCAGTCATGATGAAAAGGGCTCTACCAGCTCGCAGGGATGGTACGACTTTGGGAGGGAGGGAAGAAGGGTACAATTGGTGCCAATAAGAGAAAGGGGGAGGGAATTCCTGCAGGGGGTGAAAACGTAGATTAATTGAGTTTCTTGATAGGTAATGGTAACAAATCAGTTGTTCTCTGCTTGGTGGGATGGTCCCAAAATCAAGAGAACCCCCGAATGGTGGACGCCGGAGCCGAGATGCATCTAAGGCGTGGTGAAAGTGAAAAGACGCCCCACAGTGAAGTAGATTGGGGGCGGCCCAGACAAGCCGAGAAACAAGACTCTTGCGGCGTAACGCCTAGCATTGGCGTTGTCTTAGACGGAGGGATTCGGACAGTCCTCTAGATCAAACAGCCAGACCGAAGAAAAAATGGAGCTCGAGAGGAGGCAATGGGCAAATTATGCGACTGAGCCAAGTGGGCCTAGTTGGACAAGGATCACAATCCTTCACGCATACACTATCGAGACCGGTCGTCGTAAGTCACCCTGGCGACCCACTCGAAGAAGCATTGCGCTATTTTAGTTGGACAAGAGGGGAGTCTTGTTTCGACCAGGATCTCATTACAAGACTTGTCCCATATCGCCTCCCACGCCTGACCGAAAAAGAAATACATCCTATGATGTACGGAGTATGTGCCCCGCAATGTTTTGCACCAATAGATCGAAGCCACTTGATCAATACTACGCTGTTCTCTTTGGCTTATCCTATAATCGTAGGCTCTTTTTTTACTCAGCTTTTTACCCATGATCCGTACAGAGTACACAAATCCGATCGGCCGGTACATCGGGAATTCTCGACTTCCCTTTTACCACACTGGGATCCTTCCAATTATCTCCACCTGGTTCCAACAGACTCGTTCCTGATCCTGCGAACAAGAACAGATAATTCGCCCCTAGGATTGCGCTCCCATGGGAAGTTACTTTATATTTTGGAAATGGTGGCGTAGGCGCCGAGTAGACTAAAATCACTGGCCCCGGAACAATGTGACCATTTAGAGTTGTCGTGCGTAGAACAAGATCAAGCCAATTACAAGGGCAATTATGGCTGATTGAGATTCGGTGGACTTGGAAAAAAAGAAGACTTAGCCAAGCCGGTGGCTGAATATAGATTTCGGTCTTCTAACCTTTGCGACTAATGTGTTCTCCCCTCGCCCTGCTCTTCCATTGCGATTCTTGACCTTTCTTCTGGGAGCAGATAAATATTCAATGCGGTTGCTTGACAATAGCGGAAGACGATCGGCCTCAGGGTGATTTCTGGACTTACCCACTCTTCCTACTTCTGCCGGGATTCTAATCCTTGAGCATGGCCGCTATATCACTGAGGGATTCCTCCGACAGCACGGAATATTTGCAGCAATCTAGAGTTGCTTCAATCATTGTGTGCAATGCTGTACTTATCGCAGCCTCGACAGTGGGACTTCTTGTACGACTGTTTGTGAGAATTCGATACCTGAGCGGGATCGACCTCGATGATGTCTTCTGTGCGATCGGCTGGGTATGTCAGATCTCCTGAAGTCTTGTCGCCTCTTTCCTATTGCTAATGAGTATATCCAACAAGGTGTTTGCATTTGTCGAGTGCCTGGTGTGTATCTTGAGTAAGTTTCAGAATTACCTATTGCATTAAACGCCAAATGCCATATACTAACGGTCAATTGTGCGGCAGTGACACGATACGGGTATGGAAGACATGTCGATACCATTCACGATGACAACACAGTAAATATGTTTCTCAAGGTAAGGGGGATTCTAAAATAATGCCAATGTATTTTCTTCTAACGATTGATCCGCAACGTTCTGCAGCTCGATTTTGTCACCGAAATCAGCTACCTTCTCTCGCTCGGAGCCATCAAGATCTCATTTTGCCTCTTCTACCTCAAGATCTTCCCGGGCCACAAGTTCAAAATATTCTGCTACTGTTTGATCGGATTGTTAGTTGCCGAGACTACTGAAGAAACCTTTGTCGTGATCTTCCAATGCTGGCCCATCCGGAAGGCGTGGGATTCCGTCGGTACCGTGGAGGGCAAATGCCTGTCCCTTCTAGGGTTCTATTACATCTCGTTTGGTATTCGGCTGGCGACGGATATTGCGCTCTTTACGCTCCCTATCCCTAAGCTGCTACAACTTAAAATGACCATTGGCAAACGAGCCGGCCTGATTTTCATGTTTGGGCTTGGTGTTTTGTGAGTATGCCCTTTGCGATTCCAACGTTGGCATCACTAACACTCATTTTCAGAGTCGTAGTGACCAGTATTATCCGGGCTACGTACCTCAATAACTTCTCCACTGATCACACATGTGAGTCTGCTTATTCTGATTGACCTATCCGCCCCCGAACTCCTTTCCTGACCGTTTTCCTAGGGGAACTTGTGAACCCACTCAACTGGTCGTCAGTTGAGCTTGGAGTGGCTATCTTCATCGCTTGTTTCCCATCTTTCAAAGCTCTGGTCACCTTCCAGTTCCCCTCTCTGCGCCGTTTCTTGGGTCTGTCCAGCAACCGCAGTTATGCGGGTCGGTACGAACTCTATGGAGCCTCGGGTCGCCGTACGGATGATCCTCGATCTTGGGCCGGTACCAGACGGACCCACGTTGGCGAGACAAAGCTGGGCAACACCACCACCCACACTCAAACTGAGGTCGAAGCGAGCCGAAACGGCTCCGAAGAACGCATCATCTCATCGTCGTCTCCAGTGGGGATTCAGGTGACCACGGACGTGAGCGTGAATCGATCTTCGGAAAGACCGAGCGAGCAGCACTGGCCACTCCATGTCTAAAGCTGGAGCGGGCCTGTATTTTCTGTCGTCCAGGTTGTCTGGTGGTGGGGCCGAAGAGAACTGAAAAAGGGGGTGATCATCATACTTTGTCGGCCCTTCTCCACGGCTCATACGATTTTTCTATTTGTCTCATACATAATTTAATGATCAGATAAACTCACAAGAATTGAAGTATTGATTGTGCAAGGTCATAGTGTAACAGAGTCGGGAGTAGATCGCAGAGTGGCAATATCCGAACTACACAGACTCTCTCGGGCAAAATTTGGAATTGAATTTTACAACAATGCTAAGCCGGCTTGTGAGTTTGGGTAGCCAAACTCAAACATCGCACTTAACACTGTACAGAATCCTGGCCTGCAGGTTCGCATATTCGTCACCTAGAGCCCCCGCTGTACGGCCCCCAGGTTGTTCCATGGAGTGCTGACCCGTATCTTGACTGTGCTCCCTCTAGCATAAACCAACCATACGGCCGAACTTAATATCCCGTCTGAGACGAAACTAAACTACGTGCAGCAGGAAGGAGGCGCTAAGAGTCAACGCTAATACGCCTAGGCCCACTTAAACTCACGTTGTCTAGCGCAAATCCACCTTATCCCGCCAACCGTGCGCCACCGATCGGGGGCGGCGGGAGCCACTCAGCTTCTTTCAGCTGGGGGCAGGATTGCCTAGCGCCGCACGGAAGAGGGCCGGAAGAAATGGAAACAAGTTGGTCCTTGCATGAATCGATGAATCGTAAGTGTTCAAGAATGCAGGGGCTATTTTATAGATCCCAGCACAGAGAACAGAGTATCGATCGGCAGGCAGGGACAATGGAGTTCAAGAAAACAACGAAAGAGCTTTTATGCGCTTGATCCATTTGTGCTAGCGCTATATCGGGCGAAGTACTCAGCAATGCGATTGAATCCAACAGGCACGTTGCTGTTAGATGTGTGAACCAGCTAAATTAATACACTAATGCTTCCTTGCGTTTCCGGAATCAGTCCGCATAAGGGCCTAGCTTGCCCCCTTCAGTTTCATAATCGCTTGCTGATAGCAACCACTAAAACGTGGCCTGGCCGAGACTCCTACGCCGACCCCTGTCGCCAAACCCTCAAAGGCCGTTGTATCGGTAGTCTTACACGCCACGAGTCCCGGTAGTCAGCCCGTAGGCCAAAAGGCGTCCGGCGATTAACCCAAATACGGAATCCCATGTGGCCTGGCGTTCCCAGTGTCCGGGATTGTTTAGAAGAGCCGAGTCGCTCCCCAATTTTTTGATTTCGGTCAACCCGGCTAAGCAGCCATTCAAGCCACTAGTAACACCAGAGTCGTCAAGGAGCACTAATTCGGCTGGCTCGTCGGAGATTCCAGAGCGCCAAGCAGCATTCTAAAACTTCCCACCACCCGGTGATTGTTCCCTTTTTTCTATTTCTAGGTCTGAACTCGCCGCCTGTTTCCCACTTTTTGCATTCTGGGATATATTGGCTATTTGCGGCGCTTCACAGCAGCAGTCAAGATGGAAGACACGAAGTATAATGTTGATACTGAGGCCATGTCCGTTCCCCCGAGCCCCGTTCGGGATGTCAACCAGCAGGCAGTGAACCTGGATGAGCTACCAAACGGGTACTATCGCAGCAAGAACTTCATTGGATCATTGATTGCGGTCTGTTTGATGGCAATCAGTTTGTATCTGGGATATGTGTTACCCGTACGCCCCTCCAAAGCCGTATCGATTGAGATTGTATTGAACAAGCAACGCTGACTTCCACCAAGGTAAACAGCCTGTCTGCCATCAATGCCGATTTGGGACCCGACCCCAGCTATAGCATGATTTCGACTGTTTTCACCTTGATTTCAGGCGTAAGATGAACCTGCATTCCCGTACGCCAAGGTCGAAGAAGTGCTAATTGTCGATACTAGGTCTCCATTCTTCTGGTTGGACGTCTTGGTGACATTTTCGGCCGTCGGTACTTCCTGATCGGTGGCCAGGTGCTTGGTCTGATCGGTGCTATCGTCTGCGCAACCGCCAAGAATGTTCCCACCGTCATCGGAGGCAGTGCCCTCTGTGGCCTGGCTGCATCGGTTCAGTTGACATTCACTTTTGTGATCGCCGAATTGGTCCCTAACAAACTGCGACCCATGATCAATGCCGGTATCTTCGTGACTACGATTCCCTTCGCTGGATTTGGTGGTCTTATTGCCAAGCTGTTCATTGCGAACACCGAAAAGTCCTGGCGGTGGACTTACTATCTCAATATGATTACCTGCGGCATCTCGATTATCCTGTTTGTCTTCTGCTATTTCCCTCCGGGATGGGAGCTGAAGCACAAGGGCCAGAGCAAACTCGATGGTTTGAAGAAGTTCGATTATATTGGGTTTGTCTTATATTCCGGCGGATTGGTCTTGGTTCTCCTCGGTCTTTGTAAGTTTTGCCGGGATAATATCACAGTCTCAAATACTGACTATTGTTGACTGTAGCTTGGGGCGGTTCATCTTATGCGTGGAACTCGAGTCATGTGGTTGCCGTTCTGGTGGTCGGCTTCGTCTCACTGATCGCTTTCGTTGCTTATGGTATGTATCATCTATCCAAGGTCGCTCCCATATCGCAATTTTGCTAATACATCCTCATTAGAAATTCTCGTTCCCATGGAGCAGCCACTCCTACCCCTGTCTCTCCTTAAAAACCGCGGCTACAGTGCGACTGTTTGCTCTGCATTGGTTGGCAACATGGTTTATTTCTCTATGAGGTATGCAGACTGGCGATAGAGAGCTTGGAAATCTTCACTGCTAACTAGCTCTGGCAGTCTTTTGTGGCCGGAAGCTATTGCCTACTTGTTCACTACAGACTCAATGAAGGCCGGTTGGCTTTCCGTGAGTACAATACCTGTAAATCTTAAATATGCCTGATTGTCTAATGTTCTTTAGTGCTCTACTGGTCTGGGAGTTATTGTGGGAGAAATTGCCGCCGGTGCTCTCATGAAGCCTCTTGGCTATTCTAAATATCAGCTTATTGCGTCAACGATTGTGATCACCGCCTTTTCGGGAGCGCTTGCTGCTATCAACCAGGATAGACAGGCTTATGGTATTGCGGTAAGTGATATTTGATTTGGTTTGAATTGGAATATTTATTCTGACATGTTGCCACTCTTCAGTTCACCGTTGTTGGTGGTTTTGCTGTCGGATACCTCGAGCTCATCACTCTCATCATGTGCCCTCTGTACTGCGAGCCGGAAGATATCGGTCTTGCAAGTGGCTTCCTTGGATCGGCGAAGCAAGTGGCAGGAACAATTGCCAGTAAGTGAATGCATTAGAGACAGCCTTAGCTTTTGAGACACGACTGACTAGTCTTTCCCAGCTGCTATCTATGTTGCCATTCTCGACAACCGCGTGGCTGTCGACCTTCCTCGTGATGTTTCTGCAGCTGCAGTCAAGGCTGGCCTTGCGACATCGTCCCTTACTGATCTCCTTGAGGCCGTCGCTGCTGGCACGACTGCAGCACTTGAAGCCGTTCCTGGCATGACCGATTCCATCCTGACCGCTGTTAGCAATGCCGAAAAGACCGCATATTCGCAGTCCTTCCGCACCGTGTTCCTCGCAAGCATTGCCTTTGGCGGTCTTGCTATAATTGCTGCATTTCTCTCTGTACCAGTTGATGATAAGCTCAACAATGTCGTTGCCGCAAAGCTTTCGGGTACCGGTGCAAGCCAAGAAGAGCTGCAGACGAACGAGAAGGAGACAAATTAATACTTATACTGTTATATCAAGTGCAATCATACGTGACGGTTTTGTGGATGGAAAATTTAGCTTGTTTAAATAGATGATGATCATTGGTCATATGCCGACTTTGAGGGTCTTGAATGAAATTATCTTCTAATATTGTGGTCCGAATATATATAGGAAGTTACATGTGGTATGATGGGTTTACTGTTTCTAGATCCATATTCTCTGCGCTAATAGTTAAATATCAGAACTATATCTGGAATGTACGAAGCGTATTCGAGCTTTCGCGGATACTTTCACAGTGAAACAATTTTGCACTATTACCAAGATATTTGAGATATGTGGAGTGGAAATTTCGAAGAGCGGTCTGAGTCTCGGAGTAATATGGCCGAGATTCGGCGGTGGTCAAGTTCCCTTTAACTTTTCAGCTGATGTAAATGAATCCCTGGCGAGTCGTTGATTAATCGATGAAGACTTGGGCTTCATTGTGACCAACAGTCTGATCCAGGGCGATATTTCTACCTTCATCCCAAGCTCCATGCCCACTGAACACCAAGATTAAATACTCATGTTTTTGAAATTAAAAGAGGGGAAAAAAGGGAAAAAGTAAGGCAATTTCAGGCTCTTATCCCCTATGGAAGCTACTGGGGAAAAGCTCGAATTCCTCTAGTTCTATGTCTATCTGACTGAAGCAAACATGAAATCGTCATAGCTATAGGTGATTTTGACCTGAGGTGAGATTTCTGGGAGAGAAACGGGATCGATCCTCTGAGCCATAATGAGCGGTGTTCATGATGTTTCTTCCTTCCATAAATGGACGAAAACGCTTGCATGGTCATGTAATCTGTCATCTCATCTGGCCGAAGATCATTTGATCTAGCCTCACCTTATCTTTCCGCGTACCCAATGCCCCTGTCATGACGGCTACCGTTCTAGATCTAATTCTAATCAAGTTCTCCCGGAGCGGCCATGATTATGGTGTGTAGTGAAATCTCGCTGTAGCATAAGATGGCGACAAAGGCACTTTAGTTATTAAAAGCTATAAATCATGTACCCTTCGGCGTAGGGCTCTCTATGTTCTCCCTCTGGGTCCCGAGTACTCTTGAATTATGCTTCTCCACAGCAAAAATTGGAAGATAGTGGAGGTCATTATGTTAGCTTGGAGAAAGATCAGACTAGGCATTCATTTAAATGTTGAGGAGGGAATGGTATAATGCCCTAAAATTCAGGAACGGATTGGGATTGCCAATCACCCCAACGAGGAGCTGGTTTGTGTTTTGTGTAAAGCTCTGGCCCAAGCCCATCTAATTGCTAGGCCCAGGGACGTTACAGAACAACCATATCAACATTTCATAGCACTAATTATCAATCATGATATATCTAGGCCTTGTGAACAGATCTAAAACTATTTAGACCTAGTATTTGATATTTTTGAATAGAACAGCCGTCGGAAATGATCGATTTTTTCAAGTCGTACAGAATTCGTGATTCTTTTCTATTCAAAGTCAAACGTCCCTGATAAGTGAGTTTGATTGCTAACGAGATGTTCTTCAGTTTCTGTTTTATCGAGCTAAATGCTTGAAGATTCATTTTATTATTGATCTATAAACGTAACCAAATCTATGTAAAGGTAGCTGCTTACATGTAGAGAAACAGATCTCAATAAGCTTTTAGATATATGAATTAGAGAAGTTTTCCCCAAGATTATAAGGCTTCCTCAATCAAAGCTTAGATGACATAGATTAATATTCTGTATAGCGTTGAAACGTGTTGGATATGGTCTTGAAATCTTCCACAAAATCATGTAGGAGCTACACTTCAATTATACCGTTTTTGGTCGTATTTACTCTTATTAGACGTCTTGGAGGATAAGATCTCCTTCTTTTTATTTCTACCCTTTTCTGCTAGAGAACCGGACATGAATAAGGTTGCAGAACTAGGAAAAAAAATAGGGGTGGGTGATTGTTTAGCAAAAAAAGTGGGTCGGGAAAAACTTTGAACACGTGTGTAAAGTCTATGAAAAATAAAGTTTTTGTAACGTTCTATCATAATCTAGATAAAATAGTCTGAAATTTTTATTTCGGATCGATTTTGAGGGGTTTGTGGGCGTGATCGTTAGCGATCGTTAGCCGGTAACCATGCGTTAAACATAAGAGCTTGCTCCTGCATGTGGTTCAGATATAGGTCAGAAGTTGGATGTTTTATCGACTTACGCTATCTGGCAATGTTAGAAGTGCCCTTACAGAAAGGAGCTTTCAAACCACATGGTTCAAGAAGTTGGTTAAGGGTCTTCTGGAAATTATGGGGTACCAAGCTCCGTGCTATACTTTGAGCACAGGCATTAGTAATACCTGGGTCCCCGTTGACCCCTAGATTAGTTCTAGTCATATTGCCTGGAATTTAATTTTTAGGGTTCGAAAATTTAAATGAAGACGATCGCCCGTCATTCATACTATTCACTGCGCCTCAATCCTGGAGGCCCGGAACATTAATTTTGATTGCCTTCGGGGCTAAAGTCATGCCTGAGCCTATCGAATAATACACGCAATTATGGTATTCCACGAAAGCCCTTCCAAAAAATTTTGAGTTGAGCATGTAGAATACCAGGGTAGTTCATTTCTGATTTGATTGGAAGCTTCTTGTCTCTGGTCAATGGGATCTGAGTACTTTCGAAAATGTCTTTGTTGGTAGATGACTTACATTGAAACAAGGTTTCCTCTCCATATATTGATAGACATCTACGGAGCAACATTTTACGGGTGACGCAAGAAGGCTTTGGTCAATATGGAACAAAAGGATTCGTCAATATTAACGTGATTTGATTTTGGTATAAATGAAAATTCGCTGTGATGACAATGCAATGATGGAAAGCTCCAATAATGTCTAATTTGCAAAACTATCTCAATATATCAGATACCATTCTGAACAATCTCTATACAAGAGATTGGTGTTGGTGGTTCTCATGAGATGCTGTCCCTAGATCGCTCGAATTGGACAATCCGTTTTGTGAATGGGTATCTGTATTGGCATTCCAGTCATGGTGTGAACTTTGTGCTGTCTGCGGACGAGGGTCACCAAAGGGGGAATCCCTGAATGTCGCAACCGATGAGCGATCGGCAATGAGATTTGCAGTCGAGTCATGCTTCGAGCTAGCAATAGGCACCACGGCCTGGGCAGAAGAAGCGTTCATCAATTCTCTGGCGGCAATCCGCCTCTGCTTGGCCCAATCCCGCACGCAGTGGAGTATGCTAACGCCGGAGAACAAGGAGATAAGACAGCAAGAAAAGACGATGGCGGCAATATTGCCCTTTCGGTTCCACTCAGCCAATTCAGCACTTGATGAACTTGTCGCTGTGGCCGCAGTGGTGGTTGTGGTGGAGGAGCTTGTAGTGGTCGTTGAACTGCTAGTGGACGAGGAAGAGGTTGTGCCTGTAGTGGAGGAGCTGGAGGTTGATGATGTTGTGGTGGTAGTAGTAGAAGTAGTAGTTGAAGAAGTGGTTGATGAGGTCGTTGTCGAAGTGGTGCTGCTGTCGGATGTGGTTGTCGAAGTGGTAGTGCTCTCTGAAGTCGTTGATGTCGTTGACTCGGACGTTTCTGATGTAGCACGGGCAACGATCACTCCATCACGGGCGTCAAAGATATTCAGCTCCGCGTTGGCAGTCGGAGTTGGAGTTGGAAGTAAATCAGCGCCTCCGGTGGTTTCTGAAGGATCCAACACCGCCGTGGGTGCAGCATAGGGCTGGCAGACCACCTGGGAGAGGTGTACTCCCAGCAGGAGGAGAAACGAGCCGTGCATTTCGCTGTTGTTGAATGTTCAGAATCAAGGACGGTTCAGGTACCATGGGGGCCGTCAAACTATAATAACCAACCCACGCCCGTTAGGGACGCGACTTCACTGACGTCCGCTTGGTGCTCTACGCCGCCAACTAGACCCACTAGTTCACGTATTCTTTTCATTTAGGGTGGATAGGATCACAGTCTACCCTGCTTCGCCGCCTTGGCATTTGTCCCGGGTTATTTTTGCTTCAAGGATTTGGACACTAGCCATTGATGATCCAGTAACATGGGCAGATTTAGTTCAATAGCACACGCACATGCCGCGCGGCAGTGGACCCACAGGGCTGGCCCTTGACTGCGAACAAATTTTACCACGGAATGGCAACATTCTATCTTGCCTCGAAGAACATAAGGATAGATAGGAGGGCTTCAAGGCTCAGGCGAGATTATAGAAATTTGCGCAGAGTTTGGAAGTAATTTTAAAGATGGACACTCCTGTACGCACTGTGTCCCTGAAGCCCCCACTTGTTGCCGCTTCGGGGGCTTCTATTGTGATAGCGCCGGCGACGTCTGTTAAAAGTATACCCGTCGAAGCCGATCGCACGGTCGCCTGCTATTAATATCATCGCGTTGAACAATTTGCACCCTGTACGGATTCCTCCGGGCATGTTGTTTAGTGAGAGCATAGCCATACTTTCATCTCATTGCCACCCTTGCTGAAGAAACCAGGTTGCCAAAAAGCAACGGGCTGTTTTTTTGTAACTGGCTCTCGCAAAAGTTGGATGCCTGATAGGTGCCTGAATTCGTTGTGCGCAAAGTACGCCCGATAATTTAGGCATGAACGGGCTCGCCCATAGTCATTTTTTTGCCGAGGCTCACAGGTTTAGACGGTCCACAGAGTATGAAGTACGGAGTACATGGTATATGATAGACCTAGTGAATGACATTTTTAACTTCACCAACGCAAGCTCTAGCCTAGGAGCATATTTCTAATAGTTTCCCGAAAGAAGTCAAGAGAGCGAATGTTTTTGTCGCGGTCATCATCACTTGCAATTTGGATCAAGAACCAACCATGAGACACGCGGCTCGCTATAACAAGGGCGAGGAAGATTATATATGTTGTCAATTCTAACAAATATTCTCCGCCGATACCTTGCAGTTGGTTAACGATTTTTGCTTGACAGTATGGCTGAGGACCGTTCATTGAGCATGATGCAGGGGCTGTATATATGACGCACTGTGAATGAGCGCCACATAACACATTGACCGCCTCCGATGGTATCAGGAGAACAGGGATCCCCGAGACCTGAGCTTCATGATTGGATGTGACAGAGTGATTGAGGATTTAGTAGGTGTCTTGTTGTTAGCCAGGCATATAAAAGGATGTTATTGGGCATTTAATCTATTTGAGTAATGTGAGTCCTCAAGGTGACGCCATAGCACGCGGCGTAAGCGCAGTCAGTTGATTTCGTCACCCAACCCGTCTCTAATGTCGAGAGCGAGCAATCACTAATCATTTGCATCACATTTGGGCTGGAGGCCCTCTACTCGAACTCTTCGCATGCCTACTGTCTGGTAGGTCCGGGCAAATCTGTCAGTGAACCCCGGGAACAGCTTGTATGAACTCCGTATTCTATGCCATAATTGGTTGTTCATCTGAGGTCATAATCTCACCTCTCAAAATTATCCAACCAACAAGGGCTAGACAAAAGAGAAGTGTAGGTTTTGCTATTGATCGGCAGTTTGACGTCACGTTGGAAGGACATGACCGCATGGAGATCGTCGATATATATTTACTGCCCACAGCCATATCAAGACCCTACAGACTTTCGAAAGCTTAGCATTTTTGTCAATCAGAATTCTCTTATCCTTACCCCATAATTATTCTTGCCACGCAAAATCATTCATTACTCATTGTTGCGGATCCAGTGAAGTACAACATTGACTAAAATGCCACTCTTCCATCGCGACTCAGTCTCTAGTTCTTCCTCGGATAGAAGCATTGATGATCCCCACCAACCTCGACATGGCCATTCCTTCTTCGGGAGGAAATCGTCTGGCAGCTCCATTTCATCTGGATCCAGCTCCACACGAAACAGCCGTCATCGTAGCATTCTTCACCGATCGCCACTTGATCCTTCTATAAAGGCCGCTCAAGAGAGAGTGGTTCTCGCTGAAACCGCCGAGAAGGAAGCCGATAAAGCTCTGATGGCCTCGAAAAAAGCCGTGAAAGATGCCAGGGACCATGTCAAACACCTTGAAAGAGAAGCCGCAGAGGAGTGAGTGATTCCCTCATTATCGAAAAGAAAAAAGAAATGAAAATGAAAATCTTCTCTAATTTCTTTAGAGCTCGCCTTGCAAAGATAAAGCAGAGTCATGCCAAGTCTATCTCCAAGAGAGCCAAGCCCCTTGGTCGTAAGATCTACCTTCCCGTGGAGATATAGAGATATGAGAGTCTGCTAACACATCCGACCATGATTACAGGCCATTTTTAGGGCAAATTTTGCTTGGAAATCTTTCGCTTCGTAGTAACATGTATACGAATCGACTGTTGGCCTTTGTTTATGATGATTATGTATTTTTAGCGACTTGTGTGATGTTGATTTTGATAATTCGATCAGTGGAATTTCAAAGCACGTGTGAAGTCCTTTCTTAATGGATTGAAAATTATTTAATTAGATCTTACGTCACAGAATGCTGTGCTATGCCAAATGCCGAATAGTGACACCCAAACATGTGCCGTTGAATGCAGATTGTGGGGGTATAGAAGCGATCGAGAGTATTTTGGAGCCGTAAAAAGCACATTTCGCGCATTCCTGCATTCTTGTCTAGTCATTCATTATATCACGCCCAAATCCGCTCAGGGTCAAGGTGCGCGTGGGTTACATTCGGAGTGTTACCCCAACCCCGGCTGACAAGACGAGTTTTTAGAGCCATGACTGGACAGCTTGTTAATGTAGTACTGGACACTCCGATCATGATATTAGTATTCAAAATGTGCCATGATACTCATAATAGGTTAGACTGAGAATTAACTTCCATTCCGCGGGGCAAAAGCGACTGTGATGAGAGTCCTTTGGGCATCAAAGAGGAGTTGAGTCGGAAGTACGTTACCAGAAAGAAAATCGCACATACAACTAGATTGTATCTATTTAAATAAAGGAGAACCGATTATTTCCATAATACAGAAGCAGAAAAAAAGTAGTTTTACGAGAACTATGCATATATGAATGTACATAGTTGAAATTATTTAGTAGTAAACAAGGTTAGATCTTATTTGACAAAGCGCAGTTGACTTTGAACAGTACCCCACTCCTGATGGACCACCGCTAGCAAGTGGCGAGTACTCTCTGTTACTTCCTTTCCTCCGAAAAATATAGTTTTATTTGCAATAGCTAGGCATGAAAACTGTACATAATATGGAGTTACATCTCGGAGATCAGCTGCTCCGGAAAGACGATCAATCCTCCGAGAGCCAAGTAGCTGTATAAATTGATCGATCAATCTCAGAAGACTCGCTTTATTTTGTGCAGAAGAGCTTCAAAAAACAAACCATCAGATCAAAGTCGACTGCCCCACGTGATGATCGCATTGCCAGTTTTGCTCATTATTGTATCGACCTTGGGTACACTTGTTGGGTGCTTGCCAAGTCCAGGCGATCAAGTGTCCGAAAGCAGAGATGATTCAACCAATAGGCTAGTGTTTGCACATTTCATGGTCTGTGATACATTGAGTCTTTACTGCAGAAGCATATAGAGCCTATACTAACTTCCAACCTTTAGATCGGCATCACTAGTAACAGACATAGTCCTTCTGACTACGATGATGATATGAAACGAGCCAAATCACTTGGTATTGATGCATTTGCGTTAAACATTGGTGTAGACCCCTACACTGACCAACAATTGCAACTGGCATATCAATCTGCTGCTCAGAATTCCATGAAAGTGTTTATATCTTTTGATTTCAATTGGTGGAATGTGGGACAAGCCTCGGCAATAGGACAAAAGATAGCCCAGTATGGCAGTTTACCGGCTCAGCTAATGGTTGACGACAAGATCTTCGTATCTTCATTTGCTGGAGATGGATTAGATGTAGCAGCCCTCCGGGCCGCAGTGGGAAAGCCGATATTCTTTGCACCTAACTTTCATCCCTCTCAGGGGACTGACATATCATCTGTCGATGGACTTCTGAATTGGATGGCCTGGCCGAACAACGGCCAAAATAAAGCTCCGACGCCCGGGCAAAACGTATCTGTTGCAGATGGTGACAATGTATACATCAAAGCACTAAATGGTAAAGCATATGTCGCACGTAAGTTCGTCTTTCGATGTCCTTATCCTCTGTTCATTCGTACCAATTTCTAATAGTCATATAGCGGTGTCTCCTTGGTTTTTCACTCATTTTGGACCCGAGGTATCTTACAGCAAAAATTGGATCTTCCCCTCCGATCTACTCTGGTACAACCGCTGGAACGATATCCTTGCACTAGGACCCCGTTTTATTGAAATTGTGACATGGAATGATTATGGGGAATCGCACTACATCGGACCATTGAACTCTCCTCACACAGATGATGGCGCTTCACGATGGGTTAACGACATGTAAGACTTTTGAATCAGCTCGCATTTTAACTACTTACTAAACAATGCACTCGTTAGGCCACATGACGGATGGTTGGACATTTCCAAGCCCTTTATAGCGGCATTCAAAGCTGGATCACGGTCAGTTGGGGATTATATTACCTCGGACGAGTTGGTCTACTGGTATCGACCTGCTCCACGCAGCGTCAATTGCGATGCAACCGACACGTGTATGGTCCCCGCGAACAATGGGAGTGGAAACTATTTTATTGGTCGACCGAATGGTTGGGAGTCCATGGATGACTCCGTTTTCGTGGTTTCCTTACTTAAAGCTCCAGCTTCAATCGAAGTCAACAGTGGTGGCACTGTGTACACATACTCTGCACCAGCCGGTGCATCAGCACAGGAAATTCCTATGCATGTCGGCACTCAAAGCTTTGCAGTCAGCCGCGGTGGTCAAAAAGTCCTGTCTGGAACGAGTTTGAAGCCAATCATCGACGGGTGCGTGTGCGGGCTGTACAATTTCAATGCTTATGGCAAGTCCAGACCACTGTCATTTCCCCTAAAAACAACTCTTTTGCTGACCGCATGACATTTAGTTGGGACACTTCCACCCGGGTTTAGTGATCCGCTTCTGCCCGATGGACTGGCAGCTTTTAGTCAAGGCTTGCATGTGCAATCGTGCCTCCCAACACCTTCTCTGGGCACTGTTCCTCCCGAGGCCAGTACAACTTCTACCACGACAATTGGAACTTCCATTTCAGAGCCGGGCACTACTACCACTAGCACCACCACAACAACACCCCCAACGGGGCCCGGACAAGGCTCCACTGCTACGATCACGACGACGCTCACAACCACGATAACTAGGACCCAAACACAAACGACCACAGTAGTATCGACAACTTGCCCGCCGGGTAGTGGACCCGGCGATGGTAGCGGACCCGGCGATGGTCGCACCTGCATTGGTGGGACTGGACCCGGTAACTATATTGGGCTTTGCAACTTCTGCTGTCGTTTCGGCTACTGTCCTCCCGGCCCTTGCACCTGCACTCAGTATGGAGCACCGGTGCCAACGCCGCCATCAACAGGAGCACGCGGCGCGCCGCTTCCCGGCGAAGATGCTTCGTATCTTGGTCTCTGTAGTTTCGCCTGTGATCATGGTTACTGTCCCCCCACAGCGTGCATGGCCCATTAAATCAGATGGTTGTTCAAACCCACGTTCGTTGACGCTAGGCTAGAAATTGCTTTTCTTTTCTTCCAGGCTGGGGCATTTTGAGTTGGAGTAGGATTAGGTCGTTATTTCGCATGGCAACCAGTACCATTTACTCTTTTTTGGGGGGGTTTGGTGTCAATCTTAGTCTTGATATCCTGGAATCCACGCTATGAATTAGAGTTATGCCAAGCATTTCTGGCCATGACCAAAGTGAAAATCAACTTCAAAGCCATTGATCTTTCGATCAAAGAAAGCTCATGATGGGATGATACCCAGGTATAAGGAAGTCAATACACGCAAAATTGGTAATCCATCGAATTCATCCAACTAGTACATATTATTTAATTGATTTACATGGTATCTCATGTGCCAATACCAAGCTGCTGGGGATTTTATATGTCAGGGCCAGTCCCGGGTGATTGAAGCGAAAGAAGAAGCATAAAGATACAATCGGGAGATCGCGTGACTCCAGATGGCCAAGTCCATCTAATCACATCTACAGAGCGACAGCGGCCAGAACAGCGACAGCACCACCAGCAATAAGACCACGATTCGCAGTCATTTGAGGTAGTCCTCCGGTACTGGTCTTGCTGGCCGATTGGGAGGAGGATGTCTCTGTGCTTTCTGAGGCTGAGCTGCCAGTGCCGGTCGATGAACCAGTAGAAGTGGTGGAGGTCGCGGTGCCCGAGGCGGTGGGTCCGGCAGTGATGGTGACTGGCATCAAGGAAATCTCATCGGCGCTGAGGGTCGTGGTTTCACTGGGTTGGGAGTACGAGAGTGTGGTCGGCATCACATTCGTGCAGACGGCAGTCGTTGTGCCTCCCATGGAGCAGATGATGCGACCGTATCTGTTGATGATGTCATGGAGAATTAGCACGTCGCATATATCGTGATTCTAATGAATCTCGATATTCAAAGGAAGAAAGAAAGAAGAAGAAGAAGAAGAAGAAGAAGAAGAAGTGGAGACTTACGAATCATATGGCGGCTTCAAAACGTACTGATTAGTGGTGGGACCCGCTGTGTAGTACATGCCGGGCAAGAAGCCGCAGTCCTCGGGCTCAACGTCCGCAGCGCAATTGATGCTGTACGTCGTGGTGCCAGCACTCTAAGCCATCATATGGTTAATATGATTGTTGGATTGTGGTGCAAGCCCCATGAGCGTGTCCCCACATGACGAGGATCACTTACCGCAGCCATGACCGAGCCGACCAGATCTTGGGGATCAGCATCAAATAGAAACAACGACACGACGGAGGATTCCGCGGCCACCAGACCAAGTGTTGCGAGAGTAAGGAATGTCTTCAGTGCCATGGTTGCTTGAGTCCTAAAGAATGAGCGGCAGAATTGGGCTCAATTGTTCAAGGAAAGGGGAAAATAAAGCAAGAAGAAAAAGGGGTCCGGGATGAAGGGTTTTTCTAAAGCCGGTCTAAAGGCCGGGATCCGGGGACTCTGCAGCCGATAGGCTCAAAGAAGGGTTCAACAGGGTCTGAATGGGGTCCAAAAGGGCCTAAAAAGGGGATCCACCCGATCAATAAGCGCAAGGTGATAAGATGCTCCACGAAATTCCAATCTCACTCTTTTCAGCTTGAAAAGTTTCTCCTTTTGTATTCATTTCAAGTGTTCGGGCATTTAAGAATCTCATATCAACAGGAATGCCAGAGAAAATGGCAAAACCATGATGGACTTTTGTTTCAGAACTCCATACAGGGGAATGACGCGACAAGGAGTCAGCGGAACCTTACGGAATTAGGACATGGTTGAGATAGGCTAAGTACGATAAGACCTTTTCATTCGGCAGGGCTACTATACTTTCAGAAGGCCTTGAGCTCTGCCCTAATCTGCCAAGAAATTATAAACTACAAGATGCATCCATGATCTATTTGAAAAAAAAGATCATGCGGTTTGAGCCAGGGCTTTGCTCATTTGTCGGCTTCAAATATCACTTTTTGGCAGCGCATATGGTTGAAATCATCATACCTGAGACTATGTCAGTTCGCGCTACAAAGAGAGCAAGCAAAAAAAGATCTCGAATGGGGAAAGTCATACGCTTGGACTGCGTGTGACAGTGGACGAATATCCTGGGACATGAAACTAAGACCCGTTAGCACGAGATCGATCTAATATCACCCTTCCATCGACTCACTTCAAGACGTCCTGCTTCTTGGCGAGCAAATCCATGGCAGGTTCAAAAATACCTAACAGGCATCAGTTATCATCAACGGCCTAGATGAGGCTCGGGCTGGAGTTCTCACTGCGAACGGGGCATCGTCCCATTTGGAGGCGAAGGTTCTTTCCGTAAGCCTCGTTACCAGTCCAGGGAATCTCGCCATTGTGTACGCCGACACTCGACATGACTCCCCACGGGCGAACTAGCTCGAATCCCATTCTCAGGGCACTGCTGTGGCCCACAACTTCGATCACAATGTCCGCACCACGACCATCTGTGATCTCCTTGACTCGGTCACGCAGGCCCGCCTCGTTCTCTTGGAAATTCCAGGCCTCGGCCCCGAGACTCTCCGCCAGCTGGAGACGTGACGGTACGCTGTCGATGGCGATTAAGTGCTTGGGACGGAACTCCAAAGCACTGACCAGGGCACAAATACCCACTGGCCCACATCCAAACAGAAGCACCGTGCTATTCTGGACGGCCTTGGGCTCCAGTCCACGAAATCCGTTGCTAGCAGCGAAGTAGCCGGTCGGGAAGATATCGGCCATCAGAACTAGCTTCTTCTCGTCGATGGCTGCAGGCGCATGGAGAAGGGTCGAGTCGGCCAGAGGGATACGAACGTACTCCGCCTGGCCGCCATCCAGCCCCGCGCTACCATACAGCTGCCCACGCGCACACCTGGAAGAGAATCCGCTGCTGCAGTAGAAGCATTCACCACAGCTGACTGTAAACGGGGAGACAACTCGGTCGCCCTGCTTGAAAGTCTTCACTTCGGGGCCCATTTCGATAACCTCGCCTGTAAACTCATGGCCCATGATAAACCCCGTCCCTGAGGGCTGATGACCCCGATAAACATGCAGTTCACTAGAATCAGGTTAGTCACAATGACGAGTGAATATCGAGGCAGTCCTCCTGACTGGTACACTTCACCTTCCACATAGCGCGGTATATCTCACTTTGAGAATCACGTCGGTGGGGTCTTGAATTTGTGGTCGGGGTCGTTGCTCGAGAGCGACTTGCAGAGGACCCTTAAAAACCACGGCTTGCATGATGAAAGCTCGGGTAGATGTAGTAAAATATAGTGAGATAACTGGTGAGACAATTTCGGTGATCGTAAAGACGACTGTGCACTCAGCATGGAGCCAATGCTCTTGGTGGGGTCGAATGCTTGTGTCGCGGGGGCGTCGTTCGTGCCTCGGCTGTGCTCGGATATTCACAACGCCATCGGAGGTCAAACGGAGAACAGAGAATTTGATGGCAGCACCCAGATATTTCAGAAAAAAAAAGCCCTTGTAGCTGCTTTGTAACGCGTGTCAAGTTGACTGGTGGGAAGAAAAATGAGGACATCGCCCAACGCCTTATCTTTCCGTGCTTTCATAGCTCCGCATGACCACGTTCATGGATAGAGAGAATCGCCAGACAACAAGCGGAAAGTTTTTTTGTGTATTCCAAGATGATCTTATTAGATCGCATAGCTATCAGACCTCTTCAAATGTCAATCATTCGGTATTCTTGCCTGGTGCCTCCAGGAACCCAATTGGTATCGCTTCTTGATCAGTAACCCCGCATGTTAACTTATCAGACGGGAGGCTCGATACTTAATTGATAAGATGGATAGAGTGCATTGGGGAATTGAGTTTGTTTCATTATAGATATAGCGATGCGGTTCTTTTATAAGCTGGCAAGTGCACGAGGACCTTGGTAGGGACGACCAAATATGTATTCTGCCAATAACACAGCACACCCAGTATTTGCTACATCAAAGTCTACGGAATTCAGTACCTTCCCTCGAGTAGCAACGCTATTGTGTGGTCTGCCTACCTTCATCGAGTGAGAAATCACTGATCCAGATCTATGCTTATCTACATATTATTTACTAGATTCTTTTTTACCAAGTCCCCCATCGTATAGTTTATCAAAATCGACACCACTTGTCTACCCCCTAAAAAGAGAGAAAGCGCTTCCCTTGCCAATTGGCGGTCCTCACCTTTGATGTATTGGGCATAGAACACGAGATTTGGAATCAGAATTGAGTGCGAAATCTCTATGGTGACAAAGAACATCCAGAGGCGGCATTCGTACGATGCGATTGGAGACTACGAGCTACGATCGGCTTCATTGGGATGGACATTTGTTTACCCACGCACGCCCCGTGGGCTGCTGATCAAATATCCCCTGCCATACCTTGCAAATTCCGAGACGCGTCATTTTGGGATAATCATCACTATGTCTAGGAGACTCTACATAGGCTGTTGAGGTATCAACCAGAGAGCGGAAGTGGATTGCCTACGAGTGTCAAAATTCCCACTTTTATGCCGTTGCAGCTACCATCTCTACCTGTTCGATATTTGGTTTGATGAGATATTCGCCGAGCTGGAAGAAGAGGAGACCGCAGGCACCCCTTTCCTTGCAGCAGGAAGAGAGAGGGTGGAACACCAGTGACAGGATCCTGAGATCCCGGACGATCTCTCTGGCAGGATACATCCCCCCCGGCAAGAGTCGCATTATCCCCGACCACTCAAGGCCGGGGTTCTCCGCACCATCAGGCAGGAAAGCTGATGCGGGATTTTCCGATGAATCCGAATGCCTCGCATATCCCAATCACAGATGTCGATGGAAATGGAGACCGAGACCGAGATTATCGGGTGTTTTCCACGGCCGAGTTTCTGGTTCATCATGAGTCGTTCCCAGTTGCGCTTAGGTCTCAAAACTCCGAGTCCAGAAACAGTCATTCCGCCGAATCTTGGATCAACACGTCTGATGTCGATCAATTCATTCCAAGGTCACACCAGGGCCACCACTGGTTCTCCGGATTGGACAATGGGGGCGGCGCTAGACCAGGGGACGCGTCCCTTCCCCCTAAGCTTTCATTCGTGCTAAGGGAAGCCGTCGACCGACATGGCCGGTGTAGAAAGACCCCATTGGTGGGATGACGAGCAATCAATTTGCACCGGCGGCACTTGCGAGAGTCATCGTGTCTCGGCAGACGAGAAGCGAGAACGCCAACCGGCGCCACAGCCCGAGACTAAGCTTTGCCATGGCCTAAACCAGGACGTCATTCGGAAAACTCACCTATCGAGATATAGAAAAAGTCGCAAGACAGAATGAAAAAAAAACCACAACCCCAGATTCTGGGGCGAAGGCCGGGATTGTCTGGGGGGGGGGGGGGGGGGCTAGAGAGGTCACGTCCGATCCGGCGCTCGATAAGCCCATCCTGGCTTTTTACAGGCCGTTTGGTTTCTGCGGGGACTCGACGTGGGTCATTCACACCAACTTCCCCATGGGGGGCCCAGCCCAGGTTTCTCAAGCAGGACTGTCTTGGATTGGTCCACCGCGAAGTCGTCGGCCCTCTGCTTTCCCTCTTTGGTCGCATTGAACGAGGCCGACACATGATGCTACATCAGATGAACCCCGAGCCATTTCGTTGGCCCCCCGCCCCACACCCACGTTTCTAGCCCCCCCGAAAGCAAGGACAGGAACGTATAACCCGGCTTCTGAGAGAATGCTTGTAACAGAAAGACTGCATGGGCGCGTTATAATGAGCAGTATCTAGCACTTTTCAGGGCTTTTGTCGCCGCAAAAGAGTGCCAGAGGGCTAGAGGGTTCAGTCTTTGACGTAACAGTCGGGTTCGGTATATGCACGCAGCCTCAATGCATTCTCTGGGGCTCTTCTCTCGTCTCGAGAATCCGATTCTGCTCCTTGGCTTAGGGGAGAGTAGTATCGGTGCAGTAATTACCAAGGGTTAATTATACCGATGTAACTAGTCAACCACCCGTTCTGTCTTATTACTGGGATTTACGGCGGTTTACATGCGCATGGTCCTTTGTATATAACAAGCCCCAGTACCTCCCTCTCGCCTCTCTGATCTCTTCTTGTCCGTGATTACTTCCTGGAGACCTCCACAGCGCCTTGAACTCCTGTCTCTTTCCCCTGGGATATTTCCCATCATGGTGCTCATTGGAAACATCTATGTGATCGCCTCCGTCGCCGTCGTCGGCGGCGGCCTCTTCGGTTTCGACATTGCGTCCTTGTCGGCGCAGCTCACAGAGAACTCCTACAAGTGTTATTTCAACCAGGGGGCCGAATGGCCCACCCTTCAACGATGACAAGGACTGTAGCGGTCTGGGCTCTCTGGTGCAAGGTGGTGTCACAGCTTCCATGGCCGCCGGCTCCTGGCTCGGCGCCCTAATCTCTGGCTTTCTATCGGATCGGATCGGTCGCAAATACTCGATCATGTTGGGCTGCATTATTTGGTAGGGCAACGCACCGAGACCGCCCCTGGATGCACGGTGGCGCTCGATGGCTGACAGGCGAACTTTTGATAGGCTGGTGGGCTCAATTTTGATCTGCGCCTCGCAGAACATTGGGATGCTCATTGTCGGTCGTATCATCAACGGTCTCTCCGTTGGAATTGAATCGGCTCAGGTCCCCGTCTACATCAGTGAATTGTCGCCTCCATCAAAGCGTGGCCGCTTTGTTGGTATGCAGCAATGGGCGATCACTTGGGGAATTTTGATCATGTACTAGTGAGTTTCCCCACTGTTTGGGTCTTTTTGTGGCGTTATAATTTTTTTTTTTTTTTGCTTTTTGCGGGGGCCTGAAGGGCGTTTACCTTCAATATTTTTATCTTCCCCTTACGCCATGGCTGACATTCGGTGATCACCGTAGCATCTCGTATGGTTGCGCCTTCATTGGCGGCCAATCATCCGACAACTACAACCCGGCCGCCTGGCGTGTGCCATGGGGTCTGCAGATGATCCCAGCTATTTTGCTGTTCTTTGCCATGATGATGCTCCCAGAGTCGCCGCGTTGGCTGGCCCGGATGGATCGTTGGGAGGAGGCCCATGATGTCCTCGCCCTCGTCCATGGGAAGGGTGATCGTAACCACCCTTTCGTCGCCATCGAATTACAGGATATCCGCGACATGTGCGAGCTGGAGCGCTCGTTTGGAAATGTCACTTACCTGGATCTCTTTGCCCCTCGTATGCTCCACCGCACCGTGATTGGTCTCTTCACTCAGATTTGGTCCCAATTGACCGGCATGAATGTGATGAGTAAGTTGGCCTTCCACGCTTCACGCTCTCCTACAACAGGACCATTTTTTATATCCGACACTCGTGATGAAGACTTGACCCCACTAATCTATGATTATAGTGTATTATATCGGTTACGTTTTCGGTATGGCGGGCTACAGTGGCAACGCTACCTTGCTGGCCTCGTCGATTCAGTATATAATCAACGTGGTGATGACCGTGCCCGCTCTGCTCTGGCAGGATCGCTGGGGCCGACGCCCGACCATGCTGATCGGGGCGTTCTTCATGTGCGCCTTCATGTTTGCCAATGCCGGAATCCTGGGTGGCTCAGGCGTTATCTTGCCTATGGACGAGCGGACTAGCCCTGAGGAGTCGATGAAGGTCACCGGCTCCGCTGCCAAGGGTCTGATTGCATGCACGTATCTGTTCGTCGCGTCCTATGCCCCCACTTGGGGTCCCGCCTCGTGGACCTACCCGCCCGAGCTGTATCCCTTGCGCCTGCGTGGTAAGGGCGTGGCCATGTCGACGTCCGGCAACTGGGCGTTTAACATGGCTCTGGGCCTCTTTACCCCCTCAGCCTTTACCAACATCGCCTGGAAGACGTACATCATCTTCGGTGTCTTTAACGCGGCTATGTTCGTCCATGTGTTCTTTATGTTCCCCGAGACGGCCGGGAAGACCTTGGAAGAGACCGAGGCTATGTTTGAAGACCCCGCTGGCTTTAAATATCTCGGCACTCCAGCCTGGAAGACCCGGGTTATCACCAGCCGCATGGTGGCATTGGAGCATGGTGATTTGGAGACTGCCAAGGGTCGGGATTTCGTCTCCACCGCCGCGAACCCTACTTCGACGGCTGTCGAAGAAAAGGGAACTGCGTCCCACGAGTAAGCGAGTGAATTATTTTGGAGATATGGTATTCACTAGAGAGAAAGACAAGTAGAAGGTTAGATAGATGATCTGTGTTGCTTGCCTTTCTCTCTCTTTCTCTCTCTTTCTCTCTGTATGAACCTGTCTCTTGTGTCTTTTGTTTGGGCAGATATGTTGGTATGTATGAGTGCAGAATGCAGCTATAATGGAACATGAGGGCGAGAGATGCTTGTTACAAGTCCCAGTGAGACATCCTGTGTGGATGGAACTTATGATCTTCTTGGTACCCTTGTATCTTTCTATGGTCCTTCTTGACTCTGTGTGCCCTGTTGAGCAGGGAGGCATGATTAGGTAATTCCTTGAATCGTCTTGGAACAATCTAAATAACCAGCGTAAAGTGTATGGGTAAACAGCAGTAGTGGTGGTATATAGAGAAATATTGAACAATCGAAATGTAAAAACCCAAAAACGGCGAGGAGTCAACCTCTCGAAACACCGTTTCAACTCAACCGTACCCTGTGCTACCGTCAAGTGGGAGACGGCAGAGCCAAGCGTGAAAAGCGTTGAGAATAGAGCCGGTGCCAAGACCTCCGCCACCACTTTGTCCCAAAAGGCAAAATCCTGGATGGTTCAGGCACGCCGGGTCTCCATGGCTGCACTACCCGCAAAGTGGGCCATTGGAATGGCTTATTTGGTTCTTGCCCTTTCTCCTCACACGACGCGACGTATTAATAATATCATTCCGATTTTTGCTCCTACTTGTCTATCCTCCCTGGAGCATCTTGACTAGACATGATCGGGACCGGCTTATAGCAGAATAGGAGGATAAGAGAAGATAAGCCGAGCCAGGAAGTTCGCTCCCAGCGAGATCGGCCCCACGCGACCGCGCGTCCACCGAATCCCCGTGAGTTTCGGTGACTGACTAACCTGCTCTCTGCCCGCTCTCCTCCTCCCTCTCCTCTCCCGGTAACGTCATGCTAGTGCTGGCGATCAGGGACTCAGAGATTTCTTGGCTGGCTCACGGCCTGTTTCCCACTGGCATCCCATACACCCCCATCATGACCTGGCGTCAATCCTAAATCGTGAACCCTTCCGGCAATGCCATTCGAGTTCCCAGGATCATCTCGTCGCCTGCCGAGCCCTGTCCTTCCAGTATGTCCGACGATGGAGGCAAGGCGCAGCGCGGGTTCCTGGCGCAATTTGCGGGTAAGTCCGATCTCTAGCTGTTGGCGGCTTGGTGTCGCTGCTGCTCTTCCTTAAAAAGGACCGATGTACCTATGGTCTGCCATCCTCAGTGGCTTCATTTGACGGGCCGCCAAGTCCTTCGCTGCTTACTGACTCCTACCGTGCCCAGCGTTCATCGCTCCCTTCAAAGCGCCCATCGCCGGACGCCATGATCAAGGATGGCGTCCGTTTGCTCTTCGCCCCTTATACCTGTCCTCCCTCGCGTGTCTCATGCTTGCCATGCTCCTGTTAATGGAGAGCCTGCGGCAATATAGCAATCGCGAAGGCGGCCTGGTCTTCTTTAACGATACCGACGATATCACCTCTTTACAGTCCTTTGCCTACAACTATGTTCCCATCATCGTTGCTCTCCTCCTCGTTATGGTTTGGACTGTCACCGACTTCGATGTTCTTCGCCTTGAGCCATATTTCCAGCTATCGCAGCCGGAGGGGGCGCCCGCCACGGTCCTCTTTATCAACTACAACTTCGGCCAAACCATTCTCACTCCATTCAACTCTGCCCGTCGTCGCCATTGGGTCGTCTTCTGGGTTTCAATCTTGAGCATTTCGCTTCGAATGATCCTGCCGGCCCTGCAAAGTACGATGTTTGAACTGAGAGAGGTCAGTCTCGTCGATTATGGGACCATGAAGAGTTGGCCGAACCTGGTGGACCTCGATGCACAAGCGACCTGGATGTCAACACAAGCGAAAAACACTGCGGACTTGATTCTGTCAACAGATGATCAACTCCGTCGGTCACGGTCTGATTATGCGGTGGCCCCGGTGGAAATCCCCGATGATGATGATCAGGCAGATGACACACTGTGGAAATTGGAACAAGAAGTGTACTGGTCTCAACCCTCCTGCGAAGATGTGCCCGTCAACAGCGAACTATCCGTAAAGATCGAAACCCCGGATGACAGCTACCCAGTTGTCTCTTGGAATGCTACCGGCATTGATATGGACGATTCGTATGGGGGATCCCAGTGCAAGCTTAATTTCAACTATGACACAATCTTTTTCTCAGGGACCGACTACCTTCAAGTGCGCTACTGGGAGCCAGTGATTACTAGCGCGGCTCGGTCTGAATACCCTAATACTACGAAAGCGTTCACCACCACCGGGTGTGATCCGTATGATCTATATGGAATGCTTATTGCCGTCAATGCGACAGGCACACAGTCGAATGAAACCGTTTATTCGGCTTCTGGAATTGCATTTGCCTGCGATATTAACTACTACAGAGCGAAGGCCCGAATCTCAATGCATTCTAACAGCTCCATCGAGTCTCTGAATATTGAACCGGGAACTACCCAAGCCTTAACCTCAGCAGAATTCAATATCGACCATTTCCAGGCCCTTCTCTCTCAACGTGCTCCTTATACCAGCGACATGCTTTTCATTCGTGAAAATGCCACTACCGGAAGCCGTGTTGTGACAGAACTGCCCATCATCAGTCAAGAACTCGGCGATCTCCAGCCTCTTCTCATTCTTGATACATCAACTGTCATGACCCTTTCTGAATTCGAATCCAAAATCATCCGCGACGTCAAGCAAACATTTGTTCTCACTCTTGGCCGCCTTTTTGATCCGGATGTTGAACCCACTATCCTCCCTGTAACCCGTGTTACCAATATGGTTGCTATTGCCGTTGTGGAGTTCGCGGCCCTCTTATCCGAACTCATTCTGGGATTGACCACGTTGACTGCCATATACCTCCTCTTTCTTTACGGCTCCCGGCGGACCTTTTTACAAAGCGATCCTGGCTCCATTGGTGCTATGTGCAGCATCGCCGCCGACGTCTTTCACCCCTCTAACATTCTCACCCAGCCCCATGCCGAATTCCATCAAGTTTCCACTCGCCAGATGCGACAAATCTTCAAGAATGCTCGATGTCACTGGCGGCCAGGCCCACGTGGTCCTTGTTTGGAAATTTTGGCGGAGGATGGTGAGGTTATCATCATTGCCCAGTATGAGGTCGCAAAGCTAACAATCATGGAACAGGGTCCCCTGTGCAGCTGGAAGAAAACATGCGAACACGCGTTGATCCGATGCCGCATTTTCTTCTTATCCCGTTCTTTATCATCGAGTTTTTGGCCTTGGCTGCGGTCATAATTTTGATGTGCCTCGTGGTCTCCTCCCTCGCACGAGATGGCCGATTCCGACACCTTACCCAGTCCGATTCAAGTTCTCTCCAGGTCGTCCTGTCCTTCTTGCCTTCCGTCGTGGCCTCCTCTGTCGGCTCGCTGTGCACATCCATCCACCGTAATCTCAGCATGCTCGAGCCATGGGTTCATCTTCAAAGGGGAAAGGCCTCCGCGGCTGCATCGCTATCTTTGAACTATTCCTATCAGAGTCCATTGTCTATCTTTTTCAAATCGGTTCGCGATCGCCATCTGCTCCTCGGCTTAGTTTCTCTGGCCTGTGTCGTTAATATGGTCCTCACGGTTGTGGCTGGTGGGCTTTTTACCCAAGAACTGACGACGTCGACTCTCTCCACGTCAGATTTGATTTCCAACTACAGCCAATCAACCTTCTGGCGCAACGACTTTGCAGCAGAGTTCACAGAGTATGATCTGATCCAGAGCAGCATCACCAGTGGCGTTCCTGTGCTGTCATGGACCAGCCCCAATGAGTCATTCGTACCCATCGATGTCCTCAAACATGACTCCAGCGTTCTTTACGGTGCAACCACTCTTGGTGTGGGTGCATATCTTCAATGTGAGACTCTGTCGGTTGACGAGGGTCTTGTCAAGAACAAAACTTCAAGTCACCAGTACTGGCACTACACAATGTTCGACAACTCATCGATGGAATGCACTGCAGCTATGCCGTCGTTAAAGAGCAAAGAAGGCGTTGCGCTTTCGATTCACTTCTTGTCTCCTGGGGATGTGAATGAGTCGGATATTTGCCAAACCTCGACGGTTCTTGTTGTCGGCCGCTGGCATTATATGGCAGACACTGCCGTCACGGACAACAACACCATCGCCCTGCATTGTGAACCCCATGTGAAATTGCAAAATTACTCCATTATTTTCGACCAGAAGGGCCAGATTGATGATCAAACTCCTATTGCAAATACAACCATTGGATCCGGCGCCATGTACAACAATGCAACGGTCAGCCTGGGACAGTTCAACAAGGTGTTCGCCTCGATCCCTGAGAGCTACGTCGGCAATACAACTGCTCATAATGGCAGCTACAACATATCATCCTATGACTGGGCCGGGTTTCTGGTTGCTCGCCTATATCAACGTCACGACCCCGACTTCGACTCACTGAATGCCGAGCTCCTGACCGACATGACCCAGACGGTGTACCAGTGGGTATACAGCACCTATTTCTCTATCTGGCGTGATCTCTACCTCGAGCCGCTCAATCAACCCATTCAAGCCACTAATGCCACCGTCATCCAAAGCCTATGGGGCATGACACCATCAATCCCGTCTCTCACGATCGCCTTGATTATAATCGCGTTCGACACCTTGGTGGTTCTTCTCGTATTTGGAACTCGTCGCGGTCGCTTCAGTGGCCCGCGAATGCCACGGTCTATCGGAGCGATTGTTCCTTGGGTCGCACATAGCCGGATGCTGCGCGACTTCGACAACACCCACTCGTGGAGTAGCACTCAGCGCCGGGATCACCTCACCTCTCTTGGCAAGCTTTACGGCTTCCGCATGTTTACTGGCCCCGACGGCCGTTCGCGGTTTGCCCTCGATGAAGAGCCCGCCGATATTAAACCCCCCCGACACTTCCCCATCACCCCCCACCGACCTCGACACCGAGGCCAACAAAACCACGTCCATCCAATTGCGAGAGCTCTCGTCGTTCTTCTTGCAGTCGCGGGTGCGGAACTAAACCCCTCTTGCCCTTCTTCTTTCTCCATTTATTGTGTTATGTACGTGACGACCACCTATTTGGATTTGATACCATGATTTGTATATATTTGGGGGACACGGCGTTATTTGAGACGTGTATTTCTTTTTGTGATCTGGCGCTTGGAATATAGATGCACCGAAAAGCTAGCTGGTCCTGGCTTTATTCGCATACATTTTGGGCAATTTGGGCAAGGGTCGAACTGCGGCCGGCGCCGCACGATAATGGAAATCCTTGGAAATATGCACGATTTGAGGGCTGCGGCGTTGGCATCAAGCTTTATAGCATTTAAAGCGTCTTTTCTTCTCGAATGAAATAAATATATCCAGTTCGACTTCAATCATCTAGGTCTACTTAACTCCATGAAAAGTTTAATAGTAACCTTCAGATTTATCACATTTGTACTACTGCATCCATCACCGAAATTGCAAACACGTATATACGTATCTCATTCGCACATCACTACCTCACGTCCGGAAGAAATTGTCTGACACCATCTTTACCGACCCATCCAGCCCCCATCAACAGTCAACACCTCCCCACTCACATACGCACTCGCTCGGCTCGCCAAGTACACGACCGACCCCTTGAAATCCTCCGGGCTACCCCATCGGCCCGCCGGGATGCGTGCGAGAATGCTCGCCGCCCGCTCAGGGTCCTGCATCAGCGCTGTGTTCATGTCCGTGGCGACATACCCCGGCGCAATGGCATTGACGTTGATACCCTTAGCAGCCCACTCGTTCGAGAGGGCCTTGGTCAGCTGCGCGACGCCGCCTTTGGCAGCCGCGTAGGCGGGCACGGTTAGGCCGCCCTGGAAGGACACAAGTGACGCGATATTGATGATGCTGCCGCGTTGGCCGGCGGCATTTGCCGTTCGCGTGAGCATGTGCGCGCCGACGTCGCGACATAGCGTGAAGATGGTAGTCAGGTTGACCTGGAGGACCTGGAGAACGGGCCAGTGTAAGCAACGCTTCGGCACAACGAAGGCAAAAGCAGAACGACCTACCTCGTCCCAATCATCTTGAGGAAAGACATGACTCGGATGTCGGCGTTGGATACCGGCGCAGTTGAGCAGGACGTCTATATCGTGGCCGTCGCCGAGGATGGCCGGAACGAGAGAGGACACGGAGTCCTGTGAGGACAGATCCGCCGTATAGATGGTGGCTTTGCGGCCCAGTTGCTCGATCTGTTCTTTTGTGCTGGAGTTGCTGGTATCTCGCTATACGGCAGTCAGCGATCGATCTTGTCCAGAGTTTATTGCTTGCCAATATGGGCGCAGATATCACCGACTTGTACTAAGACAATGTCGGCCCCGGCTTCTGCTAAGGCCAGCGCCATAGCCTGGCCAATGCCCCGGGTGCCTCCAGTGACCAAGGCGGTCCGACCGGTCAAAGAGAAGAGATTCATTACAGAAGAAGTGAGTAGGATTGTGTTTCCTGAGGGTTGTAGCTGATCGAATCGACAACCCGTCGCTCTCTGCGGGGATAATGCCGACTATAAAACTAGCCGGGTGCCCCCACGCGTGGGGGGAGGGTTCCCCCGCAGTGGAGAAGCAAACGCCTATGCCCGTTTAACCATATCAGACCAAAGCCTTGACGCTGTGGTGGTGGTGGTGGCGGTGGTGGTGGAAGTAATCCAAAGTTATATAGAAGCCACTAGTACACAATGAGAAGAGACAGCCCGATACATTCATTACAGTTTCACACTCCCAATGAGGTCTCTCTCTAGCCGACTCGCATTAACCATCTCTGGCTGCAGCTCGTTGAGACTCTTCGCACCCAAGAAAACCATATTAGTCTCGATCTCTTGGCGCAAAATAGCCAACATCCGACGTACACCAGCCTCCCCATACCCGCCGGACATGCTGAATAGAAAAGGTCGACCCAGCCCAACGGCTGTGGCCCCCAGAGCGATGGCCTTCAGAACATCTGTTCCCCGACGAATGCCTCCATCAATAAAGATCTGCATATTGCCATCCAGTAACATGGGAGCAAATTTGCGGATCTCTAGTAGCGTCAGAAGTGGTGACTGGGCCCTATTTTGTATGGATTAGATAGAGAAGAAGTAAAGAAACGAATGGTGGGTCCGAACTAACGTGTCTTGAGAACGGCCACCGTGATTCGAAAGCACAATACCCTGTACGCCATGCTGGTAAGCAAGGACCGCGTCTTCAACACACTGTATCCCTTTGATCACCACGGGCAAGTTTGTCAATTGCCGAATCCATTTCAAGATGTCCCAGTCAATGAATGGGGAAGTAGAGCCAGCTAGAACCTTTGCCACCCCTTGTCCTTGTAAGTTATCATCATCTCGCTGTACGCCGGGTATCATAGTGTTGTTAGTGCAACTCCTGTAAAACTAATTTTGAATCTTTGGAGAGACTTACCACTACTGCCAAATTCAGCCGCTCATCCATCTCTCTTTTGCCGACAACAGGCGAGTCTACGGTGATCCAGATTGCGCGGACGCCAGCCTTTAGGGCGCGCTTCACCAAATCCACGGATTTAGAGATATCGCGATTTACATACAGTTGAAAGAAGAGCGGTTGGTCGTCTAGAGTGCGAGCATCTCGGACCTGTTCCACGGGCATGCTGGAGCTATTCGCGAGCACCTGGACCAGCCCCTCTTTGCCTGCCGCTCGCGCCAATGCACATTCCCCATCGGGATGCGCAAACTTGGCCAGCCCTACGGGGGACATGTACACGGGAAGAGACACGGGGTAACCTAGGATGAAAGTTGTCGTATCCACGCTTGGTATGCTCTTCAAAATGCGAGGCCGCAAGGCCACTTTCTGGTAAGCGCGGGCATTATTCCTCTTGCTTATCTCGTCATCTGCGCCGGAGGAATAGTATGCCCAAGCGTTTGCGGGCAGGTATTTTTTGGCTACTTGTTCAAAATCGTGCAGATTGATCAGAGTGGCTAGTGGTGGAGGGCCTTTGGGCTCGGACTCTGTGTCCTTCTGAGTTTGTGTTGGGGATGTGTCATTGACAGCCCATTCGGACGGATCAATCTGGCCTTTCAGGGATATCGCAGGCAAAGCTTCTGAGAGCACGTCGAGGGAATGCACCGAGTCAAAGTCATCGGTGGCATCCTTGCCAGCGCAGCGCAAGATGACAGTGGCACCTCCGGGATGGGCATCCAAAAACTCTGCATATTTCGATAAACTGACTGATTCATAATCCCAGCGGTCTCGATTTCACGTACCAGTCACATCATAGACCGCTCCGTGGATGGCCACCCAGCAGGACTGCCGGGTATTGTGCTGCTTGATCTCTGCCCGTGTGAGAGTCATACTGCCCACGGCGATTGTGAGGAGGATGGCTTAGGATAGAGCGAGTAGCATAAGCAATATTCCATTTACTAGTTGGCTATGGGATCATCGACGTAAAAGAACGGCAGGGGCCGATCATGACCGCCTGGCCTCAACTTCCCAGCGCCACAAAACAGCCGATCCCCCGCGCGGAGTCTGGCCGAGCGCGGAGTTGCTGACGTGGGGGCAACAGGAGCGTACCATTCGCGAGCTGATAGTCGGTTTGCCTGTTCGGCTGGTCTCAACCAGGGCCCACTGTCGTGAGATGGGAGGTCGGAGTTTAGAGGTTGAAGGAAGGAAATTGGGTCCAGCGGGGAATCCGGGGGGGAATGGATCCCCCACACCATAGAAATGGCCCGTTGAGGCCGCACTCCGCTTATCCCGTATGCCATACTTCCTCGTCAAGCCATTTCACCCTGACTCTGCAACCATCATTATCAAAGCACATCCCGATAATCATGGCCGAAGCTCCCAACTATGACCAGAATATCGGCTCCAAGCCCGGGACGATGCACATTGAAGGATCGGGCATCGCGACCGACACTGGCAAGATTCACAATGGGGACGCGGCGTTGGCCTTGTTCGATAATCTGGAGGACATGCATGAAGAATTCGAGGCAGGCGAGGAGAAGAAGCTGGTTCGAAAAATCGACTTGATGATTCTCCCCTTCTTAGCGGTTTGCTATGCCTTCTATTATGTACGTGGTCGGATTCCTCCCTTGATGATGCTTCCCTGTGATTTATTGGAAACAGCAATCTGACGACCGAGGGCTCAGATTGACAAAACAACCCTCTCCTATGCAGCGATATTCGGCATTGAAGAGGATCTCAACCTTTCAGGCACCGAATACTCCTGGCTCTCGAGCGTGTTCTACTTTGGCTTCTTGGTCTGGTCGATGCCTACCAATCTCCTGATGCAAAGGTTCCCCATTGGAAAATACCTGGGGACCAATATTTTTCTATGGGGATTTTTTCTAATGCTCCAGGGTGTGTTAGATTTTAACATTCATAAATGAGACTCAAACATTAACTTTGCTAATGGATTCATAGCGGCTGCAAAAAACTTCACTCAATTAGCCGTGCTACGCGTCATCTCGGGCGCTGCTGAAGCATGCAGGTTTGTCTCATCTCCCTTTCTGAAATATAAATATACTATATACGTATCTTACAGGCAGTGGACTTATTCGGGATTAGTGACCCGGCGTTCATGTTAATTACTAGCATGTGGTATACTCGGCGCCAGCAACCAATCCGAATTGGCCTATGGTATACTGCCAATGGCTTTGGAATCGCAGTGGGTGGTCTACTCGGCTATGGAATCGGCCAGATTGAGGGGTCACTCTCTTCCTGGAAATATGAGTTCCTCATCATTGGGGCCCTCTGTGCCATTTGGGGCATTGTCATGATTATTTTTCTTCCCGACTCCCCTGTCACCGCGCCTCAACTATCGGACCGTGAGAAGCGTCTGGCAGTGGAGCGACTACGCGACAATCAAACTGGTGTGGAAAATAAGAATATGAAGCCCAAGCAGATATTGGAGGCCTTCCTAGACTGGAAAGTCTGGTTATTCTTCCTACTTGGCTTCTCCGGAAACATCCCCAATGGCGGCATTTCGAATTTTGGCACCCTCATTATCAAGGGATTCGGCTTTTCTACCTGTATGCATTCCTTCATGCTACTCCTTTTGTGAAACATGAACTTTGGGAAGACTAACAAGAATGTAGTGGTTACTACGCTCATGCAAATCCCGTATGGGGCCTTTATTGCGGCTATGATTCTACTCGCTGTATTCATCAACGATCGATTGCCTCGAAATAACCGCTGCATTGTCGCCGTTCTATTCCTTTTGCCAAACCTGGCAGGCTCCTTTGGACTGCACTTTTTGCCCCAATCCAACCAAGTCGGCCGGCTCATCTGCTACTACCTGACAGGCTCCTACAATGCCTCCTTTGTCATCATTTTGTCCATCTTGACAGGCAATATCGCCGGCCATACCAAGAAAGTAGTGACTAACGCGATGATCTTCTTGGGCGTATGTGCCGGGAACATTGCAGGCCCGTTCTTTTACAAGTCGGACCAAGCCCCAGGATACTCGCTCGGGATTTGGTCGATGATTGTAGCTAACTTTGTGGAAATCGTCTTGATAATCATACTCGGTTTGGCTTTGGCTTGGGAAAATCGCCGTCGCGATCGAGCCCAAGGCATCGAATCTGGCGGAGATGCGGATTATATGCGACAGTTGGAGCTGGACCGGACGGCATTCAGTGATTTGACAGACAAGGAGAACATGAACTTTCGCTATATATACTGATTCCATCGTGAGCCCGAATAAAATTTGGTTTGGTTTTGGATGTTGACATTGTCGGACTCAATTCTTTCTTCGTACGTCGCTGTATCCAATATACTACAGTGCCGACCACTTTCGCCTCCCATGTTCTAACCACAGAGAGACTTTTTCAAACTCTAATCATGTTGTTACGGACCTACCTACAGGACACTAAATATAGACATGCCTGAACTAATCGACTACTTAGTTACTTAATTCTATCTATATTTCAATATAAGGATATACCTATAACTAGGAGAAATACTTAGTAGCTATTCTGTAACTACTTCGTCGACTAACTAGGCGCCCTACTACTAGATAACATCTTCGGTCTACTCTATAGACTTAAGCCCGTGTAAGGCCTAGAGATTCGGTAATAGCATATTTACGAGAATAGATCGTCGGAGCTATAAGATAGGTACGTTAAAGATCGTAGAAAGTTAATAAGACCTACCGTAGGTACTGCAGACACTTGTTTTAGGGTGCGTGTTTCGTATGTGAATCACATTTGTCGCACCGGTTTGATTAGTCATCTACTTCGAAAACCGTCTCGCCCAATACTTTCGCCTCCCAATTGCAACTAGCCCCGTCACCGGCCTTCTGGATCTCTTGAATACCTATCTATGAAATTCTACAAAACGTAATCATCGAACTATGAGCTCGTCCGCCAAGGAAAAGAAGCGGCTTTAGATGTTAATTAGGTTTAGTCTTTAGATGTTAATTAGGTAACACGCTATATTAAATGACGATCAGAGTTCTACATCTCTAAACGCTACGACTATAAACGTACCTAAAACGAAGACCTAGTAAGCCTACGCGCGTAGTTTAGGCTTATTAAAATAGTCATTCACGAAAACGCGATCTAATTGAACTATTTCTATAACTTTGATAAAACAGGCTTTGCAATAGGCCTAATTGCCACTACTAGAATCGTTATACGAAAGGATTCCTACAGTCGGAAGCCTCTTCTACAACTAAGGGAATCGGGAGTAGGCAACAGCTATTAAATCTATATTAGCAACCGGCTTCTCGCTTCCGCTGTATCTAATATTTAAAGCGAAGGTCTATATAACTAGCTATTACGCGGTCTCTAGTTAGTTAACGTAATCGCTACGTTATCGTAACGTATCTATCTCGTGGCTCCGACAATCTATTCTCGCAACCGTACCCTTGCTAAATCTCTAAGGCCTTATACGGACTTAGGTCTATAGAGTTAGACCGAAGACGTCGTTTAGTAGTAGGGCGCCTAGTCAGTCGATGAAGTAGTCATAGGATAACTACTAAGTGTTCCTCCTAGTTGTGAGTATATCCTTATATTATACTATAGGTAGACTCAAGTAACCAGGTAGTCGATTAGGAGGTCTTAAGTAATAATATATAAATCAAGGCGAAAAACTAAATATAAGGACGCGAATAAGTGTCCTTATATATCTAGTCCTTCCTATTATGCTTTAAGAATCGTATCCTATCGTTAGAATAGGATATCACGTAATTTTAGGTGTTACACCTAAGTATTTGATTCTGTCGTGCTAGGCATGCAGTTACCCTTGACGGCCTTATTGCTAAATTGATTAGTTCAGGCGTGTCTATAATTAGTGTCCTGTAGGTAGGTCCGTAACAATATGATTAGGGCTTGAAACAGTCTGTGGTTAGAACATGGAAGGCGATAGCGGTCGGCACTATACATAGATCTATGAGCTACGCCGCATCTCCCAACCGCATGGACAGATCACTGTTTATTATGTGGATCATTTCACCTCATTAAACTCCTCTTTGCTGTTGATAGTAATTGACGCGAAGCTATGACGACAATGGCCCATTCGGGCAAGCCGATCTCGCCTGTTTGCTGTTTCGTCGCCTTGCAGCTGATTCCCCGTGGAACCAACTTCGCCCCCCCAAGGCCCCCCCACAAGTCGTCCTCCCGCCCCGCCCAGTTCTTCCACCAATCTCTGCTCACTTCACCGTGCCTTAGCGTGGGGAAGAAGCATGGCTGATATAGCTCCCCCGGACTTCTCCCGATTCTTGCTTGATTTTCCCCCCGCGTGGGATGCCACCAGCGAAAGCATGGGGGCGGGGTATGGACGCGTGCACAGCGCGCATTCATAAATGCAGAGAATACCGAAGCCTCCCAGAATAACTTTCGCGGTGCATATATCCCTTGCTGCACACTGTCCATCATGGCCAAAATCAAGTCCATTGAATACTTTCGGGTGAAGCCTCGCTGGTTGTTTGTGAAGGTGACCGATGAGGAAGGGAAGTTTGGATGGGGTGAGGGGACCTTGGAAGGTCACTCCCTGGCTGTTGAGGGCGCCCTCGACGAGATCATCTCGCGCCTGGTGGGATTGGAAGCAGAGTGAGTCCTGAAGCAGGGCTTTTGCCGCTCAATCTTGGTGCGCTTCTCTAATGCGATATCAACAGTGATATTGAACATATCTGGCAATTGATATGGCGACTGGGTTTCTACCGTGGAGGTCCGGTCTTCATGTCGGCCATGTCGGGCATCGATATCGCTTTGTGGGATCTGAAGGGCCGTCGCCTGGGGGTGCCTGTATATCAGCTGCTGGGTGGCAAGGTGCGCAACAAGGTCCAGGTCTACTGCTGGGTGGGCGGCGACCGCCCAAGCGATGTGGAGCGCATGGCGTGAGTTGATCCCAACACTGGAGCTTGGCTGCGATCTACCTTGGAACCTATTACAACCAGGTAAACTGACATTGAGTGATTGTAGAAAGGCACGGATTGCCCAAGGATTGAAGTGCATCAAGATGAATGCCACTGAAGACATGAACTGGCTCGACTCCCCCTCCGCGATTCAATCCTGCGTCGAGCGCCTGAAGCAGGTCAAAGCCCTCGGTCTGGACGCTGGCCTCGACTTTCATGGTCGCTTGCACCGGCCAATGGCGAAGCAGCTCGCCAAGGCGCTCGAGCCTTACCAGCCGCTCTTCATCGAGGAACCGCTGTTGTGCGAGCATCCTGAGGCAATCAAGCAGCTGTCCAACAGTACCACCATTCCGATAGCTTTTGGCGAGCGTCTCTATACTAGATGGGACATCAAACGTTTCCTAGAAGATGCTTCGGTAGATGTCTTGCAGCCCGACATTGCACACGCAGGCGGCATTTCGGAGACCAAGAAGATCGCTACCATGGCCGAGACCTATGATGTCGCAATCGCACCGCACTGTCCTCTAGGGCCCATCGCTCTCGCTGCCTCCATGCAGATCGCATTGTCGACCCCCAACTTCGTCATCCAGGAGATGTCCTTGGGCATGCACTACAATGTGGAGGCAGGCGATATCGATTTGAACAGTTACTTGGTTGATAAGACGGTATTCGAGATTAAGGATGGATACGTAGCAGCTTTGACTAAACCTGGCTTGGGTATTGAGATCGACGAGGACTTGGTTCGTCAAATCAGTAAGGAGACGGAGCCCTGGCAGCCCAAAGAATTCTATGGGCCCGATGGTTCAATTCGGGAGTGGTAAAGACATTTTATAGACTGCATATGGTACGCCATATTTTAATGATATATATGCTTCCATTTTCGTATCTCTGTTGTAAGTCAAAATTTTGAGCATGTCTCGAGTTCTCGATCGTCTATCTTCCATGCGCTTCAATTTCCCGGTGTAAAGCTGATTTTGAATCCTTCACTTTCTATATTTGCTGAAAGCACTTGTATCGTCAGCCCTAGTCACCAGCAGGCTCGAAAAAACCTGTGCAATGCAGTGAAGGGTGGCCTCCTCCGGCAGTTGATGGCGCAGCCCCGGAACCCCCACGTCGGAACATCCCCGGCCTCATCAGCCCCCACCGAGCGGGGAAGCACTGTTCATGGGGAACGCGGAGCTGGGCGCATGCTGGTAGGATTTCGCACAGCAGAAAGTTTCATAAAGCATCTCGACCACCATTCGCACAGTGAACTAAGAGTATTCCAATATGTCAGACCACATTGACGTTCTTCTTTACGGCCTTGGGGCGTAGGTATACTCTACGCTTGAAACGATTCAGTTGATTACTTTCCCTGACCAAATTATATAGCATTGGCTCCTTCTACGCTTTTATCCTGAGTCGCTCCGAGCGCGTGCGCTTGACTGTCGTCGCCAGGTCGAACTACGATGCGGTGGTCAAGAATGTCCGTTCACTGTGTCCGATTAATTACACAGGGAACATATCCGCTGATTTAGAAATCAGGGAATTACTATCAACAGCGAGAACCATGGCACTCACGTCCTCCGTCCCTACCGAGGTATACTACGCCGAGTTCCTAGTTTTTGAGGCACCTGAAGCTGAGTACACATCCACAGTGATCAAGACACCCGCCGAGGCGTCCGCGATGGATTATGTTGTCTGCGCGCATAAGGCGATCGATCAAGAGGACGTGGCGACAAAATTGCAGCCAGTGGTGGACCAAAAGCGGACAACGATTGTGATTATTCAAAATGGAGTAGGAAATGAAGAGGCCTTCCGCAAGACGTTCCCTGAGTCCTCGATTCTGACCTGCGTGGTAAGCTCCATGGAATATCATTTGATGCGATCGATTTGATATTTACCTAGACCAACACTGATTTGTACCAGACATGGGTTGGAGCGACTCAAATCAGCCCCGGAGTCGTAAAGCACACCAAATCAGAGGATATGCAGATTGGCCTATTCCCCAATCCCGAGGTGGCCCCGTCTAAAGAGCAGCAGCGTCTTGACACATTCGCGGGACTCCTGGAACATGGTCAGACGAGATTCCAAGTCCTGGACGATATGCAGCGACAGCGATGGGAGAAGGTCGTATGGAATGTTGCCTGGAACTCAATTACAACTATCACGATGCTGGATACTCAAACATGGCTGCATTCGTCGATCGAGGCTGAGCCGATAACACGCAAAGTAATGCGGCAAGTTATCAATGTTGCTCGTGCGAGTGGGGTGCCTCTAGAAGACAGTCTCGTTGATCAGCTGATGGATAAGATCAATTCAATGCCCGGGATTGGCAGCAGTATGCAGACTGATTGCAAAAATGGACGGCCTATGGAGGTTGACGTGATTTTGGGCTTTCCCATGCGGAAAGCGAGAGAGTTCGGGGTTCCGGCAGACTCGCTCGAGATGCTCTATGCTCTAGTCCTAGCGCAGGATCATAAAATCCGAGCATCTCTATGAAATGATTGTAGATAGAAGACTGTTTGACCCTTACTTGGTATGGCAGCAAATATCATTTAATCAATGAGTATCCTGTCGGGAGAATTTTGACCAATCAAACATTCCATCTTTCGATGATACTGCTTAGCTTATCCTATATTCAGCAACTCCCCCACGCCCTGTGCACCCCACGCAATTGTATTTCCTGATACAGGCTGCCTGGTGGTATTGCAAGAGTCCTGGAAGGTATATGGATAAAGATGCTGATGGCAACTGCCCAGGAGGCCACGCATGTCTTCTGTGTCTCAGCTGCGGTCCTTGTTTGCCAATTGGTGTTGCCAAAATTCAATGATTCCATAGCCTAGAGTGTTGGCTTACTGGCTTCCTATACCATCAGTATATATTCCTTAGCAATATTACCCTGGGGATCATGTCTTGATTCTTCTGCATCATGACTTTTCTGTGCTCATAATTTCCAATTTTGGGTACGTTGCGACCTGAGGCTTGAGTTTCCGCTCTCAGGATGGCTGACCCCCATTGGGATCCTTGCTTCTTCAACCAATTTGGGCTTCTATTCTTGTTGTTTTCTCGACATGAGCATTGATCAATGGATCAAGGAACATCAATGGCAGGAAGCTGATCGATTATGCCAAGACTCGAGCTGAAATCCCCACTCTGCTTTCCAGCCTTGCGCAGCAAAATCCCATTGCGAGTCTCGGCCAGACCTTCAAAAGAATTGTCACAAGAAGAATCTTGATTCTCGCCGGTCCCTTCTGTCGCATGATCTCATTCTGCAGGGAAAGGCAGCCGTCTCTGCGGACTTGCGATTGGAGAAGACCACACGGGCCCGCTGATGACCCACTGCGGCTTGCAGGGGAGTCCACTCACTATCCATCCAAGCTGAGAGATCGAGATGTGCGACGGGGCATGAAAAGGGACCAGCAGCTATATGCATTTTATTTCGATTGTGTAGTGGGAGGATTTCGATAATCAAGCGGACACAGAGCATTGCGTTTCATAATGATCTTTATTACTCACCAAACAGCCTTGTCCATGGAAAGCCAAACGACAGCCTTCAATTTCAGAAGCCTAGGTGCAGAAGGATCTGACGTGATTCAATGTGAAGGAGAAAGCCTCTCCCTATTCGGCCGGACCCCCGGGGGACCAGGAGCACCATCAAGTGTTTGCGTGACACCTTGGCCGATCCAAGCCATGCCAAGAAATCGCCGAGGCCAATCGCTGCCAATAGCACTGGCCTGGACCCATCGTTCTTTTGCGTGCCGATCCGCATCATGTTGCTCTCTCATCCCTCCTTGCGTCGGTCCTCGGGTTGATTTCTTGCGAAATCAGAACAGGTTGTCTTCGGTGAAGTGACTGCTACGGCAATCTCCAGAACAATGATCAGATTCCTTAACTGTGCTTGCAATTAGAAGATGAGGCCCTGCATGCCTGGGTCCCCACGCCCCCGGCTCTGCCGTGTGCCAGTTCCACCGACAGTGGACTTGTATTCAGGGCTCCTCCACTACTGTTCAGCTAATTTCGTCCACGCACAGGGGATGTTCTGTACCAAATACAATACAATATTGACCCGCTGCATCTAGGCGGTCGATCCGATTAGCTATGGTGCCCAATTTTTCGAGTGTTACTTCAAGTTGCGTACGGAATGCCGATCTCGCTGATCGTTGCAATGAACTCAGCTCGGAGAGTACGGATATGCACCCTACTATGTACATAGCATCTCCACAGTGTACCCAGTCTTGATCTTGATCAGCAAGGCCAGATTCAAATGGAATTTTTATTCATTCTTCTGTTGTTCTGGGTAACTCTCTGCGGTTCGCGACAGGACTATAAAGTGTGAATTTCCAGGACGCCGTTACATCCGTGGTTTTCCCTCGTGCATTCAGGACAATCCGTAATTACCCTAGTCATGGCTTTGAGACTAACGACTCTCTTGTCTGTCCTTTTCTCTTTGCTGGCCTTTGTGGCAGCAGTCTCCATTCCCAAGACAGACTACGATGTCATTGTGGTTGGCGGGGGCCCCTCGGGTCTCAGTGCGTTGAGCGCCGTCTCTCGGGTCCGGAGAACCGCACTGTTGTTTGACAGCGGAGAGTACCGCAATGCTCCGACACGCAATATGCACGATGTTATTGGAAACGATGGTAAGCCTCCGTCTTCTATTGGAGAAATATTATTTGGCTCATCTAAATGTTCTAGGTACTCCACCTGCTGAGTTCCGTGGACTGGCTCGCGAGCAGATTCTCAAATACCCCACGGCTCACATCAAGAATGCGACTGTGAAGTCAATCACCCCCATTGGAACTGAGGATGTCTCTGTATTCTCGGTTGTCGACGAGTCAGGCAAGAACTATACCGCTCGTAAGATTGTCTTGGGCACTGGCATGCGCGATGTGCTTCCCTCAACCCCCGGCCTAGAGGAGGGCTGGGGCAAAGGGATCTTCTGGTGCCCGTGGTGTGATGGCTATGAGCACCGTGATCAGCCGTTCGGTATCCTCGGCAACCTTTCTGATGTCCTGGGCAGCGTGCTAGAGGTGAATACACAATTCTCCGATATCATTGCCTTTGTGAACGGCACCCAAACACCCGCCGGAGAAGCCCAGGCGACTGCTTCGCACACCGACTGGGAGGAGCAGCTGAAGGCTTGGAACATCAAGATCGAGAACCGCACCATTGCATCCATTGAGCGTATCCAGGATGGTGAGACTCATCAGAACAAGACGGCCGATCTCCAGTTTGATAAATTCCTGATTCACTTCACTACTGGCGATCCCATTGAGCGTAACGCTTTTATCACCAACTTCCCCTCAGTACAACGCTCTTCGCTACCTAATGACATGCATTTGAATGTGTCCAGCGAAAAGATCATTGTCGACACAAGTGGCATGCGTACAAACCTGACCGGTGTCTACGCCGTCGGCGATGCCAACAGCGACGGCAGCACCAACGTTCCTCATGCCATGTTCTCCGGCAAGAAGGCCGGAGTCTACCTTCACGGTATGTGATCATTCCTAACTCTTCTTCATAATTCTGTCGCTAACTCCGGTAACTAGTTCAAATGTCACGCGAGGACTCGGCCTCCAAGATCTCGAAGCGAACTGGCCTCACTCAGCGGGAGTTGGAAAAGGAGGCCAACCGTGCTATTGGCCGCAACCTTGAACCGCAGTGGGAGAAGGTCCAGAAGCGTAATTAATTGATCTGAATTTTGAATGCCCGCCTTCAATTCCTGTAGAGATACGTTATGAACCTGTGGAGGCTTTCTACTGTTCAGGCAGGGCTGCAGACACTATGAAGAGCAATAATCAAGATTATTTAATGATGGGAGATGAATGTAATTGGGCGATGTATATAATGAAACTCGAATCAAGATTTCCCCTCTTGGGAAGTCAAACCTACACTTCACACATCGCCTTCTCAACGATACATTGTCTAACCTCTGGCAAGGCGAGCGTGGTTTCTCGGGGCTTTCTCGGAATTGCCTGTTCCTCGTAAACTCACTCGTTATCATGCCGAGGGCCCGATCTTGTCTGATACTATCTCTTCTGCAATCTGGTTCTTCAAACATCCATCTGGTCACTCCGTACATTGTTTGGCCAGCTCGTGGGTCCAGTTGCCACCTTTTGCGAGCCCGCACCAACCATGAGACCGTATCACATAGGGTCATGAGGCTTCTTGGATAGAGATCGTCTCAAACCTGCGTCAGCAATAAGCCTTCGAACAAGCCGACCCCTGGAACACTCGAAAGCGGGGCGACGAGCGTTGGAACGTGGTGTAGTTTCCCCGGAGGCTGACCCATATTCCGTCATCCTCCTAATCCGGAGAGGTGCCTCTCATAGTTGATCAAGTTTAGAAGAAAGATTTGTGATATAGCTTGTTAAGGGTAGATCAGAGATGGAGGCGAGCATGATATGGTCGTACACTGTTTATCGCGGGTCTTGCCTCTCTATATCCACAAATGTAAATATCTCGTTTGCTTCATATTCCCAAAGCCAAGAATTAGTATTCTGTGCTAATGCTAATTGGGTTGACAGGGCGTCCAGCACGGTGCTTAGACCATGAGATTCACGCTCGACAGCATCGTCACGAGGTTGTCGATGCCGACACCCGCTTCCTGCTTCGTCCACGCCCTCCACGGTCTCCCACCACCAATCAGCCATCTTCCATAGCCAACTTGCCGACATTCCGATTCGCAATGGGAAACGATTCATTGCCCCGCGATGGATAGGAGATCCCCGTTCATTGATCACGTCACCGGTGACCGTTGATCGTTGATCAAAGACGGTGGATCGTGGGTCGTCGGGTTCAACTCGGCAAGTCTCGATAATCACTCGATAGTGCGAGCTCAACTTAATGCTGACCATGGGCGCCGAATACAATCTCGTGGTGTCTTTCGGCATCGGTCAGCCTACCGTCAATGCCGATGTCTCGGGCGATACTGGGATGCCGAGCGGTGACTTTACCCAGCAAACGTGGAGGTGAGCCGAGCAGATCCACGGTTCGTTAGCAAACTCTCCCGATGCACAACTCTGATGGGCGGACCAAATACCATTACTCACTGGGAACTCGGATGAAACACCAGATGCGGCGGCTCAACGGTGATCGACACAGGATCGTCGATCGGCACCAGTGCAGCTCGTTCGTTCGACTTGGTCCCTGAGCCCTACCGCCCCGGAACTTGTGGGGGTCGATATGGATTCGGTGGATTATATTCCTATCACCCATTTTCAGCCACCAATAGTCTTTCTTTCCTTATCACGTTCGCTTACATTCATCGGGGATAATTCCAGATGCGTTCAAAATGTTCTTTTCAGGTCTCGTTTTTGTGATCATGGCTCCCCGCACCCTCCCATCTTCCAGACCTTCCTGAACCATATACTGGGCAATGCCAAGCTCATTCTTGCCCTGTTCTTACCTCAGGGCAGTGGAGCCATTCCTTGTAACAATGAAGTTTAAACTGATCCGAGTGGATCTGAGGGCTCGATTGGCGCGATGTCGCGAGCATTTCGCAACAACTATGCCCCTCAAGAACCGGCAACTAGCATCCGGGGAATTCTCCAGTATGGGCACCTGATCAACATTGAATTGAGGATTGGCTGATGCCCAGATCCACACACGAGTTGCGGAACCCTGAGCCAAAGACCAGTAGTATCAATGACCGCCGAATAGTCCCTCGCCATCTCATCCTACGCAAAGAGTGCCACGAGGTCCTCAACCCCACCCTTCACTAGGATAGGCTGCGGGAATTTGAGGATCTCGAAGTTAGATCGCTTCCAAGCTTTCTGCGGCTCCTCTGCGATGGCTAAAATCCCTCTTGTTGTGACGAAATCGTCTGGCCTGGCGAGGTATAAGAACCCCCATTCAGTCCTGCCTACTTCTTCTTTTTTCATCAAACAGATCCAGAGTCTTTCTCTTTCTTTCACAACACTGTCTTCGATTCTACTTGTCATTCCTTGAAGAATTCAAATTCATATATTTTCCATTATCGTTCACCATGAAGGCCTCCGTTGCTACCCTTGCCATCGCTCTCTCGGGGTCTGCTATTGCCGCACCTTTCACTTCGAATAGCACCACATCTAGCATCCCATCCGGTACCCCATCCTCAAGCTCAAGTGCTCCTCCATTTGCCAATGTATCTGCGCCTTCTACTACCGGTCTGCCTCCTTCGACTGGTATTCTCCCTTCCCCTTCGGGCTCGGGGCCGGCCTCCTTTCTGCCCAAGCGGGGTGAAAGCCTTTCACTTCCAACGGATCTCCCCTCTTTGGTGTCCGATGCCCAATCAGTGGCTGCGGCATTTGCTTCCCTCGGTGCGCAGAAGCGTGGAGAGAGTCTCTCGATTCCCACCGATCTTCCCTCTCTAGTCTCTGATGCTGAGTCGGTTGCCGGTGCTCTCGCGTCCAGCGGCGCTCAGAAGCGCGGCGATTCCCTATCTATCCCCACAGACCTTCCATCTCTGGTCTCGGATGCGGAATCTGTTGCTGCTGCTCTGGCATCCAGTGGAGCACAGAAGCGGGGTGATGCTCTATCACTGCCTACTGATTTTCCTTCTCTGCTGTCGGATGCCGAGTCAGCCCTTGGTGCTCTTGCCTCTGCTGGGGCGCAGAAACGGGACGGATCTTTGTCCATCCCTACCGACCTTCCCTCGTTGGTCTCGGACGCAGAATCAGTTGCTGCAGCACTCGCATCTGGTAGCGCCAAGAAGCGAGGCTTCACCTCGAAGCCTCTTCCTACTCCTGCTGAGACTCCTTCGGGTATTTCTTCTGGTATCCCCAGTGGTACTCCGAGTGACAAGCCGCTGCCGACTCCTACTGGCTTCTCTATTTTGGGATTCCCAGTTTCCTAAGGGTCTTATGTTAGCCAGTATGTGGTCATAAGCACTTTTTGTAGCTTATTGAATCGGTCACTCAGTTGATTATCTCTGGGTTCTGCTATCTTTTGGTGTTTGTTCATACACTCTTTATATATTCATCGGTTCGGAGGATAAATTGGCTAGATTGGAGTTTTAGAGAATTTTTATCGAGATAATTAAACAAGATACATACAATTTGAGTCAGTTTTCAATCATGTCCCTGATAACTGCTAGATTACATATATACCAGAAAAACACTGAAACTCTTGGCTTTCCTCTTCCGTTCTAGTGCTCGCTCCTCGCCGCTGTTTGAGCACGCCCCTGATCAGCCGGACCTGCTCACTGATCATTATGTAATCAGACTGGTCAAACTCGCTGAGCCTGACCTGAAAATCACCACCCGATTACTAAGCGCAATCGACGGCTGAGCGAGCTGAGTAAGCAGGTTCAATAAAACGCGACCACGTTAGCTTTATTCAGGTCCCATGGATGCGTATTCTTGTGGTACATTTTTTCTCCCAGATAATTTCACGTGTCCACCAGGAAAGTTTGGGCGTCGTATATTTGTCACTTACTTGACAATCTTGCCTTTTGTATACAAAATATACGGTGCAAAAATTGTTCAATTGGTCAGTTTGCCTTAACTAGACTTCAGCTCCTAGGAGCAATTTTCGTTTTCCGCGATATAGGCATGATCTGAGAGAACTACAAGGGCAAATTTGATACAATACAATCATTAGAATATTTGAGACGTTGTCTCCATGTCATGTTCGACAGGGTCATCCAGCATATCATGAGGTTCAAAGATGATGCACTCTTTCTTAAACTTCTTTGTCAAAAGAGCTTCACAGAGCATCATGACTTGGAACCTGTCCATGATGGGAGTTTGAGCGTTCGTCGTATTGAATAGGTCGGTGTGTCCTGTGATAGGCTGTGTGATGGCTCGAATGACAGTCTCAATCTTCTCCCAATGACCAGAATCGCTTGTAGAATCATCGGATTTTCTCTGCCGTATGATCATAGTCACATAATCGCGAATTTGTTCGCGATAGACAGCATCGCCAAAGTAAACATCTGTTGCCACGGGAATACTAGACTCAGTGTTCATCTGATTATATGGTGTTATCGGTGAACTCCCAACGAGACATTGACAAATACTTCGAAGGTACTATTAGTGCCTTACACCGCCCCCCCCAACCCTTCCGGGTTGTGGGTGCGCCACGCATGAATTTCCACCCACACATGAATTTCCATTTTTTCCTATTTTCCCTATCTACTACTGCATCCCACTAGTATCTATATAGAAACCCTGCCTATTCTGACGTGCTTCCTCTGCTCTATCTAACGATGCCTGGCTTTCCTGTATAGGTTCTGGTGGTGGTGATGTTCTATACGCTTTCTTCCACTGCTTCCTTACCCGCTTCCGCTCTGTATCTGCTTCCTTCTCCTTTCTTTTAGCAATAGAGCGATTTGCATCTCTAACAGAGAGCACCCCTGTTTTGCTAAGCGGCGTTTTAATCTGGCGCTTAGTGATTGGGCGCTGTAGTGGTTGTTGAGCTTCCCTAATCTTGCGAATAGTATCGTTCGCTAGATTTAGGTTCTCTATAGCAATCTTGTTATGATGAAACACACGATCAAGATTACGTTGCTGCCTTAGTGTAAGATCCTCTTGATATCTAGCAATCTTCCTTTGATTCTTTTCTAGATCCTGTATAGATCTAGGCGGCGATTGGTCGATACTAGAAGAAGATATAGGTGGTGGTGAAGGTGTTAAACGAAGCGTTGAATAATACGGTTGTAGATCTGGCGCTATAAGATCTGGGATTTCTTGGATAGGAAGGCTATTAATAACCTTTCTACTATCGACTGGATAGATCCTACGATCTTTAAACGATTCGCGAATAATTCGCTAGCTAAACGCTCTATTCCGAATATCACCGATTATTCGAAGGAACTCGGATCTCCCGATAGGGCTTCCACCCCAAAACGCGTGATCGTTATTCGCTAAGCGGAAGTGTTGCTTATAGCTTAGAAACGGCTTACCGTCTAGCGGTTGGCAAAGGTGTGTAGTATATAGTAGGAATCCTATTAGTAGGATATCGTTCTCTTTGTAAAGGTGTAGGAATTCGAATATAAGATGCGAACCGTGACCGTCGAATATTAGGATACGTTTTTCACCCGATTTCGTACGGTCGCGTGTTGATTCTATAAAGAATCGAAGCTATTAAACTGCTATATCGTCGGTTATCCAACCGTTAGGCGATGTAGTAATAGTAGTTCTTAGTAGTAGGTCGTCTGTTTGATTAAACTAAGATTCTATAAAGATCCCGTTGCCTTTAAAAATAAACCAAGGCTCTATCTGCTACCCGTCGGCAGCGATATACTCGATAGACGTGATATTTTCGCCTTAGTCTAGCTGAGGAAGATCTACTACCTTCCTACTACTACTACTAGTAGTAGTAGTAATAGATATAACGTTTCTAGATCTTCCTTCGCCTAGTTGAAAGCCGTATTTATCAAAGTTATAGACTAAGCGTGCCGGTGTAGTCTTCTTGATTGTTTGAGCTAAAAGATCGTACCAATATTGTAATGCTGCTGGATCTTCTGCTAATATTCGCTTTGATTCCTTCGTATACTACTTAGTAGGCCCTAATTGAAGATATTTAGGAAGCCTATTAATAAAGCGATACGCCCACATCTTGCTAATCGGCGGCTTGCCGACGCGTTGGCATGCACGATTCGCCCACGCTTCTAGTATCCTAGGAGTGATAGGCATATAGCAATCGTTCATATATTGAATCCAGCGAATCAAGGCTTCTTCTTGATAGGATTCAAGAGCGTGTTTAGCATTAGATATTGCTATCTTAGGCCTTGTTTTCTTGTTAATCCGATTCGAAAGCGTACGCCTAGGCACGCCAAATTCGCGTGCTAAACGGGCTATATTCGGCTTCTCCTCGCGTGATGCAGCTAGGCAGGCCTCAGTCATACGAGATTCATCAAATTTAGGCATCTTTAGATGGTGGTATTGGATAGGGAAGCAAAAATAGGGTGGTAGTGGGAAAGTGGAAATTCATGTGTGGGTGGAAATTCATGCGTGGCGCACCCACAACCCGGAAGGGTTGGGGGGGCGGTGTAAGGCACTAATAGTGTTGATTGGACAGCGGTGGAGAAACAGCTACTAGCGTGGACCCATCTGTCCCATCGTGGCAAGAAGATTCGGCTTCAGATATCGATCAACTATATAGAAGATAGTGGACCTCTTCCTTCTAGAACCGACAAGAGAGGAAAGTCATCGGTCACCACGCGGATGCTCGCCGACCAGACACTCAGATTGATGCCGAGCATGCCTCTGGCCAGCAATCAGTGTGACGGGATGTGTATCGTGTTATGCGATGTCCCGGGCCTCCATGTCGCCATGAAGGACAATATTGCTGGCAAGACCCGGAGGGAAAGAGACATCACAGAATGAGGACGCATGATTCAAAGGCCCTCGTCAAATACGTGGAGCAAGGAGGAGTCCTCAAGACCCATGAATCATGGGTCTTGATGACGTTCCTGACAATATTCGCGAGCAGCTCTATGCTGAGAACCAGCGACTTGGCAAAAAGAAAACCACGGATAACTCTACAATCGGTTCAACTCAACCATTGATACCTGCTCTATCTTCTAATGAATCAACGCGGGCTAAGGCCAGTAGAACCAATCATGGTTCATGGCTGTTATATGTAGCTGTGAAAGAATATACCGACTGGCAGCGGGCACGGGTGAGCAACGAGGCTTTCAGGGACAATATCGATAACGCACGTGATGTGACACTTGAAATTGCCTCGATCTCACGCAGATTTATGAGGATCAGGATCCGGTTATTTTTGTCAAACATGGTGTGAAAGTAGGTGCGGCCCAGCGGTTCATAAGCGACGTTGGCCTCTGGGTGAAGCAAAGCCGGGAGACCGGTTGCCATGAAAATATTATTTAGTTCATTCTAGACTTGATATAGCTTATAGTTAACGAATAGAGAACAGCCCACGCTGGCATTCCAGTATACCTACTGGATTTCGAAAACAGCTTCCCCTCAAACCACTCACGGTTGGTTTCTCGGCCCGTGAACAAGGCGCTAACGCATATTAGGAGTAGTGGTGTCCTGAAACGAACGAAGTGAGAGAAAGGGGTTTAATCGACGTTGTTGCTTGGTACAGCCTCATTTGATTCAATAATTTATTGCCATGGACATCGTGACTAACCTGAAGGAAGGTGTTCCTACACCTAAAGGCATTTCGAAGATCCTCGTCTATTTAACAACTGCCAACAAAAAGCCATCGTACCCCTTTGCCCCGACTGTTTGCATAACGACAGAGTCCACTCTCTCATCCTTTCCCACCTCCGCAACCAAGTCAATTGTTTGGCTATCTCTTTCCTGCGACCCGACGATCCCGCTTTCTAGCATGCCCTTTACAGCATTATCGACATAGACGACGCTGCCTTTTTCAGAGAGCTTCACCCCCCAATCAAAATAATTCCACTGATTACCTCTGTCGGCGTCGATGAAAACAAAATCGAACCTCTCTCTCTTTCCTGCTTGAATCTCCAGTTCTAGCTTCGGTAGGATATCCAGCCCCGCCCCCAGAATCACATCCACATCCTCCGGAACATTCAAACCCGCAAAGCGCAGGTTGTCGATCGCAACATCACGTCTATGCGCATCGATCTCAATACTAGTGACTTTGCCCTTGCCTTGAACAGCTTGTGCGAACCACATACTGGAGTATCCGCCCAGCGTGCCGATTTCAAGCACGTTGCTCGCTCCGATTGCAGTAGTGAGGAGAGAGGTGAAGCGACCCAGCACGGGCGAGACAGCGATCATGGGAAGGCCTTGCTTGGCACTATTTTCGTAGGCGTTCGTATGTCCAACTTCGACGGGAATTAGGTGTGACTCCACGTGGGATTCGATTTCGCTTCGGTGCTCGATGCCGTTGAGGGACATTATTGCGTCGCAATCTCGAAGGTACTTGGGTGCCAGTTAAAAAAAAAGCAGACAAGAATGCGAAAATTGTGGCTTTGATTAGAGAATATGAGTAAAGCTTGTTAGAATTTTGTTGCCTTATGGCTTTAAGAAAGGTTGATCAAGCTCGGGTCTAACTTCGGCTATATGTCGGCTATATGTCGGCGGTACGACAACGGTGGCGTTGCTCTTTCGTACATCAACGTGACGATTGCAATCCCTCGCAAAAAATCGGGTGGCCCGCAATGCTTCGATGCGGAATCTTTTGCGGAATGCGCCTCATAATGCGCCGCACTTGTATCACGTGCTGCGACACGCGTCGTTTGGGCGAAATATCCACTTCGTCGCCCATCATAAGCTTCCCTCTTCCGACATGTTTAGTGGACACCGTCTCCCGTCCTTTATCATATGTCTACTCTTTGAGTCTTTTCTCGTTCCACTTGCAGAAATGAGTGCATCCAACAATTGTGACGGTGCCTCAATGCAGGGTCGTTCGGCGAAAAATCCTTGTCAGCCATGCCAAGTCCGCAAGAGACGATGTGGCGGAGAGGTGCCCGAGTGTGCATTGTGTCTAATTGAGTCTTAACTGACCATGCTGTGCCATTGTCTTCTATTTGTCTGAAATTGAAAGGGACAGCTCGCCTATGCAGATACGTAAACGGCCCAGCGTTTGCGCCACTAAAGGACACCGAACCAGGGCAAACAGAGTTTCCGGATGCAATGCCGAATAATTTTCCAGTCGCATATTTCCTAGACTACCGAATATTTGAGCGCAGCGAAATTTCGATTCAAAATCCTCATCTTGTTCTCCCTTCTGGAGTTTTGACAATATAAAGAGTATCACGGAAGTTCGGCAAGTTGTAGACCGGTTCTTTGAGACCTATCACCTTTGGCTTCCGATTCTTTCCCGGCGCAAGCTTTATGGGGCTGCTCTACGTCAGCAACCTCGGCAAGAAGATGACATGAATTTATTGATTATGAGCATGCGTATACTGGCCCATCAAAAGCAAGAAGGGCGACAACGACATGGACGCACTTATTCGATGCTCAAATACCATCTAGTACGCCTCGAACAAGTCGGTTCTCTGTCAATTGCCCTTTTACAGTCTATGATTCTGCTTGCAGTTTACGAATTTGAACATGGAATATACCCAGCTGCCTACCTCACCGTTTAGGTACGCAGTCGCACTAGGGCTGGACCGAGACATGCTTGTCTGGGATCACAGTGACTCATGATGGGGTGCAATGGAAGAGAAACACCGCACGTGGTGGGCGATCATCATACTCGAACGGGTAAGTCATTGGGGATAGGTTTCAGAATGTTGCATCGCATCCTAATTGATGGAAGACACATGAATATCAATAATCCGCACCGAACATTATGCACTGCGGATCCTAACGAGAAGCATTTTCTTCCAATGTCGGATGAATGTTGGAATAATGGGGTGCGAATCGAAGCCTCTCACACTTCGCTGTGATCCATGGCTTACGCGATTGTCGCAGACACGGAAAGGAGTACCATACACTGTGCCCACACCTGCAAATGAGCATATGAATTCTTTAATATAAATAGGGCTAAAGATCCCTTCGGAATGGGTTTGATCCTAAGTCCTAATTTATTCTTTCAACCTGCTCACCGAGTCTCAAGGGTGGTGCACGCCTTACTAGGCAGATTCTATGTGTATTTAGTGGTCAGTATGTATCTAGATATGTATTTAGTGCAATTCATGGAGTTCTGCCGGAGGTTTTGCGACCAGTAATATACATTTTCAACGGGATAGAGGGTGACTGAGCCTCCATGATACTACTGCTAGTCAGTAGGAATTTCCTGGACATATTTGCAGCATTTTGCGCCCATCGTACAGAGAGCTATTGCAGACTTATCTTGTAACGTGTTGACTGTGAGTGCTGTTTAGCAATCACGACCAGGTAGATCGGATGATGTAGGGGAAATTCACAATGAGCAGGCGCTCCCAGAGTAGGCTGTTGGCTTGTACTATTGCAAATCTCTTCTGTGTGGTTGATCTCGAATGTGAACAAGAGTCCGGACTCTTCACCCTCAGAGACCCCGACCAGACAATCGACATCTCCGTGAGAAGACGAAGGCTCGACCCAGGAAGCGTTATGAGGCGCAGGATAATTGGCGACCAAACTCAACGCCTCCTTCTCGGTGTCGAAGGAGAGGATGGAAAACTGGCACGACCGCCCGAGACGAGGAGGGTGCGCTTCATGGTGCTGGAGTCGTGAAGTCCTCGTGAATGTGCTTGGGCAAGGGATGAGTCTCAACGGCGGTCTTTCAGGTGCTCGTGAGTAGCGCGACGTGGAGGAGAAAGGTTGTTAAATGGAGTGAGCGGCGGAGGTTTGGTTTGTGAAGTGCTGAGACAATAATACAATAATATCAAGGGAGATACCACCGAATTCCAGTATTTCGGGCTCCCCCACCCCCAAAACGGGGCCTCTAAAGTGTTTATCGTCGAGGCGGCACATTTCCTCCCTAGGCTGCGCACTTTTCGTTCGGCTTCCTACGCCTGCCAGGACGGTTGCGCCCCGCAGCAAGCTTGATGCTCGGCGGAGTAGCTCTCTAATTGGTCGACTGAGCTTGACATAATAATTTCGCTAGTTGATATGTTATCTAGCCATCACCAAGGGCGGCGCCGGGGCAGCGGAGCAGCCCATCTTCCCCCGGCGCCGCCGATCTCTTCCCCCCTCCTTCGCGTCATCTCATGATTCTTGAGACATCTTACATGTCAATCATCGAGCTTCCTATCTTCCATTCCTCAATGAAGTCTGTGAATCACCTGCAGACTACATTGAAATTGACTACTTAGGAAAAACAACCCGCACTTACACCAGAACACCAAAAGCTTCCACCTATACGACTGCGGCCCCACTCATTATGTCGGCCATCACTATTTACCCTAGCCTTCGCGACAAGGTCGTCCTCATCTCCGGCGGCGCTGAGGGCATCGGCGCCGCCGCCGTCGAGCTCTTCTGCCGCAACCACGCCCGCGTCGTCTTCCTCGACATCGGCACCGCCCCGGCCGAGGCCCTTATCGCCCACGTTAAGACCTCCTACCCCGACGTGCCTGCCCCAGTCTTCCTCCACTGCGACGTTACCGACCTCGCCCGTGTTAAGGACTGTGCCGACAAGGTTATCGACAACTTTGGCACCATCCACGTGCTCGTCAACAATGCCTGGGCTGGCGGACCGGGGACCAAGGCCCCAACCTCTGACATTACCCCGGAGTCTTTCGAAGTGGACGTTAACGGCGGCCTCCGCCACCAGTTCTTCCTGACTCAGGCTATCGTCCCCGCGATGCGCCGGCAGCGCGCCGGCAGCATCATCAACATGGGTTCTATTAGCTGGTGCATCGCCGCCACCGAGACCCCAATCTACTCTACCTGTAAGGCCGCCATCCTCGGCATGACCCGCGTCCACAGTAAGGAGTTCGGCCCGGACGGCATCCGCGTCAACAGCGTCATGCCAGGCTCTATCGCCACCCGGCGCCAGAAAGAGCAGGTCCTCACCGACGAGTACCGTGACAAGACCTTGGCGGCGCAAAGCCTCAAGAGGGTGCTTGAGCCCGCCGACGTGGCGCCTCTGATCGTGTTCCTGGCCTCGGATGATGCGAGCGCCATTACCGGAGGAAGCCATGTTGTCGACGGTGGCTGGGTTAGCAACCCTTGAACGTGCCGACTCGCAAGCCGTGTGCGCGTAGCTGTCTATGAGTGTACTCAATGACAACATCATCATTATCACCATCATCAGTAGTGACGAGTTAACGATGACAGAGGATTATTAGGTAGATAGATTCACGCGTCAACTTGCACACGCGCAACCTTGGCCAGTCTCTTGGTATCAAAGCCAGTTTTTATGATTAGCCGTCTCTGCAGTGCATGTCCCCTCATCTTCCTCGGGCCACGCGCTTCGACAACGACGACTTCTTGGGGCCGGTGCCGAATCAGCACCATCGCTCATCTCCGCGATGCACCGGTTCAACACTGCCTCAGCCCTCTCCTACCTCGTAAAGAAAATAATTATTAAAGCTCTATGGCTACTTATAGCTGCTATAGTAGACGCTAAGCTTAAATGGAATGTACTAATGGAGGTGATACTTGCGCTTGACGTTTCTGATACATACGCTTGGCTTTTGTATACGCTTTACTTTCGCAGCTTCTGATTTTTCCAATTCGACATGAGTCCACAGGTACCTACGCACCAAAGCAATGGGACGTTGTGCACTAAAAGTCAGTGGTATTGTTGTTTAGCCACGCAAATGAAAAATGCTGAACCTTCAGTAAAAGCAAGATGACCTGAACTCCTATATATCTGTTAGCATTTAACCGAGAGATCAGTTTTTATCAGCTTCTAGAACTGAACCAGATACAACTGTGTCTCCAGTTGGACTTCTGCCAAAGGGACCACAAAGGGGGGCAGGACTAGCCACTGCCTCACGACGGGACTCAGGCATCCTGAATGTGCCTTTTCCTTCCTTGATTCGCTTGGTAAAAGTGGCAAAGATCGATGTGGCATGTACCACATCATAAGCATTCAGACGAGCAGGGCTTTCATTGACTGTCTCACTCGACAGGATAAATAGCGCGGGCTGCAGAATAACCAGACGAGTGATGTACCAAAGTGTCGCTATATTGCCAATATGGGCGAGTTTGACCTTGTCACTAGTGACCATTAGGGCGAAATCAGGGCGTTCATCCTCATGGGCAATGTCCTGGAACGCCTTCTCGTCCCGGGAGTTCAACATTTTGAGAGCAACGATTCGGGGCTTCAATATCGACGACACGTTTTCAATCCCATAATTCGTCTCTCTATCCTTGTAAAGATCATGAAGAAGCTGCTTCGTGTCCTTGTTGTGATCTTCCAGGTACATATCGACCAGGGGTTTGATTTTTGGTAACCCCATGGCCCCAGCGATCGCGGGGAAGGATCCTGCGAACTGGTTGTATTCTTCGACTGTGTATTTGCAGTCAGGATGATAAGCTGTAGCCTTTTGCTTTGGTTTCGGCATGATGGCGATCTAGAAGGTATGTTAATGACAATCAACAGTACCCATTGTTGAAGGCACATACTTGGAGATCAAGTTAAAAGACTTGAGGTTTTATCGGCTGATGATTTCAGCTGATACTCGAGATGAAGCTGTTTTCATAAATATGTCAATGTGAAAGCTGGAGTCAAGAGGGGATAGCCAAGACTGACTTGAGATTTTATCAGCTGATGATTTCAGCTGATATTCCGAGATTTCACTGGGTAATTGCTTCGGCTGACACTTGAGATTTTATCAGCTGATGGTTGGGAAGTTGAAGAAGGAAGAAATTTGGGAAAGGGAGGAGATTTGAAAAAGGAAAAAGGGTTTTGGGGGAGGGGGGGGGGCGACCATTTTATCAACTTCTAGACTTAAATGAAGGCCTCCATATTAACCATAACTTAGAATATAATGTATTATACCTCATTTTAACCGTCTAAGTGAGGGAAATTTGAATATTGAGAGTAAAATAGGATTGGATTGCTCTGTACCCAGATAATAGGGATTTTACCTATTATACACTATAGTTATGTAAACATAAACATTATTTAAATTCAATATTGTATACCTCTATAGTGAGATATTCAGATTTCTATTGTATTAAATTCACTAATTCGGTTTTATATCTATAGTATTATATATTATTTTCACTAAAGAAGTGAGAGTAATTTAAGAGTATTACAAATACAGATGTTAGAATCAACTAGGAATTTATCACCTGATAAAAAGAAAGGTATTTATGAATATTAAAAATAGACAGAAATAAATTGGTGATTCCCGGAATCGAACCCGTGACCTAAGCTGCGAAATCTGGAAATCTGGAGTGCTGCCTATACCATGTGACGGACCCTTGGCGATCATCCAAATATCACGTGACTTCCACAAGACCGCCGTGACCGAGTCACAGTGACCCGTCGAGTTGGCGGTCACGTGATAAATATGGGGAGTATAGATACGGCGACGGTCATCTTTCCTCGAAAAAATCCTTCCTTCTTCAACTCCCCACCAGGTCTCGTCTGCTATTCCATCGGCTGATAAAATCCTTGGTCTCGTAGAGCACCGGAACTCGTTGAGATCTCGATCTCGTTCTTGCTACAGTCTCGATCATGATGCCTCCTGAGTCATTTCATGATATTGACAGTTCCATCAATCTAGTCTCCGTGGACTGACTGAATTCCGACTTGATCGTCAAAGTTGCCTTCATTCCATCTCCTGATAAAATCACTGCTCGGACCTGAATCTTGTTCTCTGCAAGGTAAGCTGGAAAATGTGCACTCTGTTAAATGCCCCGATACAGTCTAGAGCTAATGATGGTTAAGATCTCCTGCCGTGGTCACTCTTCACTATGTCCCACCCGTCTCTCAAAATCACTCTCAGTGATATATCTGATTTTAGTGATCTCAGTACAAGTGTCTCGTCACAAAATTTGGAATATCATCTCATTCACAAGAACGAATTCGAGAAGCGCCTTGAAGACTACCAATATCTCTCGTTGAACGATGACACTTGCAAGATCTTGACCGCAACCTGCAAGTACTTGCTTTCGGATGGTCAAAGGAATCTCATGACAGATGTCCTTGGGGCGAAGAACGATGAAGAGCTTCAACAACTCGCCCAGAGTATTCAAACTGGCATTTTACAACCAATGTTAGCCAATGGCGCTCAGACACCCATTCCTTCTCCTCGCCCTGGGCTAGAGGACTCAATCGAAGCCCTGGATGCTCAATATGCCGATCCAGCTTCTCGAGACTATCAGCCTATTTTACGTGCTCATTGTTTGAAAAGAGATGGGTTTTCATGCGTTTTTTCTGGCGCTATTGATCCCGATCACCAAACCCACAAAGACCAAAAGTCAGCCCCTCTTGAAGCCGCCCATATTATTCCCTTTTCCCTGGGTCACTGGGCAACTGATCATGAAAGACACCAAAAATCTCAGATTTGGGTGAATATTCTTCGATTCTTTCCGGCTCTTTCTCGGCGGTTAGAAAGACAGCATGGGAATCTTGATGAGGATTTCAACTGTATAAACAAGGAAGAGAACATGATCATGATGGTTGCTCCACTGCATGTGGAGTTTGGCAAGTTTCATTTCATTCTTGAGCAAACCGCATCAGAAAACCGATACACCGTGAAGCGCTTCAACAATTTCGCAAAACTGTGCGAAATCTTCCTCTCCGAAACGGTTTCTTTCAGTTCTCATAACACGTCATATGCACTTCCGAGTCCTGAACTCATCGCCCTGCATGCCGCTGTTGGAAACATCCTCCATGCGTCGGGCCAGGCTGAGAAGATAGAAAAACTGCTACGTGATCTTGCCGACACTCGAACAATCGCCTGGGATGGAAGTACGAATCTTGGGGCTCTGCTCTCCGTCAGTCAGCTTTCCCTCTACACTTCTGATCCATTTGCTGGTACAGGAAAGCGCAGTACCAAAAGTGAGGAGCATCCCAGGCCTCAACTTGGTACTTTGGCAGGAAGTGAAAACGAGCGCCCAAAGATACAGGACTGAATCAGAGATATTATTTTTAGGCCGTTCTGACGGCAAGATAATCAATTATGTCAACACTACTATATTCCATGATTATTAGTGCCTCCCCTTCTCACTGCTCTCGCTTATGGGTGCGCTCCGCCCACATTGCCGTTCTCACACTGATTGCTGTCTTTCAACACCAATATTTTATTTGTCTATTAATCTGTATACCCACTATTTACCTACTCAAGGAATATCACTACACTAATGTGCTGCATCCTGCCGTTCTAACGATATAGGCGATTCGGCATCTGGATATTGCATGGTAGTACCATATAGTTTCTTCCAATCCTTCTGTATCTTCCGTAGGCCTCTCAATTGGTGCGGTCCTTAGCCTTTTCTTAATAGAGTCTGTCCAAATATCTCTCAACTCGCAAAGGTGTGTTGAAGTTCCATTTTTCTAGACGTTAAGAATGGCCATGAGGTTAAAGCCAACATTCAGAATTGGCTAAATCCAAGATGTTCAACCATACGGTGATAGATTTTCTTCTCGTTAAGGCTACTGGTATACACCTTAATGCGCTGTCCTGGATCATATGATCAAAGCCCACACTTCTTGCAGGATCCATACGGCAAAATGCATTACAAACCCTACCGTGATCAGCTGGAGAGCATATCTCAGTTCGTGCAAAGCGGTGGAATCTTCTTCATTTCTTGGTCAAACCTATCTCTGAATGTTTGAGACGTTTGTATCAGCTGCGACTGCAAATGGGTATATGGGGCTTTTCGGAGACCCCATAGAACTTCTGCATGAGGCTGGTCGAAATATCTAAGTTCTTGGGGTTAGAATGTGGAGATACTGCATCACTTAGGACGAAAGTTTGATTTTGAATTCCAAATATTGACAGATTTGATAAAATTAGCAGCGACCCCGGGCAGCACTCGTTCCACTCGGTTCCTACTCGAGCTATGGCCGAGGATTGATTTACAGTCCTCATACGAATTAGCATTACAGTCCGATATTTTAACATCGATGGCCTGCAACTGCTACAACAGCATGCGTCACATATTACAAGGACACATGCCAAACGTGGATGATGTCGATGGTTTCAAATTTTCAAACAATCCGGTGCGGACATGATGTCCTTGGGTGACCTTGAGCAGACTCTAGCTGAAATTGCCCTTAGTCATAACTATCACATACTATTCATCGATGATGCTTCTCTGCCTCCAAATTTATCTGGGAACAAGCAAAATTTGGCACGCTCCATCATCAGAGGAATTTGCGATGCTATTTTCGGGACACAACAGGAGAAAACTGACTTCAATCTTGCATTGAACCATCCAGAAAGCAAATTGCCTAGTATTTGGGCGAAGAACATCGGCCTTCAAACATTGGAAGGACCTTATGAAAAAGTTTGTCGCGATCCTTGCGGGATTTGATGCAAGTTCGTAGGAACCCGAAGGTATACAAATCTGCTGAGCGGACAAGCTCAAAGGCAATACGTGATGTATTAGAAAAATATCATCTCTCCGCTGCTGTAAGAAATGGCCGACAATGGGCTCAGCGGTATGCTTCTGGGAGTGACTATCGGGATGTATATCATTCTGGTATCTTTATATCACCTCGAGATTAATGTCATATCTTGACAGTCTGATTACTCGATAAATCTAATGACTAGATAAAATGCAGACTGGGACAACGACAGCTCCACTGGTTCCTACCACGGAGATAGGGGCTCGGACCACAGATGGATATCTCTCCATGGCGTATTTTGTCAACTGGGTAGGCGAGCAAATGTCTTCAAGGAGCCTTATCATCTGAGAACCCATCGACTGACAAAGTATTTGGCAGGCTATCTATGGCCGTAATTTCAATCCAAGCAATCTGCTAGCTGATAAATTGACCCATGTTCTATACGTATTCGCCAACATACACCTATATACTGGGGAAGTTTACTTGTCAGACTCTTGGGCTGATATCGAAAAGCACTACCCTAGAGATTCCTGGACCGAAACGGGAATAAATTTTTATAGCTGTGTTAAGTAGTCATTTCTCCTTAAGAAGAAGAATCGAAATCTTAATGTTCTCTTGTCTGTAGACGGCTAGATTTACTCCTCTAACTTTATCACGGTCCTAAGTATGTTAGAGAATAACTACTTATACAGGGTAGAGAGCCTGTCGACTAGGTAGGAAGATAAACGTCAAGTAAGGAAAGCAAAACACTGTTTCTTGCTATCATAGATCTCTCCATAATCCTCAATTTATGTACAAGCTTCAACACTTTTCCCACATGACCAAGCAAAGACGATGGATCACATTATAACATGCGGTCTGACGTGGCCCCTATGTGTCAGAGATAAGCAAAGGCTACAAAGAAGAGGGGTTCACGAATCCCTAATGGAAGGGCACCGAACCCTCAGGGTCTTGTAGGTCATGCATCCTTGTTGGGGAGAAGTGGGGCTGTCATGACGAAGCCTGACCGATAAGGTGTCGAGTTGACACCTGAGGCGTGAAGTTGGGAATAGCTTCATGTTGCAATATCATATGACATAGGCTTAGTCGTGCTTACCGCTACTACGTATAAGAAGTGATAGAGTAGGGTCCTAGAGGCCTATAGTAGCTTTCTAAGTAGGTAAGGAACTATAAGGGTTCGTATAAGAGAGGCCTTACTCCTTCTCTAAAAATAACGTAGGGAGACCTAGCGGAAATAGTCGATATAAAAGCGGAAGCTTTTAGGCAAGCCTTCTTTCCTACACTACTTCTAGCGGATCTCTCCGATATTTAGGAGTATATATATCCTAAATAGATCCCTATACTTCCGATTAAGCCCTATAAGGTCTCTAAGGCCTTCCTCTGTGCCACTACTAGGCATATACCCGGTAATAACGGTATTCCGAATAGCTTATAGTCCGTACGCCGCTCGATCTATCTCAAGTCCCTCTCTATCCAGCGTACTCACAGCCTTCCCACCTGTCCCACTCGTTCTTGCCCCCAGACGTGGCCACGCTATCCGCAATAAGGAGGTGTGAAGCGGGCGTGGGTCCGCACTGTTAACACACGCCTGGGTCTAAAAATAGCAGTCACTTTCAATGTTCATACCTATGGCACATTATTGAGTACTCGCACCTCCTTTCCCGTTGAGGGATAACACGATTCATTCTGATAGCTCGGACGCAAGCAGAGCCTTGTGTAGACTCTTCCAACCTTAGTCCCGGAAAATGAATCTACCATAAGTGAACTCTGATTGGATCATGTATATCTACGTGTCTTCTAGACTGCTTCCTATAATGGCCGTTGTATTTTTAGTACAATGATCAGACCGTGATAGAGGGGTCTTACACAAAATAGCTATACCCATCCCTCTGCAGTGTGGTATTTATATTTGAAGTCGAGAGTGAGGTGGATTTAATGGACTTCCCTCAACTGAATTTGTACATTGAGACCACGGAGTAGGTTACCGTAGGATTTTCTACGGCATATAAGAATCCGTTAGGGTAACTCGGCAGGGAAATCCTTGGGCTGGATGGCCAGCCCCCTTTTGAATCATATAAGCACGTTCGCCGAACATCGTCTTCAAATCATTTGAAGGATTCAAGCGATCATACTCGTTATACCTGTTTTCAAAATTGAATTGGCGGACTATTAGAGCCAAGGTGACCTTAACCCCAAGCAGAGAGATATTCTGGCCAATACAGCTCCGTGTGCCAAATTCAAAAGGTCTCCATCCCCCAGTTGGAGGATATAAACTATGACCTGGTTCAACAAGCCAGCGGTCTGGGATAAAAGAGTGCGGCTGGGGCCAGGAAAGCGGATTGCGATGAATTGCGCTGTGCACAGTCCAAATCGCAAATCCTCCAGTGGGATATAGTTTACCATCTTCACCACAGAGGGAAACCCCAGGCAAGCCGCTCCTGAGCCCGTTAGCTGGCGGGAAAAGTCGGAGTGTTTCTTTGATAACTGCGAGCGTATATGGAAGCTGATTGATTGTCTCAGGGTGTTTACCTAGCTTCTCCACTGCGCTGGAAACACCCGGGCCAAATACGTTGTCATGCTCTTGGCGAATTTGGGAAAGTATTTCGGGATGCTTGGATAAGAGATACAATGAATAGATGATTGTGGTCGCCTCCGAATCATGACCCACGAATAGAAAGAGGCGAATCTGAATAGTGGCCCATGTTTTGAAATCTGGATCAAGATTCTGCTCCACACGAGGCCTTGATTTCATGTATTCCGCGATGACAAGATCCATTATTGAGTTTGAGCGAGATTTCGAGGGGGGTTGGTTATGCTTTGCTTCCAGTCTCGGTAGCACTTCTCGAGCTCAACCGCAATAAGACGGTTCAAAGTCCGTCCATTTTGCCATTGCACGTAGGCTTTGACTGGATTCAATCGCCCAAAAACGCTGTTCGTCTCATGACCGCATTCCATTTCAATGATATTGCGCATTGCTGCAGCAATTGGATGATGTTGCCGCTGGTACTTAAAGCGGGTGTTCCTTGAAGTCTAAAGTCAGTTTCTAATTCAATCTAGTTTGCTGCAGATGAGGCTCACATTGCGACGTTACCAATAATATCCATGGCATAGCGGCAAGTGAGCTGATCGAGGGAGAAAGTTTTCCCTTCCCGCGCATGAACCTTCAGCATTTCAACGAAAATTTCGGCCTCCTCGAGAATACAACTCAGATGTCCCATAGAAGCTGTCATACTGAAACTATTATTGAACAACTCTCGCGCGCGTTTCCAGCTAGGACCATTAGAGACGAACAAATTGTCGGAGCCGCCTGCCATCGGATTGATGAAAGGGTGAAGAGCGTCAGGTTTGGGCAGATTATTACTTTGACATGCTTCAATAGCTAGCTTTGGCGAAGTCACAACTAGCATTGGAGCATTGAAAGGCCACACATCCACGTAAAACCCTGCCTCTAAACCTGGTGTCTCAGTGGAGAGAAGAGCGAATAATTCTGCTTGTCTAGTGTCACCCGGCCCTTTTCTCTTCAATTCAGCCATAGCGGGAAGATTCCCCAGGATTGGATTCCAGGGAGGAGTCGGCTTCAATGTCATGTCAGCGTGAAAGCCCTCATTGTAGTTTTGATAGTGTGTACTCACTAAGCCAGCTCTTCTCAGACGATAAAACAGAAGCCGTATTCTAATGAGTTTGTAGATGAAAAAAGTGAGACAAGCGATGGCAATCGCCACCACTATGCGACCAACAAGCAAAATCCATTCCCAGGCGACAGCATTCATGACGAATCAACCAGGCAAAGGCTGGAATGGCGATTAGTCTTACCACGGTCAAAGTGATGAAAAAGCACCACAGTGATAAAGCTAAAATAACCGAAATATCGAGAAAACATAGCACAGAATATAGAAGAGACTTCTAGATCGTATGCAGAGAGTCAGCTTTAAAAATGTGAGGTTCCTAAAAATTTTCACTTTTGTGGCGCTAGCCTTGTCCTAGCGCTCAGGGGATGCGAATGTACAAGGTACTCGCACCTCCTTTCCCCTTAAGGAATAACGCGATTCATCTTGAAAGCTCGGACGCAAGCCGAGCCTAGTGGTCAAGTCATTAGATTATTGGTGTGGATTAAATTAATTTTCAGCGAAGCATTATTCGTCGAGGTCAAGGCCAGGTTCCCAACAAAAATGACCACAGAGGGCCTCGATTATCAGGGGCGTCACATTTCGTCTCAATCTTAGCCGGGTTGAGGGGCGTAAATGCTTCTAGATTGTCGTATGCTTTTGAGGATATTGATGATGGTTAGGTTGTTGAGTTAGCTTGTTTGGCCATTTCAGAGGTGGTGAAAGACTGGCTCTCTATCATATCACATATAATAATCAGCCTCGTAGGAGAGTCTTAGGGCCATATCGCCTTGAAGTATCCGTGCCTTCGCGCACCCACCGCTTCCGCTTATGTAAAGCTGATGTGGATGATCCAAGATCTGCGAATGCTTGGTAGAGATGACACAGACCACGGATTATATTGACTACAGATCACAACCTGTGGAGCACTCCAGTCTGGGATTTGAACCGGCTCGTGCGTATGTCGCCTTGGCTGAGAAAATGTTAATCTCCGAGGTGTCAGGGTCTTCGGGACCACGATTCGGAGGACTTGCTGCTGGGACTTCAGCTCGCACCCAGCAAACCGCTCAATGACTCTATATCAACCACGTATCTGTGTAGCTAATCTGCTTCTCATCTAACTCTCTCGGGCCCAAATCCTTATCGGCGTTCCACAGACGACCGTGGCGCTAGCGGAAAGAGGACATTATCCACAGCCCCCACGCCATCAATCTGTGCCCAGCCTTGCAGCCTTATTACGCAGCCTTATTCGGCTATGCGTATCCGGGGCTCTTCCGCCCCCCTGACCTCTATATATATACCACTTTTTCTTCTCTCGAAGACCTGTGCACGAGGTTTTGGTCAAATGGATTGAGAGCCTCATCCACAATGCCACCTCAAAACCTTCGGCCCTGCAGAGTTCTTATCGCCGGGGGTGGCGTCGGCGGCCTTACTCTGGCGCTGTCACTGGAGAAACATGGGATCAGCTACCTGCTCCTGGAAGCATATCCTGAGCTGGCCCCCCGACGCGGTGGTGGTATCGCCATAATGCCTAACGGAGCGCGAATTCTGGATCAGCTGGGCTGCTACGACGACCTCCGACGACGGGCCGGGAGTGTCGTGCATCGTTCGTATCTCCGCGCCCCTGATGGAACCGTCCTTGCAACAGTCGAGGACCTAGAGAAGCAGATAACTGAGAGGTAATGATATGATTTCGGTAACATATTTCCCATATTGGGTTGAACATCTCAACGATTAATCTTAGCTTCAGACACGGTTATCCTATCATTTGGGTGGACCGGCAATTACTGCTCCAGACCCTCTATGACTCCATCACGGTCAAATCCACCCTTCTCACCAACAAACGCATTGCTACGGTCAGCCACCTTACCGATGGGACTCAAGTTACAACTACAGATGGCTCTGTCTACACCGGGGATATACTCATTGGCGCGGACGGCACCCACTCAACCGTGCGTCAGGCGATCGTCGAGCGAGCAACCCAGCTAGGGCTTGGTACGGAGTACTTTGAAGAAGAGCGTATGCCCCCAATTTCTTGCGGACCTTGCCATATCACTAATTGGACTTCTAGAAATTCCATCAACTTATGACTGTATTTTCGGTCTCTCGCCCTACAATTCCGTCCTCGTTCAGAACCCCGACAGCGAACCAGGAAGCCTTCAATTTATCCGAGGAAATCACTACTCTTATGTCTTGGGGACTTCCGGCCCCGCTGACCGAACCTGGTGGTTTCTTATGATTAATCGCGGTATCACGTATTATGGCACGGAGAACAACAAAACTCAGACATACGATACCGCGGCTAAGGAGACCATACTACATGCCCATAGGGATGATCACCTCACTCCGAAAGTCCGGCTGGCGGATCTGTTAAAAGGACCGACTGAGACGGTGTATACGCCCCTACGGGAGTGGGTGTACACGAAGTGGCATTTAGGGCGGTTGGGTATCTTGGGTGATGCGGCTCATAAAGTGGGTATTTCTGTTCTACTCTGTAACATTGGTTGTTCAGTTCCTGGCTAAGGATAGCATGAAAAACTGAATATTCATATTAATGATTGTAAATAGATGACAACGACCATCGGACAAGGCGGCAATCAGGCAATCGAAAGCGCGGCAGCGATGACCAATAGTCTTGCTAAGGCATTAAGTGCTGGTGCCGCTATCAAAAAGCTTTCTGAGCAAGAGATAGATACCTTGCTTGAGGAGTTCCAGGAGGGGCGTGTCCCGCGAACGCGGATGGTGATGGCGGCATCTCGCAGAAAGCAGGACGCGGACGCAATGGAAGGTCCGAGAAGCAAGGACCTACTGAATTTGCGGCCGAATTCTATGGCCCTAGACTTACTTTTGCGGTGGAAACAAACTTTCACCGGGGCAATTTCGTTAGCAAGTTTGCCGTTACCGGACAAGAGGAATCTGGTGCCATATGATGATGAAAAGGAGAGAATAGTAAAGAAAACTGAAGGGATGGTGGCGAAATTATAGGTTACTTTAATGCGGTATTTCAATATGCATCCTGTAGCTTCATACTTAACCTTTTATTACACCCTTGTGGAATGCTTTCGAAGGGTTTCCTAGAACACCTGGATCAAAACCAGTGTCTGAAAACAATCTTGATGAAAATAAGACGCCTAGCTTTGATTGAATTTCATCGAGATCCAGTGTGCCAGATTCCCCTCGGGCAGCCATTCTCTCCAGGGATATTCCCTCGCCCGTGGTCCAGATAGCCGGAAGAAAAGCGGTTCACAATTAAACTGAAGTGTTTCCATTGAACAGACCGCGAATCTGCTTTCTATGTCCTGTCGTAAATCATGATGCCAACCCCCGTTCATGAAGTGAAATGGGATCCGTGGCTAAAACTGCCATCGCGCATCATCAACCTTCCATGCTGCGTAAACTGCCGAATTTTACGGAAACGCATACAGACTGCATAGTCTCGTTCCCCAATCAGATATGCTTCTAGGGGCCACGGTAAAATTAATTGAAGGTTGAAAGGAAACCAATTTCCTATGGCAAGGTATAAGGAGGAAAGGGTTACAGAAATTGTGTCAAGAGAATGAACAAGGGCCTACGGAGAACATTGAGTTGCAATATTTCCGGCTGCAGCGCTCACTTCCGATATCCCAAAGGTCTTCAGCGCCATCTACAACACCACTCAGGAGGAAGAACTCATCTCTGCTGGGTACCAGGATGTCGACGGCGTTTCTCGCGTCGGGATAATCTCAACGCTCACTATGTCACACATGGCCGACCCGGAGGTCGGAATCGTTATGTGGCCACTTCAGACATGATGAGTCCTGTACATGATCCCCGCTTTCGCGGGAAGCTGACGCCAGGCGGGTGGCCTTTACAAGATACTCGTCCTGTTTCTGGGGTGCAAGTTTGACGTTGTGCAACGTAGGTCTGTCGCCCCTGAGCTTTTTTAGAGAGACATTAGGCCTGAGGATAGACATAAGAACGGAATATACTATACTGTGCGGTATTCGAAGTTGCGCATAAAGTTTTTATGCTACAGTACAGTAGATTTCTTGCAACAATGCGCCACGTCAAAACTCACTAGCACGAGGCCTCCATAGTTCTCCTGGCTCCTACACTTAGCTAAGCCAACCCTTTCGTTATCCTCGCATACTAGCCGTGGGCTGCACAAGCCTAGTGAACATAAACCCAAAGTCGAGCGGGTAGTATTTTGGGCTGCTCTCTTTTCCAAATGTGATCGTCCCTAGCTGATAGGAATAAGCATTATGTATTAGAAGCTGATTAAATCATGCGCTATTATGAAACCTTACTCTCATTCTTTTCGAAATCCTCGACTGGATATGGCTCTCTGCTCGGAAAACCGCTCGATTCCTCCGTTGAGACTCCTTGGAGCCATTCCTGGATCTCCTGTTCGGAATACTGCTTGACCGAACTCCGTCCCGGTAGATCTTGAGCTGCACATTGAGATTTCCAAAAACGCTCTGAGTCACCGGGACGGCCATATGGTCTGACGCGACCAATACGGCGTTTTCGCAGAATATGATATTTCTTCGCTCGTAGTGACTCGACAGTGCGACGCACTGCGTACTGTTAAAGGTATGCGTCACAGCGGCTAGTCCACGACAGTTTCCGTAACCATCTAGCCAGGAAAGCACGTTTTCTTCTTCCCATTCCGACCATCCAGTTATATTGCGTAGAGTCATAGTGGATTTAGCCAAGGGTTGAGGGTCTCAAAAGGTATACGCAATTTATTGGTGACAAGAGCTGAAGCCGCAAAGGAAGGTTGGTTTCTATTTAACAGTACTTAGAAATCAAACCACCATTTTAAACAATGGTAGGAATCGTAGATTTTTCAATCGGATCTAAATACAGTGCCTGCCTGAGTGGGTGGATCACCAGCGAGATTGCTTGGCGTAAGAGGGGTCCGGAATAAGCTTTGTAGCTCGACCTCGGATCAGTGGAGAAGGTGATTTCATATAAGTTTATTGTTAGGTAGTCTATTACATAAGTACGAATCTACGTGATTCGCACTCCGATATCTTCGGGGCCTAAACCCTAAGACTTAGGAAGAATCCAAGACTTTACGTACTAATCACGCTTCAATAGTAGCAACCCTAGAGTAGAAAATTTTTTCTGTAGTGTGATACGTTCTTCCGAAGGTCCTTTAGGAAGCCTGTTAAAGTCTTTATTCCCTATTGTTAGTCTATTATTTTTTCGTGTTCGTAATTCGTTATTTCGGTTACGGTTATAAACTACGGGCCCTACTAGTTCTACCCTATTAGAATAGCGGTCGTACCCGCGGATCTACGACGATCCTATTATTCCGTGTTAGTATTTTATCCTTTTCGTCCTTCTAATCGTTTTTACGATCCCTAATACGTATTCCCTATAACCCTTACGCTCTCGTTAGGTAGCGGTTATATACCTCTTATTAAGTAGTAACCTAACGTAGAAGGCGCGTCCGAATAACGATATCTATCCCCCTAAACTACTAGTAGTACTTATTAGATTCCTAACTAGTAACCTTTTTTACTAGAAATCTAGCCCCTATACGTATAGATCCTAACTTTCTATAATTTATCTCCTATTTCCTAGTTATTAGTAGGCCTCGGCACGACCCGCGGGTGACCCTCGGCGGGTGACCCTCCGACCCTTGTTTTGAGGGTCGAGGGTCTAGCTTATGGACCCGCGGGTCGGGTCTAGTGTAGGTAGGACCCTCGCGAGGGTTACCCGCGGGTGACCCGCGGGTAGTTAAACTAAGCAAACAGGAGGAACTCGCGACTTGTATAATTTATACAGATTGCAGCGGTATCTTTCAGTATTTCACTTACTCTATCCTAGTGTAGAGAGAGTCTATAGGTAGCGGGTAGAATATATTGAATAATCCTATTTAGTAACAGGTTTTCTAACCACGGTTAAAATCAGAAACACTTATATATTAGAGACTATCCTACGGCCTATATTTCTAACTATAGTTAGAAAACTAGGGTAGTTAAGGGTCGGGATAATAGATATTAGATAGACTATAGAAACTCTTCTATCCTATATAGATATTTTTGACTATAGTTAGAAAACTAGGGTAGGACTCCTCTTAAACCTCGTATCTATCTAGTAGTCTTAACTATTTTCGAAGACAGCCTAATATGCGTTAGTGTATATTAGGTAGTAGAAGGGTAGCTATATTATTATCTCTATCCTCGTAGTCTTCTATAACCTCTAGTTCTAATATAACACTCTTCCGTCGTTTCCCTAGGCTTCGTTCGCTACTTCCCTAACCCTCTAGCTATATCTCTATAGATTTATCTTCTTCTTCTTTATAATCGCTAATCGGATTAATCTTACTTAACTATATATCCTTTTCCTCTTTAGCCGTCTAGGTCTCTTTATATAAGAGATACTCCTTAATTATCGCTCTCTATTAGTCCTTAAGATTAAACCTTGATATATATATAAATATTATTAGGTCCTAGATTGTCTTAGATTTAAGAGAGCCTCGGCGATAATAACAGATATCTCGAGCAGAATTAAAGAGCCGCTCTATACCCGCACCTATTATAGGAACTGAAAGAATATCACGGGTAAGACTTACAAGTGCTAGGAACTCCTACTAGTACTCCCTCTAGAAAGTATAAGGGCTAGTTCGAATAGTTACTATATATTATATTAGTAATTAGTAGCGTATATCTAATAGAGTATATATAGATATCTAGGTATTACGTAAGCTTATTATGCTTACTATTAACTAACTATTAAGATAACTCTAGCTTATATATTATCTTAAGCTTAGAGACTATACTATAAGACGATTAAATAAGAGTAGGAGGCTAGGTTTATAATAGCTGCTATTAGTAAGGCTTAAGGTAAGACTCGAAGCTTTGCTGATAACGTGTACGCTAGTCGTAATCCTAATCCTTAGTAGAGAAGAACTAAAGCTTCTATTAAGGAGAAATTATTATACCGATAGTATATAGATTACTATAGATTTAATTAGTTATACTATAGTATTAAGAAAGCTTACTTTTAGCTAAATTTAGAGTAGTAAGTATTAACTACTTCTAAGGAACCTTTTTCCGCTATAGCTTCTAAATAGACTTTTCTAGATAATTAAAAAGCTTATTATAGATACTAAATATAAGATAAATACTTACGTCTCTTATCTTAGAGAGTAGAGTAGTAAATTAAAAGAAAGGCTAGGTAATCTAGAGAAGATACTTGATTTAGCGCTATTCTTCTATACTAAGTGCAAAGTAGTCTTAGTTATATTAAATATAAAATATATCGAATATAGACTAAAGACGTTTTATATAGCGTAGTATTAAGAATATTGAATTCTAGCAAGTTATAATATCCTAGATTAGTACAAGCTTTAGCTCTTCTTTTTAGAGATTATAAAAGGCCTCTTAACGCTATAGACTAGCGTTAATATAGATAGCTAGGCTCCGTATCTAGTAATAGGTTAGAAGATACGAGAGATATATATATTAAGCTTATACCTTATTCAAAGTATTAATAATCTCTTTCCTCTTCTACTTTACACGAAGAGACTAGATCCGGACTTTAGACTATTTAGTCTTAGCTATTTTATTCCTTAGGTTTGCTTTTATCTAACTAAGGAGATCTTTCAAGCTTAGTTAAATTATATAGGCAATATATAGAACACGTATAATAGTTAAGCTATTATAAAGCTCTAGTAACTAGATTAACTCCTATACACTAGCTATTATTATATTATTATTAGACGTATTATCCGTCGTTATTACAAGAACTCGATCTATAATCTTATATTATTAGAGAAGGTTTATAAGCATATCGCTTAGATTCACACCTAAGTACGTCCTAGAGAGAGGCTCGAATCCTAAAAGGATCTCTTAGTATTCCTAGTCCTAGTTAAGGAAGTAGCCGGTTACTACTATAAAAGACTACCGAAAAGGAGAGGTCTAATAGTCTAGTGTAAGTAAGAGCTTTAAATCTAAAGGTAGTTTTCGAAGAATACTTAGTTGTTACTCCTTCACAAAGTCTCGTAGCCGGGTTCGAATTATTTTAGAGGAAGGGATTTCTAGACTCCTTAGAGCAAGGCGAGTATAATTAATAATATTATAAAATTGCTAGTGCTTAATAAATTGAAATAGGAGTCGTAATAGAGCGAGTAAGTTTAAAAGCTTATATTCCTACTCTTCCTAAGTAAAGACTAAGGCTTTCGGAGAAAACTTTACCTAGAAAAATAAGTATCTTAGATAGGATAATTAATATATTATATACTATATTCTCGATTATCTATCTAATATTTAGTGTTATATATACTACCTTCCGGTAGTTAACCCTCTTTATATACTTATTCATTGAAGATATTCTATAGCGATAAGTACTAGGATACTCAAGAATAGTAATATATCGATTATATATCACTCTAGGCTTCCTAGTTTTTTCGTCTACTACCTATTCGAAGTGTTTCTAGGCCTTAGATTAGTAGTTTATATCCTAGTTAATCCTTTTCTTTATTCCGTAATCTGTTTTCAACTACTAGGTAATAAACGTATCTTTAGACATTGTAGAATAAAGGATATATACTTTATTTCGACCTACACGGGTAAGGGAGTCCGGGATAGTGTTACAGACCCACCCCTAGGATGCTAATTATAGACTCGCCTGAACTAATCAGTTCAGCAACAAGGCGGTCAGATAGATTCTGCCAGATAGTCTATCGAGATGCTTAGGCTATAACACCTAAGTATAGGATCACGTGACAATCCGTTCTGTTGAACGGAACGGACCTGACCGTTAACAGGAAAGGTCCTATCGAAGGAACGGAAGGACT